TGCCCCCTCCGCACCAGCAGCGCCCATCGCCTTCTCGCTCGACCTGGACAAGGATGTCCATGTCCTTTTCGCGGAGGTAGTTGACCGTCCGTTGTCGCACATCCTCTAGGTCGGCTCCTCGAGACGCAATGACATGAATCACCCCGAGGACGTTTGTTTTTTGTTTCTCATGAGAATCGTCGTGGTCATGATGATGGTGGTCGTGGTCGTGGTCGTGGCCGTGGCCATGACCATGGCTGTGACTGTGACTGTGACTATGAGAATGACTATGGCTGTGACTGTGACTGTGACTGTGACTATGGTCATGACCATGATGATGGTGGTCATGTCCCGAGGTCGTTCCTGTATCGTCTAACCAAAACTTCGGCACTGTGTACCCCACAACTCCTCGTAGGGAGCTGACACCGGCCAAGGTTTCACGGACATTGTATTCAACGTCGGCGGGAAGTGCGAGCAATAGGGTCTTAGCAGTACTGCTGACTAGTGGGACCGCCGAGGCAAAAATCAAAATGGCAATCAAACATGAGGCAATAGGGTCGTATCCTGCCCAGCCTGAGAAGTGCACAAGAATGGTGGATATCACAACCGCCACGGAGCCAAGAGTGTCAGCTAGAATATGGAGGAAGATACCGTGCATATTCTCATTTCCATGTGAGTGCGAATGACCATGATCGTGGCCGTGTGCGTGGCCGTGGTCGAATGCCATGATACCCACAAGATTCACTACCAGACCAGCAACGCTGACAGCCAACAATTCGCCCAGTCGATGCATCTGACTTCCGGAGGAAAGTCGCTCCACAGCTTCGTAAATGATCTCAATACTTATGATCCTGGGTAATTGTCAGGTTTAAGCTTCACTGAAAGGTGGGTTCAAATCGTACATGAGAAAAATTCCGTTGGCGAATCCGGAAAGTGTATCAACCTTCCCATAGCCGTAAGGGAACCGAGCACTTGGTGGCCACTTGCTCATAACGGCAGCACAAAGGCCGACAACAAGTGCAAGGCAATCGAAAAACATGTGTATGCTGTCACTGAGCAGTCCTAAGGACCCGGTGATGAACCCGTAAGATAGTTGAACCAACATAAAGGTGAAATTCAAGCTATAAAATGTCATCAGTCGTCATCCCTAAATGCAAAGAGATGTACATGCATACCTCATGAAATAGAATATACGGCGAGAATCCCGTTCTTTGAGGATACTGTACAACAGGGGGTAAGGTTCGCTGTAGCGAAGAAGGACTTTGGTCACCCGAGAGGCTCGAGCCGGTGAGTGGCCATGATGATGAGAAGGGCGCTCAAGGCGTAGCCGGCGGTCATCAAACCGAGCGGCGAAGAACGACATCGCTGCCATCGTGCACCGCGATGAATAGACCACCCAGTTATCAGCAGCTACAGGTGGCGAAGACAGAAATCCTGCTGCCGCAATACCTGTAGCAAGACCCCATTTGTGCGGCGAACGCAGATTGGGCGGGTTTGAAAAGAGTAAGGATGTTGCGTAGATACCGGCTGTTGCCAGCAGGTACATCGCATCCAATGCCGAGAGGGAAGGGATACCGAAGAGAAAGAAGCCGAGTATCCCGACAACGAGACCGAGTATCAACGTCACCATACCATCATCCGGCGAGACGACAGATAATGAGCCCGAATTCCGGATTACTGAAGTGTCTGATTTCGAGGAGGCGGAGACGCCAAAACCGGGGCCTCGAGAAGAATTTGACTGGCCGACATCTGCAAATGGGGGAGGAATGACAAAGACTGACAATAACAAGGAGAGATATCCGAAGTACGACTTCGACTCCTGGGAGCCAACCAAGCCGAAAAAGCTCAACACCAGGATTATCAGTATCAGAGCAACTGTGAATTTCTTGTGGACCAGCTTTTCGCGAGCGTCGCTGCCAGCAGCCCGGCCTTTGGCAAGAGCGGGCAACCCGGATGCTGCTGCGAGAAGCGAACCGAAGGCGACAAGGAACCCACTGACTTCGAGGGCTGCGTATATAGGCAGCGCAATTGAGCATATGCGAGCAAGCGCTACACCTGCGGTATCTGCCCTCAGATTTGGAACTTTGACCACAGATTTGTTCCCAGCCCGTGCAGACCATTGAAGTTGTCCAACGCCCGTCATGACCATAGTCACAGCTGTCAGACTGCAGGTCCTTAGAACTGCCTGATCCAGACTCCCACCGGCGACCGTTTTCGGGTCCGTGTTGTCCTTATTCGGGATAGCTGAGTTCCAATGGGCATATTGCTTGTAGTACCACGATAAGGCGATCCAGGGTAGAGCGATAAGCAGTCCTGAGACGAGCTCGCGACTAGAAGAATAAATGTCACTTAGTTGATCCTTCGTTTCTTCTCAGGATCACTCACTTGGTGCTGGGTGTAAAATCGGCCGAGATGACAGAAACATCACGCGCGCGCAATTCTGTAGGATCTTCCGTCTTTTCAGTTGGATGATAATGCACTGAATGTCCGTGGTTGCAGCTCCCTGAGTGGTTGGCTGCACCGTGGGAATGCGAGCGATGGTGATTGTGCGATGTCGACCCTAACGCAGAGCCATTGGGTGAAGCTGGGTCTACAGAAGACAGGTTCGTTTGCATTGAAGTTGCAGAGCCATTCAGAGAAGACAGCGACTGGTTTACTGAGGGTTGGGTCCAACGCTTTGAGCGAGAGTGGCCATGGCCGCGGGAGTGTCCGAATCCATGTCCATGAGTTGCGGGGAAGTGAGTATCCACGGTGGACACGGGAGCTCCCGTTGACATGGTATCTAATTGTCCAATTTGGCCTTTCTTTCAGTTCGCAATTGAATTGAATATAACAGCAAGGAGGGTGAAGGCGAAGAGGCGAAAAGGCCAAGACGTTCGACGGGGTCGTCGCGGCCAAGATCGGGGCGGAATAGGCAGCTTAGCAGCTCTGAAGGGACAGTCGGTCAGGGAACTGAGATAAGGAACGCGGCATCGCGCCAAAAGAACGTGCACAGTCACTGTTCAAGTAAGTGGAGCAATATTTGCCTAAAGAGGACGATTTATACAAAATCAACTTTGAATTGAGTGTACCTTTGCGTTTCATCAGCTGCTGGTGATAACGCATGGGTAAGGGGCACACGTGATACGCGCCAATATTCCCTTATCTCTCCCATCGCCTGCCATTCTGGGAAAGGTCAGATGCCTGAGGTGTCCACGAGGGGAATCCGATTATTATTATGGTACTTCTACACCGCGGAGCGTGTAGCGCAACGTAATAGCTTCAAAGCTTTGAGCCTTCGTCATTCGCCTTTGTACTCACAACTAGGTTCCTCTTTCGGCCAGCAATATGCGATAAGTGTTTGTCAAAACTTGTTTATTCGACCCTTTAAACACAATGGTTGCGCGTTAGACCGTATGATTTCTTCGCCAACAACACACCATGATTGAATCCCTGATCAGCATCGCCTTCTACGTCTCCACGGCGGTGACACTATTACTGTTCTTGGTTCCTTCAAGATACGACCCGAGACGGTTCAACAGGAGCAAAAAGGATGTTTCCAATGCGCCCAAAACAACGACGCAGATTCTCGTCCTGGGCGATATCGGCCGCAGCCCGCGCATGCAGTACCATGCTTTGAGTATCGCAAGGGGAGGAGGCCAGGTGGACATTATCGGTTACAATGGTACAGGCCGGTCAGGTTTCTAATCGCGAATGAGGGTATGACTGATGCTTTTATAATACAGAATCAGAAGTGCATCCCGACATCTCGTCCGATCCTAGAATATCCATAATCGCCCTTCCACCACACCCGACCTTCCTGCAAACAAGTAATAAGCTCCTCTTTCTGCTATTTGGTCCGCTAAAAGTAGCCTTCCAGATTGTATGTCTCTGGTTGGCTCTGGCTTACCGCACAGAACCCGCTCAATGGCTACTCGTTCAGGTAAGACCATGCCCGCCCAAGTGACTCGTCTGGTGTCTATATCATCTTGCTAAAGTTGGTCCAATGCAGAACCCGCCTTCCATACCTACGTTGGCAATCGCGTCCATGGTATCGTTCCTCCGGCATACCAAATTGATAATCGACTGGCATAACTTTGGGTACACCATTTTGGCGCTCAAACTCGGGGATAGACACCCACTGGTGCGATTTTCCAAATGGTATGAGAAGAGCTTCTGTAGATACGCCACGGTGCATTTTTGTGTTACAGAAGCCATGGCTTCCGTTTTGAAGAGCGATTTCGGGCTCACAGCCCCCATACTGCCCTTGCATGACCGGCCAGCGAGCCATTTTCAGCCCATCTTGGATGAAAGCGAGCGGAAGAGTTTTCTTGAGTCTTTGCCGGAAACAGCCTCGGTGAAGCGCTTGCTGCAGGCCGGGTCACTCCGTGTAATAGTCAGTTCGACGTCCTGGACAGCTGACGAAGACTTCTCGTTACTCATTGACGCATTGTGCCGGTATTCGTACCTGGCAACCACCAGCAAGCCTGGGTTACCCGCTGTTCTGGCCATCATTACTGGGAAAGGACCTCAGAAGGACATGTATCTGAAGCAAATATCAAAGCTTCAAGAAGCGGGCAAGCTCAGCAAGGTCTCAATTCGCACCACATGGTTGACCACAGATGACTATGCGCGCCTTCTGGCGTCTGCTTCCCTGGGAATCAGCTTACATACCAGTAGCAGCGGTGTTGACCTGCCCATGAAAGTGGTTGACATGTTCGGGGCTGGATTACCGGTGGTTGGCTGGGATCGTTTTCAAGCCTGGCCCGAGCTAGTAAAAGAAGGTGTGAACGGTATGGGCTTTGGAAGTTCTGGTGAGCTCCTCGGCCACCTTGTTGATCTGTTTGAGAACCCAAGTAAGCTCGAGAAGATCCGTACCGGTGCTCGGAAAGAGAGTAATCGTCGTTGGAATGACGAATGGGATCCTATAGCTGGCAAACTCTTAGGCCTCGCTTAAAGCGCCCATTACTTCCATCGGTGTTCATTTTAAGCCGGCTTTGTTCCCCTTCTGCGTAGCTCGAGTTTCACCTGAATGCAGGCCTCTAGGCACGAAACTTGCCACCACAGTATATGCACGTGTCGAACACGTTAGAGAGTTTCTTGTAAGCACTTTGAAGTTCAGTCCCATGAAGCTGAGCGAGGGCATCTTCGTTGAGATATTCTGTGCCACAGTCGGAGCAGAACTTCGATACTCCCGGCTCTTGAATAGGGAAGTATGAGAGATTGCAACGAACTATGCAAGCCAGTCAGTCCAATTGTGCTTCACGGTTGGCAAAAATTTTTCATGGACTTACCGAATAGATGGCCACCTGCGCACTGTGCTTCCTGTGCTGAATACCAAGCTACTCCAGCTTGGCATATATCGCACTTTTCAAAGATGTGCCCACCAGCGCCGTCAAGCTGCTCTACGGACTTTAATTCGAGTTTATTTCCAGGCGAGGAACACTTTGTTAACTCCTCAGTCAAGTCAACTCCAGTAGCAGTCGCAAGCCACTCGAAGACTTTCCTAGCTTGTAGGAGTAAAAACTCATCCTGGGATTCCACAAGAGCACAACAGGCAGCCGCGTACACGAGTTTCTGGTACCAAGGGTTCCTGTCATCATGGTCGAGAGAACGCAATGTGAAGTGCAGCACCACCTCGCGTCTGAGGCGCAGGAAGTCTGAAGTGAATACTGGCAACTCGCGAAGGAATGACGGAGTATGTGGTTGCTGATGTAGGCTTGCCTTAGAGAAAACAATGCTGGTGCGCTCCTGCGAGCCGGTGCGGTACTCAATCATGTCTCCGGGGTGGAGAGTAAATGCAACAGCAATGAGTCCATCGTAGGCTGCCAGTCCCCAGATTCTGCCGATCGCTAGTCCTCCGAGATCGTGGTCAATATCGAATCTCTCCCGCATATCATCAACCTGAGCTTTCCAAGGTGGCGGCGAGAGCAGGCCGTCATCTTGAGCATCAGTGAATTCAATCAGTTCCTTGGCTGCAGCATGTCCCCCGGATGTGCCCAAGTGAAGTGAGGATAGCTTGGACTCATCATCACTTGCGACCGTCATGGCTACGTTCTATTAGTAAAGCAGAATGAATTGTATTAGTGTGTAGCGTACCACTGATAGATTCCAAATGCCTTGCTTCCGTTTTCTCAATAGCGGCGTCGGTGTTTTCAAACAGGGGATATTCTCTTGTTCGAATTTTTCCAGATGATGTCTCTTTGCCCTCGTATACGTCACGAGGGAGGCTCACCACCATCAGTGCTCCTACTGTGGTCACAGCTAGGCCAATATCCCCAGACTCTGCCTGGATATACATGAGTTCAAGGCATTGACTAATGTCACTCAGAATCTTACCACTTGAAACCACTCAAGAGGGCCGCGGTAGATGCGTTCGCCAGCATCTTTGCTTGACAGATCTGGGTTTTCCGAAGCGGTTGCCTGCAAGTTCCAGCGAGAAGGAGCCTCTAAGTCTTCGTCATCTCGGCGTAGATTTACGTCGAGCCTAACCAGCTTGATTTTGGTACCATAAGTGGCGGCTGCATTTCCTATCGCATGATAAACGTCCGGTGTCGTCTCATCTTGTTTGAGGAGCCAGGGCCCACATGACAGGCCCGAGATCCTCATTTTTGACTTTAAGGATGTAGCCAGGATCGAGCCGGACTGAACTATTGGATATTTTGCCGCAGGATCATGCATTGAGCTGATCGAGATTATATCGAAAGAATAAGAAGAGGGAGCCGAACCAGCTTCAGCTCTCCGAACATGCAGGAAAATCAGATCATTGTCGTCATTAGCAATTGTAAGTATTTGAAAACCCCATCTGCTTTCGGCAGCAGGGACGGAATCGTTTTGGCCCTGCGGCACCTTTAAAGGTGGACACCAGGCGAATTCCCTTATGTTAGTCTTCCTCAATCGCGGGCCCTCATCATGAATTAACGAGTTGAAATGTGCTGCTAAGGCATTGTTGACGATGGCAACTCGCATCCATTTTCCATCAACGAGCTGGTAGAAGGATAGTAACAAGTTGGAAGTCAGCACTGCAAGTGTGCACCGCCTATGTCTGGCGAGTCCTGGTGGCGACCAGCACAGACCGACTACTGAGCTCTGCGAGAGTTCAACCCCAATTGAGAAATCATCCCGGTTCTGAGGGAAAACTGTGGGCCACTCCCTGTTCGTGAACAGATTGGCGCGAAAACGCGTGATATGCCATGCTGGTTCACATTTTGGACGATCAGAGCCACTTTCATCTTTCCCCTGCGTTGGTTTCTTCGGCGTCTATCTGGGGTGAGTATTATTCAAGAAGCACATAGTCGATGTGGTGACGGAGCATACTAGGATCTGAACATATTCACCCGCGGCCAGGGCAATCTCACCATCTGCGGACCAGGCAAGGCAATTGTAGCAAGAAGGAGAGACGGTTAGCTCGACCTGATCAAACATCGCTATCGGGATTCGGAACGAGAGCGCTGTCCATCAAGAGACTACAGGGATAGCAGAGCGAGCTCTTGACGGACCAAATTAGTGCAGTTAATCCCACTATTTTGCAGCAATTGGTCACTGCAGTAAAGTCTGAACTAAATAATAGCTGGGATGTCATCGTTTCAACTATCTTGGGTTTAGCCCCCCATCTGGACGGTGGGCCTTACTGCTTTCGGTAAGCGTTTTATTGGGTTGTCACGTGACATGTTTTAGACAATTGAGCCGACAAAACTGCTACATGATTCAACTCAATTCTCAATTTTCATCCATATATATACAATCATAGCATGCTAAGAAAGACTGGTCAGAGTGTGGGTATAATCGTGGCAGTGTCGCTTTTGAGGTGACCAATAACTTTGTGAACAGGAGGACAAATAGAAACGTTATCAATGGCTTCTGGCTCAGTCGACCCGATCCAGCTTCTGAACGACCATTGCAGTTGCAGCACCACCACCGTTACAGATGGCAGCCACACCGTACTCTCCAGGCTGCAATTGATGGAGAAGAGTAACCAAAATACGAGAGCCAGAGCTTCCCAGGGCGTGTCCCAGGGAAATGGCTCCTCCGAGAGGGTTGACCCTAGCATTCTGCAGACCGAGAATCTAATGAATAGTTAGCAAGGGAATAGAATCAGACAGGGGTCTATATATGCATTCAGCATTCAGACTTACCTTCTCGTTAGCCTTGATGACAGCAGCAAAAGCTTCATTAAACTCCCAAACCGCGACCTGATCCTTAGTGATACCTGCCCGCTCGAGGGCGATGGGAACGGCCTTGGCTGGGGCAACGGGGAAATCCACTGGATCGATGGCGGCATCGGCGGTAGAGACGATGCGCGCAAGAGCCCGGTTACCCTGAGCGAACTCACGCGCAATAGCTTTGCTGCCCAGGACGAGCGCCGAGGCACCATCATTCATGGTAGAAGCATTGCCAGCGGTCACTGTGCCGGTGCCGTCCCTCAAGAATGCTGGTTTCAGCGAGGCCATCTTGTCAATTCGAAGATTCTCGTAGCCCTCATCACGTTCAATGACTGTCTCTCCCTTCTTGCCCTTGACCGTAACAGGCGCGATCTCCTCGGCAAATTTATTCTCCTTCCAGGCTGCCTGCGCCCGCTGATAGGACTGAATGGCATATTGATCTTGTTCCTCACGCGAAATCTCATACTTCTTAGCTGTCTTTTCTGCGCAGATACCCATGTGGAACTGGTTGTAGACATCCCACAGGCCATCCTGGATCAGACCATCTTGTAACTTGAGTTCTCCGAAGGGTGGCAACTGGGAGGATCGAGGCAAATAGTAGGGCACGCGGGACATGTTCTCCATACCGCCTGCAACCTGGACCTCCGCGAGGCCGAGTTGGATATTTTGAGCGGCGAGGGCCACGGCTTTGAGGCCGGAAGCGCACACTTTGTTTACCGTCATGGATTCCACCGTTGGAGAGAGTCCGGCGAAGATGGTGGCCTGACGAGCGGGCGCTTGACCAACTGCACCCTGAAGAACATTGCCCATATACACATCGGTAATCTTCTCAACAGGAACGCCAGATTTGCTCACGGCAGACTTGATGGCAACTGCACCCAATTCGGGAGCGGATACGGAGACGAACGATCCGTTGAACTGGATGAGACGTTAGTTGGTAAAGAGGACGACGAGGGCTAATCTGTGAAAGCTTCACCTTAGCAGTAGGTGTTCGAGCACCACTGAGAATGTAAGCCTCCTGAATCTCCTTCAAAGATGAGCGAGCGGCACTGAAGTTTCGTCGAGATGCGGGGAATGCGGCGCGCTTGGTGACCAGGCGGGCTGCCAACCCAGTTGTTGTTTGAATCGCCATGGTGAAGGAGAAGTGCTATTATAGGGTGATTATGAGGGGGTTCAGAAAGAGGAGAATGAGAGAAGGAGTACAATATGAGGAGGAGGTAGATGAAACGGAAATGTCCAGTAGGCTTACTGCAACTCGCCTCTGCTGTCCTTCCCGTTCTCCGCCAGGTATTCCGCATATAGCCGCGATCCCGCAACCGAGGCTGTCTGGACAGTATCCTTAATCACATGATCAATGCTCACATGACCCTGGTTTCACATGATGTCCCTGACGTGCTTACTCAGCAGTGGCGTTTCAAGCTATACATAAACAGCTAGTTTCCCCATATGGATAGTTCCACCGATTGCTGGAACCTTGACGGCGAGAAGGAACAACGGCACGTACGGAGTACAGCTAAGCAAGAGGGGAATCCCGACCCTAACAAGACCGAGCGGTATTGGATCAACGCTTCTCCTCCCGCTCTTGTGATCGCTTCTCATCCAGAAGGATCCATTTCCCGCTGGCTATCTCAACTGCTCTTGTGGCATATCCCTCTCGACCTTTTTATATACAATCAGGTCTCTTACTATCCAATCTCAACAGTTTCAACACGCGTGGTTTACTGCAGCCTCTAAAAGCCTATTTTGCTAGCTCCTATCGGTCGTAGCACCCGCCGCTATGTCTACTTCTGCCCGCCGTCGTCTCATGCGTGACTTCAAGGTACGTTATTATTGAAGATCATTGATTCTGACTCAGTTCGTCGTCACCTCTATGTTTCTATTTCGTCGTTGCTCTTTTTTTTCTTATTGTACCCTGTAACTCGGCTACCAGGCTGTGTCTCGTGAGCTAACTCTGATTCGTGATCACAGCGCATGCAGACTGACCCTCCTGCCGGCGTTTCAGCATCTCCAGTAGCTGACAATGTCATGACCTGGTGAGTTCTTCATTCTTCTCGATTCATCCGTACATCTGAAGAATGTGGTGATGGAGTGATTGACGTATCCATCTCTAGGAATGCCGTCATCATTGGCCCCGCCGATACCCCGTTCGAAGATGGTACATTCCGCTTGGTCATGCATTTCGAGGAACAATACCCCAACAAGCCGCCAGGTGTCAAGTTTATCAGCCAGATGTTCCATCCTAATGTCTATGGTACGGGGGAGCTCTGCCTTGATATCTTGCAAAACCGCTGGAGTCCGACCTATGACGTGGCCGCCATCTTGACTAGTATTCAGAGGTATGTTGAATGTTATTCCGCAACATACTTGGGACAGTGATTCTGATGCCGTATCTTATGAAGTCTACTAAACGACCCCAACACGTCATCACCGGCGAATGTGGAAGCATCGAACCTCTACAAAGATAACCGGAAGGAATATATCAAGCGCGTGCGTGAGACAGTCGAGAAGAGCTGGGAAGACTAATTTGCTCTCAGAAGAGGAGTTGTTGAGCTCAGGTCTCTCAAGTCGGTGGTTTTGGTTTCTTTTTATTTGGTCGGTCAACAGGAACAATGTCGTTTACCCGGGAGTCACCAGGGGACGTTAACGACTTGTGGTCTGACGGGTTGTTGATCTGAGTGTTCTGGCCAAGTTCGTATTTGACTTCCACGTTATGTTGATGATATGCACAGCGCGGGGTTTTTGGCGCCTGGTGAATTATTTATTTTTTGCTGGTTGTGTGGATAGCTGCATTGTTTATTTCTGCCTGCATAATGCATGAGCCTTTCTTGTCTTTGAAGTCCTCAGATTCTGCTGCCTGCTCTTCCGGCTTAAATTGAGCGTAGATATTCTTCTCTCCGTACAGGCACTTGTAGCTATAGAAAGATATAGTTGGAAGAAAAGCGTTGAGCAAGTGTGGTGGTGATGCGGGACGAGTGTTTCTCTAACGTTCTTAGGCCGGCGCCAAGCCACATCCTCAAACGGCTCGTGTCGAAGCATTCCTGCGACTTTAGATACATATTGATCCTCACGCTGCTCTTCTTTGCTCGATCAGCAGTGAGTCCTAACCCACGTCACAAGCTCGCGGTGGTGTGTGCGTGCGGACTTGCTTTCCTCGACCCATCCTTCTGTCACTGATTTGGGGTGAGGACATCGCGTGTTCCTGGCTGCCGTCTCGCACGTGGACCCCTGACCCAAACATCCCACCGACTCTACTCAGCTGGCCAACAGATCGAAATCCGGCTCTGAACAAAAGCCTAGCAATTACAGGCCTCCCCTCGGGGCTTTTCCTCACCTCTAGGTTCTCTTTCTGGTGGTACTTGAGGGAAGAGTCGGAGCAAACATGGCGTGAGTATTCTATCGACTGCCGCTTGGAAACAGTGCGGAGAAGACTGATGATAGCATGGCATGACAGATCATCTGGGCCCGGCTCCAACACCATCAAGGGTCTGTATGCTCCGTCCGAATACATATGTTCGAAGATACTCACCGGTGCTGCATAGTCGTTGCGAGATTCCGACCGCAAAACAAAGTCGAATTAGCGTCTGGAGGAGAACCGATTGTTGAGTTTGAAAATGAGCAGTCATGTCTCATCAACGTGAGTCTCCTGTCGAGGCTGAGGAAAGGCAAGGTTTGGTGGCGCTTGGAGATATTGACCAGCGATAGTCCAGGGAAGGCTCAGGAGCCTTCACCTTCGATCGAGTTTTCCCTATGGACTCGAGACAAACAGACATTTTCGACTATTCGATTCGCCCTACAGTCGACGATATTTTGAACGGTTACAATGGTACGGTCTTTGCTTATGGTCAAACAGGTGCTGGAAAGTCTTATACAATGATGGGTTCCGATATCGACGACCCCGAAGGCAAGGGTATCATTCCACGTATTGTCGAGCAGATATTCGCGAGCATTCTCACCAGCCCGAGTAACATCGAATATACGGTCCGAGTCAGCTATATGGAAATCTACATGGAACGGATACGCGATCTCCTGGTGCCACAGAATGATAACCTCCCCGTCCACGAAGAGAAGTCGCGAGGTGTCTACGTCAAAGGTCTGCTCGAGGTCTATGTCTCCAGTGTGCAGGAGGTCTATGAGGTGATGCGACGCGGTGGTGCGGCAAGAGCGGTGGCCGCGACCAACATGAACCAAGAATCGTCTCGGTCCCATTCCATCTTCGTCGTCACTGTCACCCAGAAGAATCTAGAGACGGGTTCCGCAAAGAGCGGCCAGCTTTTCCTGGTGGATCTCGCAGGTAGTGAAAAGGTCGGCAAGACTGGAGCCAGTGGCCAAACCCTCGAGGAGGCCAAGAAGATTAACAAGAGTTTGAGCGCTCTTGGTATGGTCATCAACGCGCTGACAGATGGCAAATCGACGCACATCCCTTACCGTGACTCAAAGCTCACTCGAATTCTACAGGAGAGTTTGGGTGGTAACTCTAGGACGACCCTAATCATCAATTGCTCTCCGAGTAGCTATAACGATGCGGAAACGATCTCAACGCTGCGATTTGGTGTGCGCGCGAAGGCAATTAAGAACAAGGCGAAGGTCAATGCTGAGTTGAGTCCAGCTGAACTGAAGCAACTACTTCGCAAAGCGCAGACCCAGGTGACCAACTTTGAGAACTACATTTCAGCCTTGGAGAGCGAAGTTCAAGTTTGGAGAAGCGGGGAAACAGTTCCCAAGGACCGTTGGACACCAGGCAGGGGCTCAGAAGCCGTCAGCACGGCCAAGGCTGAAGCTCGTGCAAGTGTTACACGACCTGGAACTCCTTCTCGATTGCAAGACACCCCCCGATCGGAGACACCACGACCCGATTCAAGATTCGGCGACCGATCTAGCACCCCCAGCCTTGTGCTCGAGAAAGATGAACGGGAGGAATTTCTGCGGCGGGAGAATGAGCTCCAGGATCAAATCGCCGAGAGAGAATCCCACATTGCGAATGTGGAGAGGAGCTTGCGCGAAGCTCGCGATGAACTCAAGAACCTCAAGGAGAACTCAGCACGCTCTGGCAAGGACAATGAGAAACTCAGCGCTGAGGTCAACGAGCTTCGGATGCAGCTGGAGAAGGTTTCCTACGAGGGCAAGGAAGCTTCGATTACAATGGACAGCCTCCGGGAAGCTAATGCTGAGCTGACCGCGGAGCTGGACGACGTCAAGCAGCAACTCCTTGACGTGCGAATGAAGGCTAAGGAGACCAGTGCGGCGCTCGATGAGAAGGAGAAGAAGAAGGCGGAGAAGATGGCGAAGATGATGGCTGGTTTCGACCTGGGAGGCGAGGTTTTCTCAGACAACGAACGGAAACTCCAGGACCTTATACAGCGGGTGGATGCATTGCACAAGATCAGCGAGGCTGGCGAGCCAATTGCCCCCGACGACCTCCTGGAGTTACAAACCAGCCTGGTCGAGACTCAGGGATTCATTCGGCAGGCTGAGCTTACCATGAATGATCGGGGTGAATTGAGCGAGCTGCAGGACAGCCGCAGAGTGGAGTTGGAGCAGAGGCTGGCTGATCTCGAGCGGGACTATGAGACCCTTCTGGAGCGCAACGTGGGCGAAGGTGATGTCGAAGAGATCCGCCAGCGGTTGGAAAAGATTTACGTGACCCGGAAGGAGACTGAGATGCAGGCAGCGGCTGAACTCCGCAGCGAGATTGCACGCAAGGACGAGGAGCTCGCCAAGCTGCGGCAGTCCCTTGCAGATTCCCAGTCTAAGGCGTCGACTAATGGCGCCACCGGCAAGAACCTGCAGCAGCAGATCGCCGAGTTTGATGCGATGAAGAAGTCCCTGATGCGCGACCTGCAGAACCGTTGTGAGCGGGTGGTGGAGCTTGAGATCTCGCTGGACGACGCTCGAGAACAGTATAACAACGTGCTGCGCTCCTCTAACAACCGTGCCCAGCAGAAGAAGATGGCTTTCTTGGAACGCAACCTGGAGCAACTGACTCATGTACAGCGGCAGCTGGTGGAACAGAACAGCAGCCTGAAGAAGGAAGTCGCCATTGCGGAGAGGAAGCTGATTGCCAGAAATGAACGGATTGCGAGTCTTGAAGGTCTCCTGCAAGAGAGCCAAGAGAAACTTACTCAGGCTAATCATCGGTAAGTCTTCCCCTATGGAATTGCTGGGCCGTGGCCAAGATACGGTGGCTAATGTCATATTCCCACCTACAGGTTTGAGGCTCAACTCACTGCTGTTAAAGAGAGACTGGAGGCTGCGAAGCAGGGTTCAACTAGGGGTCTCCCGTCTATGGATGGCAGCGGTGGTTTCAGTTTTGGCGGCTCGAGAATCGCGAAGCCGCTCCGGGGCGGTGGTGGTGGAGGGCCCGAGAGCAGTGCTCCGGTCGCAGGAGTCCAGTCGCAGGAGAGCGGAAAGCGCACGAGCTGGTTTTTCGATCGACGATGATCCACGATTTCTCTTTTGCTGTTTGTTCTACCCTTCCTCCGAACATATCTGATTGTCTTTTTCCTTTTCGTTTTGTGCAAACAATCCAGCAGCCGTTGTTGAGAACCCGTTCTTATCATCTTCTTGGTGTCTAGATATCCTGCCGCTTGTTCTGCTCTCCTATCTCTGTGATTTGGCCGATGACCACGAAGTCTGTTCCGCTGTGCTCATGACGTTACCCTTTTTCTGTTCCGTCTCGTTCTTGCATCGCTGGTTACACCTAGATTCCGAGCCGCCGGCGAGCCTATGCGACGAAAGGCCTCCGGTTCTCCTGATACCCTTGTATACCAGACCGATAGAAAGCACTTCGGGAGAGGGAAGGGACGGTTTAGAGATGAATACATAGTAAGTAGAAGAATTTCACAAGATGTCAATAGAAGATACGGTCTCAATTAGTAGATGTCGTTACTGCGCGAGGAGCAAATCTGCGTAGCCGATCGCGACGTTTCTCAGGCTTATAGTTTAGTATCTAAGCTGGAGTTTATGCCAATATGGAACGCAACAAATTCCATGCCATGCGTGAATGTATATAAATAGAAGATGAACGAAATGGGTATCAATAAGATCAAAACTTGCCAAACTTGCAAGACGAAGAGGAAATGGTGGTGTCTATTCCAGTAGACTGACTCTCACGCCGTCCATGCCCATGGTGGTCACAAGCCGATCCATCATGTCCGATGTGGGCGGTTCCCGGGTCTGAGGGGAGATCAAAGACCGTACCACCAGAGTCGACTTGCGCGACTTGCCAGGGGATTTGGGCGGTGTAAGGGGCGATTCGTACTCTTCGCTTTGCGGTTCGGAGACACGATCAGGCATTCCATCGGACAGAGTTTGGTTTTCCGCCTCGATAGCGTCGCGCTGTTTCTCATCCATAGCGAGAATTAAATTGTTGAGGATGACTAGCGCGGAGCGAATGCCCCGGACATAGAGGCCGGAGTAGCCATCTAAGAAAACGTAGGGGAGCGGGCCGATGAACCCCTGCTGCTCGTTCTGCCCGGCTCGAACCATCGACACGGCGACGCCGAACTCGGTGTGGATGCCGCGCAATCCGGCTCGCCTGGCCTGAACCTCCCGCAGCAGGGCAGGTTGCAACGAAGCTCTCCTTTTCGATGGCAGGGCGAGCAACTCCCGGACCCGTTTCACGTACCCGGGTACCTTGGAGATCTCGATGAAACCGCGCTCCGCAACGTCGATGTAAGCGGACGAGTCGGGTAGTCGCGCATTGTCGGCGGCAATCTGCCTGTTCAGGTCCTGCCAGTCCGGTTCCTGGAGAAGACATTCCTCGCCTGACAGCAAAGCAGCTGCCACCATCAGGTTCCGGTAGACGATGTACATGGCCCGCCCGAACCCGTGGAGATGGGCCTGCGGGCCGCGCAGTCGCATGATCGTCTTGATCCMGGCAGCATGTCGCAGCCACGCGTCGGGGTTTGTGCAGTTTTGTACCTCGAAGCAGGCCAAGCTAATTGCGGTGGCCAGCGCCTCGTCGGATGTGGCTTTCGAGACGTTCGATAGCATACCTGCTAGGCCGCGGAGAGACCGTGTGTACATCGCCCTTGAGGCGTCCGTGTACCGGGGGTCGTTGTGCAGAGCGCCAGTGTATGCGGCGGTGCAGGCGCGGAGGGCCCAATCGAAGGGTGTGTTCATCGATCCGCGCCGGCTGTGGACATAGTCGACCCAGGTTACCGGGGTGCGGTTCACGGTGCATCTGAAGTAGCAGGGGAACGCAGTGAGCACGTAGTTGGTGAAAACTTCGGTCTGCTGGGAGGACGCGGCCACGGCGGTTAATGAGGGCGCTGCAACGTGGTCGATCGGAGGATAAGAGGTCGTTTGCGGCACACTGGAGATGCGGGAGACGGCCTTGGTGAGGCATTTGGGTTTGTTACGAGGGTGCAGCGTCGAGGAGGACGAGGATGTCAACCGGTGCCGTCTCTGCAAGGCTGGCAGTTCATCGTGAAACTCGAGCGTGGTCGCATGACCGGTACAAACGAGATTGAGGTCTCTGCAGCGCGAGCACGGTGATTGACCGGCGCACTGGAGCGGGATTAGGACAAATTCAAGCCAGTGACCTTAAAGTAGCTTCCAGAACATGAGGATCATCGCAAATTGCATAAACCTGGACAACGCAACATGGGAGTAGCAGCGCCCGATCACGCTGTGCACAGCGGGGGTCATGGGGGAGACATGATAGGCAGAATTGCACAAGAATGCACAAGAACACATATGGGATCAAGCAATAATAATAATCAAAGTCATAAGGCAGTGGTTGGAATGGAGCCTAGCTGACAACGGACTAACCTGGGCTCGAGCATCGATACAATTACGACAGCCATGTGGCACCGTGGCCATGCTCGTCACCAGACATCAAACGAATTCCCGCAGGCTTCGTGTTCGGAACACTCGGCATCGAGGAGCTGCTCTGTGCGAATGCTTGATTATCGGTCCTGGGGGGGTCGTACGGGGGGAAAGTGTGCCAGTGTGGTCCAAAATGTCCAACACTCTAGGGAGGAACAGGAAGAAACAGGCTAGAGCGCCTTTTAGAGCGGTGGAGACGGCCATAAAATGAGACATTAGTGGTCAGCTCGGGAGCCCAAGCGATTTCGCCGTAAGAGGTTAACAAAATAAGACGATCAAGGCAAACAAACTCGCAAATGCATTGCTCAAGGCCACTTTTAAAGTCGAAATTATTGTTGCAATCATAAACGTTATTGAATGAATTGGCTGTATACTGAGTACACTTCGACAGTCATATCCGCTTCAGGAGCACGTAGTTCACTAATTCTAGGCTCGCACGCTAAAAGACAAACCACATCCACAGCATGAAATAAGTGTCAAAACACAGTTGGAGAGACCACCGAAGACCCAGTGGCCTCTGCTAAAATCCTGTACATGAAACGAAGAATTCTCCCGTCAAATCCGCCTTTGTTTCAGGGAAGATGCATGCTCCAACCACAGAACGGAAGACGTAGAAAGCAAACCGAAAGAGAAGAGAGGTAAAACAACCGTGATTGTGTCTTTTTGTTTATTTCATGTACAGCAGACCAGAAGCAAGGAAGAAAGAAAAGTTACAAGAAAGCTGAAGTCTTGTCTACCGAGCCCTTATAAAAGTGTACGTGGGCAGGCACAAGAGATCACGGGCTGTGGGAATCCTAAAAAAATAAGCAACAAATGCCAACAGACGACCAAGAAGATAGAAAGTAGATGGAGTGAGCCATGGACAATGAGGAGAACCTCGAATTTGCGCCGAATTCGCCAAAGGTAAGAGGATGCACGACACTATGTGCTGGGAGACACGTCGTCCGCGCACACTTATACCAATCCGTCGTAGAGGGACAAAGCGCTGACAATGGTCTCGTCGCGTTTGCTGCCCTCCTTGAATTCCTCCATATCCAGGCTGCCGTTCTCGTCCTTGTCCATCATGCGGAAGATCTTCTTGACCCGTTTCTCTGGTGTATCTTCGTCCTCGGGCAACTTGACCATGGAGCCGACCTGTACTCGCCTCGTTAGCTGGGGTCTGTCCGCGAGAGAGCCAGTCACTGTGAGATCGCACCATTTTGTAAATCGCCTCAACAATAGCCAGCATCTCCTCGTAGGTAATCTTTCCATCACCATCGATGTCGTATAATTGGAATGCCCAGTCCAGCTTGTCCTCCATCTTACCCCGCGAGGTCACCGACAACGCACAGATAAACTCCTTGAAATCGATCATGCCGCTATTATCCGAGTCGAACACTCGGAATACATAATTTGCAAATGAGGAAGGATCGCCGAAGGGAAAGAACTGTCGGTAGATCTTCTGGAATTCCTCCTTTGTCAAGGTCCCTGAGGGGCAGTCCTTCAAGAAACCTGCCCCGCCATGCCACGGTCAGCGTACTTGAATCCCCTCCGGCTTGGGATCACCGCTGCTCCCTCTTCACACACCTTTATACCATTGTTGCAACTCTTTTTTATCGAAATGTGTTGCCCTCTGGAGCTCTTCGAGCTGGGAGGGGGAGAGCTTCGACTGTCTATGTGGCCAGTTGTCGTTAGCTTATGCCCCTAAGCGGAGATGTTTTCCCAGCTATGACGAAAATCAGGCAGAAACATTAATGTAGGTCCATCGACTCGACAAGCCCCGGTTTCTAAAATCATATAATCTTCGACTCCCCGTGGGGAAAAAAAAATAAAGTCCATAGCTGGCGGGTTGTAACCCCGTTTCACCACTCCCCTGATGCGCGGAACGATAAACAAGCGCAGTACTCACGATTTACCCATGTTCAAGCAGACTCAAGCAGACTTCCCGCACAGTGTCAGAGGATAAACAAAGTAGCTCTTGGCCTTTTACACGGACAAGCGAGGCTCAGCACTCCGAAATCTTATGCGACGGCGGTGAAAAGAACGGAATGCACGGAAGACGCGGGGTAAAACGAGGGTCGCTTTGATAAGATCGTGTGCTGCTTGGCCGAAAGAGGGTGAGAGCTAAGGACTATAGACGGCTGACAGAGAGGCTGATAACGGATGATATAGGAACGAAAACCTCGTGAAGTAGTAAACTTGAAACTTAAATGGTTCGGGTTCCAGTCGGAGAAACAGACGGTCGTAGTGTCGTAACTGGCCGTAAGTCTTTCCGATTGTGATGGAGTCAGTCAAGCCGTCAAGCGTGGGCAGTCCATCGGTCCAGAACAGGTCGTCGGCTTGGCGCGCAGATGGCGGGATGGGAGGAAGCTCCACTAGGTACGCATCATAGATTATTCAAACAGGATATTTTTCTCGTCGGAAGATATCTATTATTCTGGTTCTGGTTCTCGATCTCGAGTCTTGATGGTTTTCCTATCTACTGTCGCTCCTGGTTGGATTGACGTTCTATTAATAACATCGCGATGCGGACAATGAATCCCCTCCAAGCTTACACCCTGTGCGGCTTGAACAGTCTATAATAGATATTTACAATTCGTTATCGTACATCGCCTGCTCATCTCGAGTCAATTCAATAATCGCATCAACGCCCCTGCGTCGTTCCTCCGCCATTGCCTCGGTGAATAAGTAGCTTGAAGCTGGCCCAAAGATATGTACAAAATCCCGGTTGACGTCATCGGCTCAGAAGAGCATGGCGGTAGTGGAATATCAGAAGTAAGCGCATTGATCAGACGGACTTTTTATGAAAACAAGAGTTTGGAGTCCGGTCAGCACGGTCTGGACCTTTCCATTGTACGTGTATTCAACTGTTCGGCAACGGGGTCGCTAGAAGACCGAGAAGAAATGCCAGTCGGGCTGATTGGTCAATCGGAAGCGCGAATTACCTGCTATATTGTGACTTCGAATGGCATAATAACGTCCGAAGTTTAGTCGACCTTGATCGAGCCGTAGATGCGTTGCACAAACGCCCAGCTGGCGAAGAACCCAATGGAACCTGTGCAGAATGAATTAGAGACCAACTCACAGTCGTCCTGGCTGGTTCATGGACCAAAAAACATACCTGTTAAGATGAAGACCAGGAAACCAATCAAGGCAGAGTAGCCCACATAGAGGACTGCTCCTGTGAGTCCACCGAAGCTCACTCGAGTGATCCAGAAAATAAAGGCATTGATGAAAACATAGAAGCCCGTCATTCCGGCTCCAGCGAAAGCCCTCCAATGCCACCGGTAGTTTTCAGCGCACAACAAAAAGTAAACCAACAGGACCGTGGTCGCCGCAGTGGTCATGACCATTAGTCCATAACAGAGGAAGAGGAATCCGAACATGTAGTAAATCTTGTTCGTCCACAAAGAAGTCATGATGAAGTACAGCTCCACAAAGATAGCGCCAAACGGCAAGATGCCCGTAAGTAGCAAAGAGGGAATAGTCCGAAGGCTTCCAGTCATCGGAGGAACTTGCCTCGGAATTTGGTTGGTCTTCGTTGGACCTTCGATTGCCTGAAAATGCGGTCAGCAGATGCTCGTTAGAGGTCAAGGAAGAACATACTCGTTGCTTGAAACCAAGCCAGCTGCCTGCCACACTCAATGGCACACTGATGACGAACCAAATGAGGACAAGGGCAAGCATCGTTGTGAAAGGTACGGCTCCACTAGAACCCTTGGCCCAGACAAACAGGTTTAGCAAGAAAAAGGTACCAAAGATAAGTCCAGGAATCAAAACTGGAGTCAGGATGATGTTGCGCTTCCAAGCCTCGCCACCGAATGACTTGTAGACGCGAGCCGAGACATAGCCTCCAACGAAGCCAAAAAGGGTGTAAATGAGGAGGATGGCAGTGGCCAAGAAACCGCGGTTAGCTGGCGAAAGAAGACCGAAAAGCGCGAAGACTTTGACAGAGTCAGCATTCCCTTCGCACAACGAGAACATCAGGTAACCTACCAACTGTCACACCAGTCATCATGAAAAGTTGAGCCCCGTTGCCGAGAAGCACACTCAAGAGCAAAGGAGACTTGGGGCAGCGGAATACATCGCCATGAACCAGCTTCCAGCCCGAATCCTCTTGGATTCCGTCCTCAATGGCAGCTGAGGTGCCATCCAAATCTTCGAGATTGATCGAGTCCAGGCGGTTGTAACGAGCGATGTCTTTCTTGAGAGCCCTCAGAAGGATCATACTCACCATACCAACCAAGAAAACCACAAATACGGCAGAGTTGATGAGTGAAAACCAATGGATCTTCGGATCGTAAACGTGCAAGTACTTATCCCAGCGAGTAGCCCAAGGAGTGGGCGATTCGCGCCAGTACACGCCATACGTCCAAGTGACTGGCGTCTCACCATCTTCGCTCAGAATCACACCGGCGTCGTCGGAGCCGCATTCCACTGTTCCATCTTCAAGGACTCTGGAATCACGCCGGGACGCCGGCTGAACGAGCACACCAACAACCCGGTACTTGTCCTTGCTCCCGAATCCTACACGATGATAGTCAATGACGATATCATAGTGATTGTTCAGCATTGTCTGTCCATCATCATTCAGAGTGCCGAGCGCAAACCCGGGACTGTAGAACTTGGACTGGGTGACTGCGTCCAGGTTCAACTGAGCACCGGGAAGCCCATCCACCAACCAGTTGATGTTATAGCCCTGAGCTATCCGTCTGTTGACAAATTTGGCGCTTCGCGAATCGAACTTGACTTCTCCACAAACAGCCTTGCATGATTCATTCTTGCCCATGAACAACTCAAACGGCGATGTCTGGATACGATCACCGAAAAGAATGCTACCTAAGGACTCGCGAACATCTTTCGGCCCGTCTGTCGGACGACAAAAGTGGAATGCAGTATGATAGTAGTCGTAGGCGAAGACGGAATGCAGCTGCTCGTCTTGTTGAGCTAGTCCCGGGGTAAGATGGTTGACGTAGAGCGGCACAGCTTGGCCTTCATCGTACGAAGTCGGTGCTACACCAGGAAGGTAAAAGGCGGTGGATAATGAAGGAGCTGTTAGGAGAAGAGTAGATATCGTTAACCGTTTGTCGAGCCGCATATTGGGCGTTTCCGGAGGGAAAAGGGGACAATCAGCTCAGGTGTGTCGGTCTAGAATAAACGGGCGAAGCCTAAAGCGGATAAAGATGGCTCATAAAGTATTTGGATTAAACCATAGATCGAGCAGCTTGCGCACCGTGAAGACGAGACCCTACTCAGAGGATCATGTACGGGAGAGTGGGCAATAGATGGGGCCAACAGGCTGAAAAGATTACAATTCTTGGGGAAGCTGGAGAATAACAAGCAGTGGTTACGGGCCTTGGTTACCTGGACTTTCCACACGGCCAGCTAATCCGCAGTCTTGGCACACGTGATAGCTGTCAGACTTCCAAACAACTGGCTAATCATCACGTGCAGATAAGATGGTGATTGAAAAATTTCCCTCAAGATCTTTTACCGCACTCTACAGAAAGACGCAGGTTATATAACCATCCACCTTACAATGGCGACAGCGGCGGCTCAAACGGAGCCTTCGGGCCTAGAGAATATTTCTACGTTACTGGATAACCTCACCAGCTGTTTGTCGGGCGCCGGATCGTCCCTTCCGAAATCAAAACGAGAATCGCCAACCGACGTCTCCATCGAACCCCCCCACGACGGCATATCGCTTCTTGACACCAAGAATGACCTGTTACTATCTTATCTACAGAACCTTGTTTTCCTTGTCATTTTTCAGTTGAGAGAGGTAGCCTCTTCGGAGTCGAAGGCAGATGAGAACAACGATGTCGATAATGGCAACCCGTCACTGCGCGAAGAAATCGTCAAAAAACTTTCCGAGCTCCGCGTGTATTTGGACCGAGGCGTTCGGCCTCTGGAGGGCCGACTGAAGTACCAGGTTGACAAAGTCATCAAGGCTGCAGAGGACGCCGACAGAGCTGAGCGCGGTGCCCCGGCCCCGACAAAGAGCAAGGCAAAGAATGCGAAATCTAGTAGCAACAACGAATCTGGCTCAGAAGAGAGCTCCGGCGACAGTGAGAGCGATAGTGAAGGAGAAGACGAAGAGGAGGAGGACATTGATGAGATGGCTTTCCGTCCGAATATTTCCGCCTTCGCGAAGGGAATAAAGTCGGAGGCTCAGACAGAAGAGAAGTCAGACAAGAAAGTGTCAGGGGACGGAATCTATCGGCCTCCGAGAATCATGCCAACTGCACTTCCCACAACCGAACGCAAAGAGCAGCGGGACCGCCGTCCACGCAGGTCAAATGTCATTGACGAGTTTGTCAGCGCTGAACTGTCGGCCGCCCCCATGGCAGAGCCCAGCATCGGGAGCACGATTGTCCAAGGAGGAAGACATTCGAAGACCAGGAAGGAACGAGAGCACGAAGCCCAACGTACTACATATGAAGAAACCAACTTCGTGCGATTGGCCAAGGAGAGCAAGAAGGAGAGAGCCAAGCGACGCGGTCAGGGCAAGGAGAGCACTTTTGGTGGTGAAGAATGGAGAGGTCTTACCGAGGGTGCAGACCGGATCGCAAAGCTCACGCGTAGGGCCAAAGGAAGCGGCAGCGCTCTGGAGAAGAGTCGGAAGCGAAAACTTAATGACGATGGTCCACGCAGTGATGGCGCGGCAGTGGGTCAGATCTTTGAGAAGCGTCGGAAGAAGGTTGAGAGCTGGAAGCGGGCTTAGATGTACATATTTCGGCATTATGGATATGGTTCTGGAGTTTTGTTTATATGTGAGGCGACTGGCATTTCACCGATACCATCAAAAGTTGATCGATTATATATTTTGCCGCCTGTGCGAATTCTAGTCAGAGCATCTTTTAAGACTACGTCAATCTCTTTTGCGGCACTAACCATTGGCCATACTCATTCAATGATCCTTACACATGATTATGTAGATCAGATCTGGCAATGATAAACACATGCTGAAATGTCACACCATGTCCCACTCTCCAAATTGCATTTTCACATGCGTCGGAAAGCAGATGACATCATCGCCATTTCGGTCTCAGGAACAGGGACAACTTAATCAACCAGAAGCCCATCCACCATTCACTTTATGCTCAATTGCTTTTCAACTTCAAGGGGCAACATCATCCTTCGAAGGAAGATATTAGCAAGATGGAAAACCCAGGTTAGCGCCCAAATCCTACAATAATGGCCAATTCTGATCTAATCTGACAAATGCAGTGTCGGAGATATCGACTGTTATCAAACTGCTGATAGAGTCACCACCATCAGTCCAGCAGGAAACGATAGAGAAATACTTCGCACCATCAGCGGCCTTTGTACACCCATTCTGCCGGGTTCCAAGTTATGATGGCAGCCGTTGGTCCATCATCAAGATCTTCCAATGGTACAAGATCATGTCGCCTCGAATTGAGCACCAGATTCATTCAATAGGCAAGTGCTCATAGCTCAGTGACTGATCTTCCCGGGCGCTAACAGTCTACAGCCTATGATGAAAGCCATCTCACTCTCTATATCACCCTATCACAGATATTTTCAATATGGGTGGTCCCATTCCACGTCTCTCCAGTCAAACTGACCACTGTCATCAACCTCACCACGGATTCTGGAGTCCAGAAGCCCTCTATGGTGAACGGCGATCATACCCTCTACTACATCGCCAAGCAAGAAGATCTGTACCAAGTCTCGGAATTCATCAAGTTTGTGGTTCCCCATGTCGGGCATCTCTTTGTTCTTGCTTTTCAATCATTTGCGACTCTCTTCTGCATACTTGGTGTTCTCATCTTCTATCCTATCATGTGGCTAGAGGAGAGACGGATTATTCCCTACAAGATGTTGCGCAAGGGAAACCTTGTGTACAATATTGAGAGGAAGATACCAGAGATTAAGAAAGAATGAGGTGGACCACTTAGAGGAGGTCATTAATTTTAACTAATGTGTTGCGCTAGCATTGTTTGGTTACCTTGGGAGCTGATAATCACGACTCATTGAACATGAGACTAGCCAGCCTTCAATCAATATTGCGGAGGTATTTACGTCTTTGAGCTCCATGACTCTGCTTCGATCCCTCATTTATCTCGTAAGCTTGAGGAATTAATGAGGAAGATATTGACATAGAAAGCGTAAGTAGAATTTTTTGTAAGTGCTGTCTACAGTGAATACCAAACAGATTTTCGGATAACAATAAAGAGAAAGAGTAGTCATATGCATCATGATCGACATCATCCAGGGCAACATCCAGTCCAAGACTTATACTTTGCTGGATGGTGGCATCAAACCCCACAGAGAATTCTAATGCTGCTTCCTCAACTGCTGTCGGAACGATTCTTCTTGCCTGACAACCTCCAGCGGAAGCGTACGGCCAATGCCAAAGAGCACGAATGGCGCCCACTTCCAGCGGAACGGGTTGACGAGAATCACGAAGACGTACCAATAGATCAATTCGGCGTAAGTGAAGAAGTCAAAAGCGCCTGTTGGAGCCAGCCGTTTCATCAACCGCGTAAAGTCGATCCAGGTCTTCATCCGACCTTCCGTCGGCCGCGATAGAGGATCAACCAGGAACATCAGCAGGAAGCGCGTGTAGATACCAATGTGCATGTTTCCCACAGTGCCGATGGCGTTGATGTAGGTGCTGTTGTTGGCGCAGATGCTCGGATACTTAGGAGGGAAGACCTGGAGATACCAGCTGGGTGGGCCGTATGGGTCTTCGAAACAATCGTGCGGCAGGAAATTTAGCGATGGACGCTTGAAGCCCGTTGCCATGATGATCACATCTCCAGGAACAACCGATTCGTGTCCGGGACCACCCTTTGGGACTCCTCGTGAGCGATGATTGAACATAACACCGTCCTCCGTAAGAGAGACAATGTCTCCGCGCAGCCAGCGTGCTTTACCCTGGCGGATTTGGTCAAAGAGCTCCGAGTTGGCCATGGGAGTTTCGGTGTAGAGACCGCTTGACGGAGCAATGTCCTGGAGATCGCGATAGAAGAACTTGTGTAGCAACCACTCCGGAATCCATGACAAGAATGTCTCCTGCCCAAAGATGTTGCAGGCTAGCAGCGACTGCACGAATACGTTGCGCGGGATAATCCACTTATCGGATCGCGACAGAACGTCAATCTCGCCCGCCTTGGACTTGACGGCAAATTCCAGCGCCTCAATGGCACTGGCGCCACCGCCAATGATGAGCACCTTCTTGCCCTCGACATCTTTGCCATCGAGTTCCGAAGAATGGAAAATCTTGCCTTTGAAGCGGTCTTGATCCGGAAGAGGCGGCATCTTTGGATCGCCGCAAACGCCAACAGATGCGATCACACCATCGAAGCGCCCATATTCTTCCTCGTTGTCGTTGATGATCCATTTTCCGTCCTTAGTCTGTTTGACGGACGTAACTGGGGTGTCGAAAACGGTGCGCTTCTGGAGGCCGTAGCGTTTCCACAAGTCAATGATCTGCTCGCGAATTTCCCGTTGTGAGGGATAGGCGGTAGTGTATTTGACCGACGGATGGAATCGGTACATTATACTATGAACCTGCAGGGATGAGGTAGAGTTGACGCGCTAAATGCGATGCTTTAGTAGATTTCGTATCAAGTCCACGGCGAGAACAACGTACACTCCAGATTCCTCCGAGGCCTTTATCTTTGGGACGGGCTTCAAATAATTGCACATCGAATCCATGACCAATGCAGTGCGCCGCAGACGATACGCCAGTCAAGCCGGCACCAATGACAGCCACTCTTTTCTTAGGAAGACCATTGGCAGTTGATGCTGGCGGCGGAGGCGCAGGAGAGAAAACCCAGGTGAGAATACTCTGGAACAGCGTATAGAATAGACTGAATACCATGAGGAAAGGTTGTGTGAAAAAGCCTACAACTGTGGACTTGGATTTTGATTGAGCCATAGAAGATGAACACCCAGTTGACCCCTAGGAGGAATATTGCGACCTTGTTTGTATGACAGACAAATTATAGCAAAGGTCACTACCCAATTGCCCAGTTGGACGATGGCACGGGGAACCTCAGGTAAGAGGAAGTATGAAAAGCGAAGGCAATATTGAAAGAATTGTTTACAAGAAGGAAAAATTAAGCAGAGAATCAGGCTTCTTTTCAATCGTATCTGAGATAGGTCCGGCCCTGGCCTGCTCTGAAGGTGGTGGTGGTCTGGTCCAAGCATGACGTAGGTGAGTGGACCACATTCATGTGAAAGTGGACGAGGGAAAGAAATGTTTGCTGCTTCCCTGTGATTGTCCTCGTCCTACGACGCCCGCATCATCATTTCGCAAGACATTGCAGGGGTGCGTTATTTTTATCAAGTTTAACAGCATTTCAAAGATACTCACCCGAGGTATGCAAACAATGAACGTCTTTCTCACTGCACAGAACGGACGACTCGCCATTATACGAGTTCCCAATTCACCAGATCACCATATCATCATAGCACCTAACTACCCAGCTCAATGACCCAAAGCTCGTTTCTTACTACAGAAATGCACGTCCTGAGGTGATATTCTGGAAATATGGCAAGCAATAGAACTTTCGTGAGAGCTTCGAAGAGCAGGCATCAAACTCCTATATTTCATAATTATTGCCCAGGACGTCTGACGCATGTGATGAAACCGGTTGTGTAAATGGTCGAGACGCCAATGCTTCTGTGGGCTATAAAATCATTCTGTAACGTAGCAAGCCTCGCAGCGCCATACGCTTGATGATACCTACGGTTCCTAGATGTTTGGTAATCTCTAGGGGCGATTTCCCAAGATCTAGCGCCAACGCTGGAGGTGATTGGCAGGCATATTTAGCTTTAAGCTTCCCCCAAGGTACCTTTATTTATTCTCCGTACTGATTCATTCATAAAGCCTTCAGGCACTCAAAATATATAGGATAAACATCATCTGACCCTCTTTTTTTTAGCTACAGAGTACCCTGTAGTGATGTTATTTCAGTCAAATGGGGTGGAATTGATGTATTCCTCGCAGATTCCAACATCTCTGAACAATGGCCTGTGGCACCGTTCCCAGAGCGGATGGAAAGTGTAAACATCATAGCCAAAAAGGTGCTCCTCCAAACACTAACAGACGAATACTCGTTTGCATTCTCTGCCACCTGTGATTACCGCTGATGTGACTTCCCCTTGGCTTCAGTGTCGACGGCTGTATCAACTGTGTGACATTTTCTAACCCGACGCAAGTTCCCCTGAGTGAAGCTATCGAGAGACCTTGGATTTCGGAGATAGTCTTCAAGATGTTGTGCTCGATATGAAACGCCTAGACTCGGCGCATACGTTCACTATCTTAAGCCGAATCGATCGCCATCCTTGAAATAGGGATATGTGCAGTCGTATGAACCAGATCCACTTCAAATTTCAGGAATTGTTGTGAAAGCCGCGCTTCATGAGGACGAATCTGAGTGGATCTTGGAGACCAATATACACTTAACTGTCACGTATCCTTTTGTGCTCTGCCTAATATTCGCCGCTGTAACTAGAACTGCTGTGTCCCGAGTACAGCGATTATTGTACCCCAATGACAGGATCTGTATGATTTACGAAATTGTATATTGTGTGATGGAGTCTTGGTCTTTCCAATCCGAACCTGGCCTTCTATGATTAGCTATCATGGATGTAACCCAGGCTGTTTGGATTTACTGCGGCCGTCACGCCGTATATAGCGAATTAAATTATCACCATCTCTAGCTTTCCGAAGTGCGGAGGGTGATATTTATCATCTGGATAGATGTAGCAGGTATCAGGTGATAACAACCGTAGGGTGGTGTCGCTTCTCAAAACAGAGTACCTAAAGCTAAACCACAAAAGGCACTGGTTGGCGGTCAGTTATCGTCTCTTCCGCCCGCCACTAAGAGCTTAAACTTCGGAGCTTCTTCCGCTTCTTTCGCGGTTGTCAAGTCTCTGCCCGCGAAGACGCGCCCAACCGCAAGCTTTGCGCTGCTTACGATCTCATTTTATTCTCTGTATAATGATAATAATGTGCTCTTATCCATAATTATTCACTCTCCTCACACTTCGCTCCACCACAGAGCTCTCCATGACCGCCAACAACGTGAAACTATCCACCACCTTCCCGACGTAAACTATTCCTCCACTTGCTACTTCTCGCGACTACCAAATATGGCGGGCCCGAGCACTCCTGTATTGGATCGCTTCCTAGCAGGAATTGCTGATCTCGTCAAAGAGCGCGATGGAGCCAAGCTCCAGGATTTCTTGCAGATCGAACCTCCTCTTCCTGACGTGTACCGACAGATGGTGGATGAGCTACGGCAACAGTATCCCAGCGGATCGCCAAAAGAAGCAAACCTGTTACGACGATGCGAAGAGGTTGTGCCGCGTACCAAAGGAGCTAGCTCGTGGACGGCTTTCCCTACATTCCTGAAGCTCTACTTCAGCTTTCTTCGCGATGTTAACGTCGACAATCTCCTCGAGACATATAACCTGCTCAAGGGACTTCTCAAGTAAGTCGCGGCTGTCTATTTTCCGCCTGCACGTCCTTTTTGTCTCGATCCCGATCACTAGCAAGCCTCTGACCGATATTTCCGATTTCGTGACGCGATGACTGATTCGTACCTTTCTGAACCAAACAGCCAATGCGTCATCGCTCTCGGCGACAGTCAAATGGGCGTTATAGTGCTACCGACCGTCCTCTATTTGTCCAAAGTCCTTGCAAAGTTAGCAATGGGTCTTGACCGTCGGCCAGAATTGATTGCACACTTGTTGAGGCAGGAGGGTAGTTCGAACCAGGAAGAGAGCGTCGAGAAAGTCACCCTTGTGGAGCGGTCTGCAAACGTTGTCCGTGAAGCCTTCATCAAGTGCCTTACCGATCGTAGCGGCACCCCAGGGATTCATGGAAAGCCTGAGGGCAAGCGAGTGGGCATCTATCTTATGGCCAATCTGTGCTTGAAACTACTCTTTCAGGTATGCAGTTATCCTCGACGTACGGTTCCTCGTTGTCAATTGCGCATCAACTGAAACAATCATACAGTGCGGCAAGCTGCGAAACGCGGAACAAATGTTCGCCAGCATTAGTGCCCAGTCACCGCCTCTGAAATACTTCCCGGCATCTCAGCGAGTCACCTATCTTTACTACCTCGGGCGATATTTGTTCTCCAACAACCTCTTTTATCCTGCGCAGATCGCGTTGCAAGCTGCCTATGACCAGTGCCACCGCCAGGCTCTCAGTCAGAAGCGCATGATTCTCACGTACCTTATCCCATGCAACATCATCATGGGCCGCTTCCCTTCACTGCAACTCTTGCAAAAACCAGAGTGCGAAGGACTCGCTGAGCGATTCATTCCGATTTGCCAATTGATCGTTCGTGGGGACTACATTGCCTTCCGAGAGCATCTGGCAGTCGACTCGCCAACAACTGAATGGTATGCAAAGCGAGGCATCTTGCTTCCTTTGCGGAATCGATGTGAGATTCTAGTATGGCGGTCATTAGCACGTAAGGTGTTTATTCATGCTGGCTTCCATGGGGACCCTCAAGGGCAATCCCAGCGCGGACCACCGCCCTATCTTTACTTGAGCAAACTGGAAACGGCTGTGCGATGGCTGCAATCGCAAAATAACCAGGCATCCCTCGGAGCGATCGGAGTTATACAACCCAGCCGGGCGCAGGACGCAAAGGCTGGTAGCAATAGCTCTGGGTCACAGATCATCTTCAAGATATTGGATCCCGACTTTACCGGAGTGAGTGGCGTGGACGCCAGTGAGCTGGAGTCCGCCGCTACCTTGCAATCCAAGTACGGGGACTACCTAGCTCCAGACGGTTACTTTGATGCCCTGGGTCAATGGCAAGACAATCCGACGGGCGCCTTAGTCGATGGCGAAATAGATGCAGACTACAGTCAGTTTGAGCTTGACCCGTACGCTCACCGTCTGGATCAAGGGCAAGAAAAGCCAACACCTATGATGCGCGAGCTCGAGTCCATTCTTGCATCGCTCCTGACTCAAGGTCTCATGCGCGGATACCTTACGCACAGGAATCCTCGGCTTGCTATTCCCGGTGCACGCCTTCGGGGTGCCGTGCCTACCGGCTTTCCAAATGTCTGGCAAACCATCTCTGCACGGGAAGGAGAAGATGATACTGTGCCTGGATGGGTGCAACCCCCATCACCGATGGCAGCTCAGTTTGCTGCCGCTACTGCCGGCGGCGGTGGGAGAGTCGTGAACCTGTCCGGTGCGCGCCCAGTTGGAGTTCAATGATGCTTTGATAAGGATGGCTACGAGGAACACCTAGCAACGGGCCGAAACACGGCGAAAATTGCTGCAGAGCAAAGGGTGCGCGGTCGATGTGATAGCCCCTGTCGAAAGGGTCAAAATGATCCTAAGTGTGTTGCGCCTGCATTCGAAGATCATTATATTTTATGAGCTCGCAATGTTTGACACAATCATTCGGCCGCGGAATGCGACTGTTGCTGACTTGCCCTGCGTTAGTCGAGCCACTACGGAGTAATTCGGTAGCCTAGCTGGTGTGGATACAAGCTAGGACAAGGTTCTATTCCGCTACGTCACAACCCGCTCTCCGCCGATTCCTGCAAAGTCCCTGGTCATCACAGCATGGACGATCACAACAGGGCCGTAGCGACCATTGCAGGTCGGGTCAGAAAATTCCACAGTCGCCAACAACCTTTTCGCATCTATCATGGCTCGACGAACAGTACACGGCAGTCTCAGCATGACCACAACAACACCGTCAACACTGAACATCTAAATCATGTTGTACGCATCGATCGCGAAGCTCAAACCGTGCTGGTCGAACCCATTGTTCCCATGGACAATCTTGTCCAGGCCACTCTCGCTGCTGGCCTGGTCCCTCTTGTCGTGATGGAGTTTCCTGGTATTACTGTCGGGGGAGGGTTTTCCGGGACATCCGGCGAAAGCAGCTCTTTTCGACACGGCTTCTTCGATGCCACTGTAAATTGGATTGAGATAGTCCTGCCGAACGGTGAGGTACGGATTGCGTCGAAAAATACGGACCCCGAGCTCTTCTGGGGCGCTGCGTCGGCATTCGGCACTCTGGGCGTCGTCACATTGCTCGAGGTACAGTGTCAACAGGCCAAACCTTATGTCGAGCTGAAGTACCAGTCCTCGTCGTGCATGGCTCATGCCATGGACATCTTCCGCGCTGCCGCTGCAGATCCGCAGATCGACTACCTCGACGGGATCGTCTTCGCCAGGGATCAGATTGTCGTTTGTACAGGACGATTGACCGATTCTTTGCCCGCAAATGTCAAACCACAACGCTTCACCGGCGCTCGGGATCCGTGGTTTTATCTCCATGCACAAAAACAGGCCAACTCATGTTCCAGAACACCAGACTACATCCCCTTGACAGACTACCTTTTCCGCTATGATCGGGGCGGGTTTTGGGTTGCCCGGTACGCCTATTCGTACTTCCTAGTTCCATTCAACCGTATCACACGCTACATTCTGGACTATTTCATGCATACGCGGGTGATGTACCACGCTCTGCACGAGAGCGGACACTCCAAGCGGTACATCATCCAAGATGTGGCGGTACCATACGCCGCGACAACCGAGTTCCTCGACTGGCTGGACCAGAAACAGAACTTTGGCGCATACCCGATCTGGCTGTGCCCCCTGCGGCATTCAGAGGGGCCGATGTCACGTACTGATTCAAACAATGCAGCCCTACCATCTACCGACCCAGAGGACGACGGGTACCTCATGAACTTTGGCCTGTGGGCTCCGTCTCCCTTCCACAGCAACACCGCCGAGTTTATCGCACAGAATCGCCGGCTGGAGGGCAAAGTGCGCGAACTCGGCGGAAAGAAGTGGTTGTATGCGCATGCGTACTACACCGAAGATGAATTCTGGTCTATATACGACAAGAGGAAGTACGACCAGCTGAGGGAGAGATACCATGCGTCTTATCTGCCGGATCTGTATGAAAAGGTTCGGGTTAGACTTACGGCGTCTGAGGATGGTAAAGGTCAAGCGGGGTGGGGATCTATCCGAGATATTGTGTGGAACCTCTGGCCTGTGAGTGGTTTGTACGGTGTCTACAAAGCCTGGAGGGGAGGGGATTACCTGCTCAAGACGAAGCAAAAGAGTAAGACTCTGAGTCAATGAGCAGTGGCTGCTACGTTTCATGTTCTCATGTGATGATCGCACATGAATACGGGCAATGGGGGATGGAATAGATATGATGTAAATGAACAAGTGCCAAATACCAAGTATATCATCCATTGATCATATATCGTAAGTCGTACTCTATTGTGCGTAGATAAGTAAACATTGCTCACAGAGCTAAGAAGACACCACCCAAATCCACCCAACTGTAACTCAGGTATCCAACGACTACGCAGTCGGTAAGTACCTACTTCTCGATAACAATGCGGCCCTCAATTCTGGGCGCAATGCCAGGCGTCCACGCCGGCGTGAACTCCTGAGCATCATCAGCCGTGTTGAGCGTCGTGGGCTCGAACCCAGCGGCCCGCATCCATTTCCGGACCGCCCGACGCGCAAGCCGCAGCCGATGCTCTTCCTCGGCGGAGGAGCGCGCAGGCAGGGTGACGTAGTTCGTGGTCGGCTGTGGGGAGGTTAAGATGTCCGGGTCCGAATCCGAGTCCGAGTCCATGCTCGTGCCCTCGTCCTCGCGGCCGTTGGCTTCGATTTTGGCGAACCGGCCGTAGTAATAGTGCTTCGTGCGTTTCAGATTCGGTCGCGAGGGCAAAGGCCAGCTGGGCACCTTCTCGGAGACCGGGGAGGGTTGCGCGGAGGCGGGTTTCAGCCAGCCCTCGCAGTGGAGGTTCTGGTGGACTTTTGCCCAATGCCGTGATAAACTCTTGCTCCAGCGCTGCCACTTGCCCAGGATCCGGAGGCTGAGGAAGTACTGGCGGAGGATGGTGCTGATCATCACGCCGTTCTCTTCGTCGACGATCTCTTCCACTTCGCCTCCGGCGGACTGCACGAGAAGGGACGCGAACCCGTCCTTTCCGCGTGCCATGTAGCCCCTCGTGGCCAGGACGTAGCTCCGTTCAAACTCGATCGACTCTCCGCCTACCTTGGCCCAGTTGAGGCGCGAGCCAGGAGGTGCAGACGGGTTGTAGCTAAAGGAGATGTTGGATACCTGCGGGAAACGTCCCTCGAGGGCGGGAAGCTGGCTCACGCCGTTTTCTAAGGCGTCCATAAGCGCTGAGCCCTTGATACGGAGCAAGACCACCGGATCCTCGAAGGGGAAGCAGTTTAGCAGATCCTTGAGTCGTAGCACACCGGGTGGGTAGATCTGGTCGCCGCGGATCGTCCCACCGGCCATCATAGCGCAGTCGGCGGCATAGTAGAATCGCATGAGGTCGCAGACAAAGTTGCCGAGGTTCGACTCTTGCTGACGAACCGTGGAGAAACGGCCGTCGAGCGGACGGACAGTGTATCCAATCGGCTTCTCCAGCTTCGCCTTGAGACTCGATGTCAATCGGCCGACCAGGGCTACGGTGGCGGGATCTTCGGGAATCGATCGAACTATATCGCGACGGACGATGTCGAAGTCCCACCCCGATCCATCGGTCTTTCGCCACGCCTCGATATAGCTCAGCTGTTTGAAGTCGGTGCCGGACCGCAAGATATGGGTGTTGTTGATTACCGCATGTCCGTAGAAATGATCATGCCCTCCTAAGATGAGATCTATCGTGCCAGGGGGAAGATTCTGCGCCAGTTTATAGTCGTTCGGTTCTCGTTGGTGGGTGACTGCGATGATAATATCCGCGCCCTGTTGGCGCAGTTTCGGTGCGAGCTCTAACGCGGTTTTTGAGGCGGATTTGTAGATCAGGTCTGGAGGGAGGAAGTTTATGGTTCCTAGCCTTAGCATTGTCAATCCATCTGCCGACACCATAGGTATTGTCAACAACCTACCATTCTCGCTCTCCCAGCCCAATAACGCCAACCTTGAGTCCGTTGGACGATGTCAGCATAACCGTCTTCTGGCAGTTGGCGATCGACTCGTCTGGTCCCAGCGCCGGGTCTAGAACGTTGGCAAGCAACCAGGGAAACCTGCACTGGCTGCGCAAATGACGAAACTGTGCGACACCGAAATCGAGATCGTGATTCTGTCCAACCCGCCAGCGTGTTAGTCATATCCTGGTCTCCATCGACTCGTTGTGGAACATGTTCATACCCCAACACAAGCTACATCCGTCCCTGCTTTGTTCAGGAACGGTACCATATGTCGTCCTTTGGTGACTGTGCTCTCGAGACTGGGGTTAAAGGCATCGCCGGAGAAGAAGGTCAGGACGTCGGGAAGTCCGGTAAACCGCGGGTGAGAGCGATAGTAGTTGATCACAGATTGGAATCGGGAGACGCCGCCAACGGGTTCAGCAGAACCAGATCTGGAACACAGTCAGTCATCGTTGAGATAGCCTGTCGGTGAGGGGTCAAGCGTACTCCACGTGGTACACATCGTTATAGTGAATCAGACGCAGATCTGGCGCGCCTGTTCTGTTGGAGGAATGTGTGATGGTGAGGCCATCTAGTTCGACTGGAGTCATTATTTATAGGATATAGCAATGTCAAGCAGGAGAGACGGAGAGAAGGAAGAGAGGAAGAGGATCAGACAGCTGAATGAGCTCAACGGCGATACGGGGATCAGCAGGTGCTGCCTGAGGCATCACGGCTGCAAGGCACGTCCGGAACTATGTTGCCACCACCAATTACAGCAGCCGGATCCGCACGGGATCAACGGGGTTCGTCAGTGGAAGCTCCGTAGTGCGATCTGCATAGTAAACAAATGACGTACTACACGAGGATGATAAGACAGACACCAAGGATCGAAGTCAAATATATTATAGTGAGCAAAGACTGACTATGGTAATTGATGGAAGTGGTGATGGCCATTGGTTTTGTACAGCATTGTGAATGGCGAGTATTACATGATTGATGTCATCGTCCAGGAGGAGAGTCGCATGCAGTTGTAGGCCGAGATTCCTGAACGCCTCGCCTTATACAAATCAACACATAAACACATAAATGTGGCAAACCAACGTCCCGAGGTATCCTGATAAAAAATAAAAGCAAGAAAATTAGAACCAAAAATCGGAGTAGGAACAAAGCCGGCTATATCCTTCTTTCAGTCACTGTCCAACGTCTTCTGGTAGCCGCTTCCCGGTCCTTAGAGACCGGTGTGCTACCCCAGAGACCACGTTGGGAAAAGGTTCTTTTAGGCAGGTTAGACAACGCGGCTGAATCCTCAGGCTTCGACGCGGAACCGATTGCCTCGCCTGGGCCGACGGCATCAGAAGAAGTTGCTCTCCGGTCGCCAAAGTTGGGCAAAATATCGTCGGCAGATTCGGGTATAACAGAGGCTGACCCCCATAGACCGGTGGAGCCCTTTGGCGCTGTAGAGGGGCGCAAAAGGGACCAAGAACGTGACCCAACACCCGAATTGGGGGACGGACCGATCATGAATTGTCCCTGAGAAAGCGAGGGACGCATAGCAAGTCGATGACGATAAGCGGAGATGGAGGGAGTGACCGCGATGTTAGCTGACGGCAAGCTGGAGGTGGATGGGACGGATGGGACTGGATTCACGGTAGGACGCAGATGATCAGTCGAGGCCACAAGTCGTAAGCTGTAATTTTTCGCTACTGGAGCCTCTTCTGGCGTTCCAGGAGACAAAAATTGCCCCCGAGAAGTGTCTGCCTCGGCTTGTTCGTCCCCATTGTCCTTGCGGACGGACAGGGTAAGGGATGCTGTCTTGAAATCCAACAGCACAGGCTCTCCAGTCAGCGCCCCAACTAGGGCATTGCATCCCGCCCCGTGAGTAATCACGATGAGAATGATGTCGGTCGCATCATCCTCATCAGCTGGCTGGTGTAGATCCCCGTGAATCCCAGGCTGCTGAGAATGTCGCCGCGGTCGGCCAGTCCCGGCACCTTGATCGTTGTCGCGGTACCAGGAAAGCATTCGCTCAAAGCCAGCACGGAAGCGCGAATGCATGGCACTCCACTCTTCGCCGTACTCCCCTCCACTGCCCCAGTTCAGAGGCTCGCGCATGCTGTCCCACTGGTAGTCAATCTTTACACAGGCGTTGCGCGCGTGCGTAACATATCCTATGGGGATCGGGTCGGAGGGCGAGATGGCGTAACTTGGAGTGGGAGGCATGTATGCGCCGTCTGGGATAGGTGCAAGTTCGGTGTTGATTTTGCCGAGGATTCTTCTCGCGTGGGGTGTTTCGGCGGACTCGAGACTGTCGTAGCTCCCTGCACGGGTGCGTTGTCCCGGAGTATGGGTGACACCTGAGGAAGGGCCAACACTGTGTACGGTTCCATTCACGCGAGTTGCGTCAGAGTTTGTGAAACCACCCCAGCCGCCAGGGAAATTGCCTGTAGTCGGCTTGCTGACTTTGTCCGCTTCGGGAACGACGTCGTCCCCGCGCCGAAGTAATTCGGCTTTGGCAGCAGCTACGAGCCTCTCCGACTTGGGGGGAGGCGTGATCTGGTCATAGTAGTCTGGGGTCAACCACTCCCCAAGAAATGCGTCCACGCGGAGAAGACACCGATGATCCGGGGAAGCAGACATCGGAGGGGCAGGCGTGAGCGGACTTGAGATAGACTCTCTGTGTGAGTCTGCAACTGATCCCATAGAATATCCATTGGCCTGAGTGGAGTTGGAAGCGACTGCGGGGTGAACAACCTCGCTGTCCGTATAGTGTTGGCTTATCCCCGAGCTGACAGCGATGGCCGTCTGCACGCAACGAAGATACGGAGAAGTATGGATTATGAATCTGCGCTTCCTTTTGGGATTCGGGAGCGACGACGCGAATTTCGGCTCGTCTGATGGTTCGATGGACGAAACGGGGGGATGGTCGTCGAACGATTGCAGTAGGTTTATGATTCGAGCTCCGAGCGCGCGGGACTGGAGCCATCCGCCATAGGAAAGGGGAGGGTCATAGGGAGTCGGAGAGGTGAGATGCCAATTTTTGTCGGCCGCATCTAGTCGAGCGCCATGCCTGGACGTTAGGCTGTCAGCCGATGTTGCTACAACAGAAGCTCATGGATTTCCCCCATACCTGGCTATAACGATGGCCGCGGGGAGTTTCCCCATGGCAGGCAAGACGTCTAACCGAACTTGAATATAAGGGAAGGACGGATGAAAGAAGAGGAAGAAACAGAGAAAGAGAGTTCTTTTCTGGTTCTCAAAAGGACCAGGCAAGGGAGGGGGAAGCTCTCCAGTTGTTCGTTGTAAAGGTCCGGCGGGGTAAATGTGACTGGTGATGCCTGGTCAAGCCATCAGATCAAAGCATTGCCATTTCCTTGCTGTTGCAGATGAGGAACAACATGATCATGAGGATATAGCTATAGCATCAAGAGAAGGATTAGTTTATCTGTCCATCATCCACAAGGTGCCTAGTGCTGTGTACCTAGTAAGTAAGTATAGCAAATATCGTTGGAATCACCCTTTTTCTTTTTTCATTTTTTCCTTTTTACCTTTTACCCCAGCTTTATCAGAAACCAAATTAAGATTAATTAATCAATAATTCTTCCGCCTGATTTGTGTCATTTTGCATGACAGGTCACAGGTGAATGCTAGGACGGGATATTGCGGGACAAGGTCCATGCCCGGGGGGTTAAGGCAGTCATCACAATCAGGAGCATGTGATTCTGCTTATGTAAAACAGGAATGAACTCCCCGATTCCTTCAGGGGCAGCATTCTTTAGAAAGAAGGACTGTGAGCCCGTCACTTGTCGAATATGCTGACTAGTAGACTATCTATCTATGGTGTATGTTCTACTTCTCTCTCAGTGAAGTGAAACAGATCCAACGAAGATCAATATTTGTACGACTGGTGTTAAGTAACACTAGATCCTTTGTGCTGCCTTAGGCATCGACCGAGTCATCCACTGGATCACTTGATTTTCTCCGCCAGATGTAAACAACAATATACAGATTATGACTGACCCAGTTCCTTCACATGTCTCAATGGGACAAATCAATGAGAATAGAGAGATACACCGTAATAGTAGACCACGGCCTAGCCCTTCCACTAGTATTCGGCACTTACAATGCCTTGCAGCATGCTTGTTTAGGCTCATGCGAGAAATCCTTAGCGACAATTCCGAGGCTCACTATTATTTCCAAACTGAACTAGCGTTTATTCCTTAACACAAGGAACACGTTTTGCTACTCTTTGACCCACCTGATCACGTTGTCTTTTGACCTTGCTTCGTGATCCTTCGGGTGTTGTGGCGCCGGCTGGCGGCTACACCCTGGTAACACATCCCTGTCGACGTGATACATCACTATCAGTCAAGCATGAGTCCCATCGTTGTTGGGATGAAAAGGACAATAAATTCGATGATTCTCGGATAGGCATAAACAGTCTGTAATAGATGGATAAGGAGATAGATGAACAGCATCGATTTGAAATCATACATTCCTTATATTCGTCATAAATGTTATAACAGAACCCGCACTATATACAATAAACACTCATGCTCATGCAGATGCAGCACCCCATCCACCACCGCCAGCAGTCATAATTACAAATCGGTCATGGGTGCCTACAGACACAGTATTCTTCCCGCCAACATTCACCTTGCGTTCCACCCCCGTCTCCTTATCCATGGTAACCCACAGATTCAATCCCGGCTGCGCATCCTCGCCGCCCTCCAGACCGTACGGACGATGCACCCGTCGCTCCGAGAGGATAGAGCACTGCATCGGCGCAAGGAACTCGATCTCGCGAATCACGCCGTCCCCACCGGGATGCAGACCCTTGCCGCCCGATCCGGGACGCAAGCTGAACTGCCTCAGCAGCGTCGGGTACCGCTTCTCCAGGATCTCCGGGTCCGTGATCCGCGTGTTGGTCATGTGCACGTGTACTCCGGACTCACCGTCCCAGGTTGGCCCCGCGCCGCTGCCTCCCGCGATGGTCTCGTAGTACCCGAAGCCCGGGAGTGTCTCGCCCGTGGTCGGGTCGGTGCGCGCATTGTTGCCGAATGTGAGGTTGTTGCAGCAGCCCTGTGAGGCAGCGCAGGCGCGGAACGCCTTGAGCACGACGTCGGTGATGCGCTGCGAGGTGACGACGTTGCCGCCAACGACGGCGGCGGTCTTGGTTGGGGAGAGGATGCTGGGCGATGGGACGTGGATGTCAATTGGGGCCAGACAGCCTTGGTTGAGTGGCACGTCGGCGTTGATCATGCAGCGCAGGCAATAAATAATGGCCGAGTGGGTGATGGCGATCGGGGCGTTCCAGCCGCCGTAGACCTCCGGGCCGGTGCCCTCGAAGTCGAACACGGCCGAGCCGTCTGAGCCATCGATGGTGACCTTCAGCTTGATCGGGGTGCCGTCGTCCATGTAGTCGACTGCTTCCAGGGGTTGGCCGCCGAACTTCTTGTGGAGCCCCTTGAGGAGGTCGCGGACGGCCCGCTCAGCTGTGTGCTGGATGGCGTACATGTACTTCTGAACGGTCTCGACGCCATACTCGGCGAAAAGAGCCTGGATCAGAGAGATACCGCGCGCGTTGGCGGCAATCTGTGCTTTCAGATCCGAGATGTTGTCGCTGACGCATCGCGCGCCCGAGCATCCTTCGTACTGAGCGGGTCCGTCAACCAGAAGTTCCATGATGCGTTTCTCGTCGAAGACGCCGTTGCTGACGATCTTGTCGCCCTCGATAGCTGCTCCTTCTTGCCACAACTCGGTGGATTTGGGAGGCATCGATCCAGGAAGGATGCCTCCAATGTCCGCGTGATGCCCGCGAGACGCAACGTAGAACATGATCTCGGTGCCACCGGGGCGGTCAAAGACGGGTGTAATAACCTGGGGATGTCAGTACATAAAATAGAGGGTGGAATAATAGAGCATACCGTGATGTCTGGCAAGTGAGTTCCGCCACAGCTGGGGTGGTTAGCGACAAGGACGTCGCCGTCTTTCAGATTTCCCAACCACTTCTGGTGCTGGTACCGGACAGCAAACTGCATAGAGCCCAGGTGAACAGGGACATGAGGAGCATTGGCGACCAGCCCTCCATCAGGAGAGAACAGAGCGCAGGAAAAGTCCAGACGCTCCTTGATGTTGGTCGATACCGAGGTCTTCTGGAGCGTCCGGCCCATCTGCTCGGCGATGGACATGAAACGATGACCGAAGATGCTCAGTCGGATGGGATCAATGTCGGATGACTCATCGTTGGCGGCAGACGCATCAGTCTTGGTATCCTTGAGGTCAATTACGACGCATGTCTCCAGAATGCTTGCAACAGCGCTGGGTACGACAACAATGGTCTGTGTCTTGTCGATGATGACGGCAGGTCCATGTACACGAGTGCTCTTCTCGAGCTTATCGAGCAGATACACTGGCGTGTCGATACGGCTAGAGTGGCCATCAAAGTACGCCTTGGTGACATTATCAGGCGGGCCACTGACGTCTTTCAAAGACGCCTCCTTCAGCTGGACGAGTGGGCTCTTTTCCGTCCGCACTTTGGAAGAGGCAGTCGTACGCACACGGATGTCATCAACGAGAACTGGTCGCTCCGAGTTGAAACCGAATTCTCTGCGATGACGCTCTCGGAATTGGTCCAGGAAACCAGAGTCCTCCTGCGGCTTCAAGATCATCAGGCTGGTGTCCGATCCTTCATATCGCATGTTGAGGTACAGTTCATGATGGACCTGATCAGCACGGAAGCCTTGTGTCGTCATCTCCTCGGTAGCAGCTTTGGTCATGGCGTCAAATCGTTTCTGCAGCGTCGACTGCGAGGCGTGGTAGTCAGCAGAGACCGGCTCCTGAGACTCCTTGACGACTTCAGCCAAGGCCAGACCGTAAGCGGACAGGACGGAGGAGTATTTGTGGATGATGATGCGGGAGATTCCAAGGGATGCGGCAACGGAGCAGGCGTGCTGGCCACCGGCACCGCCAAAGCAAGCCAGATGATGGGAAGCAGTTTCATATCCGCGAGCCTCGGTCAGATTGCGAATAGGGCGAGCCATGGACTCATCCGCCACCTTCAAGAAACCCAAGGCGATCTCTTCCGGCGTGTACTCTGGCTGGCCCTTTTCTCTCCTTTCGGTGTTGATCTTGTCCGTGAGTTCATTGAATAGCTTCGTAGTGGCTTCCAGATCAAGTGGCTGGTCCTCGTTCGGACCAAAGATGTGTGGGAAGTATTCCGGCAGCAGGCGACCCAGGAACAGATTGGCGTCCGTCACGGTCAGAGGACCGCCCTTGCGATAACAAGCCGGGCCAGGGTGGGCCGACGCAGATTCGGGACCGACGTAGAACAGACCGTTGCGCCAGGTGAGGATGGAGCCTCCACCGGCTGCCACGGTGTTGATGTCGAGTTGAGGGGATTGGATGAGAACGCCAGCAACCTTGGATCCGAAAACATGCTCCAGATGGCCGGCAAAGCGTGAAACGTCTGTAGATGTACCGCCCATGTCGAAACCAATGACGGGAATCTTCTCGGTGGGATCATAGCTGGTGGCTGCGAAACCGACCACACCAGCAGCCGGGCCAGACAAAATCGCCTTCAGCCCGCTGAATCGGCGAAAGTCAACCAGGCCACCGTCAGATTGCATAAATTCGAATCGACATTCTCGCTGCTTTTCCAGACCCCCTTCGAAGGCGGCAGAGATGGAATCAATGTACGTCTTGATCACTGGGGTGAGGTACGCATCGGCTGCGGCCGACATCCCTCGAGGCACGACCTTGATCATGGGTTGTAACTTGGACGACAGTGTGACGGAGAAACCCATGCTCTCAGCCAGCTCGCCGATCAGGCGCTCATGCTCTGGATATGCGTACGAATGTACAAGCGCCACGGACAATGACTGATACCCTCGCTCCTTCAGTCTCTGAAGCTCTACTCGAACAGCATCAAGATCCAGCTCCTGGACCACGCGAAACTTCTCGCCGGTCACACCCTCGACAATGCGGGCGCCAGGGAAGCAGTCCTTGTCAGCAGACGGATGGCAGGGCACAACACGCTCATTAACCTCCACCACGCCTTCAGGCAAGACACCAGGCCTGGCCATTGTCAAGTCAAAGATGTGGGGACGCGATTGATCGCCAATCTTCAGGAGATCTCGGAAGCCTTTCGTTGTGAAGAGCACGGATCGCGCACCTTTCCTTTCGAGCAAGGCATTTGTAGCAACTGTCGTCCCCATCCGCAAACTGCCGATGCGGTCTAGCTTCAATGGCTGTCCTCGAGGGTGAGGCTCGCCAGTTACGAGCTCGAGGATCTGACGGACACCTTCCGTGGGGGCATCCTCATAGTGACCGGGATCAACAGAGAGCAGCTTGAGAATGATATCTGGACGACCAGGTACGATGGCATGGACATCGGTGAAAGTACCACCGCGGTCGATGGAAATAGTGATCTTCCCTGGTTCTTCCTCCATGTTGTTTGTGTATGTGTGCGGGGGGATGATGTAAGAACTTTGAGAGGATGGAGGGGGAAATAAGTATGATATGCTAAGTGAGCGAGGGGTATCACCGATTTATAATATGCCACTCTAAATTCTGGATAACACTACGCTCGTTAGACCTCCGATTTAAAGGGCCGAAGCAAACCATCACTGATAACGACATCACATCACTGGCAATTGAATCGCCGATCCGACTGGTTCTCCGCCTGCTGGGCCCCGTCATTCGTGCTGCTTTCTCCGCGCTTTCGATGCGGGCACATTCAAGCGATCACGTGTCGGCCCGACGGTCGGCGCGTCGGGAGCAGCGGTCCGATGCTGCCGGTCATTGACGATAGGAGAAAAATAATATGTCCATATTGAAGATGATGGTGGTGAGTGAGGTTAACAAGATACCAGTGAGATTATTGGAGAGGTCCTATGGTCCTGGCTGAAGGTTGTGTCTCGCACAGACTTTGGGGGGGTGATCAAGCTCAGATGATGTCTCATATGACGTGTAAATATATACTTGTGGAATGCCAGGTTTAGTAACATAGCTAATATATACTCTAGGCTCATAACTACAAGACCACCTGAGTTATTAAACATGTTAAATTGTTTATATTTCTAAATTAGAAAGATAGTGATTACCCAAAACATAGTGCAAGGATAGGGCCCAGGACGTCCCCTAAGAAAGCGGGAGATAGTTCAGCCAGTGAAGATATATATATATATATATATGGAAGCCGGCCGAGGTTTGACTCTATGGTCAAATCATAGTAGCTCTTTTGGCCAGCCAGTTGGATGGTAGCAGCCCGGCTCTTACCTTTCAGATGGCAGATACCCAAGCAAGCAGAGGACCGTCAACTGGCGCCCAAACCGGGTGAATAAAGCATATAACACTATACAAAATGCCAACCTGCGCCATCTCAGGAGACAACCATAACGCCCTGTGGATTGTGGAAGGTGTCTTTTGGATCCAAATCGCCTTTCAGCTCTTCCAATCTTGGAAGGTTGCCACGCCAGTACGCCTGCTGGGCGTTGGGCATTCTGGGATCTGGACATCCGAGATATGCGTGCCCTGCACTCTCTGGCACCGCCTGAGCCAGAACATTGTACATACCATCTGCGAATCCATATGTGGTCTGCGACACTGGACCAACCGGGTTAATTACGAAGATTTGAACCCAAAAAAGCACATCGCGATGGCCGTATGCTGTGGCATCTTCAGGCACCGCATTGATAGCTCCACCCTCCAGGCTGAGTGTGACAAACCAGGCCAGAGTTCCGGGGTTGTTCTCATGGATATAATTGAACAACTCGTCAATTGAGGAATCAGGAATCAGGGCGCGGGGTGTAAATCCTAGGGACTTGGCATAAAACCAGGTCGGGGTGTTTCCAACCAATTTCAAAATGGTATCTTCCAGCTCGTGACCGACCATCCCCAACCAGTCCGTCAGAACAAGCACGTTGCCGGCCTCGCTGGGCGGAAACCTTTGCTCCAGGCCCAGCGCGTCGTACTCCTCTTTTGAACCAAAGTAGAGACCTTCGAGAATGATCTGACCGTCAAAGATGACCATGTTGGAGTAGAACTTCCAAGTGAGGTTTTCCTGAGCTATGAATGCCTGCCAATCTTTGACGAGCTTTGCCTTTTCAGCAGGGGTCCCCAGATTGAACGTATACGAGTATTGGACGGCCAAGCCGGGTGCCTGTTCTGTGCGCACTTTGAACTCGGTGACTATCCCAAAGCTGGCAGCAGCACCTTTGATGGCGAAGAAGATATCCTGATTCTGAGTATCCGACGCACGAACAATACTCGAGTTTGCTAACACAATCTCGACTTCCTCAACGTGGTCGAGCGCCAGACCCCATTGGCGCGCTGTCGGGCCCAATCCGCCCACTGTCAGATGGCCGCCTGTCCGAATGGTCGGGCAGATACCGTGCGCCATTGCTCTATGGCCCGCATTGTACAGCTTGGTGTCGAGGTCGCCTAACGTGATGCCGGGTCCGATGGTCGCGATATAGGTCGACTCATCCATGGAGAATTGGGAGAAGTGCTTCATTTCCACCACGATGGCACCGTCTTCTCCTCCAAGGCCTAGAACAGAGTACGAGTTAGTGGACTCTATATCAGTGGCTGCAAACTACACCGTAACCAGTCATACATACCATAATTGCCGAAACTGTGTCCTCCACTGCGCGCTTGCACCTTGTAGCCATATTCAGAGGCGCATTTCACCACAGCAGCTATTTCGTCCGCTGATTGGGGGTAAGTCACTGCCGCCGGAGTCACCGGGATATTTAAGTTGTAAGGCTCGACTGCGTTAGCCTGATACAACAGCTGATCTTGGAAAGCGACATGAGCGGCATTACCCCCAACGGCGGATATCAAACAATCACGCCCAGCGGCGATACTGGTAGTATTGCCCATTGCGCAAGGGCGAAGTCAAAGACGTACTGCGCGGCACTGGGAGAAAACACATGGTCCCATGCGCCATGGGGGCCCCTTTTTGAATTGCAGCCAGGTTGCCCGTGGAGGTTACCAGGATGCAAATCCTTTGCTCGATCCGCCTTAGTGGGACAATAGTCCGATTGCTTTAGCGCAGTGCGGTGCTGTCGAAAGGACCCACATCTTCAGCTCCAGTGTCTCGATCGAAATGCAGCCTTTGGGAATCAAATTTAATGGGAAGATAGAAGGCAAACGCGTTGATCCTCTCGCGTACAGGTTCCCATGAAGTAGGCTTTTGTGGCCTTTCTGTAAGGACACTCTTGCGGGGGAATAAGGCCGAAGTGGCCTTGAGGCCCTAGTTAAGATAGGGCTGCGGAAATAAGCGTCTTGGCCAGAAGAGGGGCACTGTCATGAGGGACAATCAGTTAGCTATGGATTATTGATGTTTGTTGGTCATTATTAACTCTGATCACTTGAAATGACTTGTGCTCACCAGTACTATGATTGGATAGGATAGGTCATGAACTGGTGCACAGTGCACAGGTGTTTATATTAGTACTAGTAGGTACTTATGAACGCTCTCCACTCATTGTGCTGGGAATCCCAAACTCTAAATGTAGCCCTAGAGATTCATGGCTCCATCACCTTATAACGTTTTGGTCACGACTAGAGGAGATCCTATAGCAAGACTTGATATGTTGCATGAAGCTGGAGGTGACAGTTATGAAACTGAGGACGAACTGAAGAATCTGGAACCCCCAGCCAAAGTGGCTGGGGGCTGAGAATAGCAAGATACTCGAAAAGGGACAAAGCATACATGGCTGCTAAAGGAACAAGTTGGGATACGACCAAGTCTAGTTGCTCACAAAGGAAACAGATGAGCAGATGTATACAACTCAGTCAATCAATGTGTAATTTTGGAGAAAGCCACTTTCATGATTTAATCAATTTTACCGTGAGGTATCAATCCCCCCCGTTTGGGTAGACCCACGGGCAGTGGCGAGGTCTAATCCTTAAGCTGACCTACATTCTGGTATAAGTTCTGTTCCCGACAAAATTTGAATTCATCCTCGTCCATAACACGTGGATAGCAACTAGTGACGTTATGTGTAGCTAGTTGACCTAATTAACGTAAAGGAACCGAGTTTGTTAGGTATAATAACCTTCTGGAGAGCGACATAATCACTAAAGCCGAAGGTTAGGACCGGAACCACACGGACATAGGCTCGTCGACCGACACAATATTGACTCTCAGCTAGTATAGGATTTCACCTGTAGAATTAGACTGTATGAAAAGACCGTTCGTCGTTTCGTACTCCATTAGCACTTCACCTCTATTCTTCTCACCCTGGAAGCAGCATATTGAGAAGCTTACAATATGTTTACCTACTTTCCGAACAATTACATGTTGTCTTCGGCGGTAAACATGTGCCTTATGGCCGGTGGAGAGTTGGGTCAGATTGATAGATGGTTGGCCCGTTGAAAGATCGAGACGCCGATCCCGAGTCTTGGGCGAAGATATGGAACTCGATGGCCCGAGGAGCAGAAACACTGGTTGCTCTAAGTGTCTACAATCTTGGCCCGGCGTGGTACAAACACCGATACGCCCTCATCGACGCAGCTGCTTCTAACTAAGCTAGTCTGTCGTACATATTTGCTGGTAAACCGGAGAGTATTGACGGGACGAGCGAGCAGAACGGCAGGGTGTGGAATCTTGACATCAAGGTCTTCAAGCAGTTGCCGCCTTCGTGGTTGGGACTAAAGGTTGACGTACGGAGGTTACCAAAGTTGTGACGGGTGGACATATACAACGGTGCAGCGCACACTAGCTAGGGGACCGTATATGACCTAAGGTCGTGAAAGACTGGGAAATTAATCAACCAATATTTCCTGCCTCCGTAATAGCTTGCCATAAGACATTCAACCACCGAACTGCCAAAACGCCCGAGTCGTCGATCTTTTCATATATTTTTTGCGATTTCTTCAATAAGCAGAATAAATTCAACGATCTATAAGTAGAAACAAATAGCAACTTATTATTACAAATCCCTATGCGTCCTAGATCCACCTATGATTGCTTTATAACTATTAGTTAAATTCCCACCAGGTCCTTAGTGTCGAGGCTATTTGATGCTGAGAAAATCTCATCAGCCTGGTCATCAATCGTCTTGGGCTTCCGGCCTAGCAGCTGTTCCAAGGTAGGATCAAGGAAGGCCTTTTCACCAAGCGAAATGGCAGTGTGCCAGCTCGCCCAATTGTCAAGGAAGCTAGCTTGCTCCGGTGGCACACTCCCTTTCTTGATGTGCCAAGCGATGGCCTCTTCGACAGGCAAGATGCGAACGTTGACCTTCCTGCCGGTATGCTTCATGTACTTGTTGATGATATCGACCCCAGTCAAGAGCTCGGGACCAGTAAAATTGAGGGTTTTGTTGATGTAGTTTTGCTAACACTAGGGTCAGTCCATAACCAGGTCTTCCGTGTGTGCACAAAACCACACTTACCCAGTTCGCGATGACCCTCGCGGTGGCCTCGCCCAGCTCAGCCCTGTTCGCCCAGTGCTCAAGGCCGTCATTGGGCAGCACAGCTTCCTGAACGACGTCGGGAGCAACATCCAGATTCAGAAACCCGGCATAGTTGTTCCATAGGTGCGCGTAGGACGGCATCCGAAGGATCGTGTAGGTCATCCCGCTATCCTTTAGGTAGCGTTCGGTCCGGAGGTGGGCCTGCGCGACCTGCGCGACGCTGGTGTTGCCTTCAGCTCCACCACAGAATGAGAGCGAGGTGTAGATGATGTGGCGAACGCCTGCGGCCTTGGCGGCGTCGATAGCATTGCGGTGCAGCTTGTAGCGTTCCTCGCCCATGGAAGGGAACGACACCAAGAACAACACCTCCGCGCCGGAGTACGACTCCACCAGCGTCGACGGCTCGTACAGGTTACCCTTGCGGATCTCAATCCCGGTTTCACGGACGGCGGCCGGGATGGCAGCCGTATTGTAGGACGAAATGCGCAGCTCTGAGACCGGAACCAGCTTCTCTGAGAGGAGCGTCTGGAGAGCGGTGCGGCCTATCCCGCCGGTAGAACCTGGAGACCCTGGGTTAGTCATTGTTCGAGAGACGGCATTCCCCATATTTTCATACCTGTAAGAACAATCATGATAGACAAGACTCAATTAGTTGTTAGAAGCAGCTGGAGTGTGTAAGGATGACTTGAATTATGGTCCGAGACAGATCAAAGACCAGCATTTCCCACCATTTTATATCTTTTCCGCAACTGCATCGGATAGAATGCTCACGTCATGAACCAACAGAGTATGCTTATACAAGCAGAACCCATTCACTAATCCTTCTAGTGGTGGTGATTCTGCCCTTAGCCAATGACGTCATTGATAGGTGCTTAGCAATTGAGAAAATATAGTTAGCCTCGGCTGAAAATATAGTTAAAGTTAGCCGTATTATAGAGCTGGGACCGCAAGACTACAAGTGGGGCCCGATCATTAATCACTTTGCGGGGGGCGATATTCGGCGGCACATTTTAGGTGCAACGCTTGGCCACTATGGCGGAAGAGATTCATAAGCAGCTGACAAAGTCGCCTTGGAAAAATTACCAGAGTCAATATTACATTTGTCTCCGAATCAGTAATCTGACCGCACAGAAGTACTGTCAGCATCTCAATTTCATCAAATTCAACAGACTGAACGGCGAGCTGTTATTTGCCAGAGATCTAAGAAAGTACCAGGATTTGAGGGGCCCCTGAGAGCAAAGAAGTCAGTGGCATGCCTGCAGAACACGGAGCATTCGATATAGCACTGGTTCGGCAATCGGCACACGCTCTTACAAATCCAGTTTGATTATTTCGAAGTCAACAAGTCTTAACAGAAACATTCACAAGCACCGTAAGAGATATTTTGAGTCCAGTTTAGGGTTTGAAAAATTAGACCAAGAACATGCGGTGAGCAGATTCAGCGAGAGCTCAAAGATTGTCAACTGCATATGGCAATTTACATAAAGAGAAAGCTCGAGAAGCAGCTGAGAAGACAGTCCCCAAACGGAAAAATTTGCAACAGGGGAAGCCTTCCGTGGCTTCTTCAGATGTTCCCCTGATGATATTAATGTACACTGAGAAAGATGGAATTCCTGAAGGGTATTCTTAATTATTGCAAACTATGTATTGCGCACAACCTTGATGGAGCAGTCCTAATTGTGAGAACAATTGAATCAGTCTTGCCTTCTCAGAGTATTCTCAATCCAGTCCGTGTCCATATCGATATCGATCTGACCAAGGACCTCTTCCCACAATCCTGGGTCGTCATTGATATCAAGATTGAACGTGATATGCTGCTGAGACGGCCAGTCTGAAGGACCGACCCTTGTATCATCGCGTCCTATAACAGTGGTCTCAGGAGGACTGCGCTGCTGAGTGCTGGTAGGTGTCACAGGAGCATTGAAATCAATCCGTCCCCCGGCCACTTGATTGGATCCAATCGAGGCCTGAAGTTCTAGCAGCAAGGAGTGACGAGATCCGAGATAGGTGTTCCCTCGATCAGCCATGCTGCGCAACAGATTCAGTGCCATATCCATTGTTCTGGCATTGGTCTCATTGTGCGGAAAAGCTGCATTGACCATGACCAGCAATAGAGCGGCAGAGAAGATGTATTCGCCATCCAAGTAGCCGTAGGTTGCTGAACGGTTCACAATGAGCATCAAGTTCGGCTCGAGAGGGAAGATCTGAGAACGTACCGACTAGATTGTGCCTGGCTGCGGCGTCCATGATGAGCGTCGTAGCTCTAGCTGCGGTGATGCAGCTCTCAATGACGGCAACTGTGTTCGGCGACAATCCTTCTTTCCAGTCATTTGCCGTAGGCCCTCCAGTCTCTGCATCCAGTCGCCTCTGGATGACATAGAAGACTAGGGGTCTGGCCGTCATGTTGATGCATGAGTAAAAGTGAAGGAATATGGAGACTGATTCGCGATTGATATGCGTGTCTAGCGTGGTAAAGTCAATGCGTAAGCGATCAGGCACTTGTCGGAGCCAGTCAGACAGGTCATTGGTAATGCTCTGTACAGATGCCAGGAGATTAGACCCGGATCGAGGTTTCTTGCGGTAGATCTCTATGAGGCATGTCAGCATGGCTATTGAACAGCCTAGCTTGTGGAGCTCACCTTCTCCAATTCTACCTAGAATGCGAGACAGTTGGGTGTAATGAGTGAGGACGACAGAGGGCCATGGAACTGCTGTTGAACCACCCTGCTGACGATTAGCAAAGAGTCATCATCCTCAATGACGGAAAAGAAAATGAGGTCTAGGTCTCGTACTTCGGGTATCGGCCACATTGTCCCAATGTCTTCATCCTGGATAGTGATTGGATTCCCGGACTTGACAGAAAGTAACCTGTAACATGTCAGTATGCCGTTCCGAGAAGATGCATGCAGCAGTACCTGTCAAGACTATACACAGACCACCAGGCTCGCCGTCGTCGATAGCGATCTGCATCACTCACATCGGGATGCGATACCTCCTGATGGAGCCCTAAAGAGATAGCCATGCGAAGTGCGAGGCCAATCTACAATTCATGTCAGCGGGTCAATATGATATCGTACCAAATGCAATGCGTACGTATAGAAAAGCAGCATCCCGCCGGTTCAGATTCTGCATGTAATAAGCGACATAGCACAAGACCTCGACAAAGAATATCGAGCCTTCCTCATGAATGTCCGGCAGAAAACGCAAGGCATGCTTAAAGTACTTGAAGCCAGGCGGGCCATCGTCTCCCGACCACTGGTTCACTGAATACATCAGCCCGTAGGCAATGACAAGCAGGACTTGGCAGTAAACAAGACATGACTCTCGGTCTGAGAAGTCAGGAGGGCGATGATAGACGATATTGAGTCGTTCTTCGAAATCCTCAGGCTGAATAAGGGAAAAGATAGTTCCAATATAGGCATACTGCACCCAGAACAATCGCTTGGCGAATTCGAATGGTGGCAGCTGTGGGAGAGCCCGATTAACGGAACGGTGCAGAGACGAAGGATCATCGTACAGAGGACGCACGTCCCATGCGAGATTGGACGATGAAGGATGCAGTCGCTTGGCCAGCGCGACCGCCGCAGCAGGGCCAACATAGTCTGAGAGTGATTAGCTGATATTATGGATGATGCATTGTAGTGGACATACGATGTTCTCCTGATCGATTTAAGAAAAGATTATCCGTTCCATTATACCACCAGTCGTCTCGGTTAGGCGGAGTGCTCTCACTTGCATTGCTACAGGGGGTGGGTTGGCTTGGAGTGGAGTGCGATGATAGAGGTGGAAGACTGTGGTCCGACCCTTGCCTTGCAGCTCTAGCTTGCGATTGAAGCTGACGCAGGTAGCTGTTTCGGGTACAACTGCGGTTAGCACCTTGCGCCTTCCAGGCGATTATTCCTTTATATCTCCGCGCCTCTCCTGATCCGCGTAGTCTTGCTCACCTTTCAGGTACCGACACGCGTTTCTCAGCTTCAGAATACACACATATGTGTCCTGCATCCTCACACGCAGCACAGGGATAGGGTGGAGTGCCAGCACATCGTGTCTTTCTGCCTCGACATCGATTGCATCTGCCATAGCCGTCAGCCGGTCTCTGCAGAACGTCTGGTCATCATCACGCACGCTATAACTGATCGCGTATTTCCCGACCTGTCTATTGATCGGTTCTGCAATCCACTTCGAGATTTCCCTTGCGCCATTGGGAAGTACTGGTGGCTGTCAAAGACAGAACATAATTATACTGTCTGCTTCCTGCCGTTGGGAGAACTGGCTTCAATAGAGTTGATCTTATTCGATTGCCTTTCCTTTTCTTCACAGCAGAGTCATTAACAGCCCAGTGAGCTCAATGACTCGATTATGTATGCAACTGAGGTCAACGACGGCTATGCTTTTTTTTGCCGAATGTTGTCTCATGACCCCACGATGCTCCCTTCTCCGGATCGGCTCTTTTTAACAGTTTTATCTCGTTGGACACTCACACTGCTGACCTTGAGGCTGAGATCCTGCTCGTATTTGGCAATCCTTGCAGATGTTATTTTCTTTTTCTCAGGGATCAATGAGGTCTTCTCCAGATTCCCCCGCATTTACCTGTTGGCTGCTTGTGGTGTCACGCACCGTGGGAGCAGATAAGCCGTCGGGCCGATGGAGAATGGGGCACAACCAATCCAGTTGGAGCTTGAGATGGATATGACTTAACCCACAGAACAAGCCGATAAGACAAAAGTAAAAGTCTGACCAATAACGTAGTACCTATGCTGACTTCTGCTGCTGGGGACCTTTTGAGGTTTCGAGAATTGAAAGCCGTTGTTGGCGACAAATGAGCTACTGCCCTTTCCCCGGTTATTTTTCTTGGTTCGGGATATCGCGGTTAAGAAACAAGGATAAGATAATATGTGCTGTCATGGTGAGTCGTTTCCTCGGCCTCCAAAGCTGGTTCGTTACTGATTTCTCACAGGACAACAAAGTTCACAGTTATGATCCAAGCTCTTTTTCGAAAGATGACCCAGGCAAATGGCTGTGCTTGCGGTTTTAATATTGATTCTCTGTGTGTTTGTCGGCATCCTGTGGAACTATACGCGGCTAAACTCAGTTCCCGGCCCATTGCTTGCGGGTTTGTCTAATATTTGGTGGAAGTGTCTCAAATCATCACCACGATATGCTTGTCATTTGGAGCGCCTTCATCGCAAATATGGTGAGGTGGTTCGCATAGGACCGCAGACGGTCAGCGTCTCTGACCCTTCCACAGCTTTCTTGCTGGATGGCACCTGTCCACGAAGGTCAAAGGTATTTATTATTTCCTCACCAAGTATATGGAGTCTATGCTGAGATTTATGAAGTCGATCCTTGATAGTTATCTGGATAAACCAGAAGGAGGGACTGTCAATGCCGGACTCAAAAGCAATGATCGTGTTTACCTAGACGAGCAGATAGACCACGCATTTCAACATCATGATAAACTCAAGGAAATGGTTCTCGACTTTCTCAGAGCGATTCGAAAACAACGTACCTTGAAAATGGCTGTGTTCCGAAGCTTCGCGACAGACATTGTTGGACACATTATTGCGGACGACCTTGACAATGACCGAGCAGCACCCACGCGTACCGGGTCAAACCACACGGATAGATGCCGATTTACAACATCTCTGGACCATATTATGTTCAAGACCCCAGTTGCCAAGCTAAAGCGCAAACGCAACAACGGTCTAGCATGGGTGTCCTGCATAGGGACCTATTCCGGGTGGAAATATGCGTCTGTCTTCGAGGTTCTGTCGGAGACTGGCAGAAGAGCATTCCCGCCTGCAGAAAACAGCGAAGGAGATGATTCTCACGCCTCTGAGATTGTAAACGGAGCGGACTGCATGATTTCTGCGTTCGTTTCAGTGTTTCTCCATTTGTTAAAGTGCCCTCCGGTTATGTCTCAACTCAAGCACGAGATAGACATCGCATTTTGCAAGGCGGCTTTATCCGATGTTCTTCAGCAAGAGACGGAATCACACACTCTACCTATCCTGGACGCTGTCATGAAAGAATCGATGCGACTTGCCATGAGATTTGATTATCGAAGAGATGTTCCTGCGGAGGGTGTAGTAGTCTTGGGACATTACCTTCCCGAAGGAACGGTCGTTCAATTTCATTCAGAGTCTATAAGCAACAATCGTGCCATCTATGGAGAAGATGCCTCTTCTTTCCGGCCTCAAAGATGGCTACAGGCAAACTTGGATCAACGGCAACGGAAACGCATGGAGAAAGCATTGTTGGTTCTTCGACCAAATATGCGAAATGCCACGAAAGCTCGAGCTGCCTGGCTGGAATTGAAGCGGGCTGTTGCTCTGATCATCTGGAAGTTTGATGTAAGTGCAGTTGACAGCCTGTAGAGGTCCAGGCTAATATATCTTAGTTGCATCCTATCAATTACGATGAAGCGTCCATCCAAGATGCCGCTTCTCCAGAGCAAGAATACGATGTCTTGGTGAACTTTACTCCTAGAATGCCTTAATTTGAAATATCACCGCAAAGAAACAATTGATCAGACATCATTAAATAGAAGTGTCGCTGGAACACGAGACGAGGCTACGAGCGCCGCATTCCCAAGGACTTCTATAACCGCTCACTCCCCCTTCACTAGTCCCAGCTTCTCATTTTCGGCCTTGCTTCGCTGACTCCATTCCGGAGCCTCATCTTCGCCCCTTTCTTCCTGTGCATCTCCTTCTGCCTTGGTCTGGTGCACAGTACTCGTATAATGCTCGGCAGGCGCATAAACTGTCACCAGTTCCAAGGGAACGGGGCCGATGTTAAGGAACTGGTGCTGAGTACCTGCAGGAACGATGACCACATCGCCCTCCTTGACCTCCTGTTCCTTACCAGCGACGATAGCCTTTCCCTTGCCGTGTGTGAAGACGAGCGTTTGGTCGACAGTATGGATCTAATGGACCATTAGTTTACACCGAAAAATCAAAGGGTTGAATGTAAAGACGAACCTCATCTCCAATCTCGCCGTTCACTGGCACTTCCATGGCAACGAATTGGGAGTACAAGCCAGTATGCAGGACTTTGCGGAACACACCAAACTTCCGATTGGGCGACATCACGCTCGGAAGATAGACCATTTCATTCTTGGGTGGCTTGTCAGCCGTATTACCGTTGAATTTGTCGAAATTGGACATTTTTGCGACGTTCTGGTGGAAGCCTTGGTGAGGGTAATTCTTGCAGTAGATGCTAGATGCAATGGGTGCGGTATATAGGCCAGTGTGAGTTGTGCGAGTAATGCCGAATTGTCGCCGAAGCAAACGCAGTCCTCGATGCATTTTATAGAATTCAGCTGTCTTGAGAGATCGGATGTCATCGTTGACACCGGCTTATCTTATACACGACGTCTAGACTTGTTGACAAATTGGACCGGCAAGGCCGAGACAAATGGTGACGTAAGGAGCAGATTCTTGATGCGTTCATTTGTTACCTACCAACAAACAGGAACCGATCCGATGATGTATATCTAATCTTTAATCGATGATTGAACCATCTGATCGCTTGATAGTCCTTTTTTATTGCACCAATGGACGAAGAGCGTCAGATGGTGGTGATGATCTATAGAATGCAATGTGCCGCCGCTTTGTCAATACCAAAGCTTGTTCTACTCAGTGAATCAATTATGGTAGCCAAGCTATCGACAAACCAATGAACCAAGCACATTAGCATAAAAGAGCAGCGAAACAAGGCACAGAGACTCAAAGGTTGAACGATCAAGTCAACGTGGGAACTTGCCAGTTCACCCACGGCTTGCTATCAAACGCAATCCCCGCATAATTCTTCTGCACCGTGGTGTTGACCTCCATCCCCAGCAAGAACCGATTGATAAACGCAAACAGGTCACCCCTCTGCTGATCCGGAAACGAGCAATGCGGATGATTCGTAGACATCGAGTACCCCATACGATCCGGCACCCCCATTGCCTGCCAGATCAGCCTCGCCGTCCCCATACATCCCAACGACGACCACGGCCCCAACCACTGATACCCCGCATTGTCAATGGACAGGAGACCCCGCGGGGCAATCAGCCCAGCCAGCATATGGTGGTCAAACAGGAGACTGTCGACATTGTTCGCATAGGTATTGAACGCCGTCGAGAACCAGACATTCTCCTGGACGATCTCCCCCGCCGTCTGCACGTTCTGCGGCGCGCCTTCTGAGGCCTGCGCGAGCCGCCAGCATCCTGATCCCCCGGTGCCTGACTCCTGCGGCACGGTGAGTGCAATCCGCGAATCGAATGCACCGGCCATCAGCGCCCCCTTGCCGTTCCGCGAGCACCCCGTCACCCCGATTCGGGCTGTGTCGATTTTCGCGGCCGGGGTGGCTTCGAGGCGGTCGATGATGAGCGATGTGGCCCATGCCCAGGCCATCATTGCGCCGGCGGAGTGGTTTGCGCCGTACAGACTGTAGAAGAGGCCTTTGCCGCGGCTGCTTTGGTCGTTTTGCTGGGCGATCTGGCTGTTGTCGAAGGTGATGGTTGCGACGCCTGGTGGGAGGGGGATGCTCAGGCCTCCGTAGGCGATCATCGCGGGGTAGGGTCCTGCTCCGGTACCAGAAGGATAGGTGATGGTTGCTGTGAAGGAGATGGTATTTCCGGCATTGGAGGCGGTTATGGTAAGTTTGTTTTGGCTGAAGGTGGAGGTTACGCTGGAGGGAGCAGGAGGCTTGGTGCCTAGTTCGAGCTGCTGGAGGAGCGTGCTAATGTGACTCTGACGGCATTGCCAGTCGGAGAGAGTGGTAACACGACCGGACTGCTGCAGGGGATACCATGAGAAGGGATCAGGGAGTGTGGTGATGGACTGCAGCTGGGGGGATAAAGGAAGACTGGTGCAGTTGGCAGCCAGGGCTGCATGGTCAGTATAGCAACCGAAGAGAGAAATATGACTTACCTCCACTGGAGAGGAGCGAAAGCAGGACTGGGTAGAGGAACATCATTGTGTTGCCGTGCCGTGCTGGTGACCCTCTCGATAACCTCAGTCATTCTGGTCTTTATATGCTCGAGATGGGATTCTTCCGGTCAGCCGGTGAGACTATACAACGGTTCAGTACCGACTTAATTAGGCTAATATCTACGTTACATCGATGATCTACATGATCTTGTGATCGTATTCTGCAAGGATCGTGGAAAAGTGCATGCATTTAGCATATATTCTCCGAATGCACTGACTTCAAATGACATGGTCAATGGTAGGTCGACGGAACCAGCGAGTTGGCCCACGCCTCCAGATACGTATAGCCACTACTGTCCAGTTTCATGGAATCTTTAGTGTTTGGATCTGTTCCCAACTGCTTCTCCGCTGCATCAGGAATTCCGTCCCCGTCAGTGTCTGTCGCAGGAGTGCCTCCGTTCAGAGTACCTGGCCCTCCCATAGTCGCTTCATCGGAGATCAAAGCACCCTTTGTGCCCCAAGACTGTAATTGCGCGATCAACTGCGTGTCGACACTATCCCTAACCTTGGATGCTCCGGCGTCTGTCGAGTTCAATTAGCTGATGCATTCTCGGACAGGGGCAAACTCACAATTGGTCACATAAGTCACGGCTTCAGCTGGGGTCATAGTATAGGCCACCGCTGGATAGTTATATTTGGTCGACACGATTGCCATTCCACCGTAGTTCGAGGACGACGCGCCGAGCTCAGAGCCGTCCAGTTTCCCATTCTGGTCAGAGTCGTAGTAGTTGTTGTCGACGTATCCATGGAAGTTTGCATTGCCACGAGTAAACGCTGTCACCGATGTCGAGGGACCGCTGATAAAGTAATTGCCAATGATATTGGCGTCTAACAATTAGCTGATGCCAATACACAAGGCAGAGAGCCATACAAGATTGACCATCAGAGTCACCAGCAATGTATCCTCCGCCACCGCCCCAATTGTACACAACATTGTTGGTAAACTCGTTTACTCCCTTGACCTTGGGATTGCGCGTCTTGTTGTCGATGTACAGGTTGCGGAACAGCGAAACACCACCGTCGGTCTGTATCAATCCGCCGGCAGAATGGGGCTGCAGCCCCTGAGCAATGATGCTGTTTTGCACGGTAACATTGCTAACTACTCCATTCATGGAGAAGGTCTCGTCACGTCCCCACGAGACCGAAACGTGGTCGAAGATCATCCTATTTCCGTCCGCGATCGTGATGGCGTCCTTGCCTGCGGAGCCACCCTTACCCATGCGACTACAGGTGTGTMAGTAAGTACACCCAATATATGGTCACCGCTGAAAGCGTAGACATACATCCGAATATATCGCACAATCGCATCATCCGCATTAGAAAAAGACCATCCATTACCATAGACTGTAATGCCATCGCCAGGCGCGGTCTGTCCCAGTATGGTCACACGCTTCGAAACCACGATTCGATCGGAGATTTTAATCACGCCTCCGACTGCAAAGACAACGATGCGATCAGTTGCAGAAACAGCGTCACGGAGTGAGCCTGCTCCGGTATCGTTCAGATTGGTAACGACGTAGACTTGGCCATTGCGGCCGCCGATCGCATTGGCGCCAAACCCTTCGGCGCCAGGGAATGCGACCAGCGCCGTGACAGCCTGAGAGAAAGCAGCTAGACTGACGAAAAGAGGCGCAGATAGCTTCATGTTGAAGGTATGGGTTGCGAAAGATGGGAAAGGAAAGACCAGCCATTTTCCGCTTATATACGGGAGTTGCAGACACGAAAGGAATAAAAACACCAAACATGATTGCTGCAGAAATTACGCCGTGCCAAGTAAACGCTGTCAACCTGGCGAACCTGCAGGGTCCGGGATAGATTAAAAACGTTTGTGCTGGTCAATCGGAAGACGAGGTTGAAGAACGCGACAATTTAGGCCCCCTCAAGATGGACTACGACGACGATCGTCTCCACCTATCATCTTCAGTAGGGAGGCCAGGGTTTCGGATATCTGGCTCATTCGTCTTATCAATCTCCCCTGAAATTATTCAAATTAGCTGTTACACATGTGGACAAAGTCAGCGCAGCTGCCGAGTCGGTTATGGAAGGCTACTTCTCTGGAATAAAAATATCGGTAAAGCCTAGATGCGATAATGTTGAGCTTTCATGTCTTGTGTCAAGCCAGACTATTATACAGCAAAGATTTGAAGCAAATCCTTCTTGGTATCATCTTGAAAACAGTAGTTCAATCAAGACACCGGCGACACGGTCTCCTATATCTAAGCTCCACTTGCTGACTATCCAATATACCGTGACGAGCGAGATTTTCTCGAGGACTGCGCTGGGACCAACCAGTTTCTGGACAATAGGAGGAAGAAAATACCAAACATAATACCAAACAACGCTCTCGACAAGCAATCTCGCAAAGCGGACTCTCTGGATCGGATCAGGGCGTTCTCCGCCTTTATGTTCGACTTGTTCAGGCGGGAGGATTTCCGTCTTCAACAGCGCCTCAATGGCGCCCGCAATCTGGGTGTGTTCAATCAGCATCTGCAGAAGACGTGCATGGTCGCGGTAAATCTTACTTGGAGAATCAGAATCACCAGCGATTGACCGCATACATCCCCCATGATCATGGTCAGGAGATCTGGATTATCGCTAAAGTGGAATCGTCCCAAACCTGCACATAACGTGAATCGGAATCCATAAAATATCTCTGTGATCCGTCCGAATGCGTATCCTAATCCGCAGATCACAAAGAGTATGAAGAATCTGCGCTGAGTGGTCACACGAGAATGTGTAACCTGCAGCTTGGCCTTCTCCGGCTGTGAGAATGGTCAGCTAACAGCATTTGGGCAGGTGCACAACAGAAGGTAGACTGTAGTACTGACCGGATGTATTCTCGATTCAGCTTCGGCAATCAATGCAAAAGCTGAGAGGACGTGGATTATCCATTTCCTATTGTCCTGTGACAGACCTTGCAGGTTATTTGAAGAGTATAAATGCTTCACAAATTGGTCAGAAAGCTTGCCCAGATACACTGCTGCGATAAGGAGACCCGTGTAGTATATCGTGTCTCTTCTGTAACTGCGCTGACATGGCAGGTTTCCTTTGGCGAACCCGGCGTATGATGAGGCGCATACTACGAGTGACAAGATATCGGAATAACTGGATGATTCCGACGATGAACGGCAAAAAAGACGGTAAACCGTGGCAGCTGTATAAGAGGCAAGCCAGTAGTGAAAAGGAAGACTGAAAGAGTAATAAGACAACATCCTTCCTTGTCTGATGGTCAGTAAAGTGTAGGATTTACTTGTTGTGAGGTTGACGAAGTGAAGTGAAACGAGGTGAGACATCTCATCTTAGTGGAGATACTGATGAGGTAAATGAGATAGCAGGTAGCGACGAGGAGTTCCATGGGAACGCAAAGGAGCATCCAAACTTTCCCAGACTAGCAGGTGAACCTTGACCATTCGACGGCTTTCGCCAAACTGCCCCCAGCGAGAAAGGCATATGAAATGCAAATCTCCCAGATGATCATCTATACACAGGGGTGCCTCGAACTCGCATGGGATGAAGAGCTTTGTCTGCATTTTGTCTGGTTGAACGATGCATAACCCTCAAGGGATAAATACAGAAAAATTGGCCTGGAGTTCATATATGTTACACTCCGTGCCTGACTTGCAATCGTGATTAATGTTGTCAAGCTTGAGATGACAACCGGCGATGATGGACGGGTGTTGTATCCGGGCGGTTCATTGCATATAAATCTCGAGCTTCCCAAGTACTCGCCATATTTGAGACCAGTAGTCGATACCTCTGGCCATGGCATCTTCCAACACGCAAAAGAAAGAGTGAAGAGAAGTCGACTGATCGAGATCCTTAAGAAGCGTGCAATCTTGACCTCTTTCTCCCCTCCCCGAAGTGTTAATATTATATTCCCTGCAGGATACAAAACAAGCACGGCATGACAATGGATCTATTTCATGGTCGGCTCACCGATCGGTATCAGCTGGAAGAGTTCGGCGTGATTCTTTAAAAGGCAATAATGATGAAGATCCTGGGTAACGGACAGGGATTAACTATCCACAGATAGGCAATCTTCTGCGCTACAGCAACCTCATCCTTTTGACACCACAAGAAATTGGCTCCAGGTCTGCAGAAGCATCACAGAATAGTTGGACCGCCCATTATTTGTCTGAATGTTAAAGCAGGACCCAAATACCTATAGTGTAGCAAGGATCCGCCTTCATGATCTGCCATCTCATGCTGCTGTCCTTACTTCTACCGGCGAATTCACAGCTGGTAGAAGACAATCTGCTGGAGATCCAGACTTATTCGAGTCCATCCGTCTATGACTTTCCAGTGCTTGGTACCAGTGGATCCTCTCTGTTTCCAATGCGCCCTTGTCATGGAATACAATTGGAAGAAGCGACCATCGACGACTTGCAGGAATACCTATCTTCCAGCAGATTGACGACCGTTCAACTCCTTCATTGCTATCTGGATCGTATACTCCAGACGCATAGTTACCTCAAGTGAGTATCTATCCTTCTGCCTAGCGCTGACCACCGTTCATATTACTGAATCAAACATAGTGCCATCCTCCAGCACAACCCGGACGCGTCGGCCATTGCCGAGGCGTTGGATATTGAACGTGCCCATGGCAAAGTCCGTGGCCCGTTACATGGCATTCCCTTCATTGTCAAAGATAATATCGCGACCAAGGATCGCATGGAGACGACCGCTGGCAGCTGGGCTCTTCTGGGGTCGGTCGTGCCACGCGACGCGTTTGTTGTCCGGCGGTTGCGGGAAGCGGGGGCTCTGTTGTTGGGGAAGGCCGCTCTGAGCGAATGGGCGGACATGCGATCTAACAACTACTCTGAAGGCTATTCTGCTCGGGGCGGTCAGTGTCGTAGCGCATATAACTTTACAGTCAACCCCGGGGGCAGCAGTTCTGGCTCAGGCGTGGCTGTGGGAGCCAATCTTGTGCCTTTTGCTCTTGGTACAGAGACGGATGGCAGTGGTGCGTGCTCAATCACAAATGGAAGTCCTAATTCAGAATATCTCTGACAATCGCGGGATAGTGATCAATCCAGCGCAGAGAAATGCTGCTGTTGGTATAAAGCCTACAGTGGGCCTCACATCACGCGACGGCGTTATCCCTGAATCGCTGCATCAAGATACGGTTGGAGTGTTCGGGAAGACTGTGCGCGATGCGACCTACGCCCTGGACGCTATCTATGGGGTTGATACACGGGATAATTACACCTTGGCCCAAAGAGGCCGGACGCCTCCCGGCGGCTATACTCAGTACTTGAGCGACCGATCATCTCTCAAGGGTGCCGTGTTCGGCCTTCCATGGGAATCTTTGTGGCGCTTAGGGCGTCCAGACCAAATATCTCAGTTGACGGAGCTTTTGGATTTAATTAAAGACGCCGGTGCTACCATCATCAATGGCACCGAGTTTCCCCATTACCGTCAAATCGTGTCACCGGATGGATGGGACTGGGACTATGGAAGTAGACGTGGATATCCCAACGAATCCGAGTACACCTACGTCAAAGTCGACTTTTACAACAACATCAAAGCCTATCTCTCGGAACTGAACAACACCGATATGCGATCTCTGGAAGACTTGGTCGAGTATAATAAAGCCAACTTTGGGACGGAAGGCGGGTATCCCGGTATCCATCCGGCGTTCGGTTCAGGGCAAGACGGGTTTGAAGCGGCGTTAGCTACAAAAGGCATCATGGACGAAACGTACTGGCAAGCGTTGGAATTCTGCAGACGTACTACGCGCGAAGAGGGAATAGATGCAGCATTGAAGCACGGAAACCGCACTCTCGACGGCTTGTTGGTACCGCCCGATGTGGCCCAAAGCATTCAGATTGCGGCACAGGCGGGATATCCTGTGATCACAGTACCGGCTGGTGTCGACGAGGAGTCAGGGATGCCGTACGGACTAGCAATCTTACAGACTGCCTTTGCCGAACCAACTCTGATCAAATACGCCAGCGCCATCGAAGACCTGCAGAAGGCCACGAATACTCCTTKGAAACGTACCCTGCCCGAGTGGCGGGGATACCTGACTCGCAATCTGCCGGTTATCAATGCATGAATAAACGGAATCCATTGCTACTACATTGATACCTATGAATGGACAGTAGCTTAAGGGCAAGATCAAGATCTATCCTAGATGGGTTCATAGACTTTGCATTTTCTGTACAATATGAAGCCAGTAAGGTCGCGGTTAAAGGGTCATGGGTGCATCGCAAGTAGCTGTTCCAGTTTATTGAGATTCAAGAAATAACTCTATGATCATTGAAAACTTGAGCTCGTTAAGAAATCATCCTACGCGTAACGATAAGGAGGCGGCGGAGGATAGACCTGCGATACCACTGGCGCACCTGGCGATGCCTTCTTCGACGGCCGTCGACAACAGCTGCAGATTATGCAACCCAAGACGGCAAGCAGTAACGCACCACCAACACCAGCCGCGAGACCAATAACGAGTGATCGATGACGGTCCACCCATGACCGCCCATTCTCCCTGCACTCTCCATTGGAACATGTCGATGCTGGGGATCCCGCACCATCATCACCACAGCGTTGCCCATCGGACAAAAACTGATCCGCGGGGCATATGGTCGAATTGCCGGTACACGTCTCCTCAACATCGCATGGACCAGTGCTGGGACGACAAACCGTATCCGCCGAAGCAAACTGGCAGTTGGTACAGCACGGACTCGCGGCGTCATCGCAGACAGCCCCGACTCGCAAGCGGCAGGTTGACCCATCACAACAACTGTTCTCGGCGCAGTTGGCGCCACAGTCGCATTCCTCACCGACCTCCACGATGCCATTCCCGCACTGCCCGTCAGTGATGGTGGTTATGTTGCTGTTACTGACCAGGCAGCTCGTGCTGACGCTCCCAGAGCTGAGTTGCGAGCAGATGTTCCGGATGCTGCACGGAGAGAACGCCGACTGTGAGGGCGAGGAAACCGGGTTCATGATGTACTGTCCATTTGCGTCGCAGGTGGAGGAGGACAACGGACAGCACTGTCCCTGAGCAGAAGCGCACAACGTTGAATCACAATCATGGACGGCTCCAAACGTGTGGCCGGACTCGTGGCTACAGAATCCCCAGTTGGGTCAACATGAAGGATTGGTTGTGCGGGGAATGAGAGACTTACGCAAAGACCTGCCATTCACTGGAAGTGCGTGCCACCACATTTGCACCAGACGCGCGTTGCTGTCCCCGGTTGGAAGTACACAATTGACCTAGCCAAGAGACACCGACCTCCTGGCCCGACGGACACCCGGTCATCAGCGTCCAGTACGCATTGTCATCATTGAGGGAACCGCGCCAGGATGTGAATCGACTAATTCTCCAGTTTAGATCTCCTGCAGAGCAGTCGGCGTTCCACGATGTTGAACTGGATGGAGTGCTCGGGCAATCCCGATCGCTAATGGTCAGGTCGTGGAGGGCGAGAGAGATGTTGAAGGTCCGCTCGTAGACTTCAGAAGCCGTATTCACCATGCTGATGACGTTTCGCCGGAGCTCATCGCTGGAGGTGAACGAGGCCGAGTAGGAGCAATCGGTCGCGATGCCTACCAAGGCGACTCTTCTGGTGCTAGGGCACGGTAAATCTTCATCTGTGATGAAGGGATTCCCTGAAGACTGTGGCGATCGAGCTACTAAATGGTCCCATGTATGGTATGCAGAGTGATAGTGAACAACCATCTGTGGTTCTCTGGTATTTCCGGATCCTGATATTATCGTCACCTGGTACTGCTGACCGACAACGCTGAAGATTCCTTCAAACAAGGGATTATCTCTATCACGATGGATGTATATCCGCGCCCAGCCAACGTGATTCCAAGTTGCGCCTGCGCCAATGTTCTGCGTAAAGACAAGTCCTTTGAACACCCTGTGTTGGGCTTTGTTCACGGCTTCTGTCCTGCGAACTACGCCGTCTGCACCGAGGTACTGGACACGGGACCCTTGTGTGAGGATATCTTTGTTCGGCTCCAGGCTCAACTCCAGCGCTCCTTGCTCGGGAAGGCTAAAGGACAGATCGAAGTGTGAGTGGGCGTCAACTCGATGAGCCGGTGTATGGATAATCACATTCTCGGGGCGGGTCTCACTATCCCAGGCGGAGGTTTGTACCGAATGTGCTAAGGACGTTAGGAAGTGTAGTTGTAGGGCAAGTGCTCGCCTCTTACCTGCGACATTTAGTTTCACAGCGGCGATCAGACCAATGAGAATGACGAGTTTGAGGACCTTCATTCCTACTTCCCTGGAAGCCTCTCACAACAGTAGACCGACATCCTCTCGATAGCCCCCATTTTCATATATGTATTGCCCGCCACTTCAAATAACGAACAGGCTAGAGAGCCATGTAAGGTGCTGACAGAGTAAGAACTGTGGAATCCTGCTAGGCATCCAAATAAATCGAAGACACTGGTTGCCATCCCCAAGCTCGAATCGATGTGCTGCGAAGGCCAAGAGAGGGACTCGTCGTCTCAGACGAATCCAATCGAACAGAAGACTCGAATGATCAACGGCGGTATGGAGCGTTGGTCTGGGCTTTGATACGGCATCTGCACAGCCACCGGCTACCGATTACGCTCCACCCAGTAGCTGACGGATGTTTCGGAGACAAGGTGATAACTCCAGCCAAGACGATGGGTACCGACCGATCATGAAGTCAAAAGCCAGAGATCGTGCTTTATAATCAATGATAAGGTGGCTATGCTGCGTTCCCACTTGATCTTGACCAACAATGCCGGATGATACTGGCCCAACAGAGTCCTAGTACGGAATAGCGAGCGGAAAAACTGGAGTGCCCTGCTGGCGGAAAGTCTTGGCTGTCAGCAACTCGCATCAAGCGCGGAAAGATTCCGATGCTATTTGTGGGATCCAGTCTGGCCAAATTCTCGGTTGGGCATGGAGTCTCAAAGCTGGACTTTAACCATTGTGCTGGATGAGCTGACATCTCCGTGTCGATTCCAACGATGATGTAGGTCCACAGAGACATGCAGAATCACCATCGCCTGCAAAAGCTGCATGAAAAGTCGTCGCATATATCCTTGTATCACTGTCCTATGCTGGATACCAGTGACCGGGAATGACAATAACAGCTGGTCTTAGGCTGGTCTCCGCTCGACTGGAGTTGTTGAAAAAGCAAGGTGCATAGAATTGACAAGAGGTCTGAACTTGTGTATGTTTCTTACTTCTCTTCCAGTGAGCCGACGTGCTAATCATCTTTACCCATTTCTTGTGGCCTGAGATTAAGACTAGCCGAGGTTGCTCGTCTGCCTTAGTACACAGTATGCAGTTCTTGTTGATATTTGAAGCCCACTATGAGAGTCTCCGTGAAGAACAACCTAAGACGTCATGGGTTATGCTAGATCCAGTTCTAGAATCTGTCGTTTGAGACTAGGATTTCCGTCTTTTAGCCGGCATGTTCCTGGAGACCGAAATCAGACTCATACCAGAAGCTCGCGATAGTGATATCTCATTGTTTGAGAGCATTCCACAAGATCTTGTGCCTTCTCATCCAAATTTCTCGACAGAACCAATAACTTCGGTGTCCTTGTTCTGGGTTTTAGCGAAATATGCCGAGCTATAGTATCTGCCCATGCATTATACCGTCCTTATGCCGCACAGACAGTTATGACGTGTTGCAATGAATCGATTGTGAGGTGATGAAGATATCCAATCAACATGATACAGTCAGTCCACAGGGGGAGAATTCCGGCTAAAATCAGTGTTGTGTTCTTCCATCTCCACTCTAATTCGAAAGGGCGAGAAATTTCCCCTCCTGAGTATTCTGCCGACGACCTGAGTCAGCTCCACCCCCGGATTGAGACAGAATGAATCTCAGTGCTTATGATTGGTACGTTGGAGTAACTATTGTCAGCGCTAAAGTCACCAGCGCCAGTCCACCACCGTCTCCCTGCTTAGTTTCGCGACTAACCAAGTACTAACCGGCAGTCCACGAGAATGATTGCGACGCCGAGCCGGCAGCCGGCGTGGCGTCTCGCACCGGCAGCCACGAAGCTTAACAATATTGGAGATATCGAGGACATACATTTTGAAGTTACAACGCCATTTTTTTCGGTTTGTTAGACTTACCCACGGTCCGAAGGATGATTCCCACTATACTGAACGATCATGACAAGAAATGGACATTCTCCAGCCGACAGTGGCCCCACGGGGATAAAGGCCGGGGAAAAGTGGACCACTCCCCATTCACTCTTTCAGCGTCATTGGTTCAGGATAAATCCATACCGATCATTGCCGAAAATCGTATCGTACACAGGATGGGGTCAATGCATGGGCTGATGGGAAGGCTCTCGCCGGTTCTGGTCGGCTATCGGGTTGAAATCAAGCATTTTTTGGCAGTAGAAGCTCTCGCAGGACTTCCTTGGATGCCGATTGTTCCGAACCTGCAGCTTTGTTTTAGCTATATATTTGATGAACAATAGAACCTGTCTTTTCTTATCTGGTCTCTCGCTAGCACTGCTCTGATCCTGCCTTTTTATCTCTTATTCCTCCCCTTCTGTACACCAAACTGTCATAATGGCAGGGGGTATGACTTCTCAAGACATCTCGGCCAAAAGAGCCGAACTGGCCGGAGGAAAGGTCGGTTGGCGTGGCTTGGTCAGCAGCAAGAAGACCTTTGGTATTGCCTTGTTCGCGTCTCTGGGTGGCCTAGTTTATGGATGTATGATGCCTCTTCTATTGCCCTACTCTTCTTAAGAATGATTCAGAGGCTGACGGTACCAGACAACCAAGGAATGTTCGCGCAAATTTTAACAATGCACTCGTTTATCGAAGCAGTATGTAATTCTTGATGAACCAAAGTCGATCGGCGCTCACCTTTCCCAGACCCAAGGATATGCAGAGAGCACTGGAGTGAAACAAGGAATGTTGACTGCGATTCTGGAACTCGGTGCATGGCTCGGAACCCTCATCAACGGGTACTTGGCAGATGCCACCGGTCGTCGCATCACGGTCGTCATTGCAGTGGTTGTGTTTTGCGTCGGTGTCATTGTCCAGGCATGCACCAAGAACCCAGACTACGTCTATGCTGGGCGGTTCGTTACGGGTCTGGGTGTGGGCAACCTGAGTATGATCGTGCCTCTCTATAACGCGGAACTGGTATGCCCCAATGACACACACATAAGTTTTCTGTCTGACCTGGATAGGCACCGCCGGAAATCCGTGGCTCGCTGGTCGCTGTGCAGCAGTTATCCATTACTTTTGGTATCATGGTCAGCTTCTGGGTATGTATATGGTCAGCTGGAGAATGATGAGATGCTGATGTTTTAGATTGGTTACGGGACAAACTACATTGGAGGAACTGGCGATGGCCAATCCATTGCTGCCTGGGAGATTCCCGTTTGTATCCAGATCCTTCCAGCCGTAGCCCTGGCAGCGGGAATGCTCCTCTTCATGCCGCAGTCCCCGCGACACTTGATGAATCGAGGAAGAGAGGAAGAGTGCTTACAGACGCTGGCCAGGCTGCGCGATACTTCAGTTGATGACATTTCCGTCCGCATCGAGTTTCTCGAAATCAAGGCGCTGCGCATGTTCGAGGATGAAGCAGCTCGCAAGAGATATCCTCAGTATCAGGATGGCTCATTCAAGAGCCGATTCATGATTGGTGTCAATGACTATCTCTCTTTGATCACCGACAAGTCCTTGTTCAAACGAACCACTGTAGCTGTAAGTATTCTCTCGGCATCAGTTGCAATCGCTTACTCGCGCAGTGTATGATTATGGTCTTCCAGCAATGGAACGGAATCAATGCGTGAGTGAATACATCCGGTTCTACAAGGATCTCGCTGACAGGTCACAGTATCAACTACTACGCGTAGGTGTATTACGTCTGAAGTCAAGAGCACTGTGTTGACATTTGACAAAGTCCGCAGATTTTCAAGGGTCTCCAACTAGGTGGAAAGACTACCTCCCTGCTCGCCACCGGTGTCGCCGGTATTTTCGAATTTGTCTTCACCATCCCCGCTGTTCTTTGGGTCGATAACATCGGCCGTAAGAAGATTCTGATCGCCGGCGGCATCGGTATGGCCGTCTGCCATTTTATCGTTGCCGGCATCATCGGAACATACTCTGGCAGGTTCGAGGATCACAAGGGAGCTGGCTGGGCTGCCGTAGTCTTTGTGTGGATTTTCATTATCAACTTCGCATACGCATGGGGTAAGTGCAATTATGCCCTGCAATCTAACCAGACGAACTAACGGAAGCAGGCCCCGTCGCGTGGATTGTCGTGTCGGAAGTCTTCCCTTTGAGTATGCGCGCCAAAGGCGTTAGTATTGGTGGCAGCAGCAACTGGGTAAGCGCGCTCATAGCGAATTTACATAGAATTTCTAACAGAAAGTAGCTCAACAATTTTGCGGTCGGTCTGTCAACTTCTCCCTTTATTGCGGCCTCTGATTACGGTACCTTCATCTTTTTTGGACTGGTGACCACCATTGGTGTTCTGTATGTATGGTTCCTCGTCCCCGAGACCAAGGGCCGCACATTGGAAGAGATGGACGAGTTATTCGGATCCGAAAGCATCGCCGCCGAGGACGAGGCTCTGAAACGCCGCATTGAGAGGGAGATTGGCTTACTGGCTTTGCTGGGCGAAGACACCGAGTTGAGCGAGGAGAAGACATCCGAGAAGCTCGAGCATTTGGATCATCGCGAGCAAACTGAGCTGCCCAAGACTGCGAGCTCGTAGTGGTTGTATTACTCTAGCAGAAGCATCACATTGTGATGTTTCGACTATCGCTTGAAATTGTGGCCGCACCTATACAATACTACGGTAGAACTGGGTGCTAAGACGCTTTGGCTAGTGGAATATAATAGACGGCGGCGCATGAACACGCGGTATTGTGCAGATCATTATAAAACTATCTTACCCGACAAAGAAAGGGATCTTCCTAGTGTATCCGTGACGTATCCAAGTCGCCTCACAAGACGAAGCAAATAGAAATGTGACTAAAGCACGGATAAATGGAGATGTATTTAGCCTGAATTCAACAATCGGGAGACTCGAGATGGCCGAGCGTATCTGTGTCGAATTGTGCCGAGGCATGTCCGATGAGCTTTAAGTGCTTGCAGAGTGATGGCCTGAGGCTCGAGATGAGCGTTAACATCATAAGTTCAGATGCTTTGGCGTCATATTGGGGAATGTCTATCCTCATGCTGAAATGCAGACACAAATCAAGCTTTGAGTCATGATTGATCGGACAAATGGATAAAGCCCTCGGTCTATTCTTGCTTGGAACACTTTAATTGCGGTGTTGATTTCAGATATGAACATGACTGCCTGGCTCGAAGATCTCCTTTTCATATATGTATCAGTCATTGGCCACTTTCTACAGCATGTGCCATATCGCCCAGAGTGTCAAACTTCCAATCATAGATCGTATCCTTGATGTTGCCCATAATTGCCCCCCGTCTTACAATCCAGACTGACTTGATCCCCACTTTGGAGGCGGGCTGGTGATCGTGAAATTGACTCTGAGCAGTCTGCAGGACCTGACTCTTGTCGACTCCCAGCTCGGCCTGTATAGTCTTCAACATGTACTCGAAATTGCGCAGGTCAGGCTTGTACGAGCCCACGTCCTGCGCGGTGATGATGCGATCGAACTTGACACCCTGCAGACTCCCGGCATTCGTCTTGGCGAATGATTCTCGATCAACGTTTGACAGGACAACCAGCTTGTAGTGCTTTGATAGTCGCTTGAGAGCATCAACTGTGTCTGGGAAGGCGGGCCATGTCCCGACTGATTCGCCAAAAGCGACGCTCTCTTCCTCGGTCGGCGGAGCGAGGGAGAGGCGCTGAGCAAGTTTGGGATGGATCTTTGCTAGAAGTTCAGAGTATGGCATATCAGGTGTCAAAGCCTGTTGCTCATGCTCGAGTTCATGGTAAACATTTAGGAGATGCTCGCGTGAGACAGATGCATTGTTCTTGTCGAGGATCGGCTGGAAGGCGTTCACGATCCCGGATTCCCAGTCGACTAGGGTCCCATAAACATCGAAGCACAAGAGACGGTAGTCGGAGAGTTTTGACATTTTGCTATGATAGAAGATGCAGAAGACGAAGAAGGTTTGAAGATGAGACGAAGGCAGAATGAGGGAGAAGGTGGGGCTACAAGTACAACTTACACTGCGGGCTTATCGATAGCGGGGACCAAAAAGGGAAACAAACATGCACCTTCGGCATCAGCGACATATTTTGAGCCCGCATAGCTTATGGGTAGTATTCTATCTATGCGCCGGAGCTCTGCCACAGTTGGCAAGCCCAGAAATATTCCTCTAGCTTGATTTGGTGACGGAAACTCATGTTACTCTACACTTGCAGCGCCAACTAGAGAGGCCTAGAGCAAGCAGCATCACATGATGAAGCAGGTACTTCTAATGTTGATATTATTCGTTGAGATACACCTCCCTACCCATCAAGCATGATTTCCAATCCAGCTGCATCTGGAAAACCAACTATATTATGTCTTCCGCGAGAGCCCCGGGGCATTATCATAGAATACAGCTTCCTAGAACGGGATCCAGTCAGCGTTGAACTACCAAATTACCCCACCTCGTCCCCGCCGCGAGAAAAGCGTTTTGGAGGCGCCAAGTATGCGTCCCACGACCAGCGTTTACTGCACTATCCACTTTTGCTGGTCAACCACTAGTTTCGAATTGAAGATTGGGAAGTATTGAACGAACACGTCGCACCCAGATATGAGGCGGACATCTTAATCTTCCAGAGACGGCACCTGGTTCTCATCATGCCGGCCCAAAAGGTCCCTACCCGATTCAAGCATGCACGCGCCAAGTTCTTTGTTCTGAAAGACGACGGGAAGCGCCGCATTAAGTCCTGGCACCTTAGCTATCCATCAGTATGCGCCGTCCGCCCAGTGTGCGGCGGCTTCTTTGTAGGCCACGGCGCCGCAACGGACCCCTGGGAGTTGTACAGGGTTCTAAAGCGCTTCTTCCAATGCGGGCCTGAGGTTGGTAGACTACTCACTTTAATAAGGGAGACGGGGTTCGACTATAGGATGCATCCAGACTATCTGGTTTCTGTCCTCCATGAGCTCTTGGGATCGCTTCTGTTCTATCGTGATGGCAGAATGATCTACGAGCGCGTGGGAGCCGTCAGGCTGTTGCTCGATGAAAAAAGGGTGCATGAGTGGAACCTTGATGAGCGCCTCGAAGGAATGCATTGTAAGGAAGAGGAAGACGCCAAATGGAGAAGTTTTGCACTTGCTCATAGGTCACAGATGGGGCTCCGACATCTAACCACTCGTCAGGAAGAAGCCTTGGTCTGACGCGGAGGTGTCCAATTTCAGCCATGTGAGTTTCTCTGAACGTTGTCGTATCCGATAATACTTTGTCGCAAGTCAAGAGCATCGCTCGACTGGAGACTATGTGTACACAAGTCGGACAGACCTTGGCAGATTCCTGCGCCCTAGTGACGGAAGGACAGGCATGTATTTAGGTGTAAATAGTTGATGCAAAACAGAAATGAGTCAATAGTAACTGCGTAGCTGGACTCAGACTGTATCGTAGAAATGCAGCTATGTAGATACGTGGTTCCGGAAAGTCGAATGCCCTTCAACTGTCCTTATGGCAACTAAACAACAAGATACGGATCAATCATTCAAAACTATCCGTTCAACCCCAAAGCCTGCCGCCGACTCTTGCTACTGGGATCAAGATAGGGTCGCTCTCCCAGACTGACAGCTCTGTGGCCCTCTCGTTCCTCTCCAAAGACATCGTAGTCGTTCGTAGCAGTGTGGTAGACACTGCGGTTATCCCAGATTGCTACATTGTAATGTTTAGCCATCATCCACGGCAGGCGGAAGAAGACTTACCAAGATCATTAGGATCCCGCCATCTGTGTCGCACCTGCAGATCATGATTTTCCACAATCAATGACACAAACCAGTTGAGTAAATGCTTGCTCTCCTCCTCGGCCAGGCCATTGATCTTCTCGACATGCGCGCCGACGGCAAAGACGCTCTTCCACCCGGTGACGGGATTGGTCCGGATGACTGGGTGCTCGGCGCGGAGCTCGCTGCCAACATTCTCGGGGGCACCACGCGGTCCAGCGAAGAGTTCAAATGCATTATCCTTGGCGCTCTGGTTGAATGCTGGCTKGGCGTATGTTGCGGTCAGGGATTCGAGGAAGCGCTGGTACGGCTCGGAGATGCGGTCGAAGACTTCGTAGCCGCTGGCCCAGAGGGTGTCTATCCTGGTCAGTACGTGCCCGTAGGAAACGTAGAAATTGTACTGGATCTACCTACCACCCCCAGTCTTTGGAAGCTTGGTCAAACGCAACACGGCATAGTCGCTAGGAATGGGCTCAAAGGTGATGTCACTGTGCCAGCCGCCCTTGAGACTTTGGCTGGTGGCGTACCGCCCCTTGAACAGCTTCTTTCGCTGCTCGGAGCTGATGACGCTGATTTCATCGTCTTTGCCCCCGTGTTCGCGGCCCGCGTTGGTGACTGGGTGGATGTGCAGGCCCGACGTGGCGGGTTTGCCTGCCAGCAGACCCAATCGGTGGATGAGCTCTTTTTGAGAGTCGTTGTCTAGGTCGTCCTGTTTGCGGAAGAAGACCACGCCCCGTTGTGAGACTGCAGTTGTATTAGTATAAGGTAACTGCAACTAAGGGAGCAACTTACTCGTGATGGCCAAATCTCTCAGCAGCTCATCGGAATTGGGAGCGCTGAGCCATTCCTTGAGACTGACGGTAGGATATTCTCTGCCGATAGCTGGTGTCACATCGAATGATTCGAACTGGTCAAGTACTCCGGACAGCTTGAGAGGTTCTCGCTGGAGCCCAGTCGATTCTTGGGGTGCTTTGGATGGGGCCGTTCTCGAGACAAGGGTGGATTCTTCCAAAGTTGGTGCCATTGTTTTCACTCTCTCTTTTGAAACTATTCAAGCTGCTTGTTGATAATAATATCTTGTCCGGGGAATAGAATATATTTATACTGCTATCGGTGCCGATACCCGAGGGCATCACGCAGGATTCGTCATACTGATGGTGTGCTTGACTCGCAATGTATGCACTGGGATCATACTCTGCGGGGTTAACAAATCGCCATGAATCGCTGAATGACGCCATTGTTTGGATATGAGTATTTTTATTGTGCCTCCCGGGTTATTGGATGCGAGTTGGTCTTATCTGATGGGTCATCCCGACGTCCTATGGCACCATCTTAGCGTGTTGCGAATGGCTGTCAGAAATTATGCATCATTCCCGATGAATGTATTACATTATTAAGATATCTCAAGACAAGTCTATCATCGTAAGCGCATGCACTAGTGATTCGGTCCCGGAGTATACGGATTCGAGTATTCCACCCTCTCATCATACTCGGACTCATTCAATCGTCTCAAGAATCCCCCATTTATCAAGCCCAGCACGTTGGTATACGTCACAAACTGCGTCCCCATCCCAGGCTGCTCAAACCAAGGCGCAATGGGCCCCAGTCCAACCAGAAACTGCCTGGTCACCTCGTACACGTGGTAATTGTACGGGTAGTTCCCGTCAAACGTGTTGAGGTTACTCGGCGGCAACGAGCGTTCGATGTACGGTGCGCCCAGGGGCGCCAGGAAGCTGCCATACTCTGACCCGAAGCGGTCGAGCTTCATGCCGACCGGTAGGGTCGCGTTGCCCAGGATGGGGTGCTTCTCTGTGTCGACGAAAAAGCCGTTGGCGGGTGGGTATATGTATGTCCCGTTTGGAGCAGCATCAGTGGCCCATTTGTCCAGGAACTCGGCGGGACAGAGCGCGCCGAACCGCGCGTAGGTGCGCAGCTCGTTACGCAGCGGGAATTTCCGGGGTGGTACGACGGGCCCGAGGCGTGGGTCTCCGCAGACGTAGGTGTCGTTTTTGAATGTGATGCCCGCGCAGGGGTCCGGCCAGCACCTGGCAGGGAAGAGAGTGTCCTGAAGGGTTAGCGGAAGAAGAATTGAATGGTGAGATGAATGGCGAGTTATTTACCTCTGTCTGTTGGAGGGATAGGACAGTAGCAGGGAGCAAGGTGCTAAGCACCAGAATGGCGTTGGTGAGGATCATCGTGAAGATGCGCCGTGTAATGCTGAGGAGGACAAATTCGAGCGAACATCTTGCTACTTATTTTTCTGCGACGCGGGTCCAGAAAGCTGTGTACCCTGCATGCTGCACTCAATATCACCTTGCATGCAGATCGTCCTACTCAACCCGGCTGATCTTACCAAGAACAACCTTCAGGAATGTGATTGAGAATTTGAGATGGACTCCAAACATGCGACTAAAGAATTTCGCCCTATGATTAGGGAACAACCTTCCTTCGTTCGACCGCAGGTGCATCTCTGTGGATGTCAGTGAAGTATTCATGAGTTGTCAGTTGTCAAACTCAGCTGAACTATTGGACGCTAAGTGAATTATTGACACCTATCTGAAGCTGAGTCGATCAAGACCCACAGCTAATTTCCCAACAGGCTCACACATGATAATAATAATGACCGTGCAGACTGCATCAGCAGAAGTAAGGCAACTATGAGTAACAAATATTCAGCCGTAGCTGAGCCTTACTGCGTAGGTACCTTAAGTATCAGGGGTATGCAGATGTACCAGAAAGAGGTCATGCTTGATTGGCTCAGCAGGACCAGGATCTTGCCAAAAAGAGCGGCATACATCTCGCTGGTCGATACATGTCGAGTTGGACTGCAGATCGCTTACATTGGAATTTCCAGTAGTCATATAAGGAATAATGATCGATGGCATCTGATTAGATTTAATTACAAAAAAAGGTTAGGATCATCAATCATAACAGCGTGAATAATCCCATATCACTGGACTCAGAGCAGCCTTCGACAAGTCTTACCGGTCGAAGGCAGGAGTATAAGGTGGATATGTCAGGCAGAGAATCAGGATGGTAGTTCGGTTATCGGAAAGCCAGACCTGCGAGAGTCTGCATGAAGCTCGGAAACTTGTTGTCCTTGAACTTCACGAAAATGCTGCGGTGTAAATCCAGACGGGGCTGGGGCTTTTCTCCGTCGTCGCAGCAGGAAACCCAGGAATCCTATGATGGCCAGAGCGCCGACGCCGACGCCCACTCCGACGCCAATGCCGGCCTTTGCACCACTTGATAACCCGCCGGACGAGGAGGAGACGGCAGTCTGAGTCGCGATCTGAGACGAAGAGGTAGAGATCATAGAAGACGTTGCGGTCGCGGAGGCGGTGGTTGTTGCGGATGTCGATGGAGCAGTTGTGTACACGCTTCGATCGGTCGATTCGTTCTCAATCACGATGGGCATGCCCCACATGGTATATGTCCCGGAGATGCTGGTGCTGGTGGTGTAGTCGCTTGTGTTGAATATAATCCCGCCTGCCCTTGCAGCCACTTTGGTGGCACCGGTGAAAGTACTGACGCATCCAACGTATCCGGAATCGGCGTATAGAGAAAAGTCACTAATGCGATTGTCAGTAGAGAGAAGAACAAATCCCATTGCAGATGCGCACTTTAAACAGCATGTGGCAGTGGTGATGGCATTGCTGACGACAAACTGCTGAGTAGAATACCGGTCGGGACATGCTCCAGGGCTGAAGATCTGACGGGCAAGAATCCGACCATTCTGCTGGAAACCGGGCGGAAAGCAGCCAGTATCGACAGAAAAGGCATTCTGCAGCAGAATTCCGCTGGTGATACCGTTGTAAGTGGAGGCCTCATAAGTCCAACGAGAGGAACAGGATGCAGGTGGTGTATAGACGGTCACCATAGGGACTGTGGTGGTCACAACTGTCGTTGTGGAGGTGGTAGTGGCGGTGGCCTCAGTGGGAGTCGCTGCAACAGGTGGGCCAACCCCCGGCATGGTGTCTTTTTTCGGGGTTTGACGGTGCAATCAAGGCATTGTTGAATATCTTGAAACGAGAGACAGGCCGATCAGCAAAGTTAAGAAAACAGAGAAAAAAACGTGTGGCTCAGGGGCCATGCAGTATTCAAATAGGTCACACAGCTGAGGCCTAAACATAGAGCTAGTACACATGTCGCTAAACAACAAGTAATGACTGGCAGACCCTGCAAGGCTTAGCATGTAACACCAGTTAGGCGCTTTAACAAACTTTGGTAAGCGCTGGCTATCCCCAATGTGTTTGCTGAAAAAGACTAGGCGCTATCCTCAATGAGATCAAATTAATGTCGAGCATCATAGCATGGGGCCTAGAAGCGAAGAAACCATGCAGATATACCGCATGGTCGAATTCGGCAGTTTAGAACAAAGTATGTGGTAGAAGGTACCCTATGACAGATGGACAGCGAACACTTAAAGAAGGTACAAGAACTCACTACCAATACACTACGGTAGCTCCCTCCTAGGTAGACTAAACAGTACCTAAACAATCATGTTTACCCGCCAGCCAACCACCATAGACTATTTTGGCCCCCAAAGTGCCCGAGTCAGCTGCAATTGGACTATATGTCTCTCGCGGCACGTGATGATTGAAAAAGCGGGGGATCTCCCATCGCCCCAAGTTTCCAACACGAACACCTACGAACCTAACCGGCCCACTGCGAGTAGCCAAAGTGATACACGTGCATGTCGATGATGAACATCATCACATTGAGAAAGTATGCTGACAGGTGCTTATGGCCAAGGAAGCAATTGTGCAGGATCACGGGGATAGGCTTGTCCAGCCTGCGAACCCTGGACAGGACGTCCGGAGTGTGCTTGACGATCCAGGCAGTGCCACCACCTTTCTGGCCAAAGGTATGCTCCTCGTTTACTCGTTTACGAAAGTCGGCTCCATTCGCCTTGAACTTTCTCCAATCGGTCCGTTTCTCGCGGCAAGGATGGCACTAGCGCTGGTCATGCTGGATATAGGTCTCTTGCTTGTGGTGATCCCCGTCGCGACTGGGTTGATCTCTCAGCCCCGTATCCTGGCTGCCACTAAGCAATGGTTGCAGTGACGTCTAGGTAGTGGTGGCCGTTACAGTGGCGTGCAGAAGGGTTGGAACACTGATGCACTCGACCAGGATTGTCTTGTCGACTGTGATGACGGCATTTTCTTCCAGCTTGACATCCGCATGGACATGATAGCTCAGCGGCATTGACCGAGAAGTGCACCGCTCAGTAGCCTAATTTTGCTTTGGCTTGCTACTGCATTGGCACTGGAACTGGAAGTACCGAGCAACAACAGCCCGAAAAAGCCAATGGCTGGGACCATGACTTGAATAGAGGAAATTTGGCATCGCGTAGGGATACCCTTCTAAGGACAGAGATCTGGAGCCTTGGTCTCAATAGTGCTCGTAGCATGATATTCTGACTGAGATCATCGTGCTGTCAATGAGATATATATGACACTCATGCCTGGTACAGAATTAGCTATGACACTTGCGTCACAATGGCTATTTGAGTGCACCAGTATTTTACTTGGGCAATAACGGCGGAGCAGCGAATGAGTCAGTAAGCACTCTTCTTGAGTTGACCGGGCTAAGATCTCATGTCAGCGATCGAGCTTGGCAGAATGTCGGCTTCTGAGGAGTCTACAACTGTCGGTGCTGATATTAATTTAACCGATACAACGAGACATTTCATCTCTGAGACCACGAGTCCCTCTTCCAATCTGAATAACCCACATCGCGTGGGGGTGGCCAAGTCCTTGAGGAAATTGTTGACGGATTTAGTCCGGCACCCAATCGGGAATTCGGCTCGAGAGGCCGTAAGGATCGTCAGCTTGTTTAAACACACCATACTTTTATGTCTACCGTAGCTGTGCTTGTCTGAGATCATGCCAAATCAACAATACATGACGACCGACTGAAGATGACGCCCAAATTCGACGTAGACTATGTTTTAGCCAATATCAGCGAGGACGACAAGATCGCTCTCCTCTCCGGTGCATATTGTTGACCCAAGCATTACCTAGAGCGTCGCTAAAGACTAATAGGAAGTGACTTTTGGCACACTTATGCCATCCCCAAATTCAATGTGCCTTCAATTCGTACCACTGACGGCCCCAATGGTATCCGCGGCACCAAGTTCTTTGCAGGTGTGCCCGCTGCGTGTCTCCCCTGTGGCACGGCATTAGGCGCCACATGGGATCGTGACCTGTTGCATCAAGCTGGTGCCCTTCTTGGCAAAGAATGTCTCGCCAAAGGAGCGCATTGCTGGCTGGGACCTACGATCAACATGCAGCGGTCGCCTTTAGGAGGACGCGGGTTTGAATCATTCGCGGAAGATCCCCATCTCTCGGGGATCATGGCCAAGTCGATCGTCCTAGGATGCGAGAGTACAGGGGTCATCTCCACGGTCAAACACTACGTCGGAAATGATCAGGAACATGAGCGCCGTGCCGTCGATGTGCTGGTCACTCCGCGAGCACTTCGGGAGATCTACCTGCGTCCCTTCCAGATTGTTGCTCGAGACGCCCAGCCAGGAGCCTTGATGACATCGTACAACAAAATCAACGGCAGACATGTCGTCGAGAGTCCTGCCATGTTGGATATTGTCCGCAAAGACTGGAACTGGGATCCCTTGATCATGAGCGATTGGTTAGGAACATACACCACCATCGACTCGATGAACGCCGGTCTAGACCTCGAGATGCCGGGCCCGACGCGATATCGCGGAAAGTACATAGAATCCGCCATGCAGGCGCGACTGATCAAACAGTCGACGATCAATAAGCGTGCTCGCAAGGTGCTTGAGTTTGTTGAACGCGCAGGCCGCGCTCCTGTGTCGGCGGAGGAAACTGGTCGTGACCTCCCAGAAGACAGGGCGTTGGACCGCACGCTGTGTGCGAATAGTATCGTTCTGCTCAAAAATGCGGACAACCTGTTGCCATTTCCTAAAACAATCAAGAAGATCGCGCTGATCGGGTCTCATGTGAAGACTCCCGCTATTTCAGGCGGCGGTAGTGCTTCCCTTGAACCATACTATGCCGTCTCTTTATACGATGCAGTTGTCGAAGCCCTTCCTGATGCCGAGATTCTCTATGAAGCCGGCGCATATGCTCACAAGATGCTTCCTGTCATAGATCGAATGCTCAGCAATGCCGTCATCCACTTCTACAATGAGCCGCACGAAAAGGAAGAACGCACACTACTGGCGACAGAACCGGTGGGTAACACGGCGTTTCAGCTGATGGACTACAACGCACCCGGTCTCAACAGAGGTCTTTTCTGGGCTACCCTAATCGGAGAGTTCACACCGGATGTCTCTGGGCTCTGGGACTTTGGTCTCACCGTGTTCGGTACGGCCACGCTTTTCATTGACGATGAGATGGTCATTGACAATACCACCCGCCAAACACGCGGAACGGCATTTTTTGGCAAAGGAACGGTGCAGGAGGTCGGGACGAAGCAGCTCACAGCTGGACAGACGTATAGAATTCGAATTGAGTTCGGCTCTGCCAACACCAGTCCTATGAAAGCTATTGGCGTGGTCCACTTTGGCGGCGGCGCCGCCCATCTCGGCGCGTGTCTACATATGGACCCTGAGCGAATGGTTGCCAATGCGGTTAAAATTGCGGCCGAGGCGGATTATACGATCCTGTGTACGGGACTCAATCGAGACTGGGAGTCGGAAGGATTTGACCGTCCGGATATGGACCTTCCTCCGGGCATTGACGCGCTGATTTCGTCTGTGCTTGATGTGGCGGCCGACAAGACTGTCATCGTTAATCAATCCGGGACTCCTGTCACCATGCCATGGGTGGATCGAGCCAGAGGGATTGTTCAGGCATGGTACGGGGGCAATGAAACTGGCCATGGCATTGCCGATGTCCTATTTGGAGATGTCAACCCCTGTGGGAAATTGCCCCTTTCCTGGCCGGCGGATGTGAGGCACAATCCAGCGTATCTGAACTCTATGAGCGTGGGGGGTCGAGTGCTTTATGGCGAGGATGTGTATATGGGATATCGATTCTACGAGAAGGTTGGCCGCGAGGTCTTGTTTCCGTTTGGGTAAGTTGATGTTCTTATTCACTAGACGCATGCTCACGACTGCAGACATGGTTTATCATACACGACCTTCAGCGTCTCTCCTGAGGCGGCCGTATCTCCGAGTGTCTTCTCATCGGACAGTCCACCCGCTGCCAGAGTTCTAGTCAAGAATACAGGTCCAGTGGCAGGAGCGCAGATCCTACAGGTTTACATTGCCGCACCCCATTCAGCAACTCCGCGGCCTGTCAAGGAACTGCACGGATTCACCAAGGTGTTCCTACAACATGGAGAGGAGAAAACAGTGGACATCCACATCGACAAATACGCAACCAGCTTCTGGGACGAGATCGAGGATATGTGGAAGAGCGAAGAGGGCGTCTATCAGGTGCTGATTGGGACATCGAGTCAGGAGATTATGTCTCGAGGAGAGTTTAGGGTGGAGCAGACAAGATACTGGAGTGGTGTATAGATAGCATCATAACATTTGTCTTCCATCTTTCAGTCTCAACTTGCAAGTCAGGAGCTTGGCACCGGGTAAAGTGGATGCATTTATCCAAAGTCCAGGCTGGGCAGTGTGGGGGTTCAATCAATACTGAATCGAGCCACCACGATTACCCATTAGGGTCATTACCGTATTTAATCCGGGGTAAACGTGGGGCATGTGGTGATCTGCTGACTCTTTAAACCAACTGTAATCGCAAATCCTCTGTCAGCTCGTTAGATTGTCTCAGCAATCCCCCACATGATGTCTTGGGCCGCTCTTGGCAGGTATGCTGACAGCATTCAAACATGCTCACTTCAAGCTTCCATTGGTGGGGATATAACCAGAGTTCCCGTGTCGTGAACGTGGGGGTTCCGGGATGCCTTTTCCATCAAGGAGCACCTTGGACCAAGACTCCGGTCAGAGCTATCAACAGGGGCATCGCGGCTGAAACGAGTCTGTCCTGTGGTCGACGTCTCTGTGACGGGTTTACATATAGCCAGAGGAAGCTGTCTCCACCTGACAGGATCAAGCCATCATCATCAGCGATTATACGACATCGATCATCATGGTTGTAGTGCCAAAGCACCGTGAGGAAGATGTCGCGGAGCCCGTCCTGGCCAATCTGCTGGCCGACGATCGTACTCCTTGGTACAAGAAGCCTAATCTGAGATACTTGTATTTCATTCTGTTTCCTGCATGCATGGGGATTGAGATTACCTCTGGTTTCGACTCGCAGATCATCAATACTGTGCAGATCGTCTACACGTGGAACAAATGTATTCTCATGACGTACTGTGCTATTTTACTGCGGACGGCTGACATCTCCAGATTTTGGTCATCCAACCGGAGCTGTTGTCAACGGTCAACCCAAGTATGAGATCGAAGCCAATCTCAAAGGGTTCCTGGGGGCTGCATATTCTCTTGGAGCCATCCTCTCACTCCCGTTTGTCCCCTGGGTAAACCAGCGATTCGGACGACGATGGACCATTATGTTTGGTTCCTGCGTCAGTCTCCTGGGTGCTTTTCTGCAGGGCTTTGCCAACGGGGGTATGCTACCCACCTCTAATTAGTTGCATGTGCTAATTTTGTAGTCGGCATGTACGTCGTCGCGCGGATCATCCTTGGATTTGGCATTCCCTTTTGCATTGTTGCCGGATCTTCCCTTCTTGGTGAATTGGGATACCCCAAGGAACGACCCATTCTGACCTCGCTGTTCAATTCTTCGTACTTTATCGGCCAGATCATCGCTGCTGCTGTCGGCTTGGGAACGGTGACCATCAAAACCGATTGGGCTTGGAGAATTCCGTCGCTCCTGCAGATTGCACCGGCGATGGTGCAGATTGCCTTTATCTTGTAAGTTATATCTTACTGTGTCTGACAGGACTGACAATGTGCAGTCTCCTTCCTGAAAGCCCTCGCTATCTGATCAGTAAAGACCGCCACGAGGAGGCCTTTAACATCCTGACCAAATACCACGCCGAGGGAGATCGCAGCTCGGTCATCGTGCGAGCCGAAATTGCCCAGATCGAACGCACCATCAAGCTCGAACTCGAGGAGGCCAAGCAGACATGGTGGGATATGTTCCGCACTGCCGGTATGCGTCGTCGGTTGCTCATTTCGGCCTTTTTGGGATTGTTCACCCAGTGGTCGGGCAATACTTTGATCTCGTATGTTTGCCCTTCGTCTCCTGCTGAGATGTACTAATGATGTCCAGATACTACTTGAGTGACCTCCTGGAAATGGTCGACATCACGGACGGAGTGGTCAAGTCGAAGATCAACATCGGCATTGCTTGCTGGGGTCTCGTCTGCGGTACGACGCTGGCGCTGACTGTTCCTCGATTCAAGCGACGGACAATGTACCTAACCTGTGCCTGTTCGTTGCTCTGCGTGTATGTCGCTTGGACCATCTCCATGAAACGCTTCATGAATACCCACGCCAAGGCCGCGGCAATCCTGACAATTTTCTTCATTTTCTGCTATTCGCCGGCATATAACCTCGGCTACAACGCGTTGACATATAGTAAGTTTCCGCCCATCTCGAATCTGTAGATGCTGACTGACTGGTCAGCTTACCTGGTCGAAATCTTCCCCTACTTTGGTCGCTCCAGAGGTATCTCGTGGTTCCAGTTCTACGGACGAGGCGCGAGCTTCTTTGCAACCTATGTGAACCCGGTCGGCCTGAAGAATATCAGCTGGAAGTGGCTGCTGGTATACTGCTGCTGGTTGGCTTTCGAGCTGGTGTTTATCTATCTGTTCTTCCCCGAGACGTCGGGCAGAACTCTAGAGGAACTATCTTTCAGTAAGTTTCACCTCTGAGGCCTTGAGACACAACTAACAGGTACAGTGTTCGAGGGCAAGGAAAAGGCAAATGAAGTGGCTGCAGCTGTTCACAAGCAGCTTGATCAGGGACATGACGAGAAGACGCAGAATGTTCATGTCGAGGAGACTTTGCGGGCATGAGTTGAACGTGTTACTGGATTAGATTTCTGATGCAGACTGTGTCTTCTTAATTACAGAATCTGAGCCCTCCGTCTCTTATTAGTGACGATGACTGATGACTCATGAGCGGCAGAAAGTATCAGGGACGTTCCTCCCCTATAGGCTTGACGAGGTACAAAATGCAGCTAGACAAATGAACCAATCCAAGATATGAGGAGGACCAATGGACGAATCGTTCAAAGTTTGTTAAAGACTTGGTAGAACCCGGGCMGTCGACGACGATCTATGGATGTTGATCCATGGTTCAATGGTTATTGCCCTTAGCCACATCTTAAATCAGGCTGAATCAGAGAGAACTATTAGGAAATATTTCCCCTAGCCATGCCCCGACTGACAATGTCCGTCGTCATTGGTGCTGTGAACCACTGGAACTATTTACCCCTCCTGTGATCGGAGAGCAGGCTGTTGCTACAAATACGTGATCATCTTCGCTTTCTGCGCTTGTGATGAGGTACAATCCTCTCTGACTCCTCTGTTCAATCTCGCTGGTCCTCAATTAGATTGGTGACGACGATGATCTCGGGACTCTGGACTTCCAGCCCGTGTCAGCCTCCTGCAGACCTCATAAAACTATGGAAAGGGAGTTGATCCTCATTCTCTCTGAGCTATGTCGTAAAATTCGTGCATTGCAGAAAGTTCAATAAGGTATCTCGTATCTATAGAAGGCCATGCATGCATTCATGTGACCTTTCCCATAAGCAGATCCAAACCACAATCAAATCATGAGTCGTCAAACGCCGTGCTCCTTGCTGCAATATCTCATAGAGGAATCCATAATCACAAAGGGGCTTTAGTCCTCCCCTCGTCCGCATCAAGAACCACCTCCAGTTCGCTTGTCAATGTATACACAGATAGATCGGACATACTTTCGTGCGTTGGCGGAGGGAATATTGGTTCTCTGATCGGGCCATCGGCTGTTTTCTTTACTAAAGGATTGGGTGGCAGCTGGGTAGACGACATGCAGTCGCGGAAATTCCCCGGAAAAAGTCCTTTGTCCAGGTCGCTTTGCCACAACCGACGGGTGGCATCGAACGCTTTATCAACCAGACCTCGCCGCGCGTTCTCGTACTCTACAAATATACGGTGGAGAGGACGTTCAGGCCCCTGAGCAAAGATCTGCGCGAATACGACCGCATCTTCGATGGCGTAGGCGGCTGATTCCTCGCGCGGTGGCATCTGCAGTTATTGTTTAGCGGTGCTATCCTGACCGTGAAAAGCTTACTTGTACTTACTGCGTGTGCGGCATCCCCGAGCAGCAGAGCGCGGTCGACGTGCCATTTCCCCCGTTGCGGGACCTGGTAGATGGGATACAACTCCCAATCACGCGTCTCCTCAATCCACTCCCGAATCCACGGGAAGGCAGACACGCCGAATTTACTGCGCACCTGATAGCGAAGGGCCATCTGTGCCGACGTGAGTGCCGCGATATTGGTGTCTGTGTAGCCCAGTGCGCGGTACCGCTCGATAATGTGCTCATTGACACGCATGATCGCAGCAACAAATATGGTCTGATGACTTGGGTCGCAATAGCTGGCCAGCAGCGATCCTTGCCGAGTCAGGTGAATGGCCGATTCATCGAAATGAGATGGTAGTGATACCCGCCCGGCCGGAGCCAGACTCTGAATGAAGGAGATCCCCGTATATTCCGACTGGTTGCCGGGATCGACCAGCTGCGTGCGGACCGCCGAGTGGACGCCATCGCATCCCAGCAGTAGATCTCCCGTGGTCGTCGTCCCATCGTCGAATTGCAGAGACACTGCATTTGAGTCTGTGCTGCTGCTGCATAATTTCTTGTCAAACTCTACCGAAATCTGCGCGTACTGGCGCGCCTCGGCCAGCATGGCGCGCAAGAGGGCACTCCGCAGCACTCGGCGGCTCTTATAGCCCCCGTAACCGCGTCCAGTCTCGTCGGCAAATCGCAACGGACCCAATGATCGTCCTGAGCGGAGAGAGTAAACATTAATTTCGTCCACTTCAATCCCCGTGTCTTCTCCCATCTGAGAGAGTTCGCCCAGGATGCCGAGCTGATCCAAGTAGTGCTGAGCGATCGGGGTGAGACTGATCGCCCCTCCATCTCCCATCGAATGTTCAGTTCGACTGTCATAGATGGTGATGTCCAGATCCGCTTCGACTTGTGTGAGCTCTTTAGCCAGAGCGATGCTGGCCGTGAGACCAGCGATTCCACCACCAACAATCAGGACGCGGCGCGGCATGATGCGATGGGCTTGGAACAAAAGGCTGACCATTTGAGCAAGGACCTCTGTAGATATAACGACTTTCTGTCGGGTCCGAACACAAATCAAGTCGCCGGCCGAAAGTCAGAAATCTCGGTGACCAGCATCAAAGGACCATTTTGAGCGTTGACACTGGCTCGGCAGTTGTGCATTTGCACATTTGACTTCTTGATTTGATTGGCTGCTTTGATGGCCGCGGCTGGCCCGTGGCGACAGCTGGGTCACGGCCGAAATAAATGCACCCTGATTGGGTGGAACTCTCTGTCAAGAGACCATCCATGGATCGCCTAGATTTTGTATGCAGGTCGGATCCGAGAGATGGCGCAAATTTTTTTTAACAGAAACAGAGGTAGAACTGTTCCCCGCTTATTCCAGCTCAAAAATGACAGATCAATTATCTTTCAGTGTACCCGAAGAAATTGCAGGTTTCCAGACAACACAGGAGCCAGATCAGCAGAGGAGCCAAGAATAGGTTGCCCAATGACACGTGACAACAAGCGGGTCGCCGAGATGCGCGGTGTGTTGTGATTGGCTGCCATTGGTTCTACCTACAGATAAGCTTAAGGGGCAGTTGGTGGGGAATCCGTGTCGCCTGTTGAAGTGTCGATGGGATATGCCCTCCAAGCAAAAGGGGAGGGACTTGTACAAAGACATGTGTACTGCCAGTGTCTGTCACTCAAAACATTCTGCTTTGGAGCTGTTTGGATTGTAGAAGTAACGGCGATTCTACAAGTTATTGCGTCTTGGGATGTGATCGCTATGGTGCTACTGCAATATATTTCCTTGCGACTTTATCCCTAAGCCAAAGAGAGAAACAATTTCACACAGGAGGAGGGACATGTATTTCTTTTTTACACGACACGACTTACATGAGCTGGTTTTCAATTTGTCTCTGACGAAGTATCATCATCAGTACATGAGGCCTAAGGCTATTACTTCTGCGATGTCAATGGAGATGAAGATGCTGCTGGCATCTTACTATAACAACCTTAGTTGATTTTCTCATTCCTTCATTCTCCTCTATTATAATAATTATTTATGTACTGTGATCTCACGCAATCTTTGAGTAGGTGTATATATATATGTGTGTGTGTGTGTGTGTGTGTGTGTGTGTTTTTGTACCTCTCCGTAGAATGGAGATCAGCTAACCCTAGTATCGGAATATTTCATCTACGGAATATCAACACTAATCACCAATCATTGCATCAAAACCGTCACTACCTGATCTCTGCTTACCCATAGTAACTGATCCTGTCGTTTAGCCGAATGCGGTTAGAAGGCTGACATGACAACAAAGCATTGTTAGCGAGATGAGAAGCATTGACAGGATTATGGGACAAAATCAGGTCCCTTGTCAAGTGGAAAGCTGTTTACATCAGACTTCTTGATCTTTTTAGTGGCATGCGGTCCCTGCCAGGTACCTTTTATAATCCTTACGAAGGGCAGAGAGGTGGGCCGAGGTTTAGTTGTCATCGCCCTGATAGCCAAGATATATCAATGGCACCCGAAGGCCCTTATTCAGTATTCCTTCGAAAGTGAACTCAGCTAGTCAGTGTAAAACTCAGCCAGTCAGCACAACGCTTTGATCGCAGAGAGGAGGGGGATGGGTTCCGTATCCGGTTCTAGTCCGTCTCTAGCACAGACTTAGCACAGACTTGGCACTTCATGAACAGGGATTATAACGGCTAATAGACGGAGTAATTGTCACTTAAGCCTGCGCTGTCGTCCAATTGATTGCCTCCAGGTCCACAAAATCGATCAATGTAGGGTTACTGCGGAAATATCCGTGGTCTTCAAATCATGGTGTGGTCTAAGTGATTGGATGAGATTGAAGGAGACATGATATTATGCCGAAGAGGGCCAGCTGCAGATTTATAAAGCATCGGCAACCCCTCGCTGCCCGAAATTATCATCTACTTCCGAAGATATCATTCATCCAAACCTCCCAAGATGCTATCCTTTGCATCTCCTGTCCTCGGCCTGGCCGCAGCCGCGTCTCTGGCCACGGCTAGTCTGTTACCAAATATCCTTTTCAAAGATGTCGTTGTTGTCGGTGGTGGTGCTTCTGGTGCCTACGCCGCGGTGCGACTTCGCGATGACTTTGGTAAGAGTGTTGCTCTCATTGAGAAGCAGAGCATCCTTGTAAGACTATCCCTGCCTCCGGTAAATGGACAACAGTTATTGACCCCCGACAGGGTGGGATGGTCGACTCTTATGTAGATCCCAAGACCGGCGTCCCCTACGACTACGGGGTCAAGATTTTCATAGACGCTGGCAATGCGACGGGCTTCTTTGAGCGGTTTGGCATTGCGATGGGCAACTCCACCAATCCCACAGTCACGACGGAGTACATTGACTTTCGAACCGGAAGTGTCGTCGACTTCCAGCTGCCATCTGTGACGGACCAGTTTGCGGCCATGGCCAAGTTCCTCGAGGTGGTGGAGCCGTGGGAACACCTTATGCAGCCCGGCTACTACAACTTTCCCCTGCCAGATGCGATTCCCGAAGATCTTCTTATATCGTTTGGTGATTTTATTACCAAGCATGGAATCGAAGATGCTGTCCTTCTGATCTATGAGAGTACCGGCCTGGGACTCGGTAACATGACGCAGGAAACCACCATGTTTGTTCTACAATCGTTCGGTGCCCCCATGGCTCGAGCAATGCTCGGCAAGCAAGGAATGTTTGTCCCTGCGTCCGGTCGCAACCAGGACCTGTATGATGCCATAGGCAAGCATCTCGGGGATGACGTCCTGTATTCGAGCGCAGTCGTTCACAGCCGGCGTACCGAATCTGGCGTCTTCCTCACAGTGAAGAACAGCAAAACAGGCCAGATCACCCTGATCACAGCCCGCAGGCTCCTTCTCGCCATCGAGCCTACCAAAGACAACATGGCGCCCTTCGACCTGGACGATAATGAGCGTACGATCTTGTCCAAATTTACTTACACTAACGAATACACCGGTTTGGTGAACAATTCTGCCTTTGCGACCAACTACTCCTACTTCAACCTCCCTGCCTCTGCCGCGCCCGACAACTATCTTGCTCTGCCGGATCCCTCGTTCACGGCTCGCATCGACTACCTTGGCGGCGATAACTTGTTCAGGGTGACGATCATCGGTGACGACACACTCGACCCTGCCGGCGCCAAACAACTGGTGCAAAAGGACTTTGATACTCTCCGCAAAGCCGGTCGGTTAGACGCTAAGAAAGGGGAGCAGGTGAGCTGGGTCGACTTTTCTACACACGGTCCCATGCATGCCCGTGTGTCGGTTGCGGACTTGAAAGACGGGTTCTACCAGAAGCTGTACGCGCTGCAGGGAGGACGGTCGACCTGGTGGACCGGCGGTGCTTTCTCGGTCAACTTCCAGACCACGTTGTGGCAGTATGACGAGCTTCTCTTTCCTGAGATTCTTAAAGGGCTGAACTAGATACTGGCGACTTGGTCGTCTTTTACTAGATGTCTTGTATCTGGGAACATACGAAATCGGCGGATGTACATACAGAATGCATCTTCACTTCACATAACTCATTGATGAACAAAATTCGAAATGCTAACCTGCGGAACCCGTCCACAAGGCAAGATTCACCAGCATACTTCGACGCCAGCTCCTATATCTCGTCCATGATGTTCCGGTATAAATTCGAAGCTTTACATTCCAGCACATACCGGTGACAAACAGTAAGAAGTGAAGAAAATCCAATTCAAACTATTTGCAAATTATTTATTTGCTGCCGTAGGAGTTCGCGGGATGATGTCAACATGGCATATCAGTTCAAAGAGTACAAACTTACCGTTAATTGCCATGGGATCCATGGTTTCCACACACATGGTGACACCCCCTCTCAGCACCCTATATTAAATAAAAGGTATCCCCCACCAACAGTTTGACCCTCTGTCCCCGGACTGTCTGTAGATATAGTTTACTCTATACTGCGTTATTATACAGACCCATTTCAATTTTTCGGCTTAACAGGATTTCTAAACATAACAGGAGCTAAAAATCAAAGGAAGAAAATAGCAAAAGGCGAAGGGCCTCAAAATACCACCATGGAGTCCTTCAGGACATCATCGATATTGAAAAGATTCCGTGCTAAGCTGGATCTAGACATCTACAAAGTGCTCCTAATGCTTAAGTATGTTTTCCCGAGAGCCAATGGCCACAGCAGAAGCAGTCTTCCATGGTAAACGAAAGCAGGCTTTTAGAAAAGCTTCAACTGTAGTGTTCGCTTCTGCACGACTGTCGCTGAGGCTTTTGCACGCTTCTCTTCATTGCCTGTAATTAGACTCAAAGCTGACATGTATCTCAAAAGGGGCGGTATTGCGCCGACTGTCGGGCTCGCCATGTATGTCCTCTACTCCACTCAGTGGAAGTCTCCTTACACCTCTTAGATATCAGAGCGAAAGTGTTGCGAGGCACTTCTCTACTATCGGCTATCTTATCCCAATAATGTCTATTCTCACTTTGCCGGTGGCACCAAGAGCTCGATTCTTCCAGAATCTTGTAGTGACAATGGTATTGACTCACTCTAAGCCGAGAGATGACTTTATTAACGCTAATCTCGTGTGCCGGACAGCTTTTAACTTGTTTCGCAATCGCAATCTCTTATTTATCAATGTGGTGTGCTGTCCGGGCTCGGGCGAATACAACTCATATTCAGGGGGCAACGAGTGGTGGCCCTGTCGCTGGTACTGCGATCAGTCCGTTCAATGCCGCTGCCAGCGTTAATATGGCGGTCTGGTTATTTTTTGAAGTCTGGCTGGCTAACACGTCTGCTTGCCCATGTCCACGGCGTTCTCTCTGGCTGATTGATGGAGCAGGTTCCGCTCATTCCGACCTCAGTACTTCGTCCCGTCTATAGTATTTTCCATCTTCATCCAAGTGACAGCAACTTACGGAACTCAGTTTGCTACTATGGATGAAGCTTCGTCTTTAGGTGGGAGTATACGTCTGCGATTCTGGCCTTTACTGACTGTATGCGGGAGTCTCCAGTAAGGCGCTTGACCGAAGCATTCTTTACCGGCTTTGGATTATCAGCCGTGGTCAATGTGTTGATACTTCCATACACATCCCGAACTTTGGTTGCTTTACACATGAAAAATAATCTCCATGCGATACGGAGAACACTTAATGCCCAACGTCAATTCGTGCAATCCCTGCCCTCCCGTGACATTTTTTCTCAAAGGACAGAGGGGGACGACCATCCCAACTCTCAGCGCGAGACAGTGTTGTGGCCGGAAGCGGATGCACTGAAGAATGCAGCCATGGATGTTGCCAAAGGGTTTGGAGCGATCAAATCGGAGCTCCCCTTTGCAAAACGTGAAGCTGGTCGGGCATATCTGGGGCTGAAGGAGCTGGTAGAGATAACACGCTTCCTGAAGAGCATACTGGTCTCGGTATTGGGGATGGAGTCTCTCGTTGAAGTCGCAACCCGGCTGGAGAAGCGAGGGCTTCGGGAGTTTTTCAGAGGGTCAGGGTCCGGTATTTGCCATCCATTGACTGAGTCGGAAAAAAATGATCTCGAGGTGGAAAGACAGCAATGGTATTGGATATTTGAACAGACTCGTGGTCCCACAGAACAGCTTTTGGACGCGATGGACGAAGGCCTTGACCATACAATGTGCTCCCTTCGCTTGGGGAAGTCACCTAGGGCACCTGCGTCTGACCTCGAAGCCAACGGAAATAACACAGCGAGACATCTAGAGGAAACGATTGGATACTTCCTTAGCCAGCGACAAGGGCCATTGAAGACCTGGCTAGCTTGGAAAGGCATGGATCAGCCGTCTCAAAGCGAATCGTTGAAGAGCAGTGTGAAACCCGCGGATCCTCAGCTGCATGAAGAGCATCAACTTCAGCTATACATTTTGCTCGATGTAAGTATTCCTAAACACAAGGTGCGACTAACTAATTCGCTTGAAGATGCATTATTCGTTTATTGAATCCGCGAGAAGCATCCTAAATCTAGTGCAATATGCTGATGCCAAGATGAGCGATGGCACCATGAAGAAAAAAAGGTTCATCATACCAACCTGGAAGCAAATGAAGAAATGGCTCTGGGCTTCATTGTCCAGGGAAGATGGGGAGCTTGATTACCAAAAATACTGCAAAAGATCTGGTACTGTCAGGGTATACCTTGATGATGTTCTGCAGACGGGCATGGATGCGGAACACCTTCCACCCGCAAACACGTGGGAGAGGTTTAGTGACAAACTTCGGACCATTGCTCACCTATTTGGCTCTCCGGAGTCCTTTTTTGGTTTCAGAGTGGCCATAGCCACCATGACTGTGGCCCTTTTTGCCTTTCTTAGAAACACGCAGCAATTCTACATCCAACAGCGTCTCATCTGGGGCTCAATCATGATTGCAATTAGCATGACGGAAACAGCTGGTTCGGGTATATACGGACAATTTCAGCGATTGTTGGGAACAGCAATTGGAATGGTGTTGTCATACTTTGACTGGTATATAGTTGATGCACACCCAGCAGGTGTCATTGTGTTTGTCGGCATCACCATGGTCTTGACTCACTACCTTTATCTAAGATTCCCAACGGATCCGGTGGTGCCGACGATAACCATGGCCACCGTCATGTTGATCGTGGGCTATGCGCTTCAGGTTAAGAAGGTTGGTATAGCAGTCTCTGAAACCAACGGCCAGCAATATCACGCCCTCTACGTGCTTTCGCCCTACCGACTAGCTACTGTCGTTGTCGGCGTCGGTGTTGCCTTTTTCTTCACGAACTTCCCTCGTGTGGTTAGCGTGAGAACGTGCCTCCGAAAAGATCTCAGTTCCTTTCTGTACCTTCTAGCATATTACTCTACCTCCACATACAAAACGGCCTCCTCACGGTTCAAAAAGCTGGCCGGTGACCGCAGGGGCAAGGAGAGTCTAGAGAGGGCTCTTGAGAAAGCTCGTGTTGGTGTGCTTGCGAAAGATATCATTCTCCTCCAAGGCATGAAGCTTCACACTGTTTTCGCTGCCTGGGAACCTAGATTTGGAGGGAAATTCCCCCAAGGCACGTACAACAAACTGGTTGAACACGCACAGAAGTAAGCTTACATACATCCATACCTTAGGTCTGCAATGACTGATACGGCCTAGTATACTCTACTGTTCGGCACTAATGGTATCCATCACCAATTCATTCCAAGACCTGATCACTAGTGTCGCCGCCAACCCCGGATACTCCGAACTATGGTCTGGAAACTTCGAACAATTAGTTACTGCCCTGGATTCATCATCCCACGATATATCATCGCTACTCATCGCTCTTTCAAGTGCCATACGAAGCAAGAGGCCACTTCCTTTCTGTGTCAAAGCCCCTAAAATCCGTCTCCTTACCGAGATTATTGCCGATCTCGAGGGTAGACTGCTTAGTACACAACATGTTTGCGAGCCGCCCTACTCAGCATTTGCGGCATTGGAAGTGACCATGGCTCTCATAACGGATGATGCTTCTCAAATGCTGTCGGAGACAAAGAAGCTTGTTGGGGAGTTGGACATCCTCGGAGATATCGTTAGGAACAAACGCTTACCCTCTAGCGTGCGTTCAATTATGGCGGAGGAGACGACCTAGCTGAAATAAAGAGACAGTTTATTATCAATGGGCCCCCCATTCTACATCAGTTTGGCAGAAACACGATATTCAGACAGAAGCTTCCTGATGCAAGCCACCAGTGACTGACCATTCTGTCATGGAAATGATTCCTGTTGGTTAAGCAAATGAATTTGTTCGCTCAAATAGTCCCTGTCAGACCCTCATTATCAAGGACCTCTGTACTAGGAGGTGAGTTAACTGTATATTTCAAACTATGAGAGAAAACCCACCCAGAAGTTTACTAGCTTCTTCCCTCGAGCTGCATCACATAAAATATACTCCCATCCAAAGTGTGGGAATGATAAGATCGCGTTGGGAGGTCCTATTAACAGATAATCTGTCATTGTTTTAAGGTGACATGTTTTACTAGCTGATATCTGTCCATTAGTCTTCAAATCCTGACAGGCTTAATAGCATCTCTCTCCTTTCGTCACGAATCAAGGCCTACTTAAGCTCTGGGAGTCTAATTAATTCAGCGATTTTCGGATCAGTCCAGGCGGGAGATCAGACCACTATTTATTGTGACAGGTCCAGTTGCATTGAGAGCTATCTAAGCACATTAGATAGGACTTGACTATTGAATACTAACTACTAGCGAAGCCACGAGAACGCTTTGTGGTCACGGCAAAGGACATCGAGTAACCTCTCCGCGGTCTTTTCGGCGATTATGGCACGATTATAGGCACGAGAGGGCACGAGTACAAACTGGAAGTGCCATTGCACTTTTTGCTAGCTCAGGTGCTAGGGTAGGTGCTATAGTAAAGTTAAATGCTTACAGTTATTTTCACGAATATCTATATATAGGGTTGGTTTTCATCTCAAGCCTCCTCCTCTTCCCTGCACTAGGGACCGGTCAAGCCAACTGGAGATCAAAATTATATTACCTTCAATATAAAATAGAGCACTAATAATTAGTTAAAACGCCAGGTAAGGATTGATCCCGAGTTTTTAAAAGGATAGCGCTATCGTGACGATAAAGACTCATAAGTCTGTAGACGAGCTACTACAAAGTTTGATTGAATGCTAACTTAAAGGATCAAAGGCTAAAGAACTGGTTCAGAGAACATTTAATTCTCGGTATAAGGTTTGCTTTTTAGGTGATAGTCCATAGCGTAGCTGATGGCGCTTTCAAGGGGCTTAGTACAGCCACTTGGGTGGCTGACGGTCTCGCTATAAGACTTCTGAAGGTGTTAAGATAGAATCGACTAGCAGGGTAGACGGCCCATCAGTCAGGCAAGGAAGAAAGTAACAAGACACACTGTCACAAGACTGGTTCTTGAGGAACGCTCAAGAATCAAACGAGATGCTCTATTTAACATAGTTCTCCATGTAGCCTACTCGGAGATCAAAGGGTTCAGCTGAATGCAAAAGAGGTTCAGCGATGTGATATCAGAGAGGGGTATGCAGTTGGTGCAGCATGTGGAAGGCCTCTAAGCAGCTGTGGAACCACTCCCGCTTCACTGCTGGTTGCCTGTGGTAAGAGGTCGTTCGGCCAGAGGAACGCTGATGGTTGGGAATAGCATCCATGAAAGGAAATGTCGTAACAGAAGGAGAGGGAACCATATACGTTTGAATAGAACGAGAACAAAAAGGAGCTTCCTTTCTTTAGGATAGTGACTCGAGAAGGACGCTAGCAAAATAAAGCACTATCCTTCTCCTCTCTGCACTATAACTTTGTGAGTCTAGCTTGGCGCAAGTGCTTCAAGGACCAACTACGCGGTATATTCATGTCCTGATGTGACTCGCGCAGTGGAGCAGTACGATCGCTCAAGAGCACTACTATCGAACCAACATCTTTCAGTTCCTTCGAGATCCTCCCCAGCACGGGCTCCAATAGTAAAGATTTCGCCAATATTTGCTACGAGAGATTAGATGTGTTTGAATTATAGCCGTAGAGGACATACCGACTACCGAGTTTGGCTTCGCCTTGCCAAGTAATTAGGATTTTGCTGAAATCCAACACTCAGATGTGATTTTTAGAATTGTAGGGACATATTTCAGCCCTTCAAGAACTTCTTTACAAATCGTTGCTATATCGGCTTCGCTAAATGAGGAAGTCCCTACCACACAACCCAGACTTATTGCCAAGTGCTCGTACTCGTAGATCCATCGAACCTCATCTTCAGACTGGGTGTGATCAATTAGAGAGACAAGATTCTTGTGGATGGCAAATTGCAATTTCAAGAACCTAGCTTTGCCGATACCGACCTGCCAATGTGTCAGGATCCAATCGCTTATCCGCACCTCCCCTAGCAGTCTACCACCAATACCTCAACCCAAAAGAAACCTTATCAGGGTCACGCAATCAGGCCACCTCGTGATCCGCAGGGTCCTGTAGTCCCGATTCTTGGATTACAGGCGATGCATCATTTGTAGAGTGTTTAGACGCGGGGTCTGTATGGGCTAGGCTCTGGAGGCGTCTAGGTGGCGTTTACTGTCACGACAAAATTTGGCGAGCACCTCATTTTCCTCAGCCGCACTCTTCTCAATCACATTACATAAATACCCTGCCATCCAAGGGTGTCTTGAACCGCGATAGTTAGACTTCATACTTCCTACTCACACCAAGATGGTCACCTCCGAAGATATGGACAAGAGAGGAGTATCCTCAACTATGCCTTTGGCTCCCGATAGAGGGGCGAAGCAGATGCAGGGGCGCATCCAGGAGATTTTGATCGCGTTTACTGTTATGACATTGCCAATGTTAATCTTCTCTGGCCTTCTGCTTGGCTTGGTCTTTCATTATCGCATCACACAAAACGACTTTACCTCCAGTGATCTAGCATTTGACTCTAACCAGAATGATCCAGGCGTCTATTTTGTCCGAATAAGTGCAACCACACTCACCACCGTTGCCTCGTGGTCTAGCACTATCGCTCCAATATTAGTTGGCTTCGGTGTAGCTCTGGTGTCCTACCCCGTTGCGAAGGGTCTGTTGACGGCTTCGGAAAACCATGAGGTGGCGCAGCTACCAACACCTTTTCAGCTCTCATTAATAGTCCGTATGGTTTCAAGCGGCTCATTCTCTGCCCTTTGGAGCTGGCTGATGTATTCCTTTGGCTGGAGAGGAAGGCGCGAGCGCCAGGGGAGAGCGATAAAGAGTCTGACGACCGTATTGACCCTCGGCATTATCTTAAGGTGCGTGTTTTTTCCGCTCTAGAAATACTACCGAGTTGTTAGTTTAACAAAAAATAGCACTGTTGTCCTAGTCACGGACACCTGGCTTCACTTCACTACCAAAACCGTCAACTTCATTCAAGTGAACGCAAACTCCGACGCCTCAGGTCTTGGATTCGGCGTGTACCAGAATTGCACGAACGTAGACAGCGCTCTTCTTAGCTGTAACCTCAACAACCCTGCCTCAGGCGATGTCCTACTTAACCCCGACCCGATGAAAGTTCTCTCCAACATATCAGATACAATGACAATCCAAATTTACTCTGTGGGTCGAGATCAGTACGCATATGTCACGAGCCCGGAAACATCTCGCCTATCACCGCTCGACTATACCGTCTCAACATATGCCATACACTCGCAATGTTCTCCCGTGACCTCCCAGTGCGCGAACCCGAATGATGTTTCCGGAGTTGGCACGACCTACAACTGCCCATTTGCGTTCCAAGGGAGGGTCAACACAGCCGTGGGCGCGTCCAATTCCGTGACCATGGCCTACTTCACAGACTCAACAGGCTCTAACAATAACACGGATAAAACCGTGATTGGCAATCCCTATTACTACTCCGCCATGATCCTAGCGAATATGCGCAATGCACGTCCTGCAGCCCTGCAGAACGACCCGGAGGTTCTGTCCGGTGGACACGGCGGTGCTACTATTGTGGCAGTGGGCTGCACATCCACCGTCTACGACGTCGAATACTMTTCCGTCAACGGCACCATCAAGAACTGGAAGCCTAGCAAATCTAACAGTTCTACGACGCTTATCGTGCAAGGCACACAGCGCCACACAGACGTCGGGAACCCAAACCTGGTTCAGGCTGCTAGCATCGCGGGGCTGGGCAACTCCGCACAAGCGATCGCAGATCAGTTTGCACTAGCATATAGTCAAACCGCCTTGGCAGTTGCGTCAGGCGCATTCGCGCCACGGGCCGCTTTGGTGTCCCAAGTGCGAGAACAGATTCTTGTTGCGCGCGTTCCCAAAGCGCCACTGTTCGCCCTGGTTGCCGCCAATCTACTGCTTGTGTTGCTGGGCATTATACTCGCCATTGTGGCTCTGATAGCTGTTCGGGGCAATACAGGAGAGGCACAGGCGCGTCTGAGTATTCCTGCGTTAGTAGCGGCGCTGTTTGAAGTACGCATGGCAAGCCCTGTGAGCGAGCTAGAGGATATGTTTGAGGAGAGGCATGGTGAACGAGGACCGCGGATTGGGTTTGCAAAGGCAGCGGAAGGGGGCTGGGTGTTTCAGAGATGGCATCCAAATTGATCAGATGTGGTAGGTTGGAATAGGTGCAGTAATTTTGCAATCAATTTCCTATAACCTTAATTACCAATACTACTGGATAGATGGATGGATGACTTAATTTACCCTGACCCTCGCAAATAAAGTGATATGCGGGCTACTACAACTATATCTCTACCCTTGTGTTTCTACTGTTCATGATCCCATTCCTTACAGGCGAACTTTAAGCCTTGCCTAGGGGCCTGTGCTGGCCATTTGCCTTTGGTTATGTTCTTACGGGCCCCTTGGTCCGCGGCTAGTAAGCCTTTTGAGATACTTCTGTAAATCTAGTACAGCCTTCATGTTGCTGGCTTTCCCTTTCACTCCTAGCATGGTTGATATATTACTGAATGCCTCTCCAATCTCTCTGCGTAATTTCCGTCATGGCGTTCTCAGTTTGGGCAGTCAAATATGACATGGTCGATTGTTTCCTTTGCCCTGCATTCACATTTATTGTCCTCTCAAATTTAGCTTATCGTAAGGAGCTAGCTAGCAGTGGGTAGCCCGCAGCCGCAGCTAGGTAAGTAGGTACACACGTACCCCCAAAGAACCGCTGTAATACACATACTCAATACTTAGCGTAGTCAAAGATTCCAGTGTTTCAATACTACATTGCTGGGTAATTTCTCGTCTGCAGATAACCAGGTACAACATGGGCATCAATGCAGTAGCTGAAAAGTGCATATTAGCAAAGCCAACCAAGCTGTTCCTTACATAGGTTAGCTGACGCGTCCTCTTTTCCAGCAAGTCTGGACATTTTAGTGGCTTGGCAGGAACAGGTATATTAGCCACATAACCTATCCGCATGATGCAGATAGATCAACCAATAGTTTGTTATATATGCCAAGTCACTAAAATGTCCAGTGGTGCCAAACGAGGCGATAGGACCTCCAAGAGCAAGGAGCACCTACAGGCTGTCGATAAGCTAAGCCGATTGGAACAGGTAGGTATGTAATGCAACCAGGAGGTAGGGTCTTCAATACGTCAAAACCGGTCGCTGATCGTGAAATGGCCGACCAGCGAAGTTGATCCGACTAGCACCTTAATTAGATGGCGGTATTCCACTCCGGAGAGATTCTGACCACGCCTTGACTATGCCGTAGGGTCGGCTACATTATAGGCTATAAATAATAATACACTTGATATATAGCTGTTCCTATCTCCTAATAGCCATAGAATCTAAGAACTAGAGTTGCATTTCGTCTGGGTTCAGGCTGAGTCCAACCCTAGTTGGAACCAAACTGCTGTGATTTTCAGTCGAAATTAGAACCAAATCTGATCTATTCTAATTTGGTGCAAGTTTCACTGAAAAATCCACCCCTAGGCCTAGATAGGTAGTCACTAACAGTATACAGCACTCTAGTTCCTTTGACTATAATTGCCAATATTAATATATGGTTCTTCCCTTTCTAGAACTATTTTCCTTAAGCAGCACAAAAACCACTGTTATTTAGGACATGGACTTCTGCTTGACTGCCAGTTAAATCAATATCAGTCAGTACAACCGGTTTTTATCTTTTACCCATACGCCCAGGGACCGTCGTCCTGCTTGTACCAAAACATTGGACTTCAGGTCAGAGCAATGGCATCTACAACCTCAAGGGTTGTCGTCATCGGGGGCTCGAATGCTGGGATTGGCGTCTGCCACGGCCTTCTTCAGCAGATTCCTGATATATCAGTGACCCTTGTGAACCCTTCTAAAGAGTACTATTTCAACCTTGCCGCTCCTCGCTTCCTCGCGAAATCAGGTCTTCTCCCCTCGAGCAAGTATATCTATTCCATTACCGACGTTTTCAGCAAATATCCGTGCGATAGATTCCGGTTCTTACAAGGAAAAGCCACGGCCATTGACCTCAAGGGTCAATATGTCTGTGTGGACAACCTTACCTCGTCCCCGTTACCGTATGACTATCTAGTCATTGCTTCTGGGAGTACTACTCCAGCAGCAGTTGGAAGAGAGAGCTTCCCTGCGCCATTCAAGGTACCACTAGAAGGTGATCTTTCGGCTGCCATCCAACGCACCCAGGCCGCTGTAGATTCTGCGAAGACAATCATTATCGGCGGGGCAGGACCAACTGGTGTGGAATTTGCAGGAGAGATTGCCGAAGCCTATGGACACGATGGGGCCCAGAAGAAGATCACTCTCGTCTCTGGGACAGACACGGTGCTTGCAGGCTTGACGCCAGGGGTGCAGGACGCTGCAGCGCGATTGCTGCGGAGTAAAGGCGTCGACCTCAAAACCTCCTCGCGGGTGCGAAAAGCGGAATATAATTTGAAGACAAAACAGTGGGTGGTCACCTTATCAGCAGGAGAAGTCCTCACGGCAGACCTCTTTATATCGGCTATGGGGAGTGTTCCGAACAATGACTTTATTCCACAGTCACTCCTCAACCAGGAAGGGTGGGTTGATGTGGATGAGCATCTTCGAGCAAAGGCTCCCCAGCGTGGAGCAGTCCCCAACGTCTATGCCCTGGGTGATATCACCTCGTTCACAGATCGGCTTCTTCTGCGGATCAAGCCTCAAGTCAAAACTGTGGTTGCAAACCTTAAGAAGGACCTTACAGGTGAAGGGAGTGTGAGCGTTTACCGCCCAGGAGATCAGATAAGAGTCATGGTCATCCCAGTCGGACGTTATACAGGAACTGGGCTTCTTGGTAATTGGAAGATGTGCGGTTTCATGGTTTCATTCTTTAAGGGGAGGGACTTCCTTACAAGTAAAGCCGCATCGTTTATTGAAGGCTAGAGCTACGATTTTTGTGCATTTTTATTCTTTGATTCAGTATTCAGTAATATTAATCACGCTTAGAGTACAAGTGTTGCTTCCATTCTTTTCAAGAACCGTAGGTTAATCTACAATGACGATGGTACTTATCTATACCAGTGCGTCGCAACCCTCCGAAGCCGCGCACCATGAGAGGAACCTAACAGTAAATAGGCCACAATAGGCCTTGACGGGGCACTAAGCGGGTTTTCAAGAATTAGTGCACTCTCCATGTGCGTACAGGGATACATACAGTCGTGGTAGCCTGCATATCGCCCTAGATGCGACGAGTCAGGGTAAATGGAATCAACTAAACCATCAACCAAGTCTTAGTGCAGGTAGCGGTTGTGTGGTAGTACCAAGGCAGCCTACAGGGTTAGGCTTGATAACCCTTTTCCTGCAGGGTCGGTACGCTTCCCAGCAGTGACACAACATTTACCATCTCAGCGCGTTTATGGGGAGACACGTCACACTGGGGAGTGGAGTACTTACCCCCTTACTGGTTCAAGTGGAGACATAACGCAGACCCCGGCGCTCAAATACCTACTTTTAGTGAAAAGGGAGTTCTCTGCGTTACGAAGCATTTTTATGGCCTCGCCGGATGAACAAATTAAGATGCCAATCAACGAACCAGCGCAAGGTAAGAGAGATCTCAGACTGAGGATTTCGTCGACTTTTATCACGGCCCAGGACTACAACATATCGCATTCTCGACGGAAGATATCGTCGAGTGCGTCGGCAACCTCAGAGCAAGAGGGGTCGAGTTTATCCAGATTCCTGATGCATACCTGATGCATACTACGCTGATCTGGAGGAAAGGTTGGAGGAATTGGGGTTACAGCTATATGAAAACTTGGTGACCATTCAGGATCTGAACATCCTAGTCGACTTTGACCAGGAAGGGTGCCTATTTCAGTCGTTTACGAAGGTATGCGACCTGGATGTATATATATTCGGGCGGATGCTAATAATCCTAGCATGTGCTGGAGCGGCCCACCGTGTTTGTAGAGATCCTTCAAAGGCATAATTTCTCTGGCTTTGGGGCTGGGAACTTTAGTTCACTATTTGAGGCGACCGAAAGGGAACAGGAGGGTGCGGGGAAATTTGGCTTGAACGACATAATTAATGCAATTATGATTTACATTTTCGACAGTCTTCTCACTCATCTATCATATATGCTTGTATCTATTAAACATTAATATTGTTCACGGCGACAGCAAGATGGAAATGCTAGTCGACCTCGAACAACGGGCCGTTACCATATTGCATTCAACGGCACGTCATCTTCCATCGCAGTCATAATGTTACAGACAAGATAGACCGATAGACCCATCACTGTTCATTTAACTGCGAAAAAAGCCTTGCTGAAATGTTAATTCTCTGTCTATGGTGGGGCCGATATCATGCCTTTGTTTATGAGACTGGAAATATTGTGTAGAGAAGCCAATATTAACTATCAGTCTCTTTTCCACCAACATCTGTGCGCAGCTGAATAGCGTATCTTAAAGGAAGTTGAAAGACTTGTTTATAGTGAGACATCGCAAGCCGAATAACTACAGTAAGCTCGTTTGGTTGGACAGTTGTTTTTGACCTTCTAGTCCCTGATATTGCACTTTGCCCACTCCTCAAAGGCTCTTTCACCCTCTTCCAGCACATCATATCCCAGGACCTTTCCCTGCTTGGAGGATACGAACCCAATCCAATCGGTATCTCTTGTCATGCCAGATAGACGCAAAACCAGGTCTCGTAACCTTTGCAGAAACCCATCTTCCCAATGAAAATATCTCCGATTATGGATGGCATAATCAACACTGCTTGAGGCCCGTGGCTTGCGCACGTCTTCGTAGAGTTTAAGCAGCGCAGGAAGGTGAGACTTCATGGACTCTTCTTTATATGTCCGTTTCCAGTCGGTAACATATCTCATGTATAAAGTGAGCAGCATCCCAAGTACAGCTCCGTCCTCTACTGCCATGGCAGCCCCCTGGGCTTGGTATGGAAGCGCTGGGTGACAAGCGTCCCCCAGTAGGGTAATACAACCCTAGTTCAATCTGTGTAAGCATAGGACCCCTTCGCTTATGGAAAATTTTTGTGGGTAAGTAGGAACCTTTGACCATGTGCGCAATTCAGGAAGGTGACATAGTTTCCACTTGCGCACACGGGGAACACAAGAGATCATTTGCTCCAGCCTAGACATGCAACAATTGATTAGTTGTTAAGCATCAGCTATGATAGGAAGAAAACACACGTTTCGTTCCAGTCATGGTAGCTCTGTTGCATAGCTTTCAGGTCTCCTTGTTCTGTGTATTGCCCGTCAGGCAGATCATCCGGTTGGAGAAGAACAAGGTTGAATTCTTTCCCTCCACGGATAGGGTAGAAGATGGAATGTTTTTTTGGCCCTAACCAGGCTGTCACAACAGTTCCCTCACACAGTTTATTAATTTCTGTATTCCCTAGGGCCTGAAGCTGCTCCCATGAGAATGTTGCACGATAAGCTAGGTCTCCTGTTGGATCTGGTGAAAGTGGTTGACCAAGAACAGCGCCTCGGACTTTTGACCACAGACCTGTTTTGGCACATCAATTAGACTCGCAATACACAGCGTTGAAGGAAAAGGAATCATGCCGTCGGCTCCGATGATGATATCTCCCTTAACTGTCTCTCCGCTGGTAAGAATCACTTCTGGACCCTCACAATTGACACGCTCGACACAAGCACCTAGGCGGATCTGAACACCGAGGGATCTAGCCCTATCCATCAGGATTTGATGGTAGTCATGTCGGTGGATTACACTACCCCCGCAACAATAGAGAAACCGAGAGGCACTAAGTGAGACTGGTCTTGAGTTTTAGTGAAGGAGGGGACCTACATCCACGGTGCTCCATATTCTCGCACGACGGACTCTCCACAGGGCATTGACGTGATTATTCTTCCGTCTCTATACCCACGAAGATCCACAGAATCCACGACAGCGCCCTTTTCCAGAAGCATTGGTAAGATATCCAATTCTCGCATGATGCGAGTTCCATTGGGTGGGATCTGAATCCCGGCGCCAACCTAGACAGCCCAGATAAGCTCATCAGCGCTTTAATCTGATTCCATCTCTATATACTAGCGTGAGCTTACTGGTAATATTTCAGACGACCTTTCAATGACAATAACATCCAAGTCCTGATGGCAACACATAATAGCACAAACAAGACCACCGAGGCCTGCACCAACAATAACGACTTTCATTGCAAATGTGTTTTGGTGGGTATGTTGTTCTGGTGAACTACTGAGTTTTGCACAAAAGGTAATCTAAGAAGTCCCTGGTGCAACATTAGGATAAGATCCCATGACCTAAACGGGATTCAGAATTTCTCAATCGAAATCCCAATTGGATTTAGGATATGCTACCTTGAGATTTCTGAGCCCTGTTCAATTAGATCCCGCGCAGAACTGGTTGAGTTTTGGAAATGCTTTGATTTCAACCGGGACCCTGCCAACCCCCCTTGACGGCTCTACATATGCCTGTTGCTGTGGCGGAAATCCAATTTCCGATTACCTATGTAGTTGGTTCACAGACCATGGTGATGCATAGGCACCTACCCAGACTTTTTACCATAGTAGCTAGGTCCCTACTAACCTAACTTCAGTCGTCTCCAAGGCATATTGCGACCTAACAAGCCCTTGCTTTAAGGTTGATCTGTAGATGATAGTAGAACCTCCCAGTCCCTCCCTTACTTTAGGAATTTTACTGTATTATTCTAGGTCTCATACTCTTATTACTTTGAGGTCATCAGCGGACTGTCGTGATTGAAGGCGCCGCTTCTATGCAGCCGTTTCCCTCTACCTGCACCCCAGCCCCCTTGCCCTGCGCCCCCTTTTTTTGCAATTTTTCGTTGTTATGTTAGATTCATACACAACACATGCTACCTTAGGTAGTGAGAGCTGTATATTAATCTGATGTAAGGATGTGAAGTTTTTCAGCAGCTAAAGTGCGTCTCTTCGAATCTAGATCACTCCCAGAGATTATTCTACTAACCACAATGGTTACTGACAGATGAACGTATTCCTAATACAGTCAAAGGGTCAAAGCGCAAGTGAGGGTAATATTCAATATGTATAATATCCAATGTGTACAGAGCACATTACAGTAAATTTTGAAGACCCTTTATTGTGTTTGGGCTCTCTGCCCTTCATTCGAGGCTAGACTGGTCGTGGATTGGATATGGGTTGATCCACCACCTATCCAACCCAATCCTATATCCATGTGGATTGGATTATGGATAATGGGTATATCCGTACTACCTAGTCAGGTGAACTTCAGTATTTAGATTACTATCTATTTTTCTAGTATTCTAGCCACACTACTAAGATATCTATATATTTATTATATAATATAATAGTTTACTATATAAATATTATATATTACCTATTAGATAACCTAAAATAGGTATAATTAGGGGGGTAGGGGTGTGTCTTAAGGGTGGCATAAAAAGTAGTGCAGAGATATGTATATCTTACCACCACTACCCTGATCACTATCCTTTAAAATCTAAAATCTACTATAACTCTAGTTTTCTTAGTAGATCTAATATTTTTATTTTATAAATAGATAAATAGGGCTATTCTCTATCTATAGATATAAAAATATTCCCCTATCTAGGCCTAGGTTAGGTTAAATAAGCTTATCAGCCTAGAGGCCCTAGATCACATGCACCCAATGGGTTATCCATATCCATATGGATTAGGCAGGTTCAACCCATATCCACATGGGTTGGATCAGGCCTACCTACATCCAACCCAAATGTGGATTGGGTCAGCCAGTTTATTCGAGGCCACTCTACAGCAGAGCTGCTGATAACCAGTAAAGTGATTTATTATTGAACTTTCAACCCACAATACACAGCATTCGTATGAAATATTACTCGTTTTCTGGAAAGGCATATCGGTGAGCTTCATTCTGAATAGGTGGCACTTTGCCATTGGGACGCCGACTGATATACACAGGGACGGTTGAAACCTGATTCCGCCCTCACCCAGTAGGTATTGTTTTCAGGCTCTTGGTTGATGTGTTACTCCATTTCTCCGTAGTATCATGGTTGGATTCTGAAAGACTATCCGCATGATTTCGGAATCAAGGGTTAATATAAAGCTATCTTATGAAGGGCGGAATGAGGTTTCGAACCTCCGTGTATTCCGACTGATACTTGCTCTACTTCATTCCATTATGATTGTCTTTGTCCTAACCGAATCAAGCTTCGTTCAAGACATTTGACATCAGTTCCTACTATGGTCCTTTTCCCTCGCTACCACCTGATCGAAGTTGGGGACCAGGCTTGGTGCCCTGGATGGCTTCTAGCATATCTACAGTCATATCTAACCGAGATATGGTCATTGCACATTCCGGGATTCAGCAAAACGTCGCCCGCTGGTGTCGCCTGTAACATTATCAATCGAAATCTGCCCGACGCCTCCTCCTTTACTTTTGTTGATCTCTGTGCTGGTGCTGGGGGGCCCATACCTGTCCTCGACTCTGCCCTAAATAAGAATCTCCAAGCGGAAGGAGATGGCCCTTCCCTGTTCATTCTCAGTGATCTACACCCGCGCCTAGAGGAGTGGCAGGCTATTGCTAAGAGTCATGACAACATATCATATATCAAGGAACCCCTGGACGCAACAAAGTGCGAGCGCGTGGCCCCTCCTGGGCGCAAAGAGTGTCGCATATTCAATCTTTGTTTCCACCACTTTCAGGACGACGAGGCTTCCGCAATATTGGGAAGTGCTCTTGACTCTGCAGATGCTTTCATGTATGCACTTCACGAGAGCCTATTCCAAAGCATTGCGCTATTCGTTTATCCTCAGTATGAGTGACTAACCCGCTCGGGAAACTAGAATCTTCGAGTTTGCAAGCCGAAACCTTTCATCTCTTCTGAAAATCCCTATCATCTTTCTTCCTCCTTTTATCTTTACACCACTCCGCTTTTGGTACTCTCCATTCTGTTGGTTGTTCACCTTTGTTATCCCATAGTGCCGCTCATGCTTGCATTTGATGGCCTTGTCTCGATACTACGCATGCGCACACCCAAAGAGATTGACAACCTTATTTTACCACATCGTCACTTGGATGGATGGGAATTCAAAAGTGGGGACCAAATTATGATAACCATTTGTATCCATATACTGCTATATCGGGATTAGGAAAAACACTTAAGGGGTGGCACATCACCAGAGTAGGTGGTATGGAAGGATGGAGTCGTCATGGCCCCTGAAGTCGACCATTCAGGATAGGCATCGATTCCAAAATACTCAACTCTATTCGATGAAATGGGGAACGAGCCTTTGAGCAAGCCTCCCCATCAAGTCGTCGTTGAATTTCAACGCTCAAGCCCCATGCTATTGACCAACCCACTACCTAGACAATGTCAGAATCGAATTCTCCCCTTGCACCTGAAGGACGACAAACCTTTCCTCGTTGCATCTACTGGCGTAGTCATCCATGTAAGCAGGAATTGTCTGCTCGAGAACCTCGGGCTTTCGGATGTAATCTTCTTGGATCTTGCAGGGATTGGCCAGTAAGATCGGAAGCACGTCGCTGAGCTGCGACAGTGCAAGTGACCAAATATTCCTCCTCATGCAGCTGAAAAGCTCCTTGAGCATGCTTGGGTTCTGACATAGATCTTGATCGCCAAACTTGCTGGTCTCACACTTCCTTTCAGCCATGTCCTTGCCCGCATTCATCAGGTGGATATAGTGAGGAGTCAGGTTTGAGACGCCTATCTTTTCAGACTCGGCCTTGATGATGGGAATACCGAACTTGTCACGGAGAAAGTCAAAGTCTGAGAACGTGGGCTTGCAGCCTTTACTGCAGACCCTGCTTTGCCACATCTCGATCATCTTGTCGGTGTCGAATTGCTCGACCGTTGACTTCATGCTTAGGCACTCCACAGCAGCCTGCAAAAGGAGAGCAGATACCATCGTACTTCCCACGATGAAGCAAAGTGCCAAAGACGTAATATACATCTTTCAAACTTATTCACCAGAAAGGGTAAGTTGGTGGTTCCGAGGCGAATAGTGCGAGGCAGAGGAGCTCAAATGTCGTTGCGAACTGAACAATGGGTATTGAGTTACCAAGGTCGGGTTACTTCTCTTTATTTATGGCCAAACTTGAGATCAGCCTCAGGCATGTTTAGATTAGTTTCCTCTCAATCAGGTTCCTCACGCTTTCCTTCTGTTTATCACTGTCGTGGTTGCCATACCAGGTAGCGGCGTGACAACAAAACTCGTTGCATTCCAAGGCTACCATTCCATTCCTGGAGGATGGATGCAGGGAAATAAAACATCCCCCCGGATGAAAACACAAGCATTGTGCGGCGAAAACTGGAAGAAAAGGGGAAAAGGAGAATAATATCGTTTGAATTAGGAAAGTTGAAGGGAAAGATATAGATAGAATGTAGCAGCTTTGAATATGGATGTTTGTGTCCATTAAAAGAGCATGCATACTGTCGCGCCTTATAATATTCATTGTGATGAATTGAGGCGCAATGATATGATAAAAAAGCGTTGATTCAATAATAAACTTGCTTGATTGGGATATCAATTCCACTTAATCTTATGTCCCTGTCTTATATACACCACTCAGGTTTCACAAACTATTTGATCTTTGTCTAAGCCAGACCTTAATGGAAGAGTATGGTGGTCTACTGCAGTATCTAGTCACACGAGAAAAACTCTTGCTATATTAGTAATGCTGACTATGTGACAACAATCTGAAAATTCATAATTTAGTCCCTTACTTTGCATGATTTACTCCATTCCTTTAGTTTTTGTGCATAAATGCACAGTAAGAACCACTAGGTCAGACATGGCATACCAGTCAGAACACAGCATAGAGAGGGTAGCCTGAGTAATCTGCTCACAAGGTGCTCTACATGCACTCTATACAAGAGAAAAAGGTACTTTTTAAAGTACCTAAATTCTGGTACCAATCATTTAATCAATTCAGAACCATCTATATATACTAGCATTAAGCATCTCAACCGAAATTGATCAAACTACCTAGATTCTGTAAATTCAAATCAAGTATGTAATTATTTTCCAAAGCATAGCTTTCCATCCTGCGAGCGTGCTTCCTTCAGAAGCTCTAGTTTGACCTCTGCATGCCGCCAATGTTAGTTCTGAATAACCTTATCTGAATAGAGCAATGAAGACTTAAGAAAGGTGAAGCATTGGGTACCCATGGACGGAGTAGCAAACATTCCACGACCTCCTGACAGTGTCTAAGTGATGGTGCTTGCCGTCTTGCCCGTTAAGGTAGGGTCTGAAATATCAAGCCGCAAGAGGGAAAATAGGTTGGCCGATTGTCTTTCCGTTAAGGTTTTAGCCGCCCGCAGGCATAAGGGATGAAACATTTGCGCCCTTACTTCCCTGATATGCATCCAATTCGAGTTCGATTGAATCACATAATCCGAACGCTATCAGTTAGTCTCCCGGTTGGGATTAATGAGCGGTACAGGTATAGTGTCGAGGTATATACTACCTACGAAACTAGAGGGACTGTTTTATAGGGTACGGTTTTATACGTACGCACTCACTATAGACTCCCATTTTAGGTTGATTTTGTTACGCCTCCTTTGTATACATATGTTCTCTTGCCTATTCCTGACCCACCAGGGCATTCTGTACGGGATCAGGCAATTGCGTGTGACATTGGTATAAAAAAGATACGTAGGTAGTCCAGGAAAGCCCAGAGAAACCTGCAAGGGATCGAAGGCTGTACAGACGATATCTTCCTGCATCAGGTCTCACCGCGACAACACTTAACACTTAATGTCTCATCGTTGTGTGGGATTATCAAAGCATATAGTTAGGTACTACCCTCACCGCTCAGGTAGCTCTAACTATACTCTTAAAAGATCTCTGTCCCTCGCTACTATCAGAATAGGTGTCTCCTTGACTTATTACCTGCGGCATGGGAAACTGCTTTTGCCTCCTGATGTATTACACATCCGCCCTGTGAATTTTGGCTTCATCAGTTAGCTCGTGTACCATCAAGCCCCCAAAAGGAAGATGTTAGGCCTCCTCCCATCCAGCAAACCAAGACAAATAGCTAACGACTACTAGTTCACAAGTGTGCGTGCGTGACAAGTACATGTTTCACAGGTATTGAAATTCGACATCAGCGTGATCAAGCAGGATTGATCCAATGGAACAGAAAGAGGTCACCCTCACTAAGATAAAGACTAGTAACGACGTCTCATCGCGTGAAAGCGCGAGCGGTACCTCGACGCCAAGAAGCTTCCATAGAAATCATACTGCTGGCTCTACTCTTGGACAGACCAGAGCCGATTGGGATACAATACCCCGGATGGCACCAATCAAGACGGATAACGCCAACCCAATTCCCAATGGCGCCGATCCCGATAGCAGTGCCAACAAACCGCTTTCCACCCTCTGGCTCTTTTTCCTCTCTCGCATAAATACGTACATCCTTCCTCCTGCAGTTGGCGCCAAGCTCCTCACTATCACCTCCACCCGGCCCTACTTGGCTGCTTTCTTGGTGACTCAGGTCATCTTCGCCTTCGTGCCCCTGGGGATTTTTCTGCTTGGTGCTATGGTCGTTGCCATTGGGTCAGTGGCTGCTTTCTCGTGCATAGCGCTCTTGATAGCAGGGCCGGTTGTCGTGGGGACAACTGCTTTGGGGGGGTTTGTGGGGATATGGGTGGCTGTGGTCTTCTGGCTTGGGGGGCAAATTTTTGCGGTCCTTCTCACTCCCAGCAACACGAGGGACTGCACAGAATAGAGTAAGGGCAAAGCAGAATCAGGCGGATGGGGCTTTCTTGGTTTGATTATTGAGGTATGGAATGGCGGGATTGCAGTGGGAGAGGACTGTTTCATTGAGATATTCTAATTGCATCGAATAAATTAGAGTGAGGGTATGCTGCGGCGGACAGCCCTGATTCACAGTTATATCAATGCCTTGTATCCTGCTTCTATGTAGCGTATGTATGAATACATAGTCAGCTGTGTTCCCCCTCAAGCTTTAGATTCTAGTATAAGACAACTCGCCGTGGCCCGGAACCCGGCTCCGTTAGAAATGATTTCTCTTCCCCAAAACTTCGTACTTGGTGCAGCCCAATAGAGGCTTCAGATCGGGATCCGATGTCAGGGAGGAAAAAATCAATAAGTAAAAAGGGAGAGAGAGACTACAACCCCCGCCCTAGCCCATGATCACAAGGTAACAATGGCAGACATTGAATTGTACTGACGACTCGGGGTGATGTCCGCATATCAGTACCCGGCTATACAACTAAACGCAGGAAGGCAATAAGAGGCCGTCAGAGGCCTGGGGATAACGAATTAAGACTGAAAGATGCCCTACGAACCCAACGCAAACAGCAGTGGGTGATTTGACGTAGACAGAAAATATAGAATTGCTTTATGCGATTGTCCTCCCGTCTTACTGAGCAGATGACAAATCAGATCGCGGGGAACAACGATGGAGAACTCTTTGAACAAGGTCTTATCTCTCCCCTAAGAAAACCCTTTAATCCTTAGATGGGTTGTTCCTACAAATGCAAGACCAACAAGAACCATTAGTAGCACAAGGTATCAGGCGCATGCTCGGTAAGAACGGAGAGACATCTATATTTGCAGATGTCTTAGGGCCCCTTGGTGATGTTTCACACTATTAAAGTAAGGTAGGTATGCAAGGATTTCGGATTAAGAACTTAGTTCCTAGTAGAATTATCTTTGCTCAGGGCCCCTTGGTGATAGTTCACGCCATTAAAGCAAGGTAGATATGCAAGAGCTTCGGATTAAAAACCTATTTCCTAATGGGATCATCTTTGTTCAGTCACTATGACAGCTATCTACACTTATTATTATCAGAGAAATCTAAGTATGAGGGATTCCGTTTTATATAAAGTTAAACATACTCCAACCAGCTTCAACTAGTGGAAAGATCAGGGACCATACCTAATCTCGTGTCTTTGGCATAATCCTATTTTTGGTCCCAACATGAATTCCAACCAGCTTCACAAGAGTATACCAAGAAACCAAGTTCCATAAGTTAGAAAGAAAACGAATTTCTAACAAAGCTATAGACCTTCTCCTATATCAACCACCTGCGTATGGCATCTGGCCCTACTTGCCAGTCTCATGGGTTCCGTATGGGGAACTGATGCGCCTCGATCGCCCAGCAGGTTTTTTTGCCCTCTACCTACCTTGCCTCTTTGGCCTAGTATATGCCACTTCCATTGCGTCCGTTCAACCAGCGCTTCCCTTAATACTCAATCGGGCAATTACTTTCATGCTTTTGGGTGTCCTGGCACGCGGAGCCGGCTGTACCTGGAACGACAATATCGATCAAGATTTTGACCGGCAGACCAAGCGTTGTCAACTTCGACCAATTGCTAGAGGTGCTGTGTCAAAGATTGAAGGCCATGTGTTCGCTCTGATCCAGCTGGCCACCATCATATTACTGTCTTTCACGCTACCATCAAGATGTCTTCCCTATGCATTTGTCGGGATATCCTTATCAGTGCTATACCCCTTCGGCAAAAGATGCACAAATTATCCACAGCTTATCCTGGGTTGTGCCTTCTCCACCACTATTCCGATGGCCGCTCAGTCACTATATATTGATCCATTGTCAAGGGAAAACATAATCCCATCGCTTTGCATCTGCGCTGCCAATGTAGCTTGGACTGCCATCTATGACACTATCTACGGCTACCAAGATGTGAGTGATGATATGCATATCGGACTCAAAAGTATGGCCGTGCATTACAGACACTCAACCAAATCGCTCATGTCTTATCTGGCGTGCACAATGACTGCCTTGCTGGCCATTACGGGAATTCTCACTGGCATGGGATTTCTATATTATTTCCTATGTTGCGGTGGCTCAGCTCTCGGTCTATTTACTATGATTATCAAAATTGAACTAAATAGGACACAGGATTGTGGCTGGTGGTTTAACTGGGGCTTTCTTTTTGTTGGTGGTAGTGTCATCGGTGGCTTCATGGCAGGAAATGCTTTTTTCTGAGGAGATGTCTAGTTGAAATATAATTACAAATTAGCAATGAGATCAGGCCCAGGGTCATTTTTTAAAGTATCCATTTGCTGAAAACATCCCCATCGTGCAAGCATTTGGTCAAACGATAGATCAATCCAAACTGGCAAATGTTGCATAATACAGGTGACAGGAATGCCTCGCTTTATCAGAACTTGAGCATAGGCCGAGAATAAGGGCAATAATTTAAACCAGGTTTCTCAGCAAAGACGTGTTAGTGTCCCTGGGTATACTTCCTTTATCTAATCGGTAACCTTTCTCGCCAGATAGATAGTAAGACGCCCAAGGTTGGCTCACTGGATTAGAGTTGACAAGAGTCGTCCCCGAGTCCCGTCAAGGAACTGACATGAGGCTGATGGGTGTAGGAGAGAGGAGAGAGGAAGTGTTTTCCATTTCTTCCTTACTTGCAAGGGTAGAAGTCCACGAAGTATATGATCGGTAGGACTGCAGGTACGTGCTTTGGCGCATTAAACACATACATGTAACTGTTTCACATTCGCATTATCTGCTGGTTGGATGATACCATGATAACCCCTTTCCTCCGTAATCGACCCCACTATTTGGATATGGTAAGGGCCTCTGAGAGAGGGAAATGGCATTATGAGTGGCATATATAAAATGAACTCCTCACACCCAATCTAAAGGCTACTTGATGTATTCACGGAGGCAACCATGGAGTGGAATATTTTACGCATAAACAGTGGCTTTAAACAGCACCAATTTCCCAAAGCCACAAATTGCTATGTTCAACGACCTTTTTGGTACCATATGCATATGCACCATGGTCTCCCACGACTGTCCAATTTTTCTACAACTATGCGGGTTTGCATTCGCAATCAAGATACCACGCCCACAACTCCCACCAAATGGGTTGACGCCGGCTATGATGATACCATTATCCAAGCGAATCTGAACACTCAGTTAGCCGTTGGTCATTCCATCGTTTCAGCCCTTTCAGCATGTGCACCAGGGCAACTCGGACATATCAAGTCAGCGGAAACTATAGGTATTATACATGACGGTAGATTATCATGTAAAAAATGGAGTTAAGCAATAGCTAACCGAAGCTTAGGTCTGAGCGAGGAGTATAATACAAGAAACACTAGTGACCGGATCCTTGACACAACGCCACCAGCGAATCTGATGAGGGGTGCATCGGGAGAGCCTGAAATGACTGTGACTGAGATGGCTGCCCTAAAAGCACTCGCTGAGGCTGTTCCAACGGCGTCACCCATTAGCGGCAGTGGACCGCCAAAAGCATCCAGGCACCTGAATAAGACCACGATTCTGGACAAGATCCCTGGAGCTGAGACGATTACGAGCAAGGGCATCTTTTCAAACACTTCAGCCCTGATAGCCCCGATTCGGTATATCCAATCCCTGCCGTCAAAGCACGTTCGCTCCAAATTGATTGACGCGTCCAATGAATGGTTTCAGCTTTCTCACGAACAGCTCGGTATAGTTAAACGAGCTATCGACGACCTTCACAATGCGACTCTGATACTTGATGATATCCAGGACGGATCATTACTACGACGGGGAAATCATACAGCCCACCTCATCTTTGGTTCCGCACAGTGCATCAACAGTGCCACATATCTGGTCACGCACGCTATATCAGAGACTCGGAAGTTGAAATCCCCAGAGGCATTGTCCATCTTTCTCGATGGTCTAGAACAACTGGCCATTGGTCAGAGCTGGGACCTCGACTGGAAATTCCGCACCCATTGTCCCTCCATTGCTGAGTATATGACAATGGTTGATGGAAAAACTGGAGCTATGTTCACGATGCTTGTTCGCCTTATGCATAATATGTCTGCAGCCCCCTGGGATCTTTGTCATATCGAAAGCCTAGCTCGAATCCTCGGTCGCTGGTACCAAATCAGGGACGATTATCAAAACCTGCAGGATACCGAGTATGCTGAGAAGAAAGGGTTCTGCGAAGATCTGGAGGAAGGAAAATTCTCATATCCCATTATTCTTTGCTGTGAGACGGATCAAGATGCCAGGAGGCTCATCCTGGATATTTTCGCCAATAAGGCGAATGGACCGATTACATTGGATCACAAGATGGAGCTATTGGATCTGATTCAAAGAGCCGGCGCAATTGAAAGGACCTGGAAGATGCTTAAAAGCCTTGAGTGTGATGCTAAGGATGCTCTTTCAGTTCTTGAGACAGTCACTGGGAAGCATAATCAGGCATTTCACCGGATTGTGGAGCTGCTGGGAAAGGTCCCAACACCATGAATCATTGTATTTGTCCACTTATAGCGATTCAGTAATGTTGGGTAAAAGATAACATACGAGGATTAAATCAGAACCTATGAAGAATTTATTCCAAACTAGCCACCGACATATAGGGTACCATGTCATAAGTTGTACATACTATACCCTTTACTGCAGCGTTTCATTAAATGGTTTGCTGATTTTTATTATATGTTTTGAGAGCGCGTGATTGTAGTGCAGAATTAATCAAGTCACTTTCGAAGGCTTCCTGCTTTCTTTGTAGCTTCTCAAAGACCAGTGACACATATGACACAGGATATAATAGGCATACCTGTTGGATTGATTATATACAATGAACTTGTCTCATTACAAGAACCATCCGATATGGATTTACAGGATATACCTGTATGTGGTTTTTCCTGCCACTATATATCTGCACAATGAACCCTGTCAAACACTCACTGTACTTCATGTTTCCGCTCAGGGTTGGAGTCCTGTGGCTTTTTTTTTTCAGAGTTTTTTCCATATAATGTATTTTGTATACACCACATATGTTGCCATATATTGATTAGCATTCTTGCTCAGGTGAATCAACCAAACATCCTTACTTTCATGGAGCTCCTTGCATTTTTTTCTTTAGGCATATTTCTTTTAGAAATTATTCAGCTTACAGGTAATCTGAATATCCTTACTTTCATGGATCTCCCCCCCCCTTTTTTTGAACTTATCTGTCCGGCCTTACTACTTAAGACCACATTTCCAGGAATGTCTTGGAGATAGGGACACACCTAGCTGAGCAAACAAACTGAATTTCTGCGAATTTCCTCCTTATCTCAGTGCATCACACTTAGACGGCTCACTTTGAAAAGCTCAGTGTCATTCAGTCAGAATCACCTAAGCAACATGTGGTTAGTGTTGGTCAGTATAATTGTCCCCAATATTATGTGTTACTGTATAATATTCAAGCTGATGTCCCCCGCAGCTACTCGGATTACTACTTGTGGGATATATTGTACGCAAATGCTACTTCCACCCGTTAGCATACATTCCCGGACCTTGGCTAGTCACATTGCAACCGGTGGGTGAACCAAAATTCTGTTTTCATTCGAATCAGAAAGCAAATGAGTCTCATTGATTAGTTTTGGATATTGTCGCGATTCTATACTGGTACCATGAATTATGGAACCCAGGAGTTACATCGAAACCGTGGTAAGCTCCAAGTTAACACCCATGGATGCAATGATGATTACAGGCAATCCTTATACATCGAAAAGGTCCGGTTGTTCGCATAGGTCCCAAGGCCTTGTCGTTCCTTAGTCTGACTGCCCATGATTTGATCTATGCCGCTCGGACAGGCAAGGGTGTTACCAAAAGCGGCACGTATCAAGGTCTCGCATTCAGCCATTCAGAGTCAATGATTCTTTGCGACTGGGAAAAGAAGAAAAGCGCCAAAGCTGCTTCCCACGAGGTTCTGGATTCTTTTACCAAAGGCCAGCAGGAATATTTGCACGACGTTCACTTTCACAGATTACTAAAGAAACTAGACACGAGTGAGCGCACTACAACCACTTGGAATCTCTCGGCATGGGTCGAGGAGGCCCAGTGGGATATTTTGACCAACCTTTTATTTGGACAAGATGTACCAAAGCCTATGAGAGGTAATGTCTTACTACCACCGGAGTTGTTCGTTTTCCATTCCTAAAACCGAAAAGATCGATTAGTATCCGTCAGGCCGTGGTTTGCCTGGATATGTATATTTGAGGAATGTCTTTGCTTCTTTTTGGGTCGGACTAGGGTCCAACATCTGGTGAACTCCGTTTCCGTTCTGGGAAGTCGCATCGGATTTGCCAACCCCTTCTTTAATATCCGCCACTACGAAGAGACGGGCAACAATCATGCAACTGAGACCGCAGAATCAAATGCGGCGAAAGATTTGCGAAGAAGAGACCAAGTGTCGTGGCAACGTATCGATAGGCGCCTGGCAGCATTAGGAACAGGAACCATGAACCTGTCAAAATCGGGACTAATCACGAACCTCACCATGATAGCGTGAGTAGGCGATTTGTTGCATGGGAGCTCAAAGACTGACTCTTCCAAGTACTGTTGGAAACGAGACAACGCCCATGGCCGTAAATGCAGTGGTTTATTCGATTCTCCGCGAACCAGTCCATTTCCATCACTTGCGCGAAGAGATTCACCAACACTTTACAAAGTTCGAGGATATAACAGACGAAAAACTCCAGAAGCTTCCATATTTGAATGCTTGCATCAAAGAGAGCTTGAGGTTGTTCCCTCCAATCACTGGGACAATCATGCAGCGGGTGTCAACAGGCACCGTGATCGATGGTGTATATGTTCCACCTGATGTAAGTTGTGACCATGTTTGCAAAATCCTAAAATTCTTCTCTGCCAAGCACTAAGGAAGACAAAAGGTGGCATTATCAGTGGATCTTTACGCTCTACAAAGGTCGCCCCTCTATTGGAAAGAGCCAGAACAGTTCAAGCCAACCAGGTGGTTGCAGCAAGGCACCTCGGACGACGATCGAGCCTTTCGGCCCTTTTCCGTTGGGTCGAGCTCGTGTCCAGGGCGACGCCTGGCCCTTCAGTTCATTCGTTTAACCATTGCAAAGCTTTCATATCTCTTCCACATGGAACTTTCAGACAAGAATCTTGTCTGGGAACATTGTGTGAGAAGCAGTTTGCAGTGGGAGCTACATAATATGAAGATAGAATTGTCATATCAGCCACCCAAAGCCCGGAGAGGAGTCAGCGGCATACCCGTCTAAGCTTAAGGCGCTCTGCCCGGCGGTGCTGGAGCCTATGAATGGTATAATCTGATATTAGTCGCTAGAATGCTGAGAGATTGAAAAAACGATCGATAAAAAGATCCAACGATTGCACTGAACGAGAGAGACAGAATCTAAAAATTTAGCGATATAGGGGAGAGGTATTCTATTTCCTGTTGGTTACAAAGAACGCAGCCAGTGAGTAGTCTTCTGCACCAACGATCTCTAAACGGCATTCAAGATTCTGGAGACCAATATGGATCCTTAGAGCTAGTTTGGGTTTCCTAAAATTACGACTTCTCTATACCACCATACTTAAGCTATGATTTCTGCTCAAATTTTCGGCGTTACGTCTACTTTAGCTGGATTCGCGTTCTCGAGTAATACGCCTCCGAAAGCGAGCGAATAATCATTTGACCCCAATTAACGTACATGATAAATAAGTGACGCATGAACACGGAAAGTAATTGAAGCACTTTCTTGCACGTTGATGTCTTTTGACAGCTTCGGGAGGGTTTGTAAATAACCATAAATCGTCGCTTACCGAGATTGACGGGAAGGCGGAGTACACTCTAAGACTTAATGAGATCTCAAGTCTGTTCTTGATGGTTGCGGTGAGCGTTGAAATATACTCCAACGTCTGCGTGACAGTGATAGCCGAGGCGGAAAAGGCATCGACTGGAAACGATATAGTAGGGTTGGATGGATATTTGATGTCTCGGCAAATGTCAGTCAACTAGTTGAGGGCGGCCACGCCAGGCAGAACCATCGGGCAACGATAGCCAACCAAGCCCCGTAAGAAACTGATACCCGCTACTAGCTCGCGCTCTCTCTCTGAAGTCCTGGGGTATGCATCCGGCATGACCTCGGGGGTGTGCCTGGAACTCTATTACGTAGATAATCCTAACTGTATATGCGGGAGTTGTCTTCAACCCGTAGATAATCCTGTAAAGCGCATTCAGCCAAAAGTTCACCATGCTAGAAAACGCAAGATTTAGCGGCTCAGTTGTGACTGATACCGTATAAACACGCCTGTAAATACGGCCTAAACACATGCTGTTAAGAGGATCGCCTGCCTGCGTCCTAGGGCACGTACTTGAGACAAGAGCTCTGCTGAGAACAGGTCCCCAGATACCAACTGCCGACGAAATACACCAGTCGCGGTATATTTAATACGTGCTCTTGTCTCCTAGCTTTGCACCATAGACTGCAAGATAATAGAGCAGAAAGACCGTATAGAGGGGATACTTAGCAGTATTAGCGATACTTCTAGAGCCGGGTAATAGGGTCTATGCAATCCCGATTAGCAATCACAGAAAGATAAGACATATTATTTAACAGATCTGTTTCCAGCCGTAGAATAGGCATTTAAGGCCCTTAATCGAGATTTAGAAATAAGATACTTAGGTCAGGTAAAGCGTATCATCAGACGATTGCCATACCTCCATCAACGACTAAACTCCAGGCGACTGTGTTTCTAGAGACAGCTCATGTTTAGCAGGGCTTTGGAAGATGGCGTCTTACAACTGATTCTACTAAGAGCTTTCGTCATTAATTTTGTTTTTCTTCCAAATAACTCCATAAGTGTACAGCAAAGGCCGTTGAACCAACTTTATTGATTTCTCTATACTCTAGGTCGGAAGTTCATGCGCCTTGTGTCATACCTAGAAGGCACAAAAATGCACTAAATCTTCAATGGAGTCCTCCACCTTTTACAGAAGGCCCGGGAAAAATAAGTTAAAATGTAGAATCTACCAAACCGGCAGGTGTTCTGGACTTCTGATTTCCAGATACAACAATCATTGATGACATTCTGAATAGATCCTTTGCTTCACCACAATAACTCCCGCCATGGATCAGAAAGCGACCATCCATTCGAATCTATAGTGTAGTCGGAGGTTTGCTTCGGCCATTTGGAAGCTAACTATCCGCTCTTTGTTCCCACAGGTGCTTCATTTTTCGCTTTATCTTGGTCCCTTCTCCAATTCTCATCCATCCTCTCCCCAAATTTTTGAGTAAATCCTCCCAACTTCTCTCGCAGTACCCCGACTTCGATCCTTTTCACGTTGAGCACATACGTAGTATCAGGTACGTGTCTATTTCAGAAACTTGTCTTGTCCAACCCACTTATCTGGAGTGCCTCCAGCGGAGAAGAATAATCCATCATCACAAGCTTTGGCAGCACACATGCCCCTATCAAATAATACGATAAGGCACCCAAATCTGCGGACCGGGTACGACCAATATATCCCCTTTGACTCGGAATAAGTAATTTACGTTGTACATGGAGAAGGCCATCTCTCTCTTTCATGGTCAAGCTTGTGGACAAGCTCATTTGAGCTGGACTGGAATTTTTGGGATGGCGCATTGCTCTACCACCAGTTTTCAAGACGAGGACATATTTCCTTGTGATCCAATGATGCCAGATGCCAGACCAGTGAGTGATGTCAAGACAGCAATAAGGACAAACAGTGATTTCGCTATAGAGTAGATATCTTCAAGACGTTGCCGGGCCTTGTCATGTCTGTTCTGGGTCTGCCGCAATACCGAATGGTTGATTATGTTGCAATGATGGCAACTTACCGCAAGACAAATCACCAACACGTAGGGCAGACAACATAGTAGATGAGCCAAGATTCCGAATCATGAGCGCTGGGGTCACCGCCGGCATCTTCTATCTTCTCTTATACGCGTTAGTACTAACCGGATTCATCGAATCTTGTTCTGTTTCCCAGTTGAAATCCGTCACCCATTCTCTTCTCAACGCTCTCGGGACATCAAGGTCCATCCCGAAGGAAAAGTCAACGCCAGAAAAAGAAAACCGTTCAGGAAGCCGAGTGTTTGGATCTGATCGAGCATCCGAGGTACTCTAGCTGATAATTCAATATGAAAAGGGCTTAGATCGAATGGATCGTTCGCCGGAGGGGCTGCATGCGCAAAGATATGCATGCAGCTTGCAGCCAGTAGTTGGAAGCAGAACTCGATCATAGGTGACGTGCAGATTATGGCAATCAATGCCTTCTATGCTCTTCAATTCCACGCCCACGCGCGCCATGGAGCAACTTCTTATACCGTTCGATTAGCTGTCTCACAGCTTCGAAAATTGGCACGAATCCAGCCCAGTATGGAAAGCTGATGAATCCACAGGCTGATAAGTGATGATTAGAAACTGAAGCCATGAATAAGCGACGGAAGACTCTGGCTTTCTCAAGCAACTTTCCATTTCATGTTCGTTTTGCCCGATCGGACATAGTGGTCATATCGGAGAGAGTCCCAAAGTGGAAGGGACCGACTCAGCGAGATTTATCGATGAGCGATGAGCAGATCAGCCGAGGCTAGGAGTTGGACGTCTCGCCAATCAGTCTTTTTCTAGAAACCTCAGTATTGGACCTGTCCCAATTAGTGGCTGATCCTGTTAGACCTTGACTAGTCAAAGTAGCTACCATAGTTCGCGGAGTAAGGTTCCCCTACGAAGATGAGTGATCATATCGGTTCTTGGCCGAGGTCAGAGGTCTGATTAGAAATACGCACATTTTCGGCTGATTAATGGTTTCCTTAAATATAGGGTGACTCAGTTACGTGTGGTTGTTCGCCTCAGATCAATGGGCTGTCTGTTTATCCTCTGTCTACTTTCCTTTATATTTTCAATTCTCTTCTACAACCCAGGGACAACCGAGATTTTATACGAAATGGATACGCAGCAAGCATTGATCCTCAAAGAGGTCCAAAAGCCACTGGTACTAGGCAGGCGACCTATCCCTGAGCCAAATGGGAATCAAGTTCTTGTGAGGATCATCGCAGCCGGAAGTATGATCCGTTGATGCATTTACTTGTATGAAAGAAAAGCTAACAGCCCATAGTTAATCCTCATGACCAAAAGGTATCGTGGAGAAGACCTGTCGAACAATTGACCTTTTGGTCGAATTCTAATCCCTTGTAGGGTCGAGATCGAGGTGTACTTGTGGAGAAGTACTTGCCTCATGCGATCCTAGCAAATGACATCAGCGGTATTGTCGAGAAGATAGGACCAGACGTCCAAAAGTTCTCCATTGGAGATCGCATCGTTGGGCAGTCTAATATCCTGTCGGGTGGTCCTGACCAAGCTGGCTTGCAGCAGTTCTGCATCCTCGACGCGAACTTTGCTGCTCCCATACCACACCATATTAGCTTTGACCAGGCAGCGACATTCCCCGTCAATGCCATTGCGAGTTTTATCGCCCTATTCAGTTCGTCGGGATTGGATTTAGCACCAAAGTTCCTAGGCCACGATTTGGACTACGTGAATGAAGCGATTGTCATAATTGGAGGTGGCTCAAATAGTGGGAAATTTGCCCTTCAGTTCGCTCGTCTCGCAGGCTTTGGAAAGATTATTACAACAGCCAAGATCCGCAGCGATGGGGGCCAATCACTCCGTGACTTTGGTGCTACTCATATCATAGATCGGGAGGCAGCGGATGTGGAAGATCAGATCCGTGCGATGGTTGGCGATGAATTGTTGTACGCCTTTGACACGGTCAACGGTGCTTCTTCAGGTGGTGTCAGCCACCGACTGGCGCTCTCGCTTCTGTCGACTACGAAGAAAGGGTCTTTGGCAACATTGGTGCGTGGAGAGGCTGATCCTGTAATTGCAGCTACAAAGACCGCTGGTTTCAAGAAAAACCAAGTTCTCGGAGTTAGTGACCTGCACCAAGAGCTGGCTGCCAAGTTCTGGAGGGAGTTGCCAGGTTGGATCGAAAATGGCGAGCTGAAGCCGTTAGACTTTGAAGTTATTAACGGACTTGATGCGATGAAAGTCAACAACCTGCTGGACGACTACCGTGATGGTAGAGCGGTAACGAAGACTCATGTGCATCCCGATGATAGGGACTCCATTTTCGAATGATAGATACTTTCGCAACGTTGTTTATCAGTTAGCACATTTGCCATCGCAAGTCGTGTTTGGTATCATAAGTTCCATAAACTAACGTCAAACTGTCACAGATAATGAACACCATTCCAAGTATCGCCAGGTTCCACGTGGCAAGCATTGAGAACAAATAGTATTTTATAGTGACAGATAAATGGTCCGAATTAGCCGTCAGCACCGACTAGCCGGAGACTGTAGGTATACAGCAAGCTTGATATGCGCACATCCTGCCGGCACAGGCTTATTTCTGTGAACATGAACACATCACATCGAAGAGTCCAAGAAGTTCCTACTCAATGCGAGGCGGAATGTATGCTCGACGTCTTCTCGGCGAAACGCAGGGCAGCGACCGAGGCAAATGCCGGACTGAATGAGATCTGTTCCTGTCAGAGGGTAATAGCAACCAATTTAGGTTCACTAAGTGCGTACGGTCAACGAATAGTCCCACATCCAGGACCCAAGAATTGCTTGGATCGGTATAATTTCGAAGATCTACATCCTGCGCCGGTTTTCGACATTAGTCAGTCAATCATACGTTGATGAATGGTGGTAAAACGGAAAAGTACCTGTATGTCTGGTCCCCATCCTCTCGACTGTGTTTCCATAACATCCGCATTATGAGGATGCATATATCCCAGGGCTGATTCGTCCATGCCCATGACGTGTTGAGCATTGGCACCTGTAATGTCGGAAGGCCGGAATTCTATTGAGGATGCATGTGCGGGAACACTGCAAAATGGAGTATCCGCACTCAAGAAGATACCTTTCTCCTTGAGATAGCCTTCCACGTCATGTGAATCAAGCCACACACCATTGAGGTCAAGGTCTTCCAGAAGGTCATGGTCGCTCTGGAAGGTTTGTGGCTCTGATCTTTGATGTACAAAAGCATCAATGAGTTTGCTCATCGGCAAGGCATTCGGAGGAAGGATAGGTTTTCCTGTGTGATCCCTTCGAGGATAGTGAGTCCCCGCGCCCCCTAGCATGAAAAAAGGCATATTCCACAACTCTAGGGCTTCATCTAAGCCACCTTCCAGAAGTCCTTTCACCTGTTGGACTATGGAATCCCGGGTGGACAGAGTCAATGGGAGCCTGAACACCCGGCTCACATTTTCTGGATCGGAGGTCGGATCTACCAACAAGTTATATCCGTTTTTCAGACAGGCTCGATGCAACCGGCGTTCAAAAGTGGTCTCGCGGAACGGGGCAGTGGAAGAAGATAGAAGATGTGAGCGGCACAGAATATCAAGGAAAGCACTGTTATCTACAGCGCATGGCACTGATTCTAAACGGTTGACAATATGCAGGGTAGGTGTTGATAAGGACGAATAACTTTGGGCTGATGTTTTACCTCGTGGATTGTTTTCTTGGCGGTCGGCACTGTTAAACGAGGGGATCGGACGAGCTAGATGGAGACCACCATTGACTGGTCTTGATGTGGCCGACTCAAGATCATCTCCTAACTGCTGCGAGTGCTTCCGCTGTTTCCTCGCTTGAGTCTTAGTTGATGCGGTTTCATTCAATTGAATTGCACTGCTGCCCTCGTTACTTGAATTTGCAGCAGCAGAAATTGCAAGAAACTGCGTGCGTAATTGTTGCAGCTTCCGTTCGAGAGCCGGATCAAAAGATAATAAACCGGACCTTTCTATTTGATGGTTGTATGCTTGGAACGTCCGATGTAGGTTCTGAATCTGTGTCTGCAGATGCTCTAGTCGATGCTGGAAAGACAAGGTTGCTGTGTCCTTGCGGTAGCGATAGGCTCGCTGTGCCAGTCGTAATTGTAGCCTACGGTGCTATAATCTCTCAGAATCCGGCCGGCCACGAGTAGACATGTCTGAGTCCTCTCAAACTTACCTCAGAAACGGGAACCTTAGCAGTACGCTTCGATGTTCGTTCCGTAGACGAAGGATTTGCACTGATCATGGTATTTCTCCTGGATCGCTGCATTTTTGCTCGAGGCGGATGCTAGTACTCTTCGCAGTGATGGTGACGACATTATCGTCGCTGTCGTGAGAGTTAACTAAGTTGATGGCGAGCGCGATTTGTAATAACCGACCAGCTCCTGCACTAAGTCCGTTTCGGCCGTGGGTACGGCAGACGATAGCAAGTAGAAGTAAAAAATGGCATAACAAAGGGTTGATATTAAGTTCACCGCAACATATCGCCCACATTATAATGTACGCCACGGTTTCATTGGGGACATCAGGTACTAAACCTGAAGGGAAAGGGAGAATCCCAACACGAACCCCCGCCTCTCGGGTCCGCATTCATAATCATGGTTTACCGGATTCCGGATCCACACAAGGCTTAACAAGTTACAACCTGATACAGTCTGCGACAAGAGTCTAGACTTTGGGGGAAAGAGTGCGTTCCGCGACGAATACTGAGAGTCTGAGACGGGAGAGGAGAGAGAAGCGAAAAGTGCTGGAGCTGTGGTGCTGCCTTCATACCCTTCGGTTTCCACCCATCAGATCGCTCAAAACTAATCAGTCTGTCTCTACATAGTTTCCCAGCGTCAACAGTCAAAGGTGCGGGGAGAAAACGTCTTCCGCCTTGCAGCACAGTCTGGGTCCTTGCCTATCTTGTTCGCAGGGTTGAATGCAGAGAAGACAGAGAAGGAAAGTTTTGAACAACGAAATCTACCTTATTGTTAACGTCATATGGCGGAGCTTGAAACATACACCCTGCAAATAAATAAAATATAGACCCATTTTACCGGTATTCTTTTTCCAAGCGGGGAATCGGCTCAACATCAACCTGATCATTAATCAAAAGGAGAGCATCGGCTGTGATTAGTAAACTCATTTGTTATGTTCAAAGCCCGGAGAGGAGGCGTCAAATGGGTAAAAGCACCCCTTGGCTTTCTGCATTACAGAACAATCAGGCTTCCTCATCATATAAGATGCATTTCGCCTTTTGTGTCTCAGTTGTCTAGATTTTGCCACTAGGCCGAAAGAGGAGAAAGTGTCATCAACCCTGTGGCGTCTACAACTCCGGGGGGGCAGGCAGGGTGTATTTAGCTCGGAAGGCTAGGCCGGAAACGGCAAAAAGGTCATCACACTAGGTCGTGGGTCTGATAATAGAAAGGTGAAGGAAACTACACCTCTCCAAGATAATCTCCAGCAGTCCGGTGCTTTGAAATACAAACTCGAGTGCTTTGAAATGCACAGCAAGATTCTGTGAACATAGCGCTAGAGTTTGAAGCCAAAAAAAGATAAATAGTTCACTGATGCTCCTAAAAGCTGAATCCTAAACTCATCAAAGCCATTTCCATTCAAATCATTGCCCAGTTTCAAACTGCCAAAGTTTTCTATTTAGCCACGATGTCCCGCTACGCAGAAGCTCATTTAAACCCTGCTGGCCCTGGTGATGCTCGTCCAACAGCTCTCCAGATTATCAAGGATGAAGCAGTAGAGGGCAAGCTAGTCGGGAAGGTGATCGTCATCACAGGCACTTCGTCTGGAATAGGGATTGAGACCGCTCGCGCTCTCTCTTTAACTGGAGCAAGGCTATTCCTGACAGCACGAGATCTGGATAAGGCCAAGTCTGCTCTGGACGGAATCCTCGAACGAGATCGTGTTGGACTTGTCGAGATGGACAATACTTCCTTGAGCAGCGTCCGTGCTGCCGCGAAAACCATTCTCCAGAAGTCGAACGGTCAAGTCAACATCCTAGTCAATAACGCCGGCATCATGGCCCTGCCCAAGTTGGAGTACACCAAAGACGGCTTTGAAATGCAGTTTGGAGTCAACCACCTCGCCCATTTCCTACTCTTTGAGCTCTTGAAGCCAGCTCTCCTTGCCAGCGCTAGCCCTGAATTCTCGTCTCGAGTCGTCAACGTCTCTTCTTCTGCCCATCATGTAGCCTCGATCAATGAATCAGGCAACTACAATTTTGAGAAGACTGAATATAACGACTGGGTTTCATACGGACAATCAAAGACCGCCAATATCTATATGGCCAACGAGATCGAGCGGCGCTACGGCTCGCGAGGACTCCACGCTACCAGCGTCCATCCTGGCATGATTTCAACGGCACTTATGCAGCATATGGACCCTGCAATGGTGGAAGCGCTCAAAAAAGACGAAAAGCTGTATAAAACGATGAAGTCGCCAGAGCAGGGGGCTGCAACGACGGTGTGGGCTGCGATTGGCCAAGAATGGGAGAAGAAGGGTGGAGAATATCTTGCTGAGTGCGGGAAGACAACACGGGGAAATGACAATCATGAGATTGCAGGTGTCGGGTTTGCAGGGCATGCGTATGATGCCGAGAAAGAGGCTCGGCTCTGGAAAGACTCCTTAAATATGGTGGGGCTGACTGATGATCAGTAGGCTACGCTGGACAGAAATAGTAGGAATGATGAGGTTACTAGATCACTGTTTCTACCTCACTGAATTTTGTCAGTTACTGCTGTCTGTCGAATATGTTAGGCTAGATAGTCAAGCATAGCAGGAATGAATCGCACATTTGATAAAGTTCGATTCACTCTATTTCTTGCACTACTGCTGAACTATCTTGACTTTAGACCATGACAAGTTCTCGTATTCGTTGTAATTCAGAGGAAGATTGATTAAATTTATTCATATGTGAAAACATAAGGGTTGGTATATAAGATGAATATCAGATTGATTAGAAATCAATCTGATTCCATACGGAATATCTTCCGTATGCGAAGCCCTATTGTCTACTTGATCGAGCGGTCGAGCCTCGATTCGCAACAGTGTTAACTGCCAAATTCTAGGGATTCTTATAATGACTCCTTCTTTACGCCTATCGTCGTGGATACATCGCTCGTATTCTTATCAAAGGGAGATGAGCCACTGAACTATTACGAGGTGGGCAAGGATTAGGTCGGAGAACACTTGTATGTGTGGGTTTCAGCTCGGAGCGTACGGTTAAAGCCACATAGCTGATCCCATACTCTGTTGGAAATACTCATAAGATTGATAATTAACCGTGCAATATTTCTCAATGCGATACTTTTCTGAAGATATAATTACCACAAAGAAAATGAGCGCGGCTGTATTGTGTGCTTTCCGGTGTTGTGCAGTGCAACTTGCGAGGTCGCTTGATAATAAAGTCAAAGGTCTGCCTAGACTCGTTCAGCTGCGCGACCGTAGCTTCCTACTGCACAGATTTTGATTTCGAGATCCCCTTTAGTTTACTTAGCACCGACTCAGTTACGGACGTGATTGTGTCTCCTAATTGACAGACAACTCGAATAGCCACTATACTTTAAAGGGTAGTTTATTTCCGATTTTACGCCACACAATTTATATACATGATATACAATAAGACAAAGAGTTCACAAATGCAGCTACAGGCTCTCGTTAGATCGATCAGAATATTGTAGTCCCTCTCACTGAGCTATTCCACGGCTCGCGAAAACCCTATCGTGGCCATGAGCAGGACCTCAAGCTCTTGCCAGTCTCCCAAGCCTTCGGGTGATACTCTATTGGCTCGCCAGCCTCTTGAGTTTGGATTGGCCAAATGGGACTATAGGCCATCCTCCGCACTTCGGCGGTTTCCCAGACTTGAGGCTCATATCCAAGTTGGAATCAATCAATCATTAGCGAGCCGCAGCTGAAAGGGGAAACGTGAGCATGTAGGTTGCAGTCAAGCCGATAATGATCATATAAGCCCGACCCGCAACAACACTGGCCATTGTTTCTCGCGCATCTCTATGTTTCGTCCGAATTCGAATCGCAATTCGCTTTTAGAACAACACCTTTTGCGTCATGCATACCTTGTTTTGAACAAGACCGATATTAGATTGGCGAACCGCAGAAAACTTATGTAAACGTCGACTTTGCCAGTGCTAAAACACCTATCCTCCACTTGGTGCTGCGTGTGAGAGCGGTGGTGGCGGATAACTACTCCTCGACATCGCGAGTCGCATAGGTTCCTCCCCCCTTTTCATCCTCCAGTGGTTGCTTATTTCCACCAACTCGTCGCAGCCATCCACAATCCATCCCCATTTCGCAAGAAAACCGGGCGTGGCCTCCCAGCTCTTCATTTCGTGCGGCTCGCCCCAGACAATGAGCCCCTTACGCCCGGCGGTCACTTCATCCGGATCACTTCGAGATGAAAGGGTCAGGGGCTGTTGAGTCTCGGGGACGTTGGTGGAAACAGGCGCATCTCGTCGTCGCGGGGCTGGTGTCGAGTTGATTAGATCACCGACGAGGTCCTGCATCAGCTCCCAGGGGTCGAAGCGGCCTTCATATCTGATAAGGTTGTCGCGGGCGCGGGGAAAGGGAATGACGTTAATCCAGGTAGAGTGATAGCGAGTTTGCTGGAGGGCGGTCGGGACGAGGGAGGGAGGGATGTCGGGCTTGAGGGGGTAGAGGGCCGTGTCGTCACGGCAGGGTGAGGAAATGGTGCAGATGGTCGAGTGGGCGGGTTGGGTGTTGAGGGTACGCATATTAGAGATTAAGGCGCGGCAGACATTATACTGAATGAGATGGAGGAGGTGGTCCGAGGAGAGGGGAAAAGTAAAGGGCTGGGGGTCCAGATGCAGGGCCGGGGTGTGGGCAGTGGATGGCGATCCTCGGAGGACGACTGTACGCTTGGCTGTGGAGGGTGATGTGCCTGTGTACGTGTGAGGCGGTCGAAGGGAGAAGGACGTAGTTGTTGCGCGCTCTGATGCTAGCGAAATTTCTTGGGAGGGAAAATGGTCGGGCTCGTCGAGGCGCCAGCGCCTGACCTGGAATGGGCGCGACTCCTGAACATTCTCCGGGTCTCTGCCCTTGAGCCGTAGTCCTGTAGGGGTTTCTGAGCATAGAACGGTTTATGAGCGAGGGGCATACTTACGGTGTGCTCTTTGGTTCTTCCGGTTCTGGACCTTCCTGCGCTGCTGCTTGGCCCTAGCCTCGGCTTCCGCGTCACGATCGTCAGCGGCCTGTCTCGCTTGACTCTGGGGCCAGGAGAGCTGAGTCCCGGCATACTCCATCGTCCCGGTTCAGCGAAAGCCTGATCCTGAGTACTGTAGTGTTCGAAATGTGATATCTAGAAGTGAAGAAAGCAGACGGACTAGTGCTAGTCCTGGTTTGGGACGGAGATATATCGGCCCCCGCTTAAGATACGCTATCGTAATAAGCCTATCCTAACCCTGAGAGCTAACTGACTAGGCCCAAGGAAAGAGCATGTGTCATCGAGTCCACGGCGTCTAAAAACTCCGGGAGGGGCCCTATATACATAGCTTGGAGGCTAGGCCGGAAACGGCAATAAAGTCATCCCTCTAATGAAGATCGTGGTTGTAGCAAATGGCGACCCCACATGTTGCTCACCCCGGCGGCCTCGTGGCTATTTGTCATACGCAGGAAACCTGCTTACCATTTAGTATTTAGTTGGGTCCGTGACCACATCAAACCTTGGCTATTGTATGTCCGCGTCCACCCAGTTTTCATGATTCGTTGGGACGAGTTCCTTCTGCCCGCTTTACCGGTCCCCAGCCCCATCTTTCTTTTTCTGGTCCCCAACACAGGACATAGATTCACCGTCGCCACTATCTGTTTCCAACCTCAGCATCTTGACTCCACATTTCTGACCCAGACGTACTGCATTTCCAGGGACGGCTTCAACTTCAAAAGTCTTCCTTGTCGTATGCTTTCCGCCATGCCCATCTCTCGACCTGCCCCCACTGCTAGCTCTTCTTTTGGCTATATCAACTTCTCCTCGGCCATTTGCTTATCCACCCGTGGTACCCAATATGCGAGCCAGCTCCACAATCTCCATCATTAGCCCCCAATACCTTGAAGGTCATGTTTACGGTCTCTTATAATTATGTCGAACTTGTAAGGCAGAATTAAGGGAGTAGTTTTATTGGGTTTGCCTCACGTGTTATCTACACCGACATTACTGAGGGCTTCATCCCTCGCACAACTGCCTCACGAGAGTCAGTTGCTAGTCTCTGGCGGTGGCTCGTCATCTCTCAAGCAGTCAAGACTCGATTTTGTCCCTCCCACCTTCCCTCTGTACATAGAAACCATTTCAACACAGACACATTGCCTCCCTACAAGGGAGCGCGGACGGGGCCTATCTAACGCTACGGTCTAATGCGTTTCCGTATAAGACCAGCGACAGGTGACCAGTCATGGCCAAGCTATATACTATTCTCGCCATCTTGACTCCGCAGGTCACCAATAAACCCCCAATTTATGCGAAAGTGGACAGAATGAACCAGTAAGTTAAAGGTCCTTGCACCATTTCAAGGAGACCGTGATTCTCTCTGAACGTTAATAATCATTGTTTTGAAATGCTCGGCTATAAAAATACACAGGTCATTATTTTTGTTGAAAGATGAACACCCTCAACTGCTTTCGCAACTCCATCGAGCAAGGCCCTATTCCGAGGTGGCCTTTCATCATTTGCGGTGAGACGAAAGTCTGTTGGAATGACTTACTAACTTCAGGGGCAATTAGTATGTTAATTAAGTATTTCAGATTTGAAACTTACTGTATGGCTGTCCTGGGTCAGGCTGTCGCCTCTACCTGCGTATTTCCAATATATACATTCAAAGTATGAGGAAACACCTAGCTACTGCTGTACACGCAGACCACTGAGTTGCCTTCTCACCCTGCCTCCTCACATGTCCTTCACCAGAGAACCACTTCTTGCATCCCCCCAAATAGGCCTAAGAAGGGTACTTTGTGCCTTCGCAATGTATTAGCTAATCGGTGTGATGCTCTCCTCACCCAATCTGCTCACTAGTCGTTGTTTATGCCTTGTGTAGAACATTATGTGTTTGGAAAACAACAGCCTCCTTGGGGAGATACTTTGCGAGCAAAGCTGTATCCCAGTACAGCCAGACTTCCCTGAAATTCAATCCATCCACAGCATCGGCGAGGTCAGCAGGGCCGATAATAGAGATCCAGCTGAGTGGGGCGCTGACAGTCGGCTCTTCGGTGTTGTTTCCAGGAAGCCAGATATTGCGGGTCCACTGGCTGATGATGGTGGTTGTACCATCATCATTTTTGACTTCCCAGAGGCTGTGGAAGTCGTGTCGCAGTCTTTCAAATTGTCCGAAAAGACGCTTCATCCACGCCCACATCTCGTCTCCACCGTTGTACTGGGCGTTGTTCTGGTTGTGGAAAATGACGTTTTTGGAATAGAACCGCAAGCCAGATCCGTGGTTGAAGCCATAGGAATCAACTGTATCAACATATTTTTTAAAAAATTGTTGAGCTGGAGTCTCTGGTCCGGACGTATCCCAGGTAGGAGCGGAAACACAGCTTACCAACTCAGGCATGATTGAAGAACAAAAGTCAACGAAAGGAGACACGGAATAGAACGAGAACTCTCTTGTTTGATCTGGATTAATGTCTTGATATTCCCAAGGACCTTATAGTTAGTTACGCTGAGGCCACTGCCGTGAGCCGAAGGGTCTGTCCTGCGATTTCTTGATTATAATATTACCGAGGCGCAAGCTGTTTCACATCTTCGAAATCAATGGAATGCACCACAAAGCCGAGATTTCAATTTCCGAAGACCACTGGGTCAAGATAACGACTCTCGGGCTCCCGAGGTCAATGATCAGTAATCCCTCCCCACCTTACGTTCACCGACTTCTGGGTAACAGTTCCATTGAACTATACCCAGCATTTATATATAGACCTAAGAACAATTAGTAATTTATGTGTGTCAAATTCCTCTTCATTAATGAAAGCTGATATAACTCCAATTCTCTACAATATGGGTCTCGACTACAAAGTATTCACCAGCAGACGTTCCGGTGTGAATCGGTCCACCCCAGCCGGTCACGATCATCTCAAGTGKGTGCCGACCACTTCGACATTGATCTTCGGCCAAAAAGATGCGGTGCTGGTCGATACGCAGTTAACCATAGCTGCTGCCAAAGAGTTGGCAGACTGGGTTGTAGCAACTGGGAAAAACCTCACGACGATCTATGTCACTCATGCCCATGCCGATCATTTTTATGGTACCGGTGCCCTCCTCGAGAAATTTCCAGAGGCAAAAGTCGTGGCTACGCGGGAGACTGTCTCTCGTATGGCTGAAGCCATATCTCCCGGGGGGATGGACGCCTTTTGGAGAGATCTTTTCCCTGGTCAGATCCCGGAAAAGCTCGTGATGGCTTCCCCCCTGGAACAAGACCACTTCATGTTGGAAAACGAGCGATTGGAAGTGGTCAGACTGGGCCATACAGACACAGATGATACAACGGCTCTCTGGGCGCCTGCAATCGGCTTGGTTGTTGCGGGCGACGCAGTCTACAACAACACCCACCCATACCTTGGCGAGTCGAAATCCCAAGAGGCCAGATCGAGATGGGTGGCAGCTCTCGATAAGATTGCGAGCCTTGAACCGAGAATTGTCGTTGGCGGTCACAGTGACCCATCTAAGGGATTCTCCCCCGATACCGTCCAATCGACCAAGGATTATTTGAATGACTTCGCGCGACTGGATGGGCAAACATCCACTCCCGAGGAATTATACTCCCGAATGAGGGAATTGCATCCCACTCGATTGAATATCGGCTCGCTATGGGGAGGTGCAACGCTCGTGAAAAAATGATGCTAAGCGTGGTCTCCATGTTGACTGAGTAGCCAACGGGTTGAATTAGTGCGCCATGGTTCGGTATTAGCTTAGGATAATCAAGAGCACATTCCTTGACATTGTATTATGAGAGGATATCGTTTTAAGAAATTTGTATCATGCACTTTGCTGTTACCAATAGGTATATACGTAGGTATACTGCTCAGTGGCAAAGATCGATCTTACAGCCTTCTCATTGTGATGTAGATTCGAATTTGCGCATCTCGAGCTGTCAAAAGTAATCACAAGCCTCAATCAATAATAGTTGTGTCGTGGCAGCTTTCTTGTCAAATACGTCTCGAGTTATAAATACAATAAGACAAGTCAAAGAGAACGGTACTCTGTCATTGATGGGAGTTCTTTAAATGTATTTTGGGACGAGAAACTAATACATGCAACAAAAGGAATGTCAGATTGAATGACATTTTCTTCTGTGCAGGAAACCTTCGAGAACTCCGAATCCGTTGCGCCTGTCGCGTCTCAAGAAGAGCCAAGCCATTTTCCTAAGAACTCAATCTGTCCTTTAATATTCTGTTCAAACCAATCCCCGGTATAGATATCAAAATGACCTGCGCCATCAATATACAAAAGCTGCTTTGGCTCTCTAGCCTTTTCGTAGGTGGCCATCTGAGATGCCGTGGTAACAAGGATATCATTCCCAGGAACAACCATCAACAGCGGAGTCGGCGAGATACGATGCACCATAGCCTGTCCTTCAAACGTAAGCATATTGAGCTGTGTCTGAATTGTAACAGAATTCTCCCAACGACCACCGCAATCGTACGAGCCGCGCACCTGCTCGTAAGCATGAACTCCGGGAAACATGGCAGTAGTGGTCCCTGACTGCGCTGCTTCCAAGTTTTCCGCAATAAGCGGAACCCTTTCTGGTTCTGCTCCTGCAGTGATACGAGCGCGCTCTTTCAAAATGCCTGGGATGCGGTCTTTGAAGGCCAAGGATCGCGTTTCTCCAGAAACTGCGGGGCACTGTACGATAGCAGCCTTGATCCGTTTGTCCACAGCTGCTGCGTATAGAACATTTCCTCCGGAGAAACTCGTGCCCCAATACACTATGCGAGTATCATCCACACAGGGGAATGATGTTGCAAAATTGAACGCATCGTAGTAGTCGGCTTGTTGAAGGGTCGGGTTTGACTCTTGCCGCGGTAGTCCATCACTGTCACCCCAGTTCCGATTATCATAGAGGAGTACATTGTACCCGGCTTGCTGGAATCGATCCGCGAAATTCGGGAGCCAATAGTGGCGGACACCACCCAGCTATTTGTGGCAAACGGATAAGAATTAGCCAAATTCATAGGAAAACCCAATAACTCAATATCTCACGAAGTACGCACCCCGTGGGTCATGATCACACAGGCCGATTTCTCAACTTGGGGATAGAACCATCCCCGGAGCGTAGTGCCATCGCAAGTTTTGAACTCAATGGTTTCACGAGGGAGGACCATTGCTGCAAGACATTGATTGTTCCAGGTGCAAGTCAAAATTGAAGATTGCCGAGTTGGCTGTTTTTGAGAACGACAAATAATTAGCAGAGGCGATATTATAATATTGTCTTCCTGTTCTTTTGCGAGCCTCGGTTTTACAATGGAGTAATCCAAAAATCATCGGACCTCCTTAAGCTTTTGATTACGTCGCTTTAGCCGACCGAGGTTGCTCAAATCATTGGCCAAGACATAAATCAAGCTTTTTATTATGCCGAAACGGTGGTCCTTCATTTTGATAGGGTTACCTGTGGCTAATCATATTCAATTCATTGACTGACATATACAGAATCAAGTTGGATATATTGCTAGGAATATCGAGGCTGCAGTAACCTACGAATCCCCAATCGCTCAATGTAACTTACGCATTACGGAGCGATAGAAGGAATCAATAGGCTACTAAGATTTCGGGCAGTAAGCGATACAGAAAAGCATCGTTTTGTCCATGCGTTGACTACATACTCTACCTTAGTAGTACCAAGTCCCATTTCGAAAATCGCAAAACAGATTCAATGGAGATGTGTTAAATTGTGTCTTATGCGCCAGTCACCTGAACAGGGAGAAGTCCAACTGGAAATTAAACAAAGGGGATGGGGGAGGAGGGGGGTGGGGGGAGTGGTTTGTTTCCTTGTGTCCTTTTCATTTGTCATTCATATATATTTACCAGAAACAAAGAGCGGCAATGTGGTTAATCACCGTTTCCTTTACAGTTTATTTAGGTTACTCGAGAGAGTTTGTAAGAAAAGCAGCATGTATACGCAATCAAGAAGCATGCAATTCGGTTCTAGGGGGAAGTTCGCAAGTATCTGCATGCGCCATCACACCCACCACTTCGAAGCCTTGTTCAACGGAGCACTCCAACCTTAAGAAAATGGAGCCCCTTCGCCTGGCTCATCTACCCCTAGAGCAAGTTTCCCCACGGTGGTTGCAGACTCGATTAGCCGATGTGCTTCCTTCAGTCCAGCAAGATTCAACTTGAGACGTTTGGTGAGGTTTGGTACTAATTTTCCCTCGTCTATGCAACGGGCCAAGGTCCCAAAGATTCGGCGATAATTCTCCAGATTCGTACGATGATAAGCTGACGAGCCTAGCCAGTCCCACGAGAAGGTCATCGACTTTGACATAAAGTCGGTCCCATAGAGATCGAACTTGGCTTGCACGATTGAGCAAACTTTGGCGAAGGGTGCACGGATTTTTCCTAGGGGGTGGATATATTGCTCCGTCCTTGCGACCACGTAGGCGTACCTGGAATTACTAGTGTCAATATTTGAGATGCAAAGAACACGACAATAAGCGAGGGCGGAGCGGACCTTATTGGGACATCCAGGTTCATGGCTTTGATTTGGGATTCGAGATCCATCCTATGATTCACAACATGGGTGGCACCCATTTTCCAGCATGACTCCATGGTCTTAGGTCGGGATGCAGTTGCAATCACGACGGGAAGTTGCAAAACTTTCCTGGCGATTTGAATGGCAGCACTTCCAACTCCACCTCCGCCATTGATCTAGAACGGTCAGATGTGTGTTCGAAATGCAACCAAGGTAGCAATAGCCATTATAACATAGGCTCAATGCATTAGTGAAACTCACAATCAGAATACCAACGTTTTCGTTCTGCTTAATCTCCAGCCTGTCAACAAGAGACTGGTATGCTGTACCGAAGGTCAGGCCCATACTAGCGGCTTCCACGAAGTCAAGCGACTTTGGCTTCTCGGCACAGAGACGTTCATCAACTAGGACGTACTCCGCAGCACTGCCTTGGCGAGTAGTGGAGCTCACGTAGAAGACATCATCGCCTGGCTTTACATTTGTGCACTCAGGCCCGACCTCCAAAACGGTCCCGGCACCGTCAAACCCAATGATATGGAAATCCTTGGGCACAAACTTGTAGTAGTCTTTATTTGATAAGCATGAAAGTCTCCCAAAAAAAGGGAGCAGGATCATTACCTGGGGCATCATCATAAGTCCCTTTGCGAACTTTCGTGTCGATAGGATTCACAGAACAGGCCTTGACTCTAAGTGACGTCAGGATTAATGTGGCAGTATATTATCTGACAATACTTACTGAATAAGAATGTCCATTCCTGTAGGGCTCTCCGGTCGTGGAACGTCACGGGACTCGAAATTGTCGACTGCGCCATACTTGGCGACTCCAATTGCTTTCATTGTTTTTGTTTCCATCGTGGCCGGCTAACGCTTTCTCACAATGATCCTAGAAGGGAGTATAATACCTAGTTTTATTTTCAAAAAAGCAGAATCCTGTAGTCTCAAACCGAGGTTCTGTGAAATATGATTAGGATATCCTGCTGCATTTATGATTATTCTTACTTCGGAGTGGTAAATGCCGATGTCATTGAGCCATAACTTGCTCTTGAATCGATGTAAGTTTATTAGTGGTTGGGGCTCGCTGCGGACCCAACGGCGGTCCCGCGCCGGTGACAAGTGAGGCGAGGTTAGGCATAACAGAGAGAGAACTCTACTCTTCTTCTTCTTCTTCTTCTTCTTCTTCTTCTTCTTCTTCTTCTTCTTCTTCTTCTTCTTCTTCTTCTTCTTCTTCTTCTTCTTCTTTATGACTAGATGAAAATTGATTATAGAGAAGACAAAAGTGGCAAAGGAAGCCTTTCGAATAGTTGTGGGGCAACAAAATCACCGTGGTGCCGAGCAATTCAGGGTCATGCGACGCGATTCTTAACCACCATACATTGGACCCTTCATTTTGCCGCAGGCAAGACTGTCTCCTGCATCTTATCCGCGAAGTAGGGACTAAACGGTCTCTTTCATAAATTACCATTTATTTCGGACCTTCGAAGGGGCTGGTTACGACGACGGCCGAGGCTCATCAAAACCTTGATAACTAATCGGACGCAGGTTGCGAGCGAATGCTGGCTGGCTGACGAATGCCTCATGCCATTGGGGCCGAAAAAGGCTGTGGGGTCCTCTACCCTCGGTATCGCTTTTGAATCATGCATCTCCTGGTTTACTACGTCGCTTGTATCGACATTAGAAGGGATCCACAGTGGCTCTCACGAACGTCCAAACGCCTCTTGCTATAATAATGAAGAATCCAAATGTAAAATAAACCCCAGCTGGGCCCTGTTTATTCCAAGACCTACCTACACCGATACCTAGGCACATCTCATCGTGTTTGCGCAATGGATTCGTTGATAGCAGAGTCATGGCTAAAGGTGATGACTTCTTGCTCCGCGCAACATCGCAACGTCCTCTGTGCTACTCGCTAACTCTATGTAGGTGGAAAATGCCATTGGCCAACGGCCTCAGCTGACCGGCGATGTCTTTGCTATGCGGGAGCAGTACAAGGCACTCGCGGATAGGGCAAATGCAACCCGAACCATTTCACGGAATATTACCTGCAGTAAGAGCAATTTTCGAACTAGATAAGATGTGATCCCACTGACTGCGCACACAGAAGACATAAAGATCAAGCCCAACCTCACTGTGAGAATTTACACGCCCACAGCCGGTCAAGCAGGATCCAACCCACTCCCTGCGGACTATACTTCCACGGGGGCGGGTTTTGCTGTGGTGATTTAGACTCCGAGGACACCTTCTGCAGGCTTCTAGCCGAACGCCTGCCTTGTATTGTCATCTCGGTGAGCTATAGGCTTGCACCGGAGCACAAGGCCCCCGCTCAGCTGGATGATGCGCTCGAGGCTTGGAATTGGGTGAGTTGCACAACTTACCTCACATCTCACTCTCACAGTTAAGTTTTGCTTACATTTCAGGCATATAACAACGCGAGTACTTTGAACGGTGACCGTGGGTGTTGCTTCACTGTTGGTCAGAGTGCAGGGGGTAGCCTCGCTCTGGCAGTGGCACGCCGATTGATCGTGCTTGGCCGGAAACATGAAGTCAAGGGAATCGCAGCCATTGCTCCGTTCGTTGTTCACCCAGATGGAGTTCCTTCGCGTTATATAAAGCAGTATCGTGCTTTTGATGAGCTCGGAGACGGTCCCATTAACACGAAGCAAGCCATGACCCATTTCTACAGTTGGTGGCGCCTATGCATTGACACGCCGAGCTTTCGTTGACTAGGGTGTTTACAGACGCAATCCAGGCGCCGCCCGGCGACCCAGACGTCTACGTTCTCAATGCGGAGGCGGATTTACACCAGTTCCCTCCGACCTACCTTGCAGTCTGTGGGATTGATCCACTGCGAGACGACGGCCTTATCATCCACGACGCCTTGAAGACAGCTGGGTATGTTTGCCTCCTGCTTTAGTGCCTGCCTATGGATGTTTGTTCATTATAACCTTGCCTCCTGCAGAGTTTCTGTAAAACTGGATTATTACCAAGGTTTGCCACACGTGTTATGGGCTTTTGAGTGTCCTGCTCCAAGTGGGGATTTCGTGGCGGATGTCGTGGCTGGTATTAGGATTTTCACGCATACTTGACAGATCATTGCCGCGCAAGACTACGTCGACGGTGCTTAAGGTATGCCGAGTGCAGGGCGATATGTTATTTGCAACAGTGCACGGAGAGATTTCCGCGATCTAAAGAAGATTGGACAACATTTTTTCTCAACTACAGGTAGATGAGATGAACAGAGGAAGGAGGACGACTGATTTGGACCAACAGTGAACTAGTGATTACGAAGTTAGGACCAGCGCAGTGAACCAGACACAATATGTCTTCAAAGCAGGATGGACGTGCCAAAACGGAAGTTAACTTTAGAGAAATTGTCGGAATGAAGCAGATAAGTAGATCCCCGGAGGCGGGAGATACTAGTTAACTATCTCCCTAAAGATTAGTCATATATCTGAGGTCCAAAAACCCAAGGCTCTCACTTTAGAACAACTAGAACGACCTAAAACTTCGTGGTTTGCGGATACCTTATAATAGAACGCCTCTATGTCGGGGAAGTCCTCTATTACCAAACGAAACTGTCCCCTATTGCGCGCTTACCCACAGTGACCAGTTAACAACGCGTAACATTCTTTGGCATGAGAACCTATGACTTATTTTAGCATCGAAGTAACTCAAGGATTTCGCTATTGTATTACTTAAAATTTGACCCTTGGAGCTGTGAATACATATCCTTGCTTTGCAAAAACAATCTAAAATTGGCGAGACTTTGTAGATATGCTAGACCACTATAAAGACTACATCTTAAAACCATGAGCTCTGATAATCAATAGTTGTTAGAATATGAAGTCGTTAGGCAAACGTCGCATTTCATATGGTGTTTTGGGAGTGACCTAGCAGGGGGTCATAGGTTGTGGCGACTTACCAGTGAGTTACCGGGCTGAGTTTATAATCAATGATGCGAAGAACAGTTTAACTGAGGCTTTAAGCACATAGTCCACAGACCTACTATTGTCATGCATAAATTAGCTGGAAGCCTACAGAGACTAGAATTTTCCATTCCTCTCCGTATAATACAATTGTGTACAGGGCGAATAGACCTCAAGGTTGCCGCTAAGTCCGAACTGTTTATTAAAACTAGTCCCGCGAGCTAGGCTGAGAGAGAAAGTGTCATCAACCCTATCTATGGGTACCGCGTATTTAGCTTAGAAGGCTAGGCCGGAAGCAGCAAAAAGTCATCACACTAAGTTGTGAGTCTGAATTATAGAGAGACTAGGTCTCTCTGAGATGACCTTCAGAAGTCCGATGCTTTGAAATACAAACAAGTTTTGAGTATCGTTCAGGGTGTCCTGGACTTTAGGGCTAAATCTGAGTGCTTTGAAATGCAAAGCAGAATTCTGTGAACACAGGGCTAGTAGTCTGAAGATGGAAAAAAGATAAATAGTTTCCTAATACTTCTAAATACTGAGTCCTAAACTCCTTAAATCTATTTTTATTCTAATTATTACGTAGATCTAAACAGCTACATTTCTCTGTTCAACCATGATATCCTATTATATAGAAGATTATTTAAACCCTACTAGCCATGGCGATGCTCATCTAACAGCTCTCTAGGGAGAGGAAAGAAGAAGGGGAACTGTCTGCTCAGGGGTTTCAGTCTCCTGATTTGGTTACTGTGCTTCCACTAGATTGCAGATTTTAAGATTCAACAGCATGCCTCGACGTCAGCTCCTATATCTCATCTCATCTACGATCTTCCAATATAATTTTCGAAGCTTCATATTCCCGTACATACGACCATAGGGTGTGGAAAACAGGGCTTCCCGTCCGCTCAGCCGTACTTAAACCACACGCCGGCCGGTTAGTAGTTGGGTGGGTGACCACCAGCGAATCCCGGCTGTTGTATGTATTTTTGTAGGTATTTTTTGTCCTAGTCGAAGAAGGAACTGTTGCTCAGGAGATTCATTACCTCAACAATCGTTTCCTCCTCCCAAGACTCCTCATCTACATCTACCGGCTGAAGAATCTTCATGCTTAAACCCTTCTCACCCTTCGTCGCAAGAGCGCGCAGTCTCCGGCCAGGTCTTGGGCTTGGTTATCTCGGCCATGCAATCGACCATTAGATGCGACCAGTAAAAACGGCCACCCGATGTGATTATGTATCCCATATCGCCAGTATCGAGGGTCGTCATCAACAGAAGTCTGTGATCATTTATCCCATGGCAACGAGCCAGGTGAGCCTCCGCAGTCATAGAAGAAAAATCCTTCGAAGAACCGGGGGTCGTTAGTCCAGCCGTTTGGGATGTCTTCAGCCTAGACACTTATTGATTAGACTCGATGTTGTAGTAACTGGGTTGTGGATTATGATTTACTGGTGTTTCCATGATGAGGTCAAAGGAGTTCTTGAAGAGACTGATGCAGACGCTGAGAAATTAGCTCTTGTATCTCGATGACTGGCGTTGGGACGGCTGTTATCATACCAGAATATCTTAAAGGCTGCTTTGAAGTGCTTTCGGTTATTGATTTGAATTGCTCTCACTTCTCCGAAGTGGAAAGAACGTCTGAACTGGAAGGACCGGATGGCCCTCAGGATATTGCCGATGCCCTCCACAGGAAGCGCGAGGCACATATGGTATACCTCCGGGGAACGGCAATAGCTGGGTACTTGTGTGATATCCGAGCTGGGCACTGGCAAGGATGCTCATCGCATTTCTGTAATCTGGGACGGCTTTTAAAGAAAGTGGTGTTTAATGTAAACTTCTTTGCATCCATTTGCTTCCGATTTGATTTTGCTAATAGTAAGTTTGGAATCATATACTAAATTTAGGCCTGTCTTGAGTGATTTTGTCAGCATTCACTCATTACCTATTACTGACCCAACTAAATTCACCACACCAGAATCAGATGATCAAACATCTCTTTCTCTTCATCAATACATTCGCAGCATTTGTTGTCCAATGTAGCCTTGTAGAGGATTATAGGCGGCATCGTTCTGGAGTCATTCACTATGGCTGAACAGTTGCTTTTTCTGGCTGATGTGGAAGTGGTAGGAGGAAGCTTGGTTGATGTCACCAAAACAGATGGAAATAGGCTTCTTGCAGGGAAATGGCGCAAATATTCATGTCGTCATAACTATAAGCTGAATTCTGCGGGGCTACTAAGGACTTTAGCCGGAGCTCGCCTGTAATATAGTCTACTGTCAATAATAATGGTCCTGGTCACTCATGACTTTGAGTTCTGATATAGGCCCCTTGTCTTTCCCCAGTACTGTTTTAAATCATCATAGCGGGTTTCGCACCGGATCCATCTGTCGTCAAAGTAGGCGGATGGTTCTTTCTCATTTGATACAATGGCATCGATATGCCTACTAGATGGAAATTTGAAATTGACACTAAACGCATTCGATATCTAGTGGTTGCAGAGATATAAGGGAATAACCATCTCTACTAGTATGGAAGTGGTGATATATAAATATACACATTGACTTTCGACAAACACCACGGTTTAAAAATAATTCTTGACCACCATCTATTCAAACCCCCCAGATATCGATTTATTAATTAGATTAAAATGACTATAATTTTACTATATATTTTATATAAGCATGCTGGATAGGCCCTAGGTAGTTGGTCCGTGTGGCAGCAGCGGCAACAATGCGGTGGGAGGTAATCATTATAAAAATACCAAAAGTCCACATCGTAGCTCTAGTCCGCCGTACATGTAATCTGCTCACCGCCTCCAGAGCTGTGAAGCCTGTTGAGTGAGCCCGCATCTCTCAACCCCAGGGCTGAACCATGGGCACGGGCTACTCCTTTCATACTTCCGAAACCTACATGCTGATAAAATGACCCATACAAAATCTGACGACGAGATATTTCCAATCACAACATTTATTTCGGAGCTACCGAGCAATCTCATTCCGCAGTCCCTCCCATCATCTTCCGAAAATGGCCACGTCAGCAGACGCTTGGTCATTGTAGGCGATGTGCATGGGATGAGAAAATCCCTGGAGGCACTCCTAGACAAGATTGGCTTTGACAAAGGCAAAGGAGATCATCTAATACTAGCTGGCGACCTCGTCAATAAAGGACCTGATAGTCCTGGCGTTGTTGATCTGGCTATCAAGCTGGGCGCCAGCGCAGTGAGAGGCAACCATGACAATGCTGTTCTTAATGCAGCCGCTGAGATCAGAGCCAGAAAGGATAGTCTACTACAATCTGGAGGCTTGATGGGCAGTCCGGCCCTACCTGAAAACCCTGAAGCCGACGCGTCCAAGGATACTGTCCAAGATTTTGAGATCCCTGACAAAGACGCATCTGCTACAACCGGCGCGGGTATGAAACATAGCGCAGCAACGTATACTACAGCATTGGCACTTTCGACCCACCAGCTCGACTGGCTTGCCGCTTTGCCTTTGATCTTGCGCGTCAAGCTACCTCCTAACTTGACATCCTCCTTCGGCGATACTTTAATTGTTGTACATGCGGGCCTCGTTCCTGGTATCCCACTTGAAGCGCAGGATCCACACGCTATCATGCATATGCGGTCTCTCGTCGGCACACTAGGTGACGAGAGGGAATTCAAACCTGCTGAAGCCTCCGGGGAAGAAGGCTGGGCTATGGAATGGGACCGATGGCAAGAAAAGCTAGCATCTAAGTCTACTGTGATATTCGGGCACGATGCAAAGCGTCGCTTGCAACTGGGGAGGTATACGATTGGACTGGATTCAGCGTGCTTATACGGCCATCGTTTAAGCGCGCTGGTGATTACGGCTTCCGGCGGTGAAATTGAGCATCAGATTATTCAAGTCGAATGTGCTGATGAGCCTGTAGCCCCAACAGTATAGTTGAAGAAGGCGAGAAGACTGTGGTTGTATGATCGGTATACTTGGACCGCGCTCTGGGGTACTTTGTGAGTATATATTGAAAGTGTGTTAATCATTCATATGATTAGAAGTGAGTAAACGTTCCTATTTCTCTCCGTAACTCTTGGAGTAATGCCTTGATGTGATTAGAAGACGCTGAAGGATGCGTCAATGTTAATGTAATGAATGTTGGTTAGAATTCACTATAAAACAATCAGACTCTAGGTTCTGAATGTACAACGAAGTCCTCGATCTCTGAGGGACGAGGTGATGAAGCAACTTCGAACAGATGTGGAGGCAATCGAAGGCGGGCAGAAAGCGAACTGCCTTGTTGGTACCCTGCAGGTTTAGGAATCGCTGGCTGAATCTTCACTATAGATTGCGCAGGCCTCTCTGCCTTTTCTGGTTGTGGAACTGTTGAAACTGTTGATAATCTACGTTAAAATTTTAGAACAATAATCAGTGGATTGCTCACATCAATGACTGTCATTCAGGGCGTGAGGGCGAAGTATGCATTTCTATATCCCAGAATATGGCAAGGGAAAAGTGCTGCGGAGGGTGAGGGCTCCGTCGCCTTCGGCCCCACTGTGCCTGTAACTCGCTCGGATTGCGTGGTGCGCATTAAATGTTCGGACAAGTATCCTGCAGGGAGTCCACACAAGGGAAAAAGATCTGGCGATCTGGCATGATTAACGCCCCACTGTCTATTTGGAAATCCGGGGCAAGGCTTAAGGAAGAAGCCGCACCTGCACTGTTTCTCCTTTTCTTCTGCACCTCCAAGAACTTCTAAGCAGCCGTTGTAGGGATAATCGAATGGGGCATGCATTGTTTGAAGGTATTGACAACGAATATGCGGCACTTTAAGATGTTCCTTACGAAGCCAGTCTTACTGAATATAGATCGCGATGTTATATATGGAGCCGATTGTCGAACAATGGATATTAGACTTGTTGACACTCAGATGTTGCTGCAAGGGGGACTTGCTGCGGGAAAAAGCCCTAAACACGCGGAATGTCAGTCTGTGCACTGGAGGGGGGCTGCCCAATCTGATTGCATTTTCTTTTCAGATTCTAGGTTCTGAATATACAGCCAGTTCGTCAATCTCTGAGGGAAGAGCTGATAAGGCAACTTCAAACAGATGTGGAGGCAACAGAAGGCAAGCAGAAAGCGCACTGCCTTATCTCTCTAGTAATGTGAAGAGAGATGAGCTGTAAGCGAGGTCAAGGCTCAAGAATTCTACACTGGAGGCGCCAAGGCTAGGACCTAGAACTGCCAAATGAGCGCTGCACGTTTGCAGCCTTGATGCCTGGGACAAAAAATAGCAACCCGACGCGATTCGAGCGGTCTAAATTATTGTCACATATTATAGCTATGGTTCAGAGATCAAGAAGTGATACTAATGAGACAAACCCTCCCCTGGCCAAATTGATCCCCCACCCACATAGCAATTCTTGCTCACAATGGCTAGGTTGACAGCCATGGCCATAGCAGTCAATTCGCCGTTGCTTGCCTTCCATAGATCGTCCTGCTCCTTAATCGTAGCCCCTTCTGCAAATCCTATAGCGTCCATATAGAGTACGTTGGGGAACGAAAAGGGCGTGAACTCATAGTATGCGTTCCAAAAGATGGAGTCATAACTGTATGATGTCGCCAGTCCAATCGTCGACATACTTGACAATGTACCCAAATCAGGAGTAAGCGTCCAGGACAGAACCCAGAACTGCTCCTTGCCGCTTCCTTCACGGATGTTCCGGCCTTCTCGCATATCAGCGATCTGCTCCCTGTTCATGACCGCCGGCTCGGTGGTAGAAGAGTATCCATCATGGCGTGAGAAGTGAGGGTCGGCCGGGTAGATGCCGTCGCTCGCTCGGCCTTCCTTGTACTCAACGATGACCAGAACACATCCCTTCAGTTTATTTATTGTCATGTCTGTGAGGTCGCCATCCAGGTTTGGGCACTTGTTGTTGAGCTTTGCGAAGATATCGAAGACATTTTTCCACTGGGGTAATGTGAGCGGCGGGTAGGCCCCCTTATGGGGCGGATCATGTGCTTGATTTGTGTCCATGTCATGAGAAAGATAGTAGATGACGACTTCGTGAGGATTTTCTCTCATAAACCTATCAGACTGTCAGCCACACATCCGAGCAGAACATCAAGGGACATCATACTGATTAGTCTGCTTCACCAGCTCGGAGAGACGCTCTCCATTGCCCCCCTGCATATACCCCTGGTTATTATCAGGCACAGCACTATAATGGCCACAGTAGTAGTCACCGTCTGCGTTGGCTACCACTGGCCGAACATCGAAATAGCGAGAGCCTCTGCGTAGCTGATTGTAGAAGTTAAGGTACTGTGTGAGAGTATTGCCTTCGTTGGCACCGGTTGTTTTTCCATCCAGCTTGTACATGCCTGCATCGTGACTACCAGGCATGCAAACGTGCTTGAGCTTCCGGGTCCCGATGACGTCCATGATACTCCCCATCCAACCGGTTGGGGGGGAGGCACTCGACCAGTATCCATAGGACTCGCTGCCGGTAAGGACCCAGGGAATCGAGCGGTGGCCGCCCCCTTGCCCTTCACGCTGCGGCAGCTCTAGAGACCCACCTTCTGGCTTGTCCTGGGTGTTCAGGTTGTCATATTGAACGCGTAGGTGTAGAACATTGTTGCGCGGATCCGATTCTTCCACTCTTGCCCACACCTGGAATGTCTTATTCGTACCCTCGATCTCGTACTTGACTTCTCCCTTGTCATCGACGCGGGTTTCGTCATCTTTGAACTGATACTCGATTTGAAGGGACTCGCCGGCAGGCACATCATACCACTGCCAGGTGTCCATTTGGTAGGCATGCTGGTAGACTACTTTCCACGTATAGGGGGAACCATTGACTAACACAAAGTAGCCTTGGTAGGGGTTTGCTTTAGGCCATGTCAGCGAAGGGGGAGGGTACGCCCCGCTAGCTTTCTCCGGGCGCGCTGGATTGCTGTCCTTTCCAGGGGTGCAGATCTTGTGTGGCGGCTCGTCGAAGGATTTCGGGTCGAAAACCGTGACCTGGCTCCAGTAAGGGTGGTAGTCAACGTTCAGGTTGTCCTTGGAGGCAATAAGCGTGCCATCCGAGACCATCATGTTCGTGGCGCCGATGGTAATCAGATTGTGAATGCGGATTCCTCCATAGTTGTCTTTGATTTCCGCAAGGACTTTCTGGCAATTCGATGCGTCGACTATAAACCTTAGTATCAAGCACTCGTAAATGAACGCAGAGGTTTCTTACCGCAGACGCTTTGATCATAGGTATCAAACCAACTGTAAAGCCCTGCTCCTGCTATAAAGATGTCCTTGGAGTTGACGATCCGGACTGCCCAGGAGGAATCACAACCTAGAGTTGCAGGGGAGGCACAGGCGTAGTCTGGATCGCCTGGAAACTTTCCGACAGCTTTCTCAAATGGAGCAGGGGGGTGCGGCGTTGGCTGATAGTAGGGTGACTCCGTCTGGATCATACCAGCGAAGACGTTGCGAGCCTTGTAGAAATTGTACTGGTAATAGACCGCATGCTCCGATGATGTCCCATACAACCAGGTAGGCGCCGTACTTTCTACCAGCAGTCCTCGAGCAACATACACAGAGCATTGAACCTGTATCTAGTAAGATTTCGTAACGATTAAGAATAAATGGAAAGCACGTACCATATCATTCTTCGCATCTTCAAGCAGTGGATCATCGATATCATGGTCGGCAACCCAGAGCCAGATATTCTCGAGGTATGCCGAAGCATTTTCGGTAATGTGCATCATCAAACTTGCGGCATTACATCCTTGGCTCACTCCGGTCTTCGAGGCAGGACACTGTGCAGATTCGAGATCTGTCCCAGCAGCCCCTCCGATACGCACATGAGTGTCTAGCAATAGCGTCAGCGAACAGGCAAGGGCGACAAGAGGACAAGGCTCATACCCCACATTCCTGCTGCGCCTGCTACATCAGCCTCGATGTTCCACTCGATGAGCACCGCACCGGCTGTAGCGCCTTTCGTAGAAACTAAGATGTCTTGGATCTCGACTCCTCCTTTCTCTCCCTTGTTACCGACCTTGACCACGGCTCGGGGGTTTCTGCATCAATACATAGTTAGCTTGGAGCGAATATACTCAGATACGATATTATTCACGCACTCTGGGTCAGAAAACGTGGGGCCCTCAGCAACAAGCTGGGCCCATGCCTCGCCTACTATTCTGGTTTTAACCGGAATGGTGAGAGTGTCCCGTAGAATATATGTTCCGGCATCAAAATAGACAACAGACGAACCGGCGCCATTTATAATGCGCTGCAGTGTGGCGGTGTCATCGGTGGACCCATCGCCTTTGGCCCCCTGAGCCTTGACCGAGATAAAATTTGACCAGGAATAGGATTCGTATTGGGGTTTCTTTCTCTCAAAGTAGGGATTTTGGAGGAACGCATTGCTGTTGTTCGCCAGCAGCTCCTCGATACGCGGGGTATCCATTGACTTATCAAGGGTAAAGTCACGCTGAGTGGGATCCAGATAGACAGGCCCCAATGTCCAAGTGTTGACCGCTGTAGTACCTCCTTTGAGATACGTCTTGCCTGCGTTGTCAGCTACCGCCACACCGACGTTTTTGAAGACGATGTTATCCAAGGTAATCCCTGTGGTACCCTTCTTGATGTCTGTTGTCGCAGGGAATGTGAGGATCGCTGTCTTGGTGCCCTCGAAGACGGAGTCTATCACCATAAGGGAGCCTGTGTGATGGACGCCGTCCTCTGAGAGTAGCTTGAAGCCCGTCTGGCCACCAGAGACGCTGATGCTTTTCCAGGTCTGAGTAAAGTTAGCTTTCTAGTCAGTGGTGGGTTATGTATTGTATGGATGACTGACCCATCCCCAGTCCCATATCAATTGGACGGCGGTGTTGACGTTACTGAAGCTCAGCCTCTGCGCAGTGAATTGCTGACTTCCACCATCTTGCAATATTGTTAGCACTTCGTTGCCATTGCATATCTGACTCAAGTACTCACAGATTCCAAAGTTTCCTCCTGTAAAGGTAAGATCGCTCATATGGCCTCCACTTCCATTCTCTGCGTCTAGACACCGACACTGTTACCCTAATGCCGCTTCTGTAATTTATGGAGTATACGTACAAATAGCTTGCTGCGTGGTTGGTGCTGCTGCCGCAATAAAGTCCACATTTGATAGACTGGTTGCCTGGGCCACCTGATAGTGAAGAGCACACACATACGCATTGGGATCGGTCAGTCGGATGTCGAACTTGAAATTGCGGATCTGACGATAGAAATTGGCCTAACTCGTCACATCAGCAGAGTAGAGCACGTAGGTAGGTTCAGCACAGATCTCCTACCGTATTAATGTACCACTCAAGAGCATTGCCGTCTGGTCCGGTGCCTCCATTCTCCACGTAGTGATCAGTTGAGAAGACTCCAAGACCTACGAAACTGGCAGCAGCTTTGATGACCGGCCAATTGGTTGCCTAATAAGGAGTATCAGTATGTAGTATTGCGGAGGTTCTGCAAGTCATAGCAAAATGCTTACATCTCCGATCATTTGAGTTCCAAAGAATATTTCTATGGTTCCACTAACGAGATACGTCCCTGCAGAAATTAGCCTAGTGTACTCGTGCAGTTTAAAGCTCAAGCTGGGACCCACCCGGGGGAAAGTAAAGAATAGCTTGCTTTGTAGTAGAACCGTTACATTTTGCACCACATCGATTGCCGGCTTTCATGGCGTTGTTGATGGCTTTCGTGCAGTCCTAGGCATGCAGTGAGTAGGACTCAAGAGGTCAGGGGACCTTTACATACCACTAAGCCATTAGGCTCACACTTAGCAGCGCCATCCGTGGCCCATTTACTATCAGTGACATCGCGAAAGACCTGGTAGCTACTGTCCTTTCCCCACGGCCAGGATCCACGGTGCTCTTTATTTCCCATCCACCAGGTTCCTGCACGCTTTTCTTTCTGCTGACGCCCGTGTAGGACATCAATGTGGGAATAGTCGCGCTTCACAGTCCCTGTAGCATTCAATTCGGCCGCTGCATCATACTCCGCAAGGAGCGCCGCTGCATCAGCGATTTCTTCGGTTACATTGAACAGGGGCGGGGCAGGCTGCGTGTCAGGTGGCTGGTCACGACGATTCCGGATTTTGGTTCCTGGTTTCAATTTGTATTGGTTGCGTGAGGGATTGTCAAGGCGGGCTTTATTATGCACTGCTGCTTTGGCAATAGCGTCCTTGACAAGTGCCCTGGCTTTCGCAATGGCATCGGGAGGAGCATCGAGGGCTCGGTCCGTGCCCCTCGAGTCAATCAAGTGTTGCCTATGGAGATGAACGTGGGAGCCATGTCCATGTCCATGTTGTGCAAGCACCTCAAATATCAGGAGTGCCCAGGCCAATAGGGCGATGGCCCAGGACTTTACAACACGCATAACGAAAGGGCCAGTGAGTCAATAGTAGAATTGAACAGATATAGTAATAAAAGAGTGAATGGCAGTAAAAGAGCGAATGACAATAAAAGAGTGAATGACAATGAAAGAGTGAATGGGCAATAAGAGAGTGAGTTAATTAGAGAACTGCTCCTCATTCCAACAGCAAAGCGCTGTAGTTATACGTTTTTGACCAACCCTGCTTAGCTAGGTATCGGCTGCGGCGATTCAGCGTCCCTCCGACTGACATCTTGGAGACAGGAATGTTCATTAGTCCCTGCATACAATCCATGCAACTTAAGCAGTTAATTTGACACCATGTCCAATTGAAAGTCCTAATCTCGAAGCGAACTATTGGAAAGAAGCTATATCCAAGCCTCGGTTACATCGCTTATCCGAGTAGACCAGTCGCTGTTCGGACACGAACGCCAAGGATGCCAAGGGAGTAATGTCATTTATTCCCCTGTAATATGATCTTAGTATCTACCTGGTTTTCATGTATATCTAGTGGACACCCCGAGTCGAAAAGGGGATGTCCAGCAAGACACACAAAAACGCCAAGAAATGCCGCAACGACCACGATATCCTTCTCCATCAGCCATCGTGCACATAGTATTGCGCACAGCAGGCATTCTCATCAATATTGTCTTCCTCATCTTTCTTGCTCGTTTGACTGAGGTTTACCATGAAACATACCCAGCAGCTTATGTTGCCGTCTGTACTCATCCTTCCTACCCCTACCACAAGCATGAAACTAACCACCTTCGCTAGGCTGTCTGGGCTCTCTGCGCTGATGCGCTAGAAGTTGGGATCTTGGTTAACAAGAGCCGCTCTATTCCACGCTTGTCTGGCGGAGGACAGCTAAGCCTGGATCTCATTGGCCTTTTTCTTCTGGTCCCAGCTGCGTTTCTTAATTGGTTCTCGTGGTCTTACCATTATGAGCCCTCTCCTGCGGTGGATGAGCCAAATGATTGGGCAGGGAACGCAATCTGGATCGGTTGTGCCTGTCTGTAGGTAGACACTCGGTCTTTTCTCCGAAATTGCATTGCAAGCTGACCGTCAGAAGTGGAATTCGGCTCATCCTATCAGTGGCCGTTTGTGTGGATTTTGGCTTGGCCCGTCGTCGGAGACGGGTTAGCAACACTGGCACTGGTGCAATGTAACGGCGGACTTCTACAGCCCTCTTTTGGATGGTTTTGATGGCAAGCCGGAATCATATGAGTCTTTGGAATCACCAGTATTCTACTACAAATGATAATGCAGATTAGATATCGTCGTTCTTAGTCCATTATCTCTCTAGCTAAATTTCAGACTCACGGTGGAATGCATCCAGATAGTAGTGGTGAGTGAATCTCACGCTGTCTAGATAGGATAGGGGTAACCAGGCTGGATAGGCTGGTAAGAGAAAGAAATCTTTATAGTCAAGAATGGGAAGGTAAAGTGATATACCCAGTCGGGTAAAAAGTCATCTATAAATGTTTCCTACTTATGATGCAGTTCATGGCACCTGTCTACCACCCTAGACTACGTCGTGCATTCCATTACAACACGTCTTTAGACACAATGATTTGACATTATGTCGCACCGTCATTTCCCCTCATTTTCTACTTCGGTTCCTACACTGTAAGTTACTTAGAGTTATGACTCAGTTTACCTCGTTGACAAGTTAGTTGCCCTTTCATATGATTGCAAAACATCGACTACAGTTGATACACGTAAAGGAAACTTATGGTCTCATGGAGGAGATGTCAACAGAGGAGTAACAGAATTGCGAGGAGCTGTAATATAATCCGCCAGGAGTTGCCACTCAGAGCATGTCACGAATTACGGTATATTAAATATGTTTATGCTGCCTGAATGCGGGCATGTTCTGCTCTGCTAAAGTCATTGGCTAAGTTCCACCTTCCCAATCTAACTGCATGTATACCCTTCTATGCCGCCAATGGCGATTGCGTTCAAGAATCGCGCTACTTATTGTTGTTACTAGTAACTGCGGAGGGGCGATCCGCAAAGAGTTAATACTCTAATGTAAAAACGCTTGGCGGGATCGACTGCGGCGCTCTAATTTGCCAGACACATCATGGTCGCTAGCACTAAGTCATTAAACCTACTAGGTGTAGAGAAGATAATATATAACATGTGGAGGAACTGAGCTTCTGTGAGATGACCTGCACCAAGTCCACTTTGAAATATTGCTTGGTGGTGATGGGAACTCAATACATCCGTTCTGTGTTGCTGCCCATGATGGAAGCAGTATCACATTGCTTCCAAAGCAATAGCCATTATTGATATATTTCTCATCCTTGTTGGTGGACTAGGTGTGACACCAGTGCAAGTGTCTACATTTGAACGGGGCCAACACTATCAGATACTAGCAGCGTATACTCAAGTTGGTACCTTCCTGTCTCGTACTTTTAGAGGTTGAACCGATGATCTCCTCTTCAAATTGTTTATTGAATAGCACCGCGAGAAGTGGCCAGGGCCAAAATTTGTGCTTATTATGAAAAATGTGAAATTTCAAAATATGTATTCCATTCAGAATAGTGAACATCCCCAGTGGCTTCCTACCGGATCAAGAACTTTCAGGCAATTAAAGAGCCCCTAGAATGAGAAGCTTTGATGTTGTCGACCAGTTCATTGGCTGAGACATCCGCCTTTGGGTGCTTTGCCTAGAGGTATTTAGAACATAGCAAGTCCAGCACTAGAGGGAAATACGTACGTAGCCTGCCCCTCATGTAGCTCCCAAATTTATTCGTCGCCTGGGTTTCCMCCTTCCAGAAATTTGAAAAACGTGAGCAGATTTCCATCGTTGTCCTTGATTGTAAATTGTCGGAAGCCCCACGGCTTGTCTTCGATGTCCTCAGAAAATTCCACTCCGCTTTGACTTTTTAAATAGCCGTAGTAATCGTCCAGCTCGCGAGTCCCCAGAGCAATCATCGCGTGTGATGACTTGAATTTTTCAGGGGTCGCTTTCGAGAAATAGAAGTTTGCATCCGCCTTCTTGCCAATGAAGACAGAGCAGAAATATAGCTCAGATTCATCGTCCTCGGGTTTAACGCTAGCAAGCTCAAATCCCAGCGTCTTCGTGTAAAATTCGACCGTGAGAGGAATCGAACGGGACTCGAACATGGGAATCACTTTCCATGCGGAGTTAACAATTTCAGAAGCCATGCTGAAAGAGCCTGAGGATCTGCTATACACTGAGATGGTTGGTAGTTTCAAAAAGTTCGTTTATCTTCAGCAGCCGACCTTGCCAGACCATCAGGTCGCCAGATCAACATTGGTATTCTCGGTCATTCCACGTGATACTACAGTACTGTGACTGCGGCCTACTGTTGCCTAGCAGCACAATCATTTGCGACGACGTCTGCAAGAATTATCTAATAAGCTAAACGGGTTAGTGTCCTTATCGTGGTTGCCTGCTCGTAACCCGATCAATAGGTAATTGACGTGCCTGGGGAACTGCAAGTGTGTTGTTATATAAATTTCTGAATTAACAAAGTCTTTCAGTAGAGTTGACGGATTGTAAAGGCTTTTCCTACCTTAGTGTTGAAGAGGTAGTAAAATACCCCTCACGACTGCCAGGAGGGGTAGGAGTCTTTTGCGTAATACGCAGCTTATCTAGACTCCTTTGTAGATTAAAAGAGACTATTCCAGCTGGTGCAGAGCCATTTTAAATATTGTAAGAGGTGAGAACGCTGCTGTGGGCGCTTGGATAGGCCTTTAAAAAATCCAATTCTCAATATAGTGGAGGCCTAATTGAGACCGCGCTTCAGTTAAACCACTCTATGCACGCTTCGGAGGACCAAAACAACCAACGTCCAAAGGTTGCAATAGATGAGATAAATAAGCAAGCATGCAGATTGGATTAATACTATTTTCTTCAAAAATCTTATCAAACTGGGGCGTTAAATTACTTCCATGGCCATAAAGGCAAGCAATCGATATCGACCAAGTGTATGGTCATTGGTTGCAGGAATAAAGACCTTTTGAAGTAATCGGAGGCCTATCTCATCACTATTCATGCAGACATCCTGAGCCTTGATGAGTCGAAGGATGTTATGTGTCAAACACCGGACAGGAGATGCATGCACACATTGAGTGACAAGTTGGTCGATATCAAGGACAGCCATGTGGAAGCGGTAGGAGGAAGCGTAGCTGAAGTAACAACTGATGAGAATGACTTGCATGAGACTCCTTACAGAGGAGCGGCCAAAGTATTTATGTCATTCTGGCTGTAAGCTGAATTCTGTGGGGCGAATCGAAGGACTTTAACCGGACCCCGCCTCTATAATAAGAATGGTCCTGTTACCCATCACTTTGGTTTCTGCTATAGGTCTCTTGTCTTCTCATAGTACTCTTTTAGATCGTGATGTCGTCAATCAATCCCATCATACCGGGTTTCGCACCAGATCCGTCCGTCGTCAAAGTAGGTGGATGGTTTTTTCTCATCAACTCCAGCTTCCATCTATTTCCTGGTCTGCCCATCTATGCCTCGCAGGACCTCATTTCCTGGCGACATATAGGTTTGTGTCCTTACAGGCATGAAATCACCAGTGCAAAACTAATACAACACCAGGAAATGCTATTAATCGCCAATCTCAACTTAGTCTGTCCAAATCGAAGACGGAACTACACCCATTGCCCGAGACCGGTGAAGTTCTTGTGGCCACTGGAGGCTTATATGCGCCCACAATCCGATACCATGATGGCACCTTTTATGTCGTATGCACCAATGTGGTTCGTACAGCCACCGGCGACTCCAGGCAGAACTTCATCATTTCAACCAAGGATATCTGGGCCGACAACTGGAGCGATCCAGTCTATTTCGAATTCAATGGTATCGACCCAAGCCTCTTCTTCGATGACGACGGCAAAACGTACATTCAAGGATCCGCCGCAGCGGGTCCTTCCACCACGATCAATACGTTCGAGATCGATCTCGGCTCCGGCGGAAAGCTCTCAGAGGAGAGAACGATATGGTGCGGTACCGGAGGTATCTACCCCGAGGGTCCACACCTGTATAAGCGGAAAGGCTATTACTATCTGGTCATCGCAGAAGGGGGAACTCATGAAGGGCATATGGTGACGATGGCGAGATCAACAAACATCTGGGGTCCATACGAAGGGTGTCCCGACAATCCGATACTCACAGCACGAAACACCGACGAGTACATCCAGTACACCGGACACTGCGATGTTTTTCAGGACGACGGGGACCAATGGTGGTGTACCTGTCTTGGCGTGCGGAAGGATAAGAATGGTCGCTATATCATGGGCCGGGAGACGTTTCTGACTCGAGGGAGCTGGGATGGAGACTGGCTCTCCCTGGAGCAGGTCAAACTAACGCCCAGTGGTCTTCTAGGCAGCGACGAGGAGACGAAGCTCCTTGCCAACCCCGGCGTCGATCACGTCTACATTCGCGATGCCGATCCGAGCAATTATACCCTGTCCAGTAGTACTCTTGACCATTTGACGCTGGCTGCCTCAAATGCCGATCTGTCACATCCTGAGCTCAGTCCTAGCTTTATTGGTAAGAGACAGCGCCAATTAGACGGGTATAGTAGTGTTGAGCTGGAAGCTGCGCAGGCGACTGGGAGTGCGGCAAAGCTGCGTGCTGGAATGGCCTGCTACAAGGACGAGCATCGCTTCATCCGAATATACTATGACGCTGCAGAGCTTGCTATCGTTGTTGAGGTAATCAACAGGCCAAAGGAGATTTATCGACAGGAGCGGCAGACACTTGAGAGACTACCCAAGTCAATAGCGTTTCGAATGCAATATGCGGAGCAGGAGTATCGGCTATTCTACATTGTTGGAGACGCTGCTCAGCCGGATTGGACGTGTATATCGACTGTTGACACTTTGGATCTGACTGGCCCCGATTTTACAGGCCCAGTAATTGGTGTCTTTGCGGTGGCAGAGGCAACAGATACTGCGGTTCAGTTTAGGAATCTCACTATTTGCTAGATGATATGGAGACTGTATCTCAAGACGTTAATTAGCCTATGAGTTGAATAGATCAATTTATCCCTGGCAACGCCCAGAGTTACGTCCACCCATGTCTCCGTTATTTTTGCGCTCTGGAGTATGGCGCTGGCTTTGATTACATGCCAGGCTTTGCCAACTGTCGCAAGGATCAAAATGAGACCATGCGAATTCAGCCTATTTTCAGGGCACTGCTGGTTGGTTGGATCGTCCTGTTATTTGTCCGCCCAGCAACCCTTTATGGGAGTTTGTATCATTGGCGTGTCTTGGAGACCCTTAGGGTCTGGGCATCGGCTCAAGGAGCGCTTGACACATGCCGACTATGTCTCATTCAAGCCGGACGGAGTATTCTTCCGGTGGAGATCACAGCACGCTACCCCGTATTGCCAACAGAACCTGTCCGTCTTTCTCTGATAAATAATTCATCTAGATTGCTGTCTAATTCCACGTGGGTATCTGGTATGATTGATCTCCAAAATGCGGGGTTGATCCCGGCTGAATGTACCTGTATAACCGGTCAATTGATGGTATTCTCAACAAAGTCATTATATGATGTTCCCGATGCTATACAAAAGGCCATTCCCAGGCTTGTTGAGTCGGGTCATTCTTCTTTCATACTGCATGACTGTGCCTTTCGAGTGAACTTCAACTAATTTGCCATCTCAATCCGCCAACATGGGCTTCCGACTTCGACCCCCAAAGCAGAGTCAAAGGGTGCTCCCCGTGAAGCCTCCAAAGGGACATTTCTTCTTTGCAGGCAGGGAGTTTGCTCGTCTTCCCTGGTGGAAGCGACGGAACATGCGCACGCTCTACATTTTCATCGTCATCCTGATTCTCACCAATACGGCAAATGGCTTTGACGGCTCGATGATGAATGGACTTCAGACCCTGTCATATTGGCAGAATTACTTCAACCACCCCCGCGGCTCCATCCTTGGTCTCTTCAATGCCTCTATGAGTCTTGGCTCTTTAATCGGCCTGTTCATCGTCCCATACCTGATCGACTGGGCAGGCCGAAAAATCGGGTTGGTCGTTGGGTGTCTAGTCATGTTACTCGCCGTCGGCCTGCAGTCCGGTGCCAGGAATTTTGGCATGTTTGTCGCCGCCCGCATTATCCTGGGCTTTGGAGACTGTATTGTCCTGGGAAGTGCGCCGCTCCTGATTGCTGAGATCGCCCATCCTCAGGATCGGGCCATTCTTGTCACTCTCAGCGGAGCGTCGTATCATTCGGGGGCATTCATAGCCAGCTGGGTGACCCTTGGAACTCTGTCGATCTCGGTAAGTTTCGCCCGATGATTTTGGGATACGAATTTCAGATGCTAATGGAATACTCTCATAGAGTGACTGGTCATGGCGGTTGCCGAGCTTACTACAAGCCATCTGCACCGTAGTCATTATTGCCGGCATTTGGTGGATGCCCGAGAGCCCGCGTTGGCTGATGAACAAAGGACGGCACGAAGAGGCTCTGGAGATCCTGGTGAAGTATCATGCCGAGGGTGACCACAATGATGAGTTTGTTCAGCTTGAGTACTCGGAAATCAAAGCAGCTATCGCCCTGGACAAAGAAATCGGTCACACTGGCTGGGCGGACTTTCTGAGGTCCAAGGGGAACCGCAAGCGGATCGCTTTGATTACGGCTCTTGGTCTCTTCAGCCAATGGAGTGGGAACGGTCTTATCTCCTACTACCTCAAATATGTCATGGATAGCGTCGGTATCAAAGACGCCCAGACTCAGCTGGGTATCAATGCAGGCATGAAAACCGAAGGCTTGGTCACCAATTTTGTCTTTGCTTTTTTCATCGACATTCTCGGACGACGACCTGTCTATCTGGTCTCGACAATTGGTACATTCGTCGTCTTCAACGCCTGGACGATTGTATCAGCGCGGTACGAGATTGCACCAAACAAAGCGCTCGGCTATGCGTTTGTGTTCCTCACATTCCTGTATGGAGTGTTCTATGATATCAAGTGAGTATACTCTCCTGGCATTCTCTGCACCCTCATTGACGAATGTATAGGTCCGGCCTTATGGCGAACTATACAACGGAGATCCTCCCTTATGGCCTCCGTGCCAAGGGCTTCACCTGGCTCAACTTCTGTGTTACCGCTGCTCTCTTCTTCAACCAGTACATCAATGCCATCGCCCTTGACGCCTTGGCTTGGAAGTACTACATTGTGTACTGTGTGTTTTTGGGATTCGAAGTGTTTGTGATATACTGCTTCCTCATTGAAACCCGATACACCCCTATGGAGGAAATTGCCAAGTATTTCGACGGCGAGGACACCGTTGATGTCGGCCAAGTTGCCGCCGCAGACTTGAAGGAGAAGGGCATAATATCATCAGACGACAAGGGTACGTCCACCGTTCACATTGAAGGGAAAGAGTAGGTTGTTGAACAGGGCTATGTTGGTCATGGATGGCACTGGCCAGAGTCATGTCCATGACTTATAACGGATACACCCTGCATGCGGACTCAATATAGCTCCGTCTTCGATATATCTGGACATGATATCTTTCAACCTCAAGGCCTCATTCGAGGCTTAATTCCACGTCATCTGCGACGGTTGCATTTATTCTCGAGGCACAGGCTGATCAAATGCTGTGGGCCCTTGCCGCATCAGTTGCCGTACCTAGTCCACTTCTTTAGCTAGCACTGGCCAATCCTCTATATACTAACTGCCATGCTCCTGGCCAGGGTGACCAGACATGCACGCATCGTATCAGTACGAATTACGCCACAAGGTACAGAAATCCTCAGTCTACGTATATATTCCACGGAAGGGTGAATGTTCGTAGTATCGGTTGAGCTCTTAAAAAATGAAGATTAGTTACGATAATATTAAAGATGAGGAACACAACGTTTGTTTCAGCTTTGGATTATTTGCACGCTAATTGATTAGCGAACATCGATGTCCTTTTATGCTTAAACACTGTCAACCTTCATGTTCGTGGTTCAAAAACCGCGCCGAGGCAATCAATATCTGACCCTGCCGCGCCAGGAAAGCCATATAGAATACCTGTTCCAATATTCTGGGCAAGTTTTCACCTCCACTGCCTCCGGTAGTAAATTGGTCGTCTGCAGAGAATCTGGTGTTCATATCGATGATGTGGTCGAAGCACACCTCGAGGCTTGGATCCAGCCATCCCGGACGGTTCCGAGTACCTACTCTCGGGGAAGGGCCACCCCTGGAAAGAGGTAGCATATGTCATTGAGCAGGACTTTCCAGACCTGGGGGCAAAAATCATACCAGACCTTGAGGAAGAGTTCCTCTTAACGGAGAGTAGCAAGCAGAAGCAGAGTTGGGATGCGATGGCGCTTGTGGGACCAGATTTGCGAGATGTGGTGCACTAGCAATTGGAGTTTGTAAAAGGTTGAGTATTTCGACATATTCAATCATAAGGGCAGCACTGAATCGATGATCATCTACCTCGCTGAGCTCCTGTGGGGTGAGTTAGGAATAGTGTCACTGGTATATACCAAGGAAATTGTCCATCCGAATTATGTATCATTTTACCCCTACCTCGTGGCTTTAATCAACGTAAACATTATACGCATTGTATTCGACCGAGACCACTGGTATACAATGACCCTCCCTTTAAACTGTCCATCTGCGCACCTCAGACTACATACAAATCCATGTCTCAACCGCCTCTGCCAATCATGGTGCATCCGACGACTCATGTACCATTAGCGGGCTGTCGATACACGACCCCATCAATAGTGGTAGTCAGCGTCCCATTCGCTTCAAAGATGTTCGTCACGGCATCAATGGACAGCTGGAACCCCCCTGGACCCGTCTTCTTCGTCGCATTGACTACGCCCGTCTCTTGAAGATCCGACAACCAGTTCAGCCGGCTCAGCCACGGGTTGGAGGGATCAGGATTGGTAGTAACGGACTCGTATCCGTTTATTATATGTTCGCCATCATCGGAGTAATTGTCGTACTCGATGGAGATGGCCTGATACCCGCCTGTTGTTGGGTTGGCCACGATGGTGACGTCTGCAATGCCGCTAACCTGCCCTTTAAGGGTGTAGTTCCCCGCTGGAAGTTTATATTGTTCAGGGATCGTAGCGCCAGGGGGGAATGGTGTTGCCCAGGGAATCGCGTCAGAGACTCTGAAGACTGGGGCGGGTTCCGTGGGTTGGCGACTAGTACCATGAGCCAACATGAGACGGTACCGGCGTCCTCCCTCCGCAGTCGAGTTAGGGCAGACCAGTGGGTTCACGCCTCCACAGGCAGGAGACGTCACCAAGGCTTGCCAGAAGACAATCCGAGTGGTGTCTGGGGAAAAGGCAGGATCGGCGCGGCCGTTCCAATTAGGATCGTTAATGCTCCCATCACTGCCGTCACCTTCGGCATTGACTCGCTGACCAAAGTAGTCACCACGATCGCCGTAGCGGTCAATCAAGATAGGTTGGAAGAAGCGACGCTCGCCATTGTTTCGGATTGAAGATGCTGCTGTGACCGCGACAAGGTCAATCAGGGGAGGAACCATGCGCATGCCGGACATCCACATCTCGCGATTAGAGCCCCGGGTGTCCATTGCGACGAACCACTTATTATCATGAGAGAATGCGACAGGGTCCGTATATTCAGGGTGACTCGTTAGACGACGAACAGCGCCGGTGATAAGGTGGACAGCAAACAAATCGATATTATTTGCCTCCCGAGGGGAGCCAATGTAAAGGATCTCGTCCCCAGAACCGCTGAATCCGCGCAGCTCTCCGATTGTAATGGCTTCATCGTGTAACGCTAATTCATCCCCGTTTGCCATAATAGCGGCCGGCCCGTTGGGTTGAACCAGTATGTTCACATCGACCAGATCATAGCGAGGGGCTCGGATGTCCCCAGTCAATGGGTTCCTGTTGAACTGAAGTCGGCCAAAGTAAGCAAACTGTCCTCCATTCGACGTGAACGAGCTCCATCCCATGTGCTCATCGTCTGGATGCATACGCATCTCGCGGGGAGCTCCACCTGGTCCCGAACCATCTGCGTGAACTGGCCAGTAAATGGGGTAGATAAAGGTCTTATTGGGAGTGCATTCCTGGCTGGTCAAAAGCAGAGCGCTACATTCCAGGATGTTGTGCCCCCAGAGAGCCTTTTTCCCACTGCGAGCAACATGTGGATAGTCTCTTTGGGGGTCCAGTGACCGGGCATTTGCAGCGGGAACACCGCAGCTAAGGCACCTCCACGGGTCACCATTGGCAAACGTGGTGCCGTCGGCTTTGACGAGGATAAGCTGTTCACCGGTATATATGCTGGCGGGATCAGGAGCAGCCGGAGCGCCTACAAACTCGACATTGACGACGACATGCTTTCCGTCTGGGGTAAAATCGCCCGCCTGGAATGTCTCCGAAACCTGACCAATACAGCCCGTTCGATGTGGATTCACGTCAGTGGTGCAGGCCCCGACAGTGTTGCTCGACACCACGGGAGGAAGGGGAAGTTCGACGACTTTGAAGGGTTCAGGGAGCGGAGGCGCTTGCCCTGAGGCTGTCGACAAGCAGAGCCCGGTCAGAACGAAAAGAGAAAGTATCGCCATTTTTGTTTCCGCAACTTGGCTTCGCTATCATGTCGGAAGGAATATATCGCTGTGGAACCCCGGGGAGGGGCCGAGGCTTTTATTGTGTATATGCGTGGTTCCTAGCATTAGCCATCATCGGCGTCGGCTGGGCGACGGTCACATCTGTGTTCTCTGCTTCTCCTGCATCCTGATGGATGCTCGTAAACCATACCGCTGAGAGACTAGGTCGCTGCCTTGCAGCGAAATTCAGAGAGGAGGAAATAAAGCTCGCTGGACATTTACCCCGAGACTCAGAAGGAGTCGATCGGTCATATTGTCACCGCGAAGGCATGACTGGATGCGGTCCTCAACAAAGAACGACTACATCATATCTGGATAATGTCAGTGCCTGACTGCATGTGGCGGGATATTACAAGCTAGTCTTGCACTAGCAGTGGACCCACTAGATCGTATGTCGTATTCTTAGCCTGATGGAGAAAGATATACGGACCCCACAATCCCTGGCCGGGTTTAATATCCCCATACCCCGGATTCTACAACCTTCACCCACGACCACCCCATGAGAAACCAATGCCGTCGCGTCGATCCCATACCAAATCGCACCACGGCTGCACCCAGTGCAAGCAGCGCCAAATTAAATGTGATGAAGCCCGTCCTGCTTGTGGTTCGTGCCGCAGGAAACAGCTCCCATGTGACTTTCAGAGCTTTGCGCCCCAGCCCTTCTCCCCGCCTCCATCAATTGCCGATATCACTCTAGGGCGTCCGGGCAGCTCTGCGCTCCCACTGCTGGACTTGGAGTTGTTGCACCACTGGCATACGGCGACAGCAAATTACCTAGCGGATGCTAAGCCGCTGCAGGATGTCATACGCACCGTCATGCCCCATGAGGGCTTGGCGAACCCTTTCCTAATGCACAGTGTTCTGGCAGTTTCTGCCCTTCACCGGGCCCACAGCGCGCCCTTGAGCCATGGCCAGATGTACGCTGACGCCGCCATGACACATCATAGCCGGTCTCTGGCATTGTGTACCCCTTTATTCAAGAACATTTCCCGCCAAAACTGCCACGCCCTCTTTGCGTTGTCTTGTCTGGTTCCAGTCTTTGTATTCGCGTCCCGGAGCCCAAGACAGAACCCAAGCTTCCAGAGTCTGATCGCAGTGGTCGATGCATTCAGGTTAATTCGTGGGGCGGCCTCCGTCGTCAACCAGGCGAGATCGTGGATCGAACAAGGGCCCTTGCATCTCTTGCTGCGGGTTGGTCAGTTTCAAAAGCCGATAGCAACAGCCGCAAAAAGGTATGCTGTGGCTCTGTACGCGCAGCTCCAGTCACTGCACCTCAATCTGCCGCAAGCGGGGCCATCATTGAACTCAGAGCCTTTTGCTCCGAACATGAACGGCTCGATTAAGAACCTCTTAGATCTACTTCAACTTTATCTGCAAAGCGGAGACTCGAGGACCATCATGGCCTGGCCAGTTGTGGTCGACCCGTCCTACTTTGACTGTCTGCTTCGTAAAGAGCGGATTGCACTCCTCACCCTTGCGTTTTACGGGTGCTCCTTGCAGATACTCTCGGAGCATTGGTGGCTAGAAGGCTGGGGAGAGTTTTTGCTTCAGCTTGCCAGGGATCATTTACCAGGGGCGGATAAAGAGCTGATCAACATAATCAATGTACCAACGTAATGAAGTCAATATATTTTCTTCCTTCGACTTTTGTGTCCTAGAGTTCAATCGACGGGGAAATCGTAGCCTTCAAAAACACTGCTTTTGACTTCTCTACGACAGCGTAACAAGGGCTAGTAGTGAGGTACTGCTTGTATTTGGAATTGCTACCGAGATACTACTTCGGCGGGATCTCTGTGCTTTCATGGAAATATACTGGGAAGAGCACTGGATACATGGACATCCTCCTACGCGCTCCTTCGTATCGACTGTCCCATAAGCTGCCTGAGGCGGTTGGAACTGACAGTTCTCGACCTAGTGTTTCTCGCCCTTATTCTCCTGGACAAGACGCTGAGTCGCTGTCTGCGTCTTATGGAATCTCCACGGCTTGATTCTCCTCTCAAATAACTCATCCAGCTCCGCGGGGGAACGACTAGGGTGCCCTTATTAGCTAGTTTCTTCAGTATTCGAAGGTTGGAAACGTACCCAGCAGTTTCAGGAATCAAAAACCACATCCCTAGGGCAAAGGGGAACCCGACTCCGGCGTAGAACCAGCCCGTCCTGAGGCCCCAGTTCCATTCGTTGGCATTAGTCATGTAAGGTACTAGGACGTTCATCACAACTCCCACCACGCAGGTTGTTGCGGCACCGAAGCCGGCCGTATAAGGGCGCAGACGCTGGGAGGAAATCTCGCCGATATATCCCCATCCTGTGGCTCCGTTTGCGGCCAGTCCGACATCTGATTACCGTTGGTTACTGCAAAATCTCGTCGGAAGGGGGTTACTTACTCCAGAAACAGGCGAACATAACGAATATATATGTAGAGGCCTTCACCCTCGGTGCGACGCCTATGATGCCGATGGCGACACAGGACAGCCACGAGAGGGTTGTCCCAGCACATGCGAGATATCTCCTTCCGACAAAGTCTACGATGGCCACCAACACCAGCACCGTGCCGAGCTGAATAGACGAGGTGATGACTTTGACTCTGAACGGGTCATCAATCCCGGCTTGCTGGAAGAAATACGTGCCAAAGGACCCAAACAGGGTGAGACCAATAAATTGCTGCGAGAGATTCGTCCAGAGCGAGATGACCGTTCGTAACCCATCGGTACCACGGAAGATCGCGTACCATTTCTCGCGGCGCTGTTCAATTGCCACGGCACGCTCGTGTTCTACCGCCAGTACCAGGACCTGTAGCTGATGGTCGGCGTCGTAGCCTTTGACTCCTCGGTGCAGCTTCAACAGCTCCTTTTTAGCTCTGTCAATCTTGCCGGCACTGACACACCATGCGGGCGTCTCCGGAACCAGGAGATAGATGATCAACATGACGCCGAGCTGTGCCCACTGGGTGTAGATCGGGGTGAGGTAGTCCGTCGGGTCACTCCGTGAGAGATGCTGCAGCGCAACCTGGGCGAAGAATGAGCCCAGCGTCCACCAGAAACTATATGCCATCAACAATGCACCACGGATGCGCGTCGGGGCCACTTCTGATATGTATGCCGGCACGGTAGACTGCACGCATCCCACTCCGATTCCTGCCAGGAGTTTGGCCACCAACCAGCCCTGCCACGACCGTGTAGTGCACTCGGCAATGACGCTACCGGCTAAGACAAACCAGTAGGTGTACATGGCGATTTTTCTCCCGTATCGACTGGACAAGAATGGCAAGCTCGTCATGCCTACGATTTGACCGCAGGACATAATCGAACTCCAGGCGCTGAGGATGGAGGAGGCGAGTGCGGGGGAACCATTGTGCGATTTCTGCGTGGCAAAGCGAGCCACGAAGCCCTTGTTGGCGATGATACTGGCGTTGATACTGTACCATGTTAACCGTGCCGCTTCATACAGCTGGGGGGTAATATTAACCCAATCTGATATCCATCGGTAGCGGCACTGAAGGCCATAGCCACGCATATGAGGCTGGCCAGTTTGAATGTCCGGATCGTTTCCATGACACTGAGATGTTCGTATCCGGTCATGGCCTGACCTCTCGTTGCCGCATCCACTGCCGCGTCCCCCTCGACGGGCGCGCCATCGCTTGTTTCGACATGCTCAACGGCTGGAGGCTTTTCTGCGATGCGTGCGGACTCCATGGCTCAATGACAGGCAATGGACTGGGACAATAGGTAACTTGCGCTTGAAGGTCCGGTGTTACTCTGTCATGAGCCTAAGAGCCCGCAGGCTCTTTAAACATGCCCGTTTCGCCTCATGGCATAATTACCCCCGAGTGACTTGATCTTGTGAGCGCCTCACAATTTTGTATACTGACTTGTGTCCATACTGTCCTAAGCTAGAGCAGTATGCACTAGCTCGGGACAACCGGATTCTCGTGCCATCAGAAGCCGACTCTCCTTCCCCAGGTTACTACAGTGCGGGAGCGGTTCTGGGGATGAATCTGGACAGATCTGAAATCATAAACCGACACGCCGCAAATCTCCAAGCGAGACCCTTGTGGCGAGTTGCTGTCGTACTTCGAAAACTATACCGGAAAGGGGAAGAAACTCGACGTGGCTTCATTTAGCGTCCCGCTTATGGAACGGTGAAAACTATCTCCTCACCAGCTGGATTACGACAGGTCAATTGCGTGTATGTCTAAGTCGTTGAAAGTGCATTTATCTGGTAAATGATACGGATATTGACATTAAATATAATGGAATTTATCTGCGAAGTAAACAATATACCTATTCGTTCTCCATAACTCTATCCACGGAAAAGAAGTCTATCGCGAATGTTTTCTACGTTCCCGGAATGTTTCCATCAGATACAACGCAGAGCGCTTGGGAGTTCGCACCAAGGTCTTATAATCCACGTGCGTGATGCCATAGCGAGGGCCATATCCGGCAGACCATTCTAGATAACGAATTGTGTCAGACGAAGTAAACAGTAAGTGGAGGCGAGGAACATACCGAAATTATCCATCAAACTCCACGCGTAGTACCCCTCAACCGGAACCCCATCCTCGTATATGGCTCGCGAAATCGCATCAAGATACAGTCCAAAATATGTAATCCGGAACTCATCATCCACTGCCTCGTCCAAGGACATTTGGCTCTCCCCCGGACAGGGACACCCATTCTCCGTAACAATAATAGGCAACTTGTACCGGTCCCAGACCCAGTTCAAGAGCTTTCTGAACCCCTCAGGCGCAACACGCAGCCAGGACATCCCTGAGACGGGGCCAATGGCTCTTCCCTGGGAGTTTGTGGGGAGCTCTTCCACGTTTCCCGTGCAGTCGTCGTCCGCCGGAGGGTCGGGGAGAGCCCTGGCGAATTTGGTGGAGTAGTGGTTCATTCCGTAGAAGGCGTTGAGCGGGGCGAGATGCTTCAGCTGTTCCAGCTCCCTAGGAGCGAAGGACGGCAATCGATCGCCTAATTGCTTTCGCATGGCTGGTGGATAATCCCGCCCTAGGAAGATCGGGTCGCCAAACCACCCAATGTAGAACTCGAGACGGCGTTGCGCGGCCTCCTGATCAACCTGGCTAGACCCATCCCAGGGTTCGTAATAGTGCCCGTTCAGCACGATCGAGATACCCCCATCCTGGGACTGGAAATCACCAGAGTAGATCTGTACAGCAGCGGCATGAGCGAGGATCAGGCTGTGTCCGACCCTCCACGGCTCCGTACGGGAATCACCACCAGTGGCAGTACTCCGGCCTGGAGCAAGAACACCACTATGATGTCCAAAAATTGCAATGATATAAGGCTCGTTAAATGTAATCCATCTCTTAACCCGATCCCCGAACCGGGCGAAGCAAAGGCGCGCAAAGTGCGCGAAATCTGATACAAATTCGGCTGTATTTAAGAAAGCACCGTATCGGTCGCTGAGACTCTGAGGAGCATCCCAGTGATAGAGCGTTACCACAGGCTCGATGTTGCGTGCTAAAAGAGCGTCGATGAGTCGGTTATAGAAGGCTATCCCAGCCTCGTTAATGGGATCATCCCGTCCACCGAGGGGTATGATTCGTGTCCAGGCGATGGAGAATCGATACACGTCGACGCCGTACGAGCACATGAGGCTGACATCTTCGAGCATGCGGTTATAGTGGTCGCAGGCTATGTCACCGTTCTCACCATTTGTCCGGGATGGAACGAGATGGGTGAAGGTGTCCCAGATTGACGGGCCTTTTCCTTCTGCCGAGGGAGCGCCTTCGATCTGGTAAGCTGCTGTTGCTGTTCCCCATTTGAAATTCGATGGGAGGGGGAGATTTTCGATGGGTGGGAGGGGATCGTACGGGGGTTCCGGCGAGGCAGACGGGTGAGAGTTGGGATCCTCTGCTTTGAACATGTTGACGTTCATTTTGTCGGTCGTCCTGGCTTGGACTTGGAAGTTATGCTCAGCCTGAAAGAGATGCAAGTGTAGACTAGCCAGGAGCCTGGAAATATAGACTCGGAACTTTACCAAGAATCAATTGCCGGATCGGTCCTTGGGATAAAGATGCACCGACCATACTCCAGTCTCCTTTCCAGCTTACCCCAATTCTGAGGAATTATGCCTGGATCTCGTGTTAATTGGCCCGAAATCGTAGAAATAAGGAGCCGACCTGCTGAAAGATCATCCTTGCTAAGCACTCGCTCTCTCTCGATCATGACCCGTATTACCAACGTCCAGTTTGAGCACTATCATCCCCCTAACACCATCGGGGTGGAGGAGACTCGTCCACGGATATCCTGGCGGTTCGAGGATTGCCCACCTAATTTTCAACAGGATGCATACGAAATCGAGGTCTCAGAAGTGGGTTGGAATTCGCAGGTCACTGTTATTTCATCTACCAAGCGGTCATCGCCCTCATCGTATCTCGTCCCCTGGCCTCACTCTCAGCCTTTGACCTCCCGCCAGAAGGTGTCTATCCGAGTCAGAGCCTGGGATCAGGATGGCCATGGCACAGAATGGAGCGAGCCCGCGGCTCTAGAAGTTTGTCTGCTCAATCGCACTGATTGGAAGTGCCAGCGCATCGCGGCTCCGTGGGGGCCAGGTACCTCCGAGCCCGACACTGAGCAGTTGTATCGCAGGGAATTCAGGCCCGCGGACTCCATTGCCAACGCTCGTCTTTATACCACCGCCCAAGGCGTATACGAAGTGGAGATCAACGGTCGCTGCGTGGGCGATCACTTCTTCGCTCCCGGGTGGACGACATACGACGGGAGACTGCAGTACCAAACCTACGATATCACGGATTATCTCTCGACCGGGGACAATTGTATCGGAGTTCGCGTTGCAGAGGGATGGTTTTCCGGTCGCATCGGCTTTGAAGGTGGGCATCGTAATATCTGGGGCTCACATACGGCGCTGCTGGTCCAGATGGAAGTGACATCGAAGGATGGCGCGGTGCAGACTATTACATCAGATGGCTCTTGGAGCGTCGCGCGAGGGCCTATCCGGCTGGCGGAGATATATGATGGGGAAAAATATGATGCTACTATGGAAATTCCCGCTTGGTCTTCAGCTGGGATCTCTCAAGATGCTCCTGGCTGGTCCACCGTTCTTGTCATGCCACATTTACCCGACTCTGTCAAGCTCACAGCCGGGTTTGGAGAGCCTGTCCGGCGGATTGAAGCACTGAAGCCAGTGTCTAAAATTGTTACCTCATCTGGAAAGGTCATTCTGGACTTTGGCCAGAACTTAGTGGGTTATGTCAAGCTATCCAACATCAAGGGTCCCACCGGACACAAGATAATTCTATCTCACGCCGAGGTGCTCGAAGATGGAGAGCTCTGTACTAGACCGCTTCGGATTTGCAAGGCTATCGATGAGTACACGCTCAGGGGCGATTGTCACGGCGAGGAGTATACCCCAAGATTTACCTTCCATGGATTCCGCTACGCGCAGATAGACAACTGGACTGGAGGGGAGCTGATGACATCCGCCGAAGCAATCGTCTGCCACACAGATATGAAGCTCGTGGGCGGATTCTCCTGTTCGTATCCGCTACTTAACCAGCTGTACCAGAATGTAGTCTGGGGCATGCGCGGGAACTTCTTCTCCGTGCCCACGGACTGTCCCCAGCGTGATGAACGACTCGGTTGGTCGGGTGATCTGGCATTATTTGCTCCTACGGCTGCGCTCATCTACGATTGTTTCAGCTTCTTAAAGAACTGGCTGATTGACGTAGAGTATGACCAGGGGGTTCTGGGTGGAGTGCCGGCGATGGTCACGCCTAACGCAACGCTTCCCGACCCAGTCTGGTGTCGACGCGTCCCTTGTGCCATCTGGCATGATGTTACAATTCTCGCGCCTTGGGCGTTGTACGAGGAGACGGGGGATGAGAGTATTCTCGCGCAGCAGTATAACAGTATGTTGACTTGGATGCGGAAGGTGCCCCGGAATACCACCAGGGCTACGCACTTGTGGGATCCGAGTGTTTTCAACCTTGGAGTAAGTTTTTCCCCAGTTCTGGTGATATATGAAACTAATAAGGTAGGACTGGCTGGATCCCGCTGCACCACCCAACGCTCCGTGGAAGGGCGCCACGGACGCAAAAATGGTCGCAAACGCCTTCCTCATCCATAGCCTGGACTTGATGTGCAAGATTTCTCAGATTTTAGGGCAAGATAATGATAGATCGCACTTTGTGTCCTGGTCCGAATCGGCACGGAAAGAATTCCAAGACGAATACGTCACTGCGAATGGACGCATTGTCTCTGACTCCCAGACTGCATATGCCTTAGCCATCTGCTTTGACCTGTTAAATCCGAATCAGAGAGAACACGCTGGCGGCCGACTAGCATATCTAGTCCGGAAGAACGAGTTTAAAATTGGTACTGGTTTTGCTGGAACCCCCTACATCTGTGAAGCACTGGCCTTGACTGGGAATATCCAGGTCGCGTATGCCATGCTACTTGAGGAAAAATGTCCGTCTTGGCTATACCCGGTTACCATGGGTGCGACTACAGTCTGGGAACGGTGGGACAGTATGCTTCCTGATGGATCGGTTAATCCTGGTGAAATGACCTCGTTTAATCACTATGCCTTCGGTGCGATTGCGAAGTTCATGTACGAACGGGTTGCTGGGTTGCAACGGGTTGAGCCCGGTTGGAAAAGGTCCTGCGTTGCTCCAGAAATTGGAGCGGAAATCTCGAACGCTGCTGCTAAGCATGTCACGCCGTTCGGGTTGCTTTCGTGTTCGTGGAAAACGGAGAAGAATGGGAATGGACCTGAGAGGTTGAGGTTGGAAGTGTCGGTGCCGTATAGTACGGTCTGCGATATTATTCTTCCTGATGGAGATGGGAAGAAGAGGGAGACTATTGGTCAAGGGGACTGGGTTTTTGAGACGAGCTTTACTAGAGGCTATGAGTGGCCTGTCGAGCCTTTGCCACCTAAGTCGTAACAGGTCTTATACCATTCACCGGAGATAGAACCTACGCTATTTGGCTCGAACCTGAACGCAGTGATTATAAGCGATAAACAACACAGAGGGTGTCTAGACTCAAAGTCAGTGGAACGATGTCTGAGCAGGTAGCCATGCTCTATACGTCGACCAGTTATAGGAACGGAGCGGTTGAGACCGCAGAATTTATGCTGATTGCCCAGACTGAGATTTATCAATGCAACAAAATTAAAGTGGTCCTGTGCTGGTTAGCTTTCTTATCGTGATGGACAGTAGGCGACAATGGTTTCCATTGTTCAGTTTTCCCTAGAGCATTGACAAGATAGAGCGTCCTGTTAAATGAGAAGCTGCCTGAAAAGTTAGAAGGAAATACAAATTCGCCGGCATAATTGTTCAGGGACCCCAAGGAGACTATAGAATGGCATAGAGGAGACAAAAAACACTACACATTCAATCGTCTGGTGCTGTGTGGTAGACGGTTGGCAGAGGGCATCATGCCTTCTCCACCACGAACTGCGTGGCATCTTCGATGGCTCCCGTGCTTGCATAGAGTCTCGTATAGTCGTTCTCATCTTGGCCTGCCTTCCAGTACATGTGCCACAGAGTGCGAAGGACAATAGTACTGCCTTCGCGAATCGCAAAGCTGCTTTGGGGGTTGGCAGGATCGTATGGAAGGAACGTCTCCCAGTTATCTGCTGGACCCCAGCCTACACCCCAGTACATAAAGCCTCCGGAATTCTTCGCGCAGGACACCACAGTATCGTCACCAATCGTGCTGTCGACATGAACAAGGCGGACATTGCCGTTGGCGCCGCACGAGTCTGCGTCCAGATTGCCGCTTAACGGCCATCCCCAAGTTGAATCCTTCCGATACTCGCGGATCAGAAAACGAGTATTATCCCCTCGTCCGTTCACCAGGGTCACTAAGCTGAGATTTGTGTTGCCGGGCGGGTTGGTGTCCACGGCGAGGTAACGCCCATCCGGTGCCCTGAGCCGAATATTGCTCAAATAGCTGATGGTTGCGCCCAGAGGAATCTCAGGGCTCTGGGCAAATTTATTCAAACGGATAACATAGGAGATGCCAGCTTCATTCCAACCTTCATTGACAAAGTCGCGCTTGACGATACCCAACTTATCACTGGGTTTGAATTTGGTGAGCCATTTATTGAAGACCGGCGCTGCTCTCTGATCACAGTCACTGGGGTGGTGACCAGGCATATAGGACCGTTTCGGAGTGTTGATGAGCTGGGTTATCCACAGCCTCTCCTTCTTCCACAGACCCAGCGCCTCGTCAAGCCACGCCACAATCTCCTCTGGCGATTTATTTTCGTAGTCATCTATCCAGTTATCACGAATGTTTCTGGCTTGTGGAGCCCAGAGCTTGCCGCTGTCGTAGTATTTCATCTCACCGTTGACCTTCCCGTCTTCGCCMCAGATGATAACGTATTGCTTCCCGTCCTGCCGGAGCTTAGCCCAGGTGAGATCTGTGTTGTACATTTTGCCGTCAGGGCCAACGTGCGCGGTTGCGAATGCATCTTCTTTGCCGTCTCCTAGGACCTTAATCAACATGGCGAGAACGTCGCCTGCGATACCATCACCATGGGCAAGGTCGAGGTCAAGGAAAAGAAATTCGGATTTATGGGAGTCGGCAAAACTTTTGATTTGACGAAGAACTTTCTCGAAGGATTGGAACGTGATGACACCATGCTTCATCACCAGGGTCTTCCCCTCGAGGGTGATCCGCATATCAAACCACCGAGACCCTGCCAGGAGCTGGCCGGTGTAATTGGAGATTTGGCAGATACTGCCAACAAACTCATGAAATCCATTGTCGCCTCCTTCGTATTTATAGGCCGACGCATCGTGGCTGCAGGGGATGTAAGAATCGATCACGCGTGCGCTGGGATCCAGGTACTTCATCCAGTTTGCGAGATCAAGGACCGACATGGTTGAAAGAAAAGTAGCTAATATCGTCTAACCCCTATTGTAAGATCAATAACTGTTGGAAATTCGAATGTGAGTTTAGACTTCCTCGAATTGAAGACCTTGCTGTGGTTTGTACGAGATGAAGATCTGGAGATGAAGTTCTGAGCGCTTTTATATTGTGGAAGCCATCCTCTTACCTTGTTGTAAGCCATACCAGCGCTCTTCATAATCGACTACCTCAGGGTAAGACGAAGGAACAGCAAACCCGTCATCAACATGTGGCTGGCTGACAATTGCATATCTGAGCAATCTCTGGACATGGCAAACTTCAGCCAGAGGCCTATATCCAGGTCCGCAGGTGCAATTTTGTCAACAGGTCAAACTCTTTGACGAGATTTTGGTACGGCCGCCGCGCACCGTCGTCCAGTAACAAGTAAGCAAATATCCCAAGTAGCCAAGAATTTTTTTTTGCGCTCGTCGGGTTATATTTCCTCAGATAACTGGACGTATGGTTTCTTTTTTACATGTCCAATAAAGCAGATCACACGGCTGCTGCGGCAGAAACCCGCATTTTCAGCTGAAGCTTCAAGGGCCATCAATGGCCAACCTGTTCGTATAGATCAAACCTTAATGTCTTCCGCAGCTGGCACCGGGACTCCCAGGGTCAGAAGCTGCTATAAGGCAACAGATACTCCGAGCTGAAGTCGAGCCAGCCACCAAAGGCAAACCGAACAGCGTGCTCAGTGTCTGCCTCTCTGTAGGACTGCATCGTTGCTCAGACACCGGGATGGGATATTCAGAAGACTGGGAGGTTCTAGACGACTGAGAATGCAGAGGGCCATCAGTCGGACGCTCAAGTATGGTAAAAATAACGATAGGCCCCGGTTTGATGATGTTCGCAGGAAGTACAGCTGCTTGTACCGATAGAACTCTTCAGAGTCTGTCGACTCGTCCAGGCAAAGAAGCCTTTGAAGGTAATCGGGCATCGCTTCATTGGACTATATGCTACACCGACCAAACGAGCGAATCGCATGTTAGAAAATGGTGCTCATCCTAACAAGAGAGACCACTTTGAACCTATATATACTCCTGCAGGTTATAAGATGGGGGAATAAGAAACTCGTGCCTTGAGACTGAGCCGTACTCAAATATCCAGGGGGTCATTTCCTTCGTCCATATCGTTGTCTGAGGTACATGAAGCAAGGTCAAAACTGGAATCATCCTGTATATCGAAAGCAAACGAGCTGAGTGTCAGAGAACAACTCAAACTCATATTGTGGTACAATGATATAGAGGTTTAGGTTTCGGTAAGTGGTTGTTCCCCGCGCGACATCTTTAGCACACTGGCAATGGTGAATTATCCCAACGGAGCGCCTCTATTTTATGCAACTCGGACATTATAATTTCAATTGCGGGTTATGAAGATTGTGCCGGTGAACGGATTCTTTCTCTAGGATATCTATCATTGACAAACCTGGAATATTAAGAGTAGCAAGCGCGATTAAGGCTATACATGTCCCAGCCAGCTTTCAATTCGCGCTGCAGTATCCCCAACTAGCTGGTCGTAATACATGCCAAGGGGAAGAAACATGGATTGGTGAGCGTTAATTTCGTCCATCTCCTCCATATACAGCGGGACCCAGAGCTGCTTTCTGCGGGCCTCTTTTGGAACATAACAGAACTTGCGTCCCAGTGGTCGCGAATCAGAATCATTGTTTTTGTTTTCAAGAGGATCCGAATTGCATCGGTTTGCACTGGGGTTTTGGCTGTCCACCCTCGCGAAACGATCTAGAAATGAGTAGGACGAGCTGTCCTCTGGTCCCTTTTTTGGTTGATCTGACGTAGATAAGTGACTTGGTATGTGTTCCTCATGCAGCTCCGTAACCTCGTGTGCAGGGAGCTGCTTATCCTGGCATGATATCGTCTTGGTGTCATCATATCTGTCCAGCTTTTCGCTGGTTCGGTACGCAGTCGTGTAATAATTAACGAATCTGACTCGTCTGCCACTCGAGCCAGATGATTCATCTACCGCCTCCAGGCGGCAAAGTCTCTTGTGTCTCTTGAGGAGTCCAAGGTAATTGTTCAGACATCCGGCATGGTCATAGTATGAGAACACATACTGAAGAGCAGAACGTGATAAATGATGAGAATGCTTCGCAACAAAATGGAGTGCTCCATTCCAGCCTTTCCAGCGAGGCTTGTTAACGTCATTTGTCCAGGTGGGGTTGAAGTTCGGATCATTATCATTTAGGCTGAGTGTGTCATCTTGAGTGGTTTCTTTGCCTTGGTTGTTGGTATCTGCTTTCCGACTAAATAGTCTGCCGATTCCCGTTCTAAGGACGCAAGGGTGTAGTCCAAGGAACGGAGCATCGAAGTTCACCAAGCCTATAACTCGATGATTCAGGTTCCTGCCGACAATATGACTAGTGGTGCTGGACGACGCCATGAGGGCAACCTCTGCAGCGACAAGACCTCCTAGACTGTGGCCGAGGAGTATGACATCCAAGTCGGACGCCTCGTGAGGTGATAGCCTGCAAGAATGTATGAGATAAATATTGTGAAGAGCGAGGTTTGCTAGGGCATGAGAAACTGCTTACCACCGGCTGATGTTATCGCGGGCGATGTGCAAAGGGCCACGGGTCTTGTAGCGAGGATATATTTTCGTGTATACAATATGGGTCTCGGCCAACGAGGCCGTTAGGAGATTATGGACGTTCCTGGGAAAGTTATGGAAGCTGTCCTCTGACCCCAAGAAGCCATGGATGTATATGAGGAGCAGTCTTCGCTTTCCTTCCGCCCGGGGCAGTTCAGAATGATACGGGGAACCTTCTCCTGGCACGTCGCAGCCAGCCTTCCAGATCAGACCCTCCGAGGTGTGATCTTTCAGTGACGATTCCGGAATATAGTTATCGCTGGAATGCATTCTCTTGTGCTGACACAAAGGATACGAAACGGTGAAGTGAAAGAGATACTTTTGAGGCTAATACAGGGTCGAACGAGCGGACAACTTGCGCCCCAGTGGACTCCCAAGAATTTATGTCTGAGTTTCAATCAATTTCGAGGTTTCTGCACCGCCACTGCAAAAGCTTCTGGAATTTCGGGTTGTTCGTATGTTCGTATATAGGGCCCCACTTCGGTATGTGGAACGAACTAGAACACTCAAGGGGGATTTAGGTCTCTTTGATCAAGTTTCGAATATAAGTCAAAAAGGTCGAAGTCTCCTCTCCGCAGGCTTTGATTCTCTTAATATCTCCCGTAACGGGAGACTGGCAGAAATCCTTTCTCATTATGCATCCCTCCATTTCCAATCGGTACGGGGAATCCCCGCCTCCCTACAAGGAAGTCATGTCTGGGCAGTACCTGGAAGCTTCCACCTCGGCTCGAGGTACGTGTCCATCCGCTGTCATCTATCCCTTAGTATGCGACTGATTTAGTCTAGAGGACGGTAGAATTGATGTGACCGTCAAGGTGAAGCAGCCAGGTTTGGAAAGTCTCTTACCAGACAACCTATCAGTAGATAGCCCACTATTGCCGGAAGTCCCTCTCAGCGCAGTCAAGCCACTGAATATTGTTATCCAGATCCTGGGAAGCAGAGGTTTGCTAGCGCAAGTTCTTCTCCACCGTGCACTATTGCTAACGGGTTTTCCGGACTTCAGGAGATGTCCAGCCATTCATCGCGCTAGGTACCCGCCTACGCAAGGATGGCCATCGGATTCGGCTCGCAACCCATGAGAATTTCAGGGATTTTGTTCGAAATTCTGGACTGGAGTTCTTTTCGATCGGCGGCAACCCCGAGGAATTGATGTCGGTAAGCATTCGACAAGACCATCAGGACTGGAGCCACCCCTATCTGATAGTGTCAAATAGTTCATGGTAAAAACCCCCGGAATCATCCCGAAGATGTCAACGATTACTGGTGGTGAGATCGGCCGGAAGCGGAAGATGATTGCGGATATGCTGCACGGGTGCTGGCGCTCGTGCATCGAACCAGACCCCGTTACCCAGGCTCCTTTTGTTGCAGACGCGATCGTTGCCAATCCTCCGAGTTTTGCCCATATCCATTGCGCCCAGGCTCTTGGAGTGCCTCTGCATATCATGTTCACCATGCCATGGAGCCCCACCCGGGAGTTTCCTCACCCGTTGGCAAATATCAAAGATACGGGTGCAGATGCGTCTCTGACGAATTATTTGTCGTACAGCATGGTGGATCTTTTGACTTGGAGCGGGTAAGCTTGTTTCTGTCTTGAGTTGGTCTAAGGAATCAATCTGATGGAATACAGACTGGCAGACATCATCAACAGCTGGCGTGTGGAGAGTCTGAATCTAGAGGAACTGTCACCCAGGACCGCTTCTGGGCTGCTGGACAGGCTTCAAGTCCCTCATACATATTGCTGGTCACCTGCCCTTATCCCAAAGCCATCGGATTGGCCGCCCTATATTGGTAATCTACTCTCCCTGAATTTCAATCATGGCATATTTAGCTAACCATGTGAACTATGAAAGACGTCTGTGGGTTCTTCTTCCGAGAACAGCCTTCATATAGCCCTTCTCCTGAAATAGAGGCTTTCCTGCGCAAAGAATCGAAGCCGATTTATATTGGATTCGGAAGCATTGTAATGGATGACCCTGCGGCCATGACTACGATCATTCAGACCGCGTGTCGACAGCTTGGGGTTCGGGCGATTGTCTCCCAAGGGTGGAGTAAACTGGGAATGGGTTGCGAAGACCCAAACCTCCTGTTCATTGGTGACTGTCCTCATGGTGCGCGTTTACGCTCTGAATGTCCTACTATCTGTAACTGATCAACTGGATTTTTCGCAGAGTGGCTTTTCAAACATGTTGCCGCCGTTATACACCACGGTGGGGCAGGGACAACCGCATGTGGTCTATTAAATGGGTGTCCAACAGCCATCGTACCATTTTTCGGGGAGTCCGTGCATTCTACCTCCCTACTTTGAGCTCTGTGTGCGTAAAGAGCTGACAGGAACTAGTCAACCGTTCTGGGCCAAGATGGTTGCGGCCGCTGGAGCAGGGCCTGCTCCAATTGATCACAAAGCTCTTACTACACAAGGACTCGCAGATGCCATTAGGTTCTGCTTGAGCCTAGATACACAGCGTGCAGCAGCGTCGATAGCAGCGCGAATGGAATCCGAGGACGGGGTGTCAAATGCAGCTGCGAGTCTCTATCGACACATCCCTTGGGAAGCCATGCGGTGCGACATACTGCCCTCTGAAACGGCAAAATGGTCAATAACTGTCCACAAAAAAGAACTAAAGCTCTCTCAGAGAGCGATGATGATTCTCTCGCATTGTAAGATCATTGAAGTGAAGAATTTGCGCCCGTACGTGTTCTGCTTCCATGCAAAGACTGGTCCCGCTTTGATCACTAATCTGATGTCGTCTGGAAAAGGTATCACTGCAAAGCTTTACACATAGACAAATCTCATATCGACCCACTTTCGTCCACGTCAGCGGCTATGCTAAGCACCATGACACATTTCACAAAGGGGCTAGGCAGCGTTGTGACTGACCCTGGAAAAGGCATGACCCAAATGTCGACCAGCATCGTCAAAGGCACTTTGGTTGAAGTCCCAACTGCGATGGCGGAAGGCCTACGTAACATACCCCGGTTATACGGAGAGCAAGTCGAGAAGACTGCCCCAATAAATGGTTGGAAAAATGGAATGACTGAAGCAGGACGAGTATGTTGGCCTCTCTATTTCGGCGCTTGTTGCCTGTTTGAACCGCTGCCGAAAGAGTTACGGATCTCAAATTCAAGGCACAAGCCACTACGCGGAGGGTTAGGTACTAATAATGCCTTCTTTAGAACTTCTACACTGGGTTTGCTGATGGACTCACCGGAATCATTACGAAGCCATACCGGGAGGCAAAAAGCGACGGTGCTGGGGGCTTCGCCAAGGGGCTTGCCAAAGGCAGCGTGGGAATCTTCTCAAAGCCTGGGGCAGGTAAGCGAAGCGATCCACTGGTCATAGAGTACTAGAACCTCGACACTAATATCTTTGCAGCGATGTTTGGCCTTCTTGCTTATCCAGCTATGGGTATCTACAAGAGTATGAAACATTGGAAACTCAATCCTACGGAAGCGGCCGTTGTTGAGTCGCTGATTGCACTGGGGAATTATATGCAGCAGAGGTTTCCTGCTACGACAGAGGAGGTTGACACAGTAACAGCTAGGTTTCGAAGCCTAGTCGTCTGAGATTGACTTTTCAAACCGACTGTAATCTGTTAAATTAATAGCAGAGCGTTGTGTAATAATATTGTGGGCATCAATCCTGCCAACCAGTTGATTTCTTGGCCGGCCAAGGAGCCTAGGCACCATTGCAATCCGCCCTGGCCTTCGTATTCTCGTATTCGTAGCCTCGTACACGTGGCGCATGATTGACTTTTTATCATCCAATAGCGGATCCACAAGACTAAGATAAGACACATCTTATAGCCCCACAAGGCTACAATTAAAGGGTACTTTACTATATGAACCCCGAACGGGGGCCGTTCACAGCAACTTGCTGAACTGATATTTCACAGGTGATTCTTTCAGACAGTTGATTTGTCTTCTATTTATTTACCAATGACGGACCAATGGCTTCAAGTAACTTCCAGGCCTCTGAGAGAGCCGAGTTGCGCAGATGATGAGGAAGGCGACGCATACCCGAGCATTCCTCCCAGCAGCTGCAATCATGAAACCACAGCTCAAAAGGCAAAGGGGGTAGATCTCGGGTTTATGTCCCTCGGATCGTCGCCGACGGTAAGGTAGCACAGTGATCGAAATTTTTCCGCAGAGGAAGCATTTGTTGATACCCAGCCGCAGGGCTCATCGTCCGATTTGATAGGAAACGGCCCATCTCGAAGCAAGACGCATAAGGCCTTGGATCTCTGGCAATGGCTCCGAACCCCGCTCGGAATCCTAGTCACACTGTATGGACTCAATGTTATCGCCTGGGGAGGGATGCTTTTCCTCCTTCTCTGCAACGCTGCCCCCGCCATGTGCGATCCCTCCTGCAACGACCCGAACTCACCGCGACGAAAGTGGATTGAAATCGACTCCCAGATTCTCAATGCATTGTTCTGCATTCCCGGGTTTGGTCTGGCTCCCTGGCGCATGAGGGACCTCTACCTTTGGATCCGCTGGCGGATTGCAAAAGACGACGCTGCGTTTGCTCGTCTACGCCATACGCACCGTGCCTGGTTTGATTGTGCGCCCGAGGAGATGAATCGCAAAGGTGCTGGTAGCGCACAGGAAACCGTGGATATCTCAGGATACTCGGTCTCGACCTCGACCCCGCTCTGGAAAATGAGCATGGTGGTGTGGTGCAATACCTTGAACACGGTGTTCCAGGCCTGCTTGGCGGGCTGTATGTGGGGTATGAACAGATTCACTCGCCCAAGTTGGACCACGGGTCTGTTTGTCGCGGCAGCTTGTATCTGTGCTGGCTTGGGGGGTTGGATAATGTATAAAGAAGGACAGAGGAGAAAGAAAAAGCAGCAGAGCCCAGTTTGAAGCTGTATACCTGACAGATATTCTCATGACGAATTAACGAATTACATGTGGCGTGAAAATTTATATATAAAGTCATGGTGATATTCGGATATCGTGTAGACCAGTTGCTCTGTTCTCTGCGTGTTATACGTGGAGGTCACCTTGGTGCAAAGAACTATTCAACGTATGGGTTATGTGCTCAATTTCGGCCTATCCGATTTCGACTCCACCATAAGACCCTTGCATCAGGCTTGCCGAAAACGGAGAAGATCTCCTCAGGAGTCTCTGGAACGCCGAGTACAGGACCAAAATCTCGCAGTATTTTAACGGGCTCTGCTTCCCCCCTGACATGGAAGTCCATGATTCCACGGGACACAGAATCACCCATATCTCCAGACCATTATTGTATGACCCGTCCGCATACTACAGAGGTTTGGTCATGCTGTAGTAAGTCGAGCTCCCAACCCGGTTCCAGCACTTGCATGCGTGCACAATCGGCTAGGTTAGACAGACAGCAGTCAGTACCGTTTCTCTAGATATATTGTCGTGGAGGGGCGAGTGCCAGCCAAGCCATACTACCCCTGCCTTCCAAGCAAACATGTAGTTATCTGATGTATTGCGGACATCTGAGCGGCAACTCATGGCGGACATATTACACCTCCTGAACTGTGGCTGGATCTCGGTTGACTCCTCCGTTAGATCGAAAGGTCTCTTTCAGTGTATCCTCTGTCGTCGGCATCAACCCTTGGACTGTTTATCTTTTCAGTCCAGATAATTACGAAGGGGGATTATGTGTGATAGATTCTGAGTCTTCTCTCAAATCTTATGCTAAGATCTGGTGGGCTATCCTTCGCTTATTGCTCATTGCTGGTTACCAACAGCTAGGGTTTAGTTCGGATTATGATCCCGTCTGTTTGTGCCTAGTTATCTGATTACCTACATCTCGTCACCAAATCTGATATGCAAGAAATTCAACACTTTGAATTATGATTAGATTTAGTCGACAGCGCAGGTGATGGCAGTCCAAAAAATTGTAGACGGGAGCCTGATGCATCATTTAGCCATCGCTCAGCACAGTTTCCATGTGTAATTATCGAGGTCTGCTGCGCCCAGAAAGCCCAGCAGATGAATTCACTAGCAGACCACGACATCTTATGCATCGGTGGTGTCGTTAATGTTGTGGCCAGTCGAGTATAAGGCCCTTAAGGGAGGCTACTCTTTCCATCTGGCTCCCTAGCACATACTGAGGGATGGAGTTCGACGATGAGTTGTGAATGAATATGTAGGGCCTTTTACATTAAGACTAGTTATCTACTTATTCGCGGCTGGCTTTTTGAACTGATGATGGACAACCCGTAGGATCGACGACACTGACTGATGCTCAAGGATTTCGCGACAGAGCTAGCTGACTTGGAACCGTCAGAATCTGCAGCAGGAACTTATGATCTCTCCGGGAAGTTATGTGGATGTCGTCAGCGCGAAAAGCTTAAATCCCTTCATTCCTTCGGTCGCATAGTTCGCGTTCGTACCTTCGTATTAAACTTCCGGGTCGGGATCAAAGCATGGAATCGTTTAATCGTATTTCTCCGCCTGGTATAACTTCGAATTCTGAAGAATCCCGACCGAGGCACAAGGAGAGTCTTTAAAAGCTGCCATACTCGCGCAATGACAAAGACGAATTGCAAAAAACTCACTGCTGTTGGCTATACCTACTGTATAACATGGGTATCGGGCAATACATTGCGCTTGGCCTTTTGCACGCCAGCCTCGGGCTGGCAGGCACTGTTTCTTTATATGCCCCTCTCTCCTACAGCGACCACCGTGGCGCACCTCAGCCGGTCTATAATAGTACGAGATTCACGCTGTCCTCAGACGGCACTGCCCCAGCCATCATTGTCCTGGACTACGGAAGGGATGTTGAGGGCTATGGAACGTTTCAGGTTACCCGGAGATCGGGAAACACTTCTACATTCGAGATGAGCTATAGCGAGACCCGCGCCTTGTTGGATATCTATATGGTCAGTACGCTTACGGTAGTCTCTTCTGCAGAGGTGATTGATTAGTTTTCATCCAGGCCGACGGCCCCCTCCCGCTGGCTGCGGCCATGGACACTTATCGAGTCAACCGCTACAACATCACTGACGAAAAGACCTACACGAATCGTCTTATCCAGGGCGCGCTGCGATACCAGAAGTTGAATCTTTCGAGTGCCGGTCAATTGGAGCTTTCCATGGTTGGTTTTAGGCCAGCTGTGGATGACACTCCCTTGTCTGAGCTCCCCGGGTCTTTCAATTGCTCAGACCCGGTGCTGAACCGCATCTGGGAAACGGGAGCCCGCACGGTACAGCTAAATGAGTTGCCTGCTGCGTCTCTTCCGGAGTTTTGGACCATTACCGATGAAGGTGCCCTCGTTGATAGTCTCGCCCCTCAACCGTTTGCAGCCAACTATGCCGCGACGATGACCGCTTACAACCTCGATTTCGCCGTGAAGCCTATAACGAACGGCTTTGGCTTTACGGTGCTAAGCGACACCCTCGGCAACGGCATCTATATCTTCGTTGACATCGCCAACGCTGCGATCTCCGCGCACGCAGGGTCATCAGAGCTAAGAAGTACACCACTGGCGTCGGCTGCTCTGCCATCAATGATTACCCTCAATGAATGGCATAGAATTCAAGCCGCTGTCAATGTGACTCAAATATCAGTCAAGATCAATGGAATGTCCCTGCTCGATTTCTCGCAGACATTCGCACTCTATGGCTCATTCGGGCTTGGCGCATCTTTTGGCCACACCGCCATCTTTACCAATGTCTCGTTGACGGCGTTCGGTGCGCAGATGTATGCGTCATCACTTTCTGAGAAGTCAGCCCTGAAGGACTTCATGCTCGGGACAAATCCACTCCCAGTCAGCGTTGATGGATCCCGTCGAGACCGCATCGCCTACGCGGGAGACCTAGACATCACGGCCGGCGCAGCATTTGCCAGCACCAACGGAACCGAGTACATCAACGGCTCAATTGCACTCCTCGGCTCCATGCAGATGCTGCCCGGCTTCTTCGCGCCCAACGCAAAGGTCCAGCAGGAGCCGAGGACAGAGGTAATCCCAGCGAACCTCACGGGTCTGATTGGGTACTCCTTCAGCCTGGCAAGTGCCATGGCTCAGTACTACGAGCAGACTGGTGAAATTGCGTTTCTAAAGTACTGGGCCCCCAGGGCCGCCCGACTGTTCGACTGGGCACACTCCCAGACCCTCCCTAGCGGGCTGTTCAACATCTCTGACGTGGCCCTGGGAGGAGACTGGAACTACTACGATCCTCCCCTGGGTGGAGTTGTCTCAAAGTTTAATCTCATCTATGCCTACGCGCTGAAGCAGTGGCTCCCCTACCTGGCTGATGGAGGGTTGAACGACACCATGTATGCGCAACGGCTCTATTCCCTACAAGAATCCATCCGAGCCAATCTTTGGAGCGACAGGCTGCACGCCTTCTACCTCGCCGACTCCCACACAGACTTCTTCTCGCAGGAAGCAAATGCTCTCGCTATCCTCAGCGACACCGTGCCCTCGACCGGAAGGGTCTCAGCAAGGACCCTCCTGTCCAGCATGGCTCGCAGTCTGTTCATCTCCGCCGGCGCTCTCGCCTTCTCTCCCACCAGCGCTGCAAGCGGCTGGTCGCAGAAGGTTAGCCCATACGCCTCAGGGTACCATCTCCAAGCCGCGTTAAACACGCGCGACACCGCCACAGCTACATACCTCCTACACACCCTCTGGGGCCCCATAAGTGACCCTGCTTATGCAAACTACACCGGCTGCACCTGGGAGACGCTGAACACCAACGGACGGCCCGGCCTCGGCGCCCCGACCTCGCTCTGCCATGCTTGGGGTTCTGCTCCCACGGCCATGCTGAGTCGTCATGTCCTCGGTATCCGCGCAGTGAATCCCGGCTTCAGGCAGTGGAAGGTCGAGCCGATTACCCTGGGTCTGCAGTGGGCGCGCGGACGGCATGCTGTGCCGGGGGGCGCGGTTCAGGTGGACTGGTCCTTTGACAGGGATGGCCTGCTTACCATGGTGGTGAACGCCCCTGCTGGTACTAATGGTACTGTCTTCCTTCCTAGGCCGCTACAGGCGCCTTTGGAACGCTACCGGGTCTCTGGGGCGGCGAGGAAGGTGGGTGACGGGGCGTTTGCTGTGCAGGGAGGAGAGGCGTTTACCCTCCGCCAGAACAGGTAGTCTGATGTATAACTGTACCCTCTGTATTATCGAGCGGTTTTCCGTCTCGTGTAGTCTAGACAGTAATGTCCGACTAGACTGGTTGTGGATTGGATATGGATTGATTCGCACTATGTTTGATCCAACCCATGCAGATTATGGGTTGATCCACCAGCTATCTAACCCACCCTCATATCCATACGGGTTGGATTGTAGATTATGGATATATCCATACTACCTAGTCAGGTGACCTCTAGACTCTAGTATTCTAATTACCACCTATTTTTCTAGTATTCTCGCCACACCACTAAGATATCTGAATATTTCATTATATAAGATAATAGATCACTATATAAAATTATATATTACCTATTATAGAAGGTAAAATAGTCTTATATAAGGAAGTAGGGGTGACCCCTAAGTTTAGGATGAAAAGTAATGCAGAGGTATATATAACTCACTATTACTATCCTAATCAGCATCATCTAAAATCTAAAATCTACCATAACTCTAATTTTTCTTAGTAAATCTAATATTTTATTTGATATATAGATAGATACGATTAATCTTTATCTATAGATATAAAAATATACCCCTATCTATTCCTAGAAATAGTTAGAGAAGTCTATTAGTTCGAAGAGGCCTTAGATCATGTGCACCCAATGATGTGGATTGGGTATGGTTAACCCATTTAGTTAATAGGTTGGGTCAGGCTTACCTAGATCCAACCCAAAGTGCGGATTGGGTCAGCCAGTCTAGTCCGATCATTGACAGCCACCGGGAAGTGCTGATGCTGGCGGGGGCGGGGGAGGAACGGCTGGTACATAACAAACCAATAGGCTTCTCGTAATTGAAACATCCAGCCTAATTGAGCTGTGGATCACCTTCACCTCCCTAATAAAAGCACAGCGCAAATACCTCAACGGGGCCCGAGAATTCCGGGCTTAGCCATTGGGGCGCGAAAGTTCCACCTCTAGACTGTATCTGGAAAATATGTCGCGAGATCGGTGGCCATCGTCGGATCCAGACCCTGATGAAGAATAGCCACGCAACAAGCCAAGACACAATTTGACTTCCCTTTAAACACTAGTAATATCCGCCTGGCTAGGGCAAGGCAGTGATTTTTGTTGCTTCAAACAACCCCCTCTCCAGCGAAGAGCCACCGAGCTTTTCCATTCCTGCCGATGTCTTCTCAACTCCATTCATGATGCCCTGTGGGTTCAAAGACAGCCGCCGGGGAGGCCATCGATGTGTGCGCTGTCGCATGGCGCATTTAAAAGTAGGACATGATTGCGTACAGCTTTGTTAGCCTCACCGATAAACGAATCACTAACCTGGAAACGAGCATTAGTGCGACGGTCGCCGACCATGTCTGCGGTGCAGCCAACGAGGCTATGCCTGCTCCTCTCCTGGAAAGCCCGGTAGTGTAGTGCTCATCTCTTGTCATCCACAACCGGCATTGGTGTTACCCAGATTAAACTTATCTCGGGATCCGGCCATGTTTAGCAATGTATTCTTCAGCGCCATACGTTGTTCTTTATCTCCCCTGGTATCTATTTTCTCGTTTGACTCCATACGTGCAATACTGGAGGAAAACAAGCTAGTCCAGGATGTGGTATTGCTGGTTGGAAAAGCATATCTGCTTCATGTGTCTCACCGCAGGACAAACGATCTACGAGAGGCCTTACACCGTCTGCAGCACGCAGCGCTTGAGAAGCTTAAGATGTCGGACACTAAATTGATCACAGCAGGGCTCGTGTCTTCTTGTCTCTTGAGCCTTGCCGAGGTACGTTCTTGGCGTGGCAGTCATCCACCCAGAAGACTGACGTAGCAGCAGCTCATCTTGGATGAGAGCGGCAAGGGTTGGCGATCGTTTACCGGCAAGATACAGACGTTGATCGCATTTAACACGAATGTTACCCAGATGCAATCGCATCTAGGAAGGTGCCTTTATTGGTTCGCACGAATCAGTATTGCGATCAGGGCCATCTGCTTTGATGAAAATCTATCGCCACCGCCGCCTTCTTTCCCCTGCGCAGGACCAAACGAGCGGCGCCATCCTACTTCTCGCAACTCTTTGTCCCCCAGTGTGGAGGAAAATATAGCACTGCTGGCGACGCACCTTGAATCCTGGGCTGAACTCCAAAGCCGGTAAGACTAAACATTGTTTTGGGAGTTCCATGGTCTATTGCTTATTTTGCCATAGGTCAATACGCTGGGTCAAGAAAAGTGAGGAGCTTTATGAGAAGCATATCAACAGTTGCCCTGCATTAGGGGAAGCATATGGGCATACGACGTCTGAGCATATCATGCGCGGTATTGAGATTGTCTACTGCGCATCGAGGCTGCAACGTGCTATCATCGCGACAGTTCTTTTGTATACCGATTGTCCAACGTCTATTATCCATCCAGCAATACTGTCTTTGTTGCCATATTACCAGTGGTCACTTGCGGGCCTATCAAGACAATTTGTCCATCCCGCCTGGTCCTCTCTTGGCTGTGGTCTGCCTGTGATGCATGACGAACTTGCTCACCAGCAAGCAATACAGGCGTTTGCATATGCGGAAAGAAGCCTAGTAAATAGCGCGGATTTTGAGGGACTTATTTATATCCCAATCATGAATATTGTGGCCCTTGAGATGAAAACAGGACAAGAAAGAACCCGGGCGCTTGAATTCGTGACAACCCTGAAGACCAGGGGATTTGCAGTGGCAGGTAAGGTTGAGCAAGACCTCAAGGAAGCGTGGGTAGGGATGGTACAGTAGATGGTGGATGGTGAGACATCTGAACAGTTCGCACTTTCTTCGGGTTGTCGAACTACGTGGCGACGCCGAATGTTGAATACTCTCATGTGACTCTCAATGTACTGTAACTTAGCCCACTGTGCTATTTTAATAGTCAAATATACTTGAAACTCTATAAATTGTTACTTGCTACCGCTGGCCTCGTGGTTTTGGGCTGGCGAGTCCCAAGAAGTGCACACTCAAGCACTATTACTACACGATACCAGATTATTGTCGGGAGGACAAACAACAATACCTTTTTTCGACTTGCCTTTACAGCCCTTGACCGTAATATGGTAAATAAAGGTCGGGCAGAACAGCAGCTTTGCCAAGAAACCTCGAGGGTCATCCTTCGCGTTATTGTTCCTCCATTGGGCGTAGTGTCTCATTCCTTCTGATGCGTCATAACTCAAACTGTGGAACTTGAGGTCTCCATTGTAGACAGCACTGAAATGCTGCCTATGGTATTCCATACACGTGTGCGGGATAAAGAAAAAGGGGCGCATGAGAAGTGTATTCTCTGTGATATATAAAGCCTGATGTTCGCAGGACAAACAGCACCATTCTTCCCCTGTTATCATACACTCACCTTGCGGATACCATCTTCCCTACGAAGGATCTGCAATTAAATTACAGAATGTATCTCCCGTTTGCTATTTCGTCTATTCCCTTGCTCGTGGTCTCCGTAGCAAGTACTCGAGACGTCGATGTTGCTATCGTTGGTGGCGGTTTGTCAGGCCTGGCCGCAGCCAAGGATATTGCAAAGTCAGGCAAGACTTTTGCTATTCTCGAAGCTCGCGATCGCGTGGGAGGCCGTGTACTCAATGCGCACCTTTCCAATGGAGAGGTGCAAGAGCTCGGTGCCGAGTTCGTCGGGCCGACCCAGGACCGTGTGCTCTCTCTCACAGCTCAACTTGGTCTGACAACGTATCCAACATACACGACTGGAAAATCGATACTGTACCGAAACGGCACTGTTAATCCTTACGATGCAGATCTTGCTACCGGTGGCCTCCCGCCCGTCGGCTCGGAAGCCCAGGCAGAGCTCGTGAGTTTCATAACAGAACTTGACCGTTTGGCGAGTGAACTGGACGTTCACGCACCTTGGAAACATGCCAATGCTCCAATGTGGGACGGCATGACCCTGAAATCTTTTGTCGAATCTCGGATGAGTCTACAAGATTCACTGCTGCTCTTCGAGACCGCTACTCGATCCATCCTTTCCACCGAGACGGCAGAGCCATCTCTACTGTACATGCTATCATACATCGCCGCTGCCGGTAACGAAACAAACGCCGGGACAATCACTCGTCTTATTGGCAGCAAGGGAGCCGCTCAGGATAGCCGAATCAATGGCGGCACTCAATTATTGGCGACGAGGCTGGCGGAGAGGCTTGGGGCAGCGAACATCTTCTTGAATTCACCAGTACGGGAGGTCAAACTCAAGGGCGATAGATACATTGTCCGATCTGACAGGATGGAAGTATCAGCCAAACACGTTGTCATCGCCATGTCTCCTCCGATGGCGGGACGGATTTCCTACGATCCATTACTACCCGCCGGTCGGGATCAGCTCACTCAGCGCATGCCTATGGGTTCGATCGGCAAGGCTATCGCGATCTACCCTAAACCCTGGTGGAGGAAACTAGGCTTCAATGGACAGGTGCAGAGCGATACCGGTGTCATCCGAGCAACATTTGATAATACGCCAGCTAATGAGAGCTTCGGTGCTATCATGGGTTTTATTGAAGCCGATGAGATGCGAGCTCTGGACGGGGCCCCGCAAACCGAGATCAACAGGCTCGTCACAGAGGACCTGGTCAAGTACTTCGGACCCCAGGCGGCCAATGTCAGCCAGATACTCATACAACGATGGGACCTTGAGGAATATTCGCGTGGCGGGCCCGTTGCCTATTGTCCCCCAGGGATTCTTACGAAATACGGACCTTTCTTACGGAATCCCGCCGCCAGAATACACTTTGCTGGTACTGAGACTTCTTCCTACTGGACTGGATTTATGGACGGCGCCATCCGCTCTGGTGAACGGGCTGCGGCAGAGATTATCGCGGATTTTTGATTTTTCACGGGTCTGTCATACTTTTCTAAGTTACTAGGTGCCAAGCCATAGTAGGTCTACCAGTCGTAAACTAAGCATGTAAGAATCTAGGAAAGTGTTTCGGAAATTAGTGTACTTAGGAATGTGATCAAGGGTAATTGTTCTTCATAGGTTGACATTGAAATTCTTTGTATTCGTAATTGTAGGTGTAAGAGCAAGGAGGTTCAGATGGACATTTAGATCACTACAATATATAAATATATATGATTTTGACTCATCATCAATATACTTCTGCTTCTTCTAAGGAACAATACTAGACTCCCAAAGCAAACCATTATTGTCTATGTCCAGACACTTTTTCCCACCCCTCGTCAATGCTACTCGTAAGATACTCATGTAGAACAGCTTCACAAGCCAAATATTTGTAGCACTGTTATTCTTCTTATCATTCCGGCACAGAATCATGAAGTTGATTCCGTTGTAAATTTCGAGTGTAATCGCTTAGAAGAGTCAGCTTCCAACCACTAAAATAGAGCGTGGGCTACGAACAGTAATATTTGTCCCCCAAAGGTACTCTTCTTCCGACAGACTGGTTGTATTCCGAAGTCAGTCAAGGTAATTGTAAGGCTGAAGAGTTAGTTGAGCAGCTGCTCACTGAATATTGCTAGACATCTCTGATATTAGAAGTAGACAATACGCACATGGTAAATATTAAGATATACTAGACAGAGGTGCTGCTGTAACCTTAGTGGATGTAAGATATGGCTAGATGCCACTGTCATGGGCGACAGAATGGGCATGAGGCAGCTGTGATATTACTGCTTGAAGGAGGTCCTGCAGTGGATACTGGTTTCAGGGGGGCAGTAGAGAGAAAAATGAGGATAGCATGAGTGGCGTTGGGGCGCTGGGGTCGAGACTGTAGCTGGAAGTGCCCTAGGAGATCTGCGGGATGCGGACTTGTATTCTCTTCGGGGTTAAATCTGGTTTCTGTTGTACGGATGAGAATGCCTGGCTTTAGCATCCTCTCAACTCCTGGTCAAATATAAATTGTAGGTGTTCTGTGGGCTTTGGAGGTCCCACCTTGCCAGATGCCTGTGAAGGATATGAACAGGAGATAGAGAGGAGACCAGGGCCTGACAGAGCCATAATAAGGTGTACTATTTGGTCTCTCATTAACTGAAAGCTATACCGGAAATGACTAAATCAGTGAATCCAGCCTAGCATACAGTCACAAGATGCAGATTCAATGAGCGTATAATTAAATGAGACAACTGAATCAGAAAAGAATGTTATCTCTAAACGTGCAACTATACTTAGTTAGGTAGTTTTGGCTGCCTTGGGTTGTTTTAAGCTCATGAATGCCACTGTTTCTTCCCCAAACTGAACATCTTGGTAAACCTGAAATCCATTTCGCTGCAACACCTTCAGGCTTCCTTTATTAGCATAGTTAACTGCTGCATATAGTTTCTCATCTTGCCCCATCCCAACTGCTCGAGGAAGCTTCCACCATGCGTCTATAACAGCCTGTGCGGCTTCACTGGCATATCCTTTCCCCCAAAAAAGGGGATGGATTGTATAGCCCAGGGACGGTGCGGGTGTTAATGAGTTGACGCCGATATCACCAATAATTCTCTCAGGGTCATCTTTTGGGATAATCACAAAGGTAAATAGTCGTCCAACAGCACCGGATGCATCTGCGCTGTTGAATAGATTTCTTCTCATCCAGGTTTTAGTTGCTTCAGTCGTGGTGTCTGCTACTCTAGGCCAGCTGGGGTAGTTCAGTGATAAGAACAGGAGAGCAGCAAAGTGAACAGGTTATTCTCACAACCAGTCAACAACATCCTGTCGACGTCGAAAAGTGAATATTCCCGCGGCATCTTCGTCGTTATCAATGCGCAGCGGCCGCAAAAGGAGACGCGGGGTATAGATCGGCTCTAGGTGTTCAGGCACGATTACTGAAACGACTTGCTCAGGATATGACATGGCAAACTGACGGTATAAAAATTTGGTCGCTTAGAAGGCGGATTATCTGCTAGATATATATTAGCACGCGCCTTGAGTGAGTCATTAGTGGAGTTACTAAAGTTGCATTTGGGCTCATGTGACTCGGATTTAATCAATGCCTACGCTTTTGATTGGCTTTATCTCCTGGAGCTCTATCGATGTTGGTCAGTGCCTAAAAGATCACTCAACCCCTGCGCCCCTTTCCAAGGCCTTTACCGTTTATCTTGTTAACCAGGTGACGATGTGGCTTGGTGACATGCTTTTTGTTCAGCGAGCTACTAGTTTTCAGCGAGCAGAGGCCTATGATTGAAATTCTGTGAGAGGGGTTTCGGAGGGATCCATTACCATAAGTTATAGTCAGTGGAGCATGCCTGCTTTTTGATGCTTTTAATTTAAGAATGCATCTCGCGACATAGGTTTCAGTCCATAGTATTGCCTTACATTAATCATTCAGAAGACATAAAACCACATACGACCACAGGGTATGGAAAACAGGGCTTCCCGCCCACACAGCCGTACTTATAATATACAATCCATAAAACTAATAATTTAATAGCTAAGTTAGTATAGTTAATTATATAGAAAAATTTTCTCCTCTCTATTTTCTACCTTTTATTCTAGTTAGTAACCTCTAAGAAATCCGAAAATAGGGAATTTGATTGAGGTTTGTGTCCGTTACTTATCATCAGTGTTATTAATTACTTCCATAAGTCATTGCTGGCATGATAACTGAGCATCTTCATTAATATCTTTATCCCTTTGCTCTTCAGTGCTTTCACCTTTGACATCATTTTGATCATATACCACCTCCCTATGGCTTCCTCTCAGCTGTCTTTTATGTTTGGAAAAGACATCGAGTCTAACATAATAACTATCTACAGTTGTATTAAGACAGAGGTAGTAGCAGAACTATAAGAACCCCCTCCACTACTAAATAGAGGCGTAAGAGCATGGCTCTAAGTCCTTAGGGCCTTTTCTTGAACTTTAACACATAGAGTCTCTTAAATACTTTAGCATATTCTAATCTAAATATAGTACAGGATTACTGAGGGACTTATTACAGTCTCTAATTACTTAAATTAGATTACTGCAGGCTTTTCTGATGCTGGCAATTAGAGTTCTGTATAGATGTGCTCTTGATGCCAGGTATTTCTCGATTAATATCACCCTGGGTGTGTTTCTTAAGCTGTTCAGCATGATGAATGAGCTTTACCACCTCTTTATAATAAGAGAAATGCTAACGTAATAGTAACTTAATTTACAAGGAGTACTAGTAGGTTATCCTGGCCCAGGGCCTGTATGTCGGTATTAGCGCCAGAATGTCATTCGTCCCCAGTGTTACCATTATGGGCACATATTTCTTAACGCAACAATCCACTGTGCCGGGCCCGGCTGCCACTAGCTCCAGTATCAGAGGCATTATCTACCCTGTTGTGCTGAGGCATCTGATCATCCAGATTGGACTGCCCTGTGACCTTAACTAAGACTTAAACGACAATGACCCAATTCAAACAACTTCTGTATCGATGCAAAGTCTCCAGTGAACGCAGGGAATGTCATCCACTAAGATTTTGAAGTCAGTCCGGCCATGTAACTTCCAAAGGCATGCGTATATGTGGTGTAACTCATGACAAATAACAAGCTCACACTGCATTCTTTTTGGCATTGATCATCGTCAGGACTATTTTCCCAACGCAGTTTTGAATTCCATCTTCAGCTAGCCACAGCAAAACTTGCGCCCTCTTGTTTTGTTACTTTTTCTGGTAAGTTTCGTTGTTTTCGTGTGGTCACCCTTTATCACCCTTTAAATATTTTCTCATGGCCTCGCTCTTCAATGTGATCTTCAGTATCTCTCAACAGATCTCTCAGTATCAACAGACCATGCAGTTTCTTGGCGCCTTCTCCCTGCTTAGCTTTTGGGCTGGCCTGGCGGTAGCCGCCTACAACGATGCCTGTCCTAATTGCACAGAAATATACAACGGAGGCTGCGACAAGGACAGTGGCCCAGTAAAACTACTCATTGGCAACGGTGGAGCTGGTCAAAGTGGACTTGTGAAAGGTATATTAGCCTTAATAGGAGCACCCCTCATGATAAATGTGACATTAACCAGCGCACAGCACTTGCTGACAGTTTTATCCAAAAACAAACAAATCACTGCAGGAAGGATATCTTCAAGATTGGATGGGTAAAAGGGGACACCACAAAGACGATCAACAATCTCAAAGCAGGACATGTACACGTCGGCATAACTTACCATAAGGTGGCCGAACAAATCGCCATTGATGCGGGCTTCGCGAAGGGATGCATGTACGAAGACGATAGCAAACATCCTTGCTTCACAGATTGCAAAAATGCGACGGAAAAGCCATGCTATACGTTTCGTGACCACTTCTACTTGGTTGGACCTCGGGAGAATCCTGCACATGTTGAGAAAGATGAGAATATCATGAACACATTTAGGAAAATCTATGAGACCGGTGAAAGGGGCAAGGCCCGCTTCCTCACTCGATTTGATAAATCTGCGACTAATATCAAGGACTCGGAGATGTGGATTGGAATTGGGCAGGTGTGTATTCTTTTCTTCTTCTGTCTTCCTTAGCTAACCAGAACACTAGGTTCCATGGGCGCACGACTACTCGGAATGGTACCATCAGTATATTGACTACCCAGTTCAGGCATTGACGGAAGCTATTACACAGGGGGAGTACACGATCACCGATAGAGGAACCTATCTCACCCTAATGAGTCAGTTTCCGTGTCTCACTGAGAATACTACAATATATCAGAAAGGGGAAGACCACGAGGAGCTGCTTAACCGAGGTGACATTATAACCTCCAGCAACATTCAAGCTTCCGATCGGAGTTACGTCGACGATTTCGTGAAATGGGTCCATGGCCCCGATGGACAGGGAGTCATTCGAAACTACCATAAGCCACAAAAAAAGTATTGCTTGTATAAGGGATTCCCTACTGATGGCGACTCGCTCGAGCCAGACAACTGCACGTGGGACTTGGACGCTAGCAAAGCTTGTGCCACTCATGATGATGGTGATGTAAGAGTGGATTTATGAAAAACAAAAAGAAATTAGGCTGGTGACTAGGAAGAAACAGATCAAAGACGAATATCGTGACCACTATCTGAAAATTATGAAGATAGCCTGAGTTCAATACAGTGACTTGCATTCTTAAGAGTTGGTTTTATCTGTCATACTACTGGCCACTACAGCGGAACTCGACGTGTTGACCATAGTCTTACATAGTCTTAATGCAACTCCATGAAAAGCTTCGAAGCAAGCTAAGCGGCCGCGGTGGTGCGCGTGTTAGTGGGGTGCGCAGCTCACTTGTTGAATAGATCATATACTAAGGTAGTATTCTTTAGTAATATTATGTAAAGTACTATGTGATATATTTTATTCCTCTTATCGATGCATCATACATACCGAAAGTCCAATTTGTTCTAGCTTAGTGTACATAATATATCTGCTGCAGTCAGAATGTCAGAGTTAAACAAAGTGGGTCTTACGGTAGAGCTAGTTTAGCGCACGGCTGGGGTTATAATCATGATGACAATAGTATGTACCCAACTAGAAAGCGAGCAGTTTCATTGGTCTTTTATGCCGTCTTAACTGTGGAATTATAAGGGTTCTCCGGCATACAATTGCCGGAAATCTTGCACTGCTCAATTTTGTTGGAAATATTATATTGGCTCCTATACTAGCTATTTCATGGTATCTTCCCGTCATCCTCTACGGAGTATAGTTTCAGATTATTCAGCGAGTTATGAACTAAGGAAAACGACTGATACAATTAGAAGTAGTTAAGTACGTTGCTGTTTGTTTAGAGGCGCAGATGGGTCATTGCCTTGGCCGTTATTATATGATAAGGAAGGTATTCTTCCTCTCATGCCACAGCAGCCTTATCATGACTTTATGATTCAATTTTTTGGTAGTTAACAGCCCACCAATGCTCTTACTGGGTGCAATCAGGGCTCTGAGGTCGCGTAGGAGATTGTAGCCCGAGTTAATCAATATGAAACAGACCCTGGTTCTATTCTCGTAGCCGAGTTAACTAGTATGAAACCTCGGACCCTGGTTCTTCCCGTAGCCGAGTAAATCAATATGAAATCTTACACTGGTTCTTTCTCCATGATCGTCAGGGTCCAGATGAATGAAGTCATTATATTGAAGGCTTGATATATTACGCATATCAGCGGGAAAAATCACTTAGAGTATATGCATTCAAAATAGTATGCTTAAACTAGAAATAAAAAAGATTTATGACTGTTTGATTGAGGATTGATCATGTAGTGAGCCGTGACTTGGGCTAAGCTAGATCTTAAAAAATTACTCCTCTTGCCTTCAGCATGAGCAATGCATAGACATCGGCCCATTGTAAGCTTCTTGTGAGGAATTGGTACCCCGTCGATATTTCTTCGAAATACGAGATACGATCCGAACGTGAAACGATGGATCATTGGATCCTTGTGTCCATTCTACCAAGTAAACCGCTTGTGTCAACCTTAGACTCCACCTGAAACCATAGCCAATGCAACATGGCTAGCGAGGTTCCATACTGGGCCCGAGCTGAAAACATTGCCAACGTGCCATGGCTACTGCATGTTCTGAATGTATCGAGATATAACCTGACGTACAATGTTAGAATCTGGAGTACCGACATAATCATGACAGTATATCCTGCAAATATATCCAAATGGCATGAATTTTAACGCGCAGATGCGCTACCAGCTGCCGGGAGACCCGAACAAGATGCTGTCTGGTGGAAGGCAGGAGACGGAAGTTAAGCGACGAACGAAGACCGGGTGTCTGACGTGCCAAAAGCGCAGGATCAAGGTAAGAAATCTCAATGACTTGGACCTTCAGCCCGTGTTTCGTATGCATTCGCAAGCGAGGGCGATCATCGTGTGCGGGAATCGCGGTCGAACATGCAAAGTTAACGCTTCGCTTGTGCTGCCTACCCGCAAAGAACCCATTATGTTTGGGTACATATAAAGCCCCTTTCTTCTCCCCTCAAAATCCTCTTTTCTCTTCCTCATCCTGTACTACACATTCTCTCATTTTCTCATTCTCTCATTATTCTTATCATATCGTTCGATTTACTTCATTGACTGAAGTCACTCTTTACTTAACAATGTCTCTCTCTAAAGTCGCATGGCTCATCCTAGGCACAGCTGGTCTGGCCGCAGCTCATGGACACATCGATCGTATCGACATTGATGGCAAGTCCTATGGTGGATTCCTGGTCGATCAATACCCGCATGAACAAAGCTTCCCTGATCTCATCGCGTGGTCAACTGCGGATACTCAGGACGCCTATGTTCAAACCTTTGACTACAACCAGCCGAATATTATCTGCCATCAGGATGCCAAGCCTGGTGCTCTCGCAGGCGAGGTTGCTGCTGGTGGCAAGGTGACGATTCACTGGAGCAGATGGTTTGAAGATCACCGTGGTCCGGTAAGTTTCTGGAGCAGGAGTGGACCATGATATGTCCACGATCACGTTGCGACAGAAGTTGTTCGAATCCATCAGAACACTAACACAAGAGTAGGTCATCAGCTATCTTGCGAACTGCAATGGGAGCTGCGCTTCTGTGAACAAGACCGAACTTGAGTTTTTCAAAATTGAAGAGGCTGGTCTTCTCGACAACAGCAAGTCCCCCGGAAGATGGGCCAGCGATGAGCTCATGGCTGCCAACAATACCTGGACGGTCAACATCCCTTCCGATATTGCAGCAGGCAATTATGTTCTTCGTCATGAGATCATCGCACTACACAACGCAAGGGAAGACAATGGTGCGCAAGCTTACCCGCAATGCATCAATTTGAAGGTGACAGGGGGTGGCGACGCTACACCCAAAGGCATTCCTGCCACCCAGTTCTACACCCCAACCGATCCCGGAATCCTAGTTGATATCTTCAACAATCTTGCCACTTATGTGATCCCAGGCCCGGCCCTCTACAAGGGCAGCGATACAGCACCTACGTCTATTGCCGTCCCCCCCACCGGAGCGTCTTCCGCCGCGTTGTCTTCCTCCCCAGCCTGGACGACCCCCTATGCAGCGCCTCAGGGTTGTGGATATGTTCCCTACGAGAGCTCTTCTCAAATCACTCCTACACCTGTAGCGAGTGACGCTGAACAGAACGGTCAAGATTATTGGGGCTCCCAGTCCTGGAAGAAAAGATCCTCCGGCTGGACTTTCAGGGGCAGGAAGCATGCTCGAGATCTCTCTGTCTAAGGACAATGTGTGCGAGGCTGTTCTGAAATAATGCGTTGGAAAATATAGAAAAACTTTGGTGGAAGTCATCCTTCATTTTCTATAAGGCAGCGAAATATGAATGAGATTTGATTTCCATCAACAAGATTTCCCCAACGTCTGATTAATGAAGGCTATGGTAGTAGTGATCGAGTTAACTCAGCTATTAAAGGTGTCTGAAAATCAATCAGTATCAGGTGTCTTTTCACCAGCAATAACGTTGATTACAAGCAAAAGGACATGACTGGCTTGGGTGGTTATTTGGCCGGTTGCAAAGGGCACTATCATCACGGGGGACAATGAGGACCTATAGGACTCACCCACATCACCAGCACTATACTAGATGCATCACGCCGCCGTTCTAGAGGTAGTAGGCTCTGAGGACTGACCCAGGCGCTGCTAACATCACTCCGAGAGCAGCGGCTTCAGCGCTAAGAAGTACATGCACCGACTCGGGCTATCAATCACTCCGGATGTACAGACTCAAAGATAGCGCGGTCCAACATAATGGTATCTGTTCTCATTGGACAGGTCTCCCAACGATTAGCCTAACGGGAGTACCCTTGGGCCCACGTAACCTTGCGCACTGCTGTGCTGATTGTCGTTCGTAACACATGCTCTTACCCCTGGCCTCTCTTTCCGCCGTCACGTGTAGGTCCTTCTAGTCCGTCTGCCAACATTTCTCTTGCATTTGCAAGGCCTCGTTATCCACCAATCGGGGTATCCGACCACGCATCGCATCTATGGCGATCATATTAGCGCCGGCTATGGGGGAGACAAACCTTCCGACCACTGCTATATACCACGATGAACTCATGACATGCCTCTTTAGCGGATGCGCGCTACTGATTTCACAGCCTGTGGATGATAGACATCATGATGCAATCGCATACTGTTGCATCGTTATCAAGCCTTGGCGATAAGTCGGTGATCAGCAGGCAGGTCCATAACTATTTGCGCAGCTACTGTGCGCCTCAAATATCGAGCTGACAATGCATCAGAGGAGACGGTACCATTGTATAAGCGACAATGGCTGGAGCAGACACTGCAGAAGGCGAGAAATCAATTGCAGGGAAAGAACCACCCGCTCTGCATTCTACTACCCAGCCAGATGACCTCAGAGAACTGCATGAGCAAGACAAATACCTTCATGGCCGCGCTCTGGTCTTGATGACGCTTTCCCTGAAGGTGGGAGTGATTACAGTCGCATTAGATAACAGGATCATATGTGGGTAGCCTGACTCCCATCACAAATATTCCAGCGCTGCTTGTCCCCACCCGATTTAACAGAAACTAGCCACAGCTATACCAGTAATCACGACAGACTCTGACAGCCTCAGCGATGTGGGTAAGCTACCAGTCTATCGCGGTCGTGGGTTCTCATGGCTTGCTAACCAAAGATGACCCCTCCGCAAGCGTGGTATGGCCCCCGTCTACCTGCTGGCTCAAATGTAATTCCAGCCGACATTCGGCAAAGCCTACACCTTCTTCAACCTGAAGTGGGTGTGGCTTGGATCTGGCTTGCTGTTCGAAGCTGGGTCTGATCTGTGCGGCTGCACCCAATTCTCCCGTCTTCATCACCGGTCGAGCCGTTGCCGGGCTGGGAGCAGCCGGACTGTTCTGCGGAGCCATGATTATTATGTCGCAGATTGTCGGGATGCGAAAGCGCCCGCTGTTGCTGGGCATTGTGACGAGTATGTGCGGTGTTGCCTCGGGGCTCGGCCCGTCCCTGGGTGGTATTTTCACTCATTCAGCCCGCCTCACCTGGCGATTTTGCTTTTGGATCAATCTGCGTGAGTCCTCCTACCTACTAGTCAATGTGCGACCCTACGAACTAAAGGCCTTCCAGCCTTGGGTGGCCTGACAGGATTCATTGTGTGCTTCTACTACGCGTCTTCTCTTGGCGGAGCACCCTACAAGAACTGTCCCCTTCGACAGAAATTGACCAGCCTCGGCCTGAAGAGCGCCTTGATCCTAACCGGTACTTTAGTCTGCCTGATTCTTGCTCTTCAGTGGGGCGGGTCCGTCTATCCCTGGTCTGACTGCCGTGTATGGGGCTGCTTCCTGGGCTTCGGCCTGCTCCTCGCTCTCTTCGGATACATGCAACACCGTCAGAAGGACGAGTATTTTATCGCCACCCTCTATCCATCTGATGCGGTTGAATTTAACAGAAAGCGAGTGCCCTAATCCCCCTTCGCGTCCTTTCTCAACGCTCCGTCCTCCTAGGCTGCACCTTTTCCTGCCTGCTCCAGGGCGCCATGATGACCCAGACATACTACCTCCCGTTCTGCTTCCAGGCCATACGAGGCACTAACGCCCAAACCTCCGGCTTCAGCATCCTGCCATACGGCGTGACCGTCTCCATCGCCACCCTCCTCAGCGGTACGCTAGTCACCCTCTCTGGATTCTACGTCCCCTTAACGTCCCCTTAATGTGGCTCGGATCCGGCATCTTCGTCGCAGGCGACGGCCTCTTATACACACTTTCGCGCTCGAGCCCGTTCAAAAAATGGTTTGGGTACCAGGTGCTCACGGGCGCAGGATACGGCGCCGTGGTGCAGAGCCCGATAACCGCCCTCCAGGTGGTTCTGAGCGCGGCGGATATCCCCCTTGGGAGTACGCTTGTGATCCTTGCGCAGCGTCTCGGGGGTTCGGTTGGTCTGGCGGTTGCGGAGAATGTTTTTCGGAATGCGCTGGACGCACAGCTTCTTGCGCTCCCGGGGTTGATGTTGTTGCGGTGGAAGCGACTGGTGGTGCCGAGTTGCAGGACGTCGTGCCTGTGGGCCTGCTGAGCCCAGTGAGACATGTGTTTCAGGTCGCGGTTTCTGATGCGTTTCTTGTTGCGATGGTCTGGGAGGGGTTCCGTTTCTGGCTTCGCTGGGAATGGAAAGGAAGAGGATTATGGCTAAGGGGAGTGATGCATCTTGAGAGTAGAGACATCGTCAACGTAGAACCTTGGGAGCATCCCGGCAATCGGTTACATATGACTATATCATAAGCAGCTAACGGGCTTACACCCGCTGATATCATCCGTCGTATGTTTACACTTGTCTTCTTGCTTGATCTGACTTTGCAAGAAAGACGTTATTGAAACAATAATCACGACCTTATTCTTCAACGTCATTATGTTCATGTTTGAGTGTATACACCCTGTCCACACTCACACCCGTCCCTATTGCAACTCATACCGTGGAGTCGAATGGCCCGGCAATTCATACGGATTGCTATGCAAAGGTTGCTGGTAAGGCGCAGGGCTGTACGGTAACTCCGACGAGTTCTGGCCGGTAGGCAGCTGATACGATAAATGCTGCGCATGAAGTTCGTTCGCACCATCCGGGGGCGCATAAGCTGCAGTGACCTCCACGTCCGGTTTCTGGCTAGGTGAGGCTTGGAGCTGGCTCGCATCAAGCTCCGGCTTATACTCCATCAGTGACATGGATTGGTCTCTCGCTTCGGGTGTTCCGTTAGGCGCATTCGTGCGCCGGTTCCTGAGCAGGATGAAGGTGACTAGACCGAGGATTATCAAGACACCGCCTCCGACGCCTGCGCCGATACCTGCCTTTGCGCCGGTGCTTAGGCCGGAGTGTGGGGAATTGCTGCTGCTGCTGCTGCTGCTGGTGGTGCTATCCGAGGAAAATATGCTGGATGTGGCTGTTGGTTGCGATGCGTCGTTGGTTTGAGTATCGCTGTTGCTATTGCTATTGCTATTGCTGCTTGCATTCTTGGTGGCGGTTGCCGTGACCGTGGCCGTGGCCCTGTCTTGGGCTTTTGTGCCTGTCGCAGTGGAACCTGTGGTTTGAGAGGCTATTTAGGTCAGGGAAATCTCAATGATCATTTCAGTGCCAGTCACCTGTTAGAGTCGAGGAGCCAGATGTGGTGGAGCATGCGCTTGATGACAATGAGGAGACCAAAACTCCTTCTCTGCATATTCGTGAGTATGGCCCTTTGCATCAGGTGTAGGACGTACACCTCGCAGAGTGCAGTTGCTTCGCTTGCAACCACTGCAGGATATTAGGTACCCATAATACTCTTCGGAGCCATACAAACTTACAGGACGAGTTCAGTGAGTCGCATTGCGCCCGCACGCAGCATATAAAGGCCTGGTGGAATACCGAGCTCTCACAAGAACACTTGTAATCACTTTCGCTGCACTCCGATGCGCTGACAGCGTTGGTATAGCACGATTGCTTTATCACCTGGAGTCAGCGCCGTATTCTCCAAAAAGACAAAAGTAGACTCACCGCGCATGCCGGTAAGGTCGTCAGCTGTGCCTGCACTGCATGTACCAGGAGGAGTAACTGTGGGAGGTAGAAAAGGCGCGCCATAGGATCAAGCACCAGGATTTCAGGAGGGTCGAGACGCCGACATGCGCGACCGCGAAGGAACCTACTGCTGATAATTAAATAAAAAAGCTCCATTGACTCAACCAACAGTCAGAACTCTCTCCTTCAAACTGAGACTGCCTCGTATTAAGGGTCAGGCTCGGGAGTCCGCAGCGATTGGCCCGGATACGCCATGGAAGCAGGTGTAATCTATGGAGCATGCATCCTACTGGACAGTTCTGAGCAATCAGCCGAGTCTGCGGGGCCGAACGATGAAGCTTGTCCCCAAGTGGAAATGCTAGGCGATGCTTAAGCCAGCTGAAGCCTTGAAGGTTATTAGCCGCACAAGCTATTCTTCTTCTAGAGCACAGACACATGTTCAAAGCCACCGCCACGGGAGGTATTAGGATGGTTGCAGACTTCGCTTTGGAGTCGTTGATCGCTCGGAGTATTGAACTGGAATGATAAATCTATGAATATGATCAGAAGCTAAAAAAACTACCTGCATGATGGTCCGCTGTGAAACCTGGCCCACAGCTAGTCTATTCCCATTTAAGTCAGTAAAAGGACCGAAAACAAAAACATACAACAGCTGGGATTCGCTGGTGGTCACCCACCCAACTACTAACCGGCCGGCGTGTGGTTTAAGTACGGCTGAGCGGACGGGAAGCCCTGCTTTCCACACCCTATGGTCGTATGTGGTAGACGTCTAGTAAAGACTGAAGATATAGATACTTGTTCCAATAGAGGGAAATGAGCCGATAACTTCTTTAGGATGCTCAAACTTTATAGCCGTGGTGGACCGGCGTCTTTCCTCCATCACACCACAACAGCCACCCGAAATCCCGTCTGGTAAATCCGCGCAGCAAGGAAGAACAACATTCCAGCTGCTTCCACCACACCACAAAACACCATCAGCCCTGTGTACCTCCCATCCCAGGCGGAGATCAGTCCCCCGCCGATAGGATTACTAGTGAGATTGGCGACAGAGGTCACTGCGTACATGGCGCCGATCCGCACTCCGACCTTGGATACATCGGAGATCTGCGTGATCAGAGCCGGAGCCAGGGAGATGAAGGCGCCAGATGTCAGCCCAAAGGCCGCAGCGAAGAGGATGATGCCGGCGTTGGTGGTGACGGGGATCCAGATGGCCAGGACCACAACGGCTGTCAGCCCGGTCATGATGACCATGCAGTTATAGCGGCCCACTTTGTCGCCTAGCGCGCCGGGAATGATCCGGCCGAATAAACTGTCTTGTAGTCAGCCTATGTAATTCAAAAATAGTTCTAGCATTGGATGATGGAGATGGCACATACCTTGCGCCGTTGAGGATGGGCAGCATGTACAACGCTAGATCGTAGCCCATGCCCCGGTAGATTGCTTCGGAAATCACATAATTGATGGGCGGAAAGAGACCGAACGAAAACAGGAATGCCCCCATGGCAGTGAGACAGAACAGGGGCTCCGTGAACGGCATCACCAGGTCCTTTGGGCTGCCTGGCTTGGGATTAGGTGGCAGACGAGTCCGGACGGTGACATTGGCAACGGCCAGAAGGCCGAGGATGATGAACGCGGAGGTGCGCATGGTCCACGCAAAGCCAATCTCTGGCAGGAGCTTGTTGATCATGATGGGAAAGACGACGCCGCCTAAACTGGACCCGCTGGCGACGATGCCGATGGCCAGTCCGGCCTTTCGACTGAACCATGTGCTTGTGGCTCCGAGGGCTGTCTACATTAGCGTGTGCAGTCAATTCTAACCCGCAAAGGGATTGACGAACCGGCGTAAAAAATACAACTGGCCCCGATGCTGCTACAGATCCCCTGCGCCAACAGGAACTGGTAATATTCCTTGCAAAGCGAGGTCATCATAAGTCCGAACACGTGCATGGACGTCCCGATGAATAGCGGATACCGGGGGCCATGCACATCGCAGATTTTACCTAGGATGGGACCCTGTACCACTCAGCCTCAAACACGGCACTTGGGAAGAAATGCGGAGTACAAACCCCTAGGAACATGATAAAGACCTCGAAAGACGTGATCCATGCAATTGTGCTGGCGGAATACCCTTTCAGCTGGTTGGTCTCGTAATATGTCTGAAATAGGCCAATGCCTGTATCCAGTTAGCATTTTTGAAATAACTCGTGACCGTGGCGTCTTACAATTCACCCAGCCAAAACTGACAAAAAGACACAGGAATGATCCGGCCACCACACTCCAAGCCTGAAGTCCTCCATCCAGGGGAGGACTCACACTGTGAGAGTCATCCACCTTCGAGGCTTTCTTTTGATGCAACGCTGGCGTCGTTTCCTCCCCGTCATTCATCGTTTCCTGGCTCATTCTTTTGTATTGGAGCGGCGATAGCATTGGATCAGATTCACCAGAGAGCAACGATGTTATGGTTGTGGATTGGGAGATATTTATTTACACATGTGTCCATTCCTCTCAATAAAAGGAGCGTATCCATCCCTACCCCGAATTCAACAAGGGTGAGGATTATCTGCCAAATCGGCCGTATCGTCAACAGAGACGTTGCCCGTCCCCAGATTGTTCTCGGAATCATCCCATGTTCAGACAGTGAGAAGCTCAGGCAAACGGCCGTATGGAATATTGAAACGTACGGAGGAGGTAGGCAACATTCGGACTTCAAGCTCATACGGCCGTAGGATGGGGCCGTGGCGTAAATTAGTGTGCTGACTGGGACACGGGTTCACAGTTGCGGCCGTAATGGAGCGGGATAGTCCGACATCAACGAACACAATTATCCACTCTAATTCTAGATTGCATGGTGGAATGAGGCCTTTTTATCTGTGGTTGAGCAGCTTGGACATTTTTTTCACAGGTTAGCCGTAGGGCATCAGATTAGGATTAACGCCCTTCAGAGTTCGCCCCTGTCACTTCGAGCGCGGGGTTCGGGCCTACAGTGTAGCCCTCACCATCTTACTAAGTATTTATGGTCTTACCCACCTTTGCTATCTCCTAACCTGGCGCCAAGGACCAAGGATGAAGCTGTTTCGAGCAGGGGCCGCGGGGTCCGCAAAGTGCTCGACACCGAAGTGCACCAGTTCTCTCCATGTCGCCTGTCTCGGAGTTCAATCTCACTTGATCATCAATCATTAAACTAGTTCCCTAGATAGAGAGGTACAGTCCAATACAACAAGCATCCATGACTTCCATACTTTCGATCAATCATGTAACACATCGTGTGGACTTGCCCTTTAATGCACATTGTGACGTTAATATCTATTCAGGATACAGGTGAGCTGACCCTTCAGAAAAGTCCGGATATTCACACTCAGGTTGGTAACCCTGACTAAGGTCAGACTAGACTGGTATACCCAATCCGCAGTTTAAGATACAATATTGGTTATATTAAGGAAAACTAGAGTTATAGTTGATTTTACATTTTAGATTATAGTGATCAGGATAGTAGTAAGATATCTATATCTCCACACCACTTCTCACCCTAAGCTCAGGGGGTACCCCTACTCCCCTATATAATCTAATTTTAGCTTATATAAAGGTAATATATAATATTCATATTCTTAAATATCATATTATTGTATAAAATATATTGATATCCTTATGGCGTGGCTAGAATACTAGAAAAATAGGTAGTAATCTAAATACTAGAGATCACCTGACTAGATATTATCCGCAGTCCAGCCTGCATGGATATGAGGATGGGTTGAACACCTAGGTCATGGATCAACCCATAATCCGCATGGGTTGGATCAGACATGGTGTGGATCAATCCAGATCCAATCCACGACCAGTCTAGGTCAGACATTCACAGACATGTCATGTGACATCCTAAAAATTAGTAATATAGTCACATATCTATTTGGCTGTTACAATTAGTTAGAAACTATCAACTATAAAGCCAATTAACTAAAAAGGCGTCTAGATCGTCTAGACGAACATTCCACCATAATAGCAATAGTAGTGCGATACATGTTCAACAGAAACCGCTTAGGGAGTTCTTCTAGTTCAAGCTTGGATCGGCTTCTAGCCTGCGTCGACATAGACTTCATTAGTTCAGGGGATCTCTATGATGCCCAGCAAGTTGTAGGTATTAGAATGTACCATGCATGGCATTATGATGAAGTGTGTCCCACTCTGACTGTATGCCGTTAGCGAGTTTTGAAATGTAAAGTATAGGAAACATACCCAGTCAAAATCCACAAAAGACGATAGTATACTATGCTCCGGTAAATCAATAATGGTCGAAGATTCACTGGAGTGCTGTAGCGGAAGCAGCCATGGTTCAGATCCAGATGCAGCATACCCAGTGAGGCCTGTCTGCTCCATCCCGCCGTGGAACAGGGAATTACCGACCATATCGGTCAGCGGTCCACTTTCTTGCAGGTGGTTTTCCAGACTTGTGCTTTCTGGTGGTCTGATTCTGAAAGATGAAAACGGGCTATTGCTCTGGACCGGCACGCGAGCGCGTCTCATACGCCGATAGACATCAATGCGATCCCGCAGCGCTGTAAGAATAATCCGAGCTTTGTGATGCTGACTGGCCAGGTTGCGGTCCTCCTCCCCCAAAGCCGTCACGGTTGTGGTTTCGTAAACGTAATCTAGACACGGCCAGATTCGGTCTGCCCCCGGACTGGTGGGCCGCAAATACACCTCTAGTAATAGCAGCATCGAGACGTGGTACTGGTGGTAGGCCTGGCTGTACCAGGCCCACAACTGCAGCTGAGGCATGGTTTCCAGCGCTATGGAGCTTTCCAATTGTTGTATGCCCGTGCTCACGATCAGCTGCCGCAGCCGGAGCGGGGGCTGAACAATCAGGGCGCGGTAGAACTGGTGGAGAACTGCTGTGTAGAGTCGGTTGATCAAGAGAGTCATCAGATGCTTAGCTGCTATCCGTAACGGCGTTAGCTCGGCCTGGCTGAAGATTGGGTCGTACTGGGACTCCATGTGTTGACGGAAGATTTCAATCTGTTGCAGGGCCTGAGACAGGGGCAGCTTTTTCTGCTCCAACTGCAGTCGCGCTAGAAGGCACTTTCGCTGCATTTCCTGACACTCGAACCGAATGCGTGTATACGTCATCTCTGTCCACACCAGTGGATCACCGTCCGCCCCGGCTGCTATCTGCTCATCGTCCAGATTGACAGGTAACTCCACCGAAAAGTCTTCCGGCCGAATGGCCACCCGTGGACCTTGTACTTCGGCCGTTCGGAGGTCAAGGAAACAAATCTGGTACCATACCAACCGACGGACGTGGCTTTCAACTGCCGAGTATTGCGACTCCTTCGGATCTCGGTGTAGCCCCAGGGATTCCGCCAGGCGCACTGCCATCCCCACAAGGGCCGAGTGCGCCCGGGAAATCTCGCTGCGGCACATGGGAATCTGCACCTTTCAGCAACGAGTTCGCTTGCATAGGCCACAAGTTAAAACAGGGGCCATACCAGATATAGAACAAAAGCCTGGAGCGTCTCCAGTCTGGTTGTCGAGAGTAATCGCGCATTCTTGAGGGCATTTTCCGTCTCGAATTGCAATTGGCTCTGAAGGATCTGCTGCGGAGCGCCAAACTGATGCAAGACCCGGGATGCCGACATGCTCACCAATGCGATGAAGAGCATAGAGCAAATCAGTGCTCGCAATGATGCGGGCGGTCTCCGCCCCGTATCAATTGCTTCCCAGAATGTCCAGTAACGCCGCTCAAGGCCAGGTCGATGGGTAATGCGAACGATAGGATGCACCGCCTCCCAGTATTGCTTTAGGAGGGCATCCGCCATAGGTCGCCGGGTACTCCAATCAATTATGAATGAATTCGAACAAGGTTGACTGAAGAACGGGCCTGACTGAGGCAGAATGAAGCAGGGACCAGGGCCAAAATAGAGATCTTTCTCGGCAGCACTGAGATGGTACCGGCGTTGAGTGCGCAGTGCGGTTGGGTTTCCTGTTTCATCCAGAAAGGCGGAAAGCTGAGGAAACAAATTCGAGCATATCAGAAGGGCCGTCAAAGAAAGCAGCCAGGTGGCATAGATGGTGTGGAATGCCTACCTCATCCGCCATCTGCGGGTGAAAAAACCCTCCCACCCGCTCGTTCACGCGCATTTTCCCAAATCGGAATCCCAAGTCATATAGATCGTCATCCGAGTCATCATCTTCCTCATGATCGTAAGCTGCATCCTGAATCCCCAACAAAGCTAATTCAAGTGAGGTGGCGAGCAGATCATCCTCGTCCTCCTCTGGCGATCCCGGCCCCAGTTTGGTAGATTTGGCGATTTCCGTATCTTGCTCAAGGCACTTCTCCAGCAATGCGGTTTGTTCCTTGAATATGGTGAGTTTTTTGCGGACGCTATGCTGTGAGTCCAGCCGCAAAAAAGCGCATTCCCGGCCGGCTCGGGCGCAGTTGGAACAGGGCTGTTGACGGTTGCATTTCAGCTTGCGCTGGCGACATGCGAGGCAGGAATTGATGCGGCGGTTGCGGCGTCGAGGGTTGTCAACAGCTAATTGCTCGGGCTTCTCCATGACAGGTCTTGTTGAGATCTTTGCGGGGTTTGGTTTTATTTGCCGATGGATGAAATATCAGAATGTTCTTTGGGCTTCTCACCAGATGGATCAGGTGGCATGTGCCTCGCTAATCCATTGATGATTAGCTGCAGGCTTGCAGCAGGGATATTGACTAATAGAATCCACAATACAGTCGGCGTGTGGCTTAGGTACGGCTGAGCGGACGGGAAGCCCTGCTTTCCACACCCTATGGTCGTATGTGCTGAAGTAATCCTAGATAATATTATATATGGTAAGGAATTTCCACTTGAGCGGTGAAAATCGGATAGAATGGCGGGCTTTCAAGTGGTAATGTTGGGCTTTCGGTTCGAATGGCTGGTCCTGTCGCCAGTCGCCCAACTGTGCAAGTGAAGCAGCTTCCAGGGCTATTGAAGACTCTCTTCAATTCTGCCACTCCGGACGCAGCTGAACTAGAACTTGGACACATGCGGAACGAGACTAGCAGAGTTCAGAAGGACAGGCGAAAGCTCAGTCTACGATCCCTTTAATGAGGAGGCGACCAAGGCTAGAGGCGGTTCAAGTCAATTGACCGTGGGCGAAGAATAGGAGTCAATCCTATGTAGTCCTGGCAATCACTGTATGATTCACCGCACAATCGGAGGCTACCTGAGCCTTCCGAGCCAACATTTAGTAGTAGCTGCTGTTTATAGACATATACACAAAGCTACTGGAACAACTGGTCTATGTCACTGTTCATTTCCGGAAACATCACGAGAGCTCCCTGAAGCCGCTGCAACCCCTGCATGCAGCTCTCAAGGCCAGCCGTTAGCTCTGGGATGCGTTCGGCGTCCATTTGGGAGATCGAGCATTGGATCTCATCTGCGAGCGCCTTGGCCGCAAGTTTATGTGCAAGCACCACCAGAGTAGGATACTGCATGGACTGGTTAGTCCTGAATATTGAGGAGAGGCTGTCTTTACTTACCGGGTGCGCACTAATGTCATCAACGTTCGCCTTTAGGCCACTCTTGCCTTGGAAGCCTGGACTCAACACGCCTTGACTTGCCATGGCCAGATGAGATATTTGCATTGCGCTCGTACGCCGTTGGTCCCTGTGACAGGCACTTTTTTCCTTGAGAGTGTTCCATAGCCGCTCCCTTACTGGTGATGACGACGACGATAATGATATCTGTTCCGCAAGATGAGACTCAAGTTGGCAGATAAGCTCGCAGAAAAGAAGTATAGCGAGGTCGACATCCGTAGAACAGAAATGAACGCTGCGTAGCACATTGGGGCGTGACTGGTGCAGACTGACGGCAGCCGAGCGATCAATTTGGCCCCATGCCGACCTCCAAACATCGATCAAATTAGTCATTGCGGAATAGCATCCATGAAGTTCTTCATATTGCGCTTTATCTGTCCGGAGTTGTTCGAATGCCAGGGTGAGAATGGCTAATGTTTGCCATAGGAGTATGGCAATGGAGCTTGCCTGACTCACGGCTCGAGCGACAATGTCGTCCGAGATCGGGCGACTCCATAACGCGGTTACTCTGTGCGTATCGGCTTGAGCTCGCGCGATAATGGAGTCTTCAAACTCTTGCTTATGCTGCCTCATAGCGCCGTGCTCTGGCATTATATCTCTTGTCCAGAGCGAGCTGCGGTTGCAGTAGGCAAAGCGAGGAGCGGTACAGGTGTCTCTTCGCGAGTAGACTACTGCTGCTGAGTAAGACATGGACGCAAGCCACTCAACAGCAGCAATAAGTTCCAAGATGTACTTTCGCACGCTAGTTGGCAACGTTTGAACGGGGTGAGGCTTGCTCGCAGCTTCGACTCGGCTTGTCCGGTAGGGAGGATCGAGTGACATGTCAGGATCATGCACGCAATGCGCACGAGCTTCAGCACAGAGCATCTGAAGGCGCTGGAGACCTTCTTGTGTAGCGTAAGCTGCATCTTCAAGCACGCTGCTCTCTTCGGGCGTCGTTGGTGGGAACAAAGTGCCAAACAGCAGCAAACAGAGTGCCAAGCGGAAAGATCTGGTGGCCGCAATATTTTCGAACACCATCTGTTTCGCCTTTTGCCAGGTCGCCAACGCAATGTCCCTTGCTCGTCCATGTGACCCGCCTGTTCCGGGAAGGGTATCCTGCTGAACTGTGAATTGTGACGCTGCTGCTATTGCAACCCATTTGTATGCCTCATTTATGGATTCATGGCGTGAACTATAAGCTGGCATGGAAAGCTGAAAAAGCGCATCAAGGAGGCTTGCTGCGAGAAATATCTGTGGCGCTGCATGTTCGGAGCCCGACGAGGTCACACTTATATTCCAGAAGCGGTCGATCGTCGATCGCACAGGGTCCAGATAGGGACTGATATAAGGACTTTCACCCAATGGCCCGAGAGCAGTAATGCCCAAGGAATAGCAAGGAGGCATACACCCCCGCGACATGGACTGCGCCAGGGGCATGTCGACAATATCTATGTAGAGATAGAGTCGTTGGAAACACACCTCACGTACCTCCGCTTGCCTGGCCAAGTCTCCTTCTGAAGCTGCTATAGATGCTAGACTACCTAGTGCAGAAGTAGCCTCCGCACCATTTCTCAATATGCCTTGGCTGCCTTTGATTAATCTGTCTCCTGAAGGGGAGCAGGACTTTGTTACAGTTCCTTTCCTAGCTTGTCGTGAGCTTTGTCTACTCGCAAGCCATGTAACTGTACATTCCACACCACGCAGCTTGCACGTCGTGCAAGCTGTTAACAACGGCTTGTGATTCTGGATGGCACCCCTTGGCGGTAAATCGCATGCCCTTTTTGCCAAACGACAGGGGTCACAGCAATGATTTTGTTTCCGTGCGCGCTTGCTTATCCTGGGGAGCAGCCCATGCGCAATTTGGGGACGATCTTCCGCAAGAACCTGGCTAACTGGGGCTGGGAAAGCGTTGTGAGTATTGCTCCCTCCCCAGGCACCCACAGTTTCTTTGCTGTTGGTGTACTGGTGAGCCAATGGAGAGGCCAACGTCTGTAGCACAGATTCGAAAGATTCTCGCCAGTCCGCGGCTCCGTTCATTGCAGATGGAGCCGTGAAGGCGTTGATGGCACCCATTTCGGAGCCGCCGGGAACAGTGGATCCTGCGCTATACCCTACTCCCTGCCCCATGGGGTGCGGAATCGTAAGTGGAAACTGGCTCATCGGAGCGCCCATTATCAAGCTCCAGTCATCTTGGCTAGAGGGAGCGTTATCGTGAAAGTACTCATTCACAAGCTCAGAAGCCATCGTGTTGCATCAAAAGAAAAGGGAAACAAGGCTGGGGATATTGATGTAGGCTGAATGGCGTGCTCTGGAGAATGGCAGAGCCACTCGTACTTAACCACAGGGGGGGCCATACGGATCGGCGGATCCGCGGCTCCCACCGTCTTAAATGACCGAGTTCCCATAACCCCGCTCTTTCTCCTCTTTCAAGATTGGGATTTGCCGCTAAGCTACTGTAATAGTCTAAAGCATATGGATCGGCAGTGTGGGAAGAGGATGGATGGACAAGCAAATATTGGACGGGGTCCGCGGGATCCGCTCCTGATCAGGGAATGGCAGTTCGACAAAGTGGCTGAAAACCTGAAAACAATAAAGTGACAAAGGATGGGGCTTCTGATCGGTCAATAAGCCAGACTTCAGGTCCGTATGGATGTTCTGGACATGGAAAACAAGTAAGGACAGGTGCGATTGACAACAGCGGACGGGTCCGCGTCGGTCCCGCGGTAATATAACTTCCAAACCTGAGTCCTATCCTCGATTGAGATGTCACCATTGAATAAGGGAAAGCCGAGACATCATGCGAGGATCAGTATGGTCATATCTGAAGGCCCTGTTCGTCCCCAGGGACAAGATAAAGGCCTGTCCCACGCCCTAAACCTGATGGTGTACGCTTGAACAGAAAGCCTCTCCCGTTGAACCTCCTGCTACTATGAACATGCACCCTTTACACAACACGCAGGATATTGATTACGACGTGGTGATTGTTGGGGCTGGGATTTCCGGTGTCAACTTCGCGTACCGACTTCAGGAGCGAAACCCGAATCTGAACTATTGTATCTTGGAAGCACGCCATGAGATCGGCGGGACATGGAGTCTTTTTCAGTATCCCGGTAAACAAATGAAACTAATGGAGCCTTCCAGGCCTTGAAAACCCCACTGTCTGATTCATTCTACATTGCAGGTATACGGTCCGACTCGGATCTTCACACCTTCGGCTTTGGATGGCGTCCTTGGCTAGAGAAAGAATCCATTGCACAAGGCTCGATGATTTCCAAATACATTAAGGAATCGGCCGAGCAGGAGAAAATCGATCAAAGAATCAAATTTTTTCACCGTGTTGACAGGATCTCTTGGTCTACGGCATCGAAAGCATGGACTCTGGATATAACCGTGAATAACCAAGGATCTGCTAAGAAGGTCCTACGCACACGGTTCATCATGCTCGGGACCGGTTACTATGACTACAAAACACCCATGTTTGCTGAGATCCCGGGAATAGCGGACTTCCAGGGCACGGTGGTACATCCGCAGTTTTGGCCAACGGACCTTGACTATAGCAGCAAAGACATCGTTATCATCGGATCTGGCGCCACGGCCGTCACGTTGCTGCCGGCACTGGCAGGAAAAGCATCCCATGTCACGATGCTGCAACGTTCACCCACTTATATCATCCCGCTGCCAAGGGAGAGTGCGGTCGATAGAACCATCAAATCCATATTCCCACACTTTTTGGCGTTTGCGATGATCCGTTTCGAATGGATTCTGATGTCGTTATTGCTGGTGACCTACTGCCAGTGGTTCCCCAACCATGCTCGGAAATCTTTCCTCAAAACGATGAAGCGAGAACTACCCCAGGGGATGTCTCTCCATCCCGACTTTACTCCCTCATATAATCCTTGGGACCAAAGACTATGCGTGTGTCCAGACGGGGACTTCTACACTTGTCTGCGTAGTGGTAAAGGCAGCATCAAGACCGGGGTCATCGATAGAGTTACAAAGGCAGCTATCCGACTCAAATCAGGCGACGAACTCAATCCAGATATTATTGTGACCGCAACGGGCCTTAAAATGGCCATGGCTGGCGGCATCGAGATTATTGTTGACGGTGAACCGTACCAGGTTGCGGACCATTTCATGTGGAAGGGTGCTATGCTCGCGGACCTGCCCAACTTGGTTCTCGCGATTGGATACGTGGATGCTAGCTGGACTTTGGGAGCTGACGCAACCGCTCAGCTGGCGTGCCGCTTGCTGGATACGATGAAACGGGATTCGATAAGCATGATCGTACCCCGTTGCAGCGATGAAGAAAAGAAAGGAATGAGAGAAACCTCGTTCCTCTACTTGAAGTCAACGTACGTCCAACGAGCGAAGAGCGTGCTGCCAAAGGCAGGCGATCGTGGCCCGTGGCAGCGTCGGTCATATTACTGGAAAGACATCTTTACTGCTCGCTGGGGTGATATTTGGGCTGGCATGGAATGGTCGAAATGAGATAACATGTCTACTTCGCCCTCGCATCGACTTTTCTCAACATTGTTTTTCGCTGTACTGGGGCATTCTGGAGAGCTGTCGCAGATAGCATAGAGCATAGAGCAATAGAGTTAGTTTGTTGAGAACCTTTCTTATTCCGGATCCTAGAATACAATATTGAATAGAGCAATGGGTTGATGATGTTGCCGGCACAGTGATTCAATGTATTCCCAGACGTTAGATACTCGTCCACTCATAACGGAGGCCTTATACTCTCCTAGTCGCTGGACAATTTGGAATCTAATCGCTTATGCTTCCACATGGTATGATTATCCACCCTCACAGTTTTGATTTTTCAAGAGGTGAATAGTCCTCATCCGGCAGTATTCTGCGCGAGTTTAAGTGCGAATGACGGATCATGTCGGGCTTCTGTGGACGATGTTTGATACCCCGTCAGCTATATCATTTTAGTCGAGACGCAGTATGCACCCTTCGGATCCATTCGTCAGCTCGAATCAACATGTCGGGATCTATTGTTCATCGGGTAATATGCAACAGCTTTTACATACCTTACCACTGCGAAGTAATATCACCAGTGACTGATTGGAGACCTGGGTCTAACGACACTTGATAAACATTGGTTGAAAGGATACTAGCTACAACATATGATGAAGGAGAATGGGTTACAGATTTAAAGTCGAAAACATCGGCTCCTTGAGATCAGGACAGACATCAAAACCTATGCCTCCCTTGCCCCAATGCCATGGACAAATCCCGCGCGGCAAGGGCGCCGCTTGCCATGGCGCCTTCGATCGATCCTATTCCCCAGGTTGCTACGTCACCCCCTGCAAAGTAGATGTTTCCATGCGGCTTCCTGAACAGTGCTGGGCCCGTCGTTAGAGTCCCTGGGCGGTGCATCATCCAACCCCCCTTGGAGAATTCGTCGGCGACCCAGTCATGGCAGGCCGTATCAACAACTTCGATCTCCGGGATGAATTTGCGCAGGGCTGCCTGAACAGCGTGTAGATCCGCGGGGTCAAGAGCGGCAGCGTCGGCGCACATGCACATGATAAGTGTGTCTCCGTTATGGTGCTTTTCGAACCTGGCTGCGTTGATGGGATGCTTCCCGGGCGGTGCAACCATCGAAAACGGCTCGATCTCGCCCTTCACCCGGACCCAGATCTTGTGAGCCATCACTGGGTTCCTACGCTCAATCATCGAGCGCGCCGCTGGGGGTAGGTCGGGGTGGATCTTCACGTCGCCCAGGGTGTTCAGGGGTAGCGCAACGACGGCCGACCAGGCGTTGATTAGCTGACCTTCGCGCGTCGTGATAGTAACACCGGAGCCATTGTCGACCACGGCACGTATGGGCGTTGAAAGCCGGAGCTCAACATTCGACTCGGCCATAATGGCACTAATGAGCTGCTTGGTGCCTCCTTGGATACCCCAAGATCCAGCTGTTTCGAAAAAGGCCGTGAAATCTCCGAAGGTTGTTGCAGCCGCCTGCAGAAGCTGCGCAATCCCCTGTTTCTTGCATGAATGGATGACGCCTGCTAGTAATCCCTCTAGGACATCACGCTCGTAGTTAGACAGGTTCAACGAATTAATGCGATCTTCGACAGTTTCCTCCTCGATTTCGCGGTTCTCGAGAAGATCAACCTCGAACGGCATCGGGAACCGAGCTCGAGCGTCTGCAAAGAGTCGTTGCACTAGTGGGATTACGGTCCCATACAAGTCCTCGCTACCACCAGAGTGGACAGCCCCATCGGCCAGCCAGTAGAACCTGCCCCCTTCCATCGGCGGCTTGAGGGACATTCCGTGGCGCTGCAGCTCACGCCAGACGTGTGGTTGTGTCCAGTGGACGTAACCTCCTCCCAGTTCGAGGTCCAGTTCCCCGTTGAACGCGTGGTCCGTGTAGGTTCGTCCTCCCATGCGATCACGGGCCTCCAGGAGCACGACTGAGTGTCCTTTCTGACTGAGATCCCTTGCGGCGATGATCCCCGCCATTCCGGCCCCAATCACGGCGACGTCGAATTCATTCGGCATTTTGGGAAAGCCGGCTTAATACGGTATATTCAGAATGTGACAGTTGGATTACTCGAGACAAAGATTGTTGAGCTAGAGTACTTGATTTGCTCCCCAGAGGTCAGCTATGAGAGGCCCTGATATAGGCCGGGGAACGGATATAACCGAGGCTGGAAAGAGGCAAGCTTGGGCGTCACTTTTCACATAGATACGTTCAGGAAACAAGCGGTCAATAGTACTAGTACTGTAGATCATTAAAGCTGATCGAAAGCGGATCCGCGGATCCGCGGATCGGTGCTTGGATTGTCATCAGCGGGTATCGCTGGAACGTAATGTCAATGCCACTCTTCTGCCAGGCACCATTACCCCCACCTCTTTCCTCGCCATGATTTACGACATGTGGACAATAGAATGCTAGATGGAAACCGATTGTGCCGGTGCATTAAGCTATTGAAGTGCGGCGGGCTGGATTAGGGTAACACTCTAAGAAGATGATCGATTCCTGAAACAGAAGCAATGTGGCACCTGTCTGTCAACAAAAAGTTGATAGATTTTCTCACCTACAGTATTGGGTGTGATCTAAACGAGGGAATTGGGGCTATTCTCCGCAATTAACAGTCAACCATGTATTCACCCGGCACTTTCGCAAAAAGCTGTGGTTAGCATGCTTCGCTTGACTATGTTAAGCGAACAAGATTAATTGAAGAATGAGCATCAATGATGTTCGACGTGATTTTGTGTCCATTGCATATCTCTCATTTCAACACACAGAAACTAGCTAGGCCAATCCATATCTCTTATTGTTTTGCTCAAACGTGAGTTAGCTCTACCTGCATGGGAACCACTAGACTCTCTCTATGATTTCATTCTTGGGGGTGCCAACACGTTCCAAGGCTTCGTAAAATCTGACCGGTGTAGCCCAATCTTCCGGACAAAAGACCCCATTACGCTTGAGACCATCCTCAATCGCCATGACCATGAAGGCTGCACATGCAGTCCCCGTTACAGTACCCATAGTTTTGCTAAGATACGCGTTCTCGTCTGCTTTGGGTATACGCTTGGTGATCGAGACAGGAAGACCATTGCGTGTGCCAACGGCTCGAACAAGCATGCCGGTTCCATTTGCCGCCATCTTGCCCCGAGCCGCGTCGACGAGGAAACTGAGGACCTCCCCTGTCGTACACTCCCCTGTCCAAATCTGCTCGAGCATCCCCCATAGAGCGTACCGCAAGGGGCTGAGCTTGCGATTCGCGTGAGCGACCAGTTGAAATAGCTCCTTAATCGTGACATCACCACCGCGGAACTGCGCAGCCATTTCACCAAATGCCTCGCCCATTACCTCTAGGGAGGAGTCGTCGTTGGCCAGATGGAATATGAAATCCACGGCGTCGCTCATGGACAAGGCATTGCGGCGGACGGCGTGGCCAAGACCCCTGGCAATACCGTTAACCGGGGCAGGGTCTAGGCTACCGACACAACGGATTCGGCGAGCGTTGGGAAAGAGGCGTGGGAAGGTGACTGGCTCCGGATGGGCAGTCTCGTGGAGGAGCATTTCCCCTTCCCCGCCCAGCATTGGCGCGTAAGTCGTTTCAACCCAGGACTCGTTCATTGTCGGCTTGCCGTTCGCCCATGTGAGGCAGGGACCAGCAGCAATATGCATCAAGTGTTCCAAGACCGCCTTGCCGGTTTTGCCCTTTCCGTCGCTGACACTCCAGCAAATGTCGATTGAGTCGACGGTGTCGAGCTCTGCAGTGACATCAAGAACCATCACGTTGGACATGCCTGGGGAAGCGCCGCATTCGATGTAGCACGGCACACCTTCCGCCTTTGCACGCTCATGGAGAGCAAGAGCGGCTTGAGTGCTCTCCACATCGTCATCAAAATCAAGGTAAGGCACCTTGGCATCCAAACACGCGGTAAGTACGGGTTCCGAAGTGCGCGTATAAGGCCCTGCACCAAGCACAACCAGTGCTGCACCCTTGATTGCTTCGCGCAGAGCGGTTCGGTCAAAGAGATCCAACTGCTTCGTAGAGATGCGGGAAGCTGGAAGATTGAGTTTGGCGACGGTCGTCTCGAGCGTGGAGAGGTTGATATCAGTGAGAATCAGGGCATTATCACTTGCCTTGGCGAAACGCTCGACAGCCAACCGGCACATTTCGCCAGCGGCACCGATGAAAATCACTGGCTGGGGGGATCGGAGGGAGCCCATCATGATTGTGCTGGATAATGCGGTAGTATAGGAGTCTGAAAGAGGTCTGAGAGAAGCGATGTCAATTGCACCTTTTCATAGAGGACTTGAACTTGGAGTTATATACACCGCAAACTCGCCGTGATTCATGTAGGGTCGAATCCGGAAAGGAGATAGCTTCCATTCTGCCCAACTTTCTGGCCATCGCGGTGAAATTCCCAAGGAGCATGAGAAGCACTTCGAAGGTAGCGACCGGATCCGCTTACGGCTCCGCGGCAATCCGCGGCTGCGAGGCTATTGATGAGTATCCAGATGCGTAAGAGAAGACCCGTGCGCAAGGACATGTGGTAAGAGATCCTTCTATCCGGAGCGCGCGGGTCCCGAAAGGACACCTCGGATTATATTGCTTGATCACAATACAGGGTTTAGAAATGGGAGAGCTTATGCTAAAATGAGCTATTCAATGTGTTTTGAGGGCAACCCCGACCTGTCAAATCCTAAATGATAGTTCGATGATATGACGAGTACTCATACGGTCGGGGGGGTTATCAAAGTGATTCGCCAGCAAATAGGATTTCTTGGATGGGAGCGCTCGGGGCAGGCAGAGTAAAGCAGAGAGAAAGGCAGGCAGAAGGCTACGGCAGGGAACAGCCCCACTGAGGCTATATTAAGATAGTATACACAAATGCGAAACATGACAAACACCTTTCCTTGAGGTAAGGTATCCAATATTCCTCCCGGTCCTACTCGCAAGTATGTGCCAGTCTACTCGTGAGGATATTTCCTCAAAGCCCGGCCTGAAACGTCCCATCCGAGGAGCCATTGGGTCAAACGAGTCATCGATCACGGAATATACGCACTGAGAACAGCACGGCTCCTCTGAAAAGCCGACTTGATTGAACCGGAAATGCCAAACTGGGTGGACACCCCCTCCACCCGATGGGTAGAGTTGAGATTCTTGACTAGAACAATCTGATAGCACGCTGCTCCTCCTTGACGGGAGACAATGGTTGCCCAGGAAAGGAAGAACTCCCAGATCTAGGGTATATTAGAGCCCACTTTCAGAAATAGGAGATTGAATGCTCACCCGATACCACTTTGCACCATATTTGTCAACGACGTTCTCACGGTTGGCGAGCCAGTTGCGATACCAACGCCAGAGCGTAGCAGAATAATGGACACCAACGGTGTCGATATTTTTCACTTCAAATCCAGCAGCCTCAAGCTGATCAATAACCCAGCCCAGAGGAGTACTTGCATCGGCTCCGGGGAAGACATATTTGTTCATAAAGAGCCCCCATATCAAATCCTCATATTGCCAATACTTTCGTAGGCCTGAATATTGCAGGTAGAAGACACCGTCGTCATCCAACATGTCATAGACTTGACGCAGAAAGCCACGAAAATGGCGGACCCCCACATGCTCCGACATCTCAAGGCTAGTGATTTTCTTGTATCCCCCGGGTATCCGGGGACAGTCGCGATAATCCATGCGGAGGATTCTGCTTTGTGATTCTGCTATGCCGGCATTTCGAAGGGTCGTGTTGCCCCATTTCGTTTGATTGCGACCCAGAGTGACACCAGTGACATGGGCATTGTAGTGGACGCTCGCGAAAGTAGCCAGAGTTCCCCAACCGCAACCAATATCCAGCATATAATCCCCTGGTCTCAATCCAATCTTCTCGCATACAACAGCTAGTTTGTTGTCTTGGAGCTGCTCAAGCGATTCCTCCTTATCAACGTCGCCGATGATACCTGAAGTATACACCATACGAGGGCCAAGGAACCACGCGTAGAAGTCATCGCCACGGTCATAGTTGCCACCTACCTGTTCCTCATCTGCCTTCGGATTAGCTGCACATACTTGACTAGATCTGCTGATGGAAGAGGAGCAGGGAATGACTTTATAGAAGTTGAAGTTGAGAGTTACCTTGAGAACGTGAATGGACAATCAATTCCGGTACAAAACCAAACAAAAAGTGCCTGAATACGCCCCAGGAGAAGCTGAACGAGGCCCAATCATGACGGTACTCGAGGTTGTCCAAACAATCCCCTTGTTTGAACTCCACGTCGCCGCGAAAGTACTTTTCATAGAACACTTCCATTGGAATCTTTCTTCGACCACGGTATCTGAGGCGATCACTCTCCTTATGAAAGTGGAGATAGTATTCCACTGGACGACCTGGCAGCTTGACCTTCTCATTGAGACGAGGGGATGTGGCGGAGAAGATGCTCCAGTATCCCATGAGAATCGGGACTGCAGTGCCTATTGCGACAAACAGCCACAAGACTAGGCCTCCGCCTATTTGAGAGGAAATGAACCATGGCACAGCTATCAGAAGGATGACGAGGAGGGAATTGGACCATGAATCATTTCCCGCACCATCGGCAGGTAAAGGGGCGTTTTTGATGGCTGGAGACTATAGTAGGAAGTGTATTAGTGCTGCAACTCAAGGCAATTAGGCCTTACAGAATTGCAACCATTACTTACTCTTGTAACCCGAACTCCACAGTGATCCTTTGGAAATGTTTGTGATACCTCTGGTGTTACAATGAAGTCGAGGAAAGGAGGGGACTCGGGGTGCTTTTGCGTCATATTGGGAGGCTGAGCGAAGACCAAAACATTATTTCTCTGTAGAGAGGAATGATTCATATTTATAGCATCTTTTCTTGGAGAGCACGTAACCTTGTCCACCGACTTCGCAGGCTCCACTGTGCGCTTGGCGACAGAATAACCCCATCCTATATTTCATGTTATTGTGGGTCTTGTGCTTGACTTGTAGACGGATATCCCAAATCGACGGTTTTCCTTTTCCTGACCTGTCAAGCCTCAATAAGGGAAACCTAAAACATTCATGTTCCACGGCCCTTGTCTGACAGCAATCGAACTCTCTAGGCTGCCATGTTCAGCCAGGAAGAGTAATAAGCATATCCAATATGCAATATTCACAGGCGAGGGGCTGCTCAATCCCCAGTCATATTTTGCCCACCCTTAATACGTCCGGGATCCGCGGGAACCGATCACCTGGCAATCTTTGAACGTATTTGTCTGAGTGTTCTATCCCGGAGCACCGATAGGTGAAACATGATCGGCACAGGCTTTCTAGTAAATCATCCATATTCAATTATGCTGCCTGGATTCCATTCATACGAGAAACCCGAAGCATCTGGTCATGGTTCTGCCACGGAGAGTCGTAAAGACAAGGAACGAGGATAGAGTACATATCCTCCAGCTTACGGGCAACCCCTCTTTCAGAGCTTGGGCAGACATTCATCTGCCCACTGAGGTGTCGCTCAAGGCGGTCCACGCGATATGGCACCAAGACTGACCCATTCAAAGCCACTTTTACTCGTGATATGGTGTCAGTCACTAACCACATTCGAAATAGCCGACCAAGGTGAATGCAGCGAATTTATGGCAATTTGGAGACGCCTCCTCCCCCCAGCAAAATCGAATCGGTCGGAGACGCGCTATAATACCGCCGATACTAGAAACACCATGCGATCACTTACTCAAGAAGCCTGCGCTCTGCCTGGATGAGATGACTGTCTTTCTCTGGGATGAATTCCAGACACAAGTCACGACCTCGAGCATCCGAAGGGCCCTTGTATCTCAACGTTGCTCGCAAAGGGTAGCTCGACAGAGAGCCAGAGAGCAAACCTCCAATTTGCGAGAACATTATTCACACATACTATCGTATTCACATATAATATCGGAATTTCATTCGTATCATTTGGTATACACGATAAGGCGGGTTTCTGACGAACAGGGCGACCACCGCATAGTAAGGCTCCCGCACAAGTGTCTCAGTTCCATCGTGACCAGTGATACCAGATACTACCTACGTTTACACGAGATGGTTACTGTAGTCTTTTCTCGTGTCTTCTGTGGCACGACTGACGCGGCGGTGTTCGAGGACTTCAGCGCTGAGCTGCTTCAGCACTGCGGAGGATGGCCGGAACACAAGTACGTTATCGTGATGGATAATACATTGTTCTATGGATCATTCTGAAAAGATTGCGCAGATGTGTACTATGCACCATGACGTTTAGTTCTGAGCGTTGATTTAAGGCCGTAACGTGGTCCACTACTATAGGCATAATTAAAATTAAAGTAGATTGCCTTAAGCAATACAGTATTCGGAAATCTTAGATAAACCCCAGAAACTCCCATAGCTAGGCATGCTAAAGGAACTACAAAATTTACACCGTCACTCATACTAACCGCTCCTAATTTCATATATCAATATCCAACAAGATGGAAAGTTAACTGATAATTCCTCTGAAGCAGCTACTATTCTCATTTTTGAAGGATACAAGCGTTAAGAATCCATATTCAATCAGCACAACAACCGCAGTCATCCTGACCAGTATTAGGCGCACATGTAAGACATTCACAAATATCCCCATTAACATATATATTAGGACAATTACAGCCAGCGGGAGGGGTACAAAGAGGAGGATGGATATTTTGAGCATTGCATTCCCCTTGACATTTGCCAGATTTGCAAGTTGTTCCCGCTGGACACATATTTCCACAGTGTCCACAATTTGAGTATCAGACGCTGTCTCGGTGCACTTTCCGCTACATAGCTCTTCAGTAGGAGAGGTCTTAAACGGGCCACAAACATAGCATGGCCCTTGTGCACGCAGAGCAGGCAGCACACAGGTGAGAGCTGGTTTTGGATAATTTTGCTCGCACCGTATAATGCACTCAGCAAGTTTAGTCTCGGCGCTTTGTGACCCAACAAGGGAGACTAACCATTTCAGTTATATTAGATCGCAGTCGAAGGAATGCTGCAATAGTGTTCTCACCTAGTGCAAGCACACAGATTGTTACTCTGCTCATCTTTCATCATGCAGAAGTAAAGTCAAACAAGAGAATTTGAATTCTTTTCTCAATTCAAATTACTGTCATGATTTGTATGAACCTTGTCCGAAGGGCGGGCCTCCTATAACTGTTACTCGGTGTTGCTATAATAAAGAAGCAACGATCTAGACCCGATTTTTATGATGTATTAGACGAGAGTCACCTTGTATTACATGAGACTCAGATGCCTTCGTAGAAGCTGGATAAACCTGGCTCGGTGCGACAGATTTGCCGTGGTTGCTCTACTGTTCCTTCAAAGCTTACGGTACCATTACGCCAATTTGTTTATTACCGTTCATGCAGGATGGTACGATTTGACAAGGGGCGCCAAGGGAACTAACCGAATCTTGACTATGGCGGTTCGGGGTAGGGTTTGAGAAGGATTTCTTGAAAGTAAACGGGGGAATCTGTTCTCGAATAGGGCAGAGTCTCAGCTTTTTGGATTGATTGATTAACCCCCAATATTGTCGTTGTATGCCACGTATACGAACATGAACGACGGTCTATAAGGTTGGTTATATAGAGCCTGCAACTAGGGCTATCTCAGACTGGTCTGCACCTCTACACCACTCTAGCGTGTCCTTAATAAAATACTATATTGTTCTCTTTTCCAATAGTTGAGCGAGTCAAGGGCTCCCGAAAATATTATTCTAACCTCTTCATGATGGTCTTTCTGAAGTTTTCCCAATTGGCTGCCAAAAGCTGGAGCAGCGAAAGCTAGGTGTTAACCGTTCATTGTTCCATTTATCTATTTCTTGCTGAGGAACAGTTCCTGTAAATAACCATACCTCAACCAAAGAACTCTCGCGAGCGAGTAATTTCCACTCCAGTCCCCTCCGCGAATGCCAACGCGTTGGGTTTCTCAGCGCGCACTGTCACCAGTTCGTTGCCGAAATCCACCGTAACAAGACGAGCAATAAAGACAACTAGAGCCTCCACTGATTTGAACGTTGTCTTGTCGACCTCCTTGAAGAGTGTTCCTGTTAGTTTCCGTTTCAACAGAGTATGAGCCGATATCATCATACCTCAGCGACAACCCTAGTCATCTCTTGATATGTGTTCAGAAACTTCTCCTTCCAATGATCATTTCCTCGGCCCTTGATTTCTAGGGATACCACAACTGTCTGCTTCTCAAGCCTTTCATGCGCGTTGACACCTATAATACAATGGCAGCGAATGTTTTGGATCCGGAACCCATCTTCTATCACGACCGCTGCCACAGCATCCGCATGATCGTATCCCAGCGCATGGAGACTGCGATGCAGAAGACCACCCTCCGCGCGTAAGAGAGCCTTTGGAAGATATAGGCAGACTTCACACTGCCCAAAGTGTTGCTGCACAGCCCCCGGCCGTATGTCATTAATGGCCAGACTGCGCTGATGTAGATATTCCAGTGCCAGGCTAGCAATTTTTCCAGCAAGAAGGGAGATATCTCGTCCTCGTCCAATGTGCAGTGACCCGTGAACAGGATGCCCGTGCAGGTTGACGACCGGGATCTGATTTCCTAGCCCTTCCCATAGATTCGGCCATTCTTGGACAAGCTCCTCGATGCGTTGATAGAGCTTTCCGTAATCCAGAGACAAGCCGACATCGTCCTCTTGAGCTGAGGCAGACACGGAGGACCAGGATAGCTTGAGCGACATAGCACATGGCTGCCTCCTGCCCAACCGGTGCCATGCGTCTGGGCCAGAAGGCAAAGGGAGCTGAACACTGCGAAGACAAATGTGGTCCACCAGCTCTGGTGCTGGTGGGATCTGGATAACGGTTCTGCATTCGCCCATGACGCCACGTTTGCTAAAATGTACGGAGGAGAAGCAGAAAAAGAATCGGTGCGATCAGAGACAATCAGAGCGCCATTCTCTAGCTCGAATATAGGGCGAGGCGGAACAGGCCATACTTAGCGAGTTGGAACACATAGAAAGGGAGTTTGGCACCCGTTTGTTCAACAAAAGCAACGCCAGGTGCCATTCTGATGTCCCATGCGACTGCACTATCTTAGAGACCACACTCTTAATCCGGTCTAACCCTTAATCCTAGCGCATCCTTCGTGAAAGCAACGAGTAGCTTAGGGTGTAACGTCACTGAGATAGCTCAGCACATCTGATTGTGATCCACAAAACAGCGTCTTCGGAAGTCATTATGAAATCTTCAAGGAAAGCTTTGTAATAATCAATCGCGTTACTGCTTTTGATTTCAGTTTGCCAATCACTCCATAATCTATGTCAGAATTTATGCAAGGAGTTTATGTTGCAGTTACGCCATTCTGTAGCAACAAATGCCCCACTGATAATCCAAGACCGCATGCGTGTATTTGTAATACTTCAATTATGTACACGTCAGAGAATGCGGAACAGCCAATAACCTCAGGCCTTCGTGGCAGGTGCGTTCCAGGCTCCCAATGACAGGGGTAGGCTATCGCTGGTGACTCGAAGCAAGGCATTTGCTGCAACTGCACCACTGAATCTGGAAGGATAAGGTCAAGAGATGTGGCGGAAAGGAAAGCAAAAGAGTCTACTGATGAAAATGTACCCCTAACCTATGTTGGCTTCATACTGCCCCATCTCGCTAGCCACTGAAGAGTAATAATGTACGATTTCACAGCATGCACAGGTCATGCCACTCACGCAAACGATTAAATTCATCGCCCTATGAACTTTGTCTCAGTTTGAGAAGGAACTGAAATTGTTCCTCAACATCTTTGTTCTTCTTGAAAATACCGGTCCTGCAGGCAGTCGTAGTCATGGAGCTGGTCTTTTGGATGCCTCGCATAACCATGCACATATGTGCAGATTCTATTACAACGACCACCCCCTGGGGCTTCAGAATATCATCAACTGCCTGCGCGATCTGCTGCGTCAGACGTTCTTGGACCTGCAGTCTGCGCGCATAAACTTCTGCAATTCGAGCCAGCTTCGATAAACCCAATACACGACCGCTGGGCATGTACGCAATATGGACCTGTCGCACATGGTTACTTATCGTCCAAGCAAACTGTACAATTCAAAGGATCGCCTACCTTCCCCATGAAGGGAATCAGATGATGCTCGCACATGCTAAATACCTCGATGTCGCGGACCAGAACCATCTCGCTGTGATCTACATTAAAGATGGCGTCCTTGGCGAGATTCCATGCGCTTTCGTCGTAGCCTTTAGTAAAAAAGAGCATGGCTCTAGCGTACCGTTCGGGGGTTTTGAGAAGACCCTCTCGGGTTGGATCTTCTCCAACGTTTTTGAGGATGCTTCGTATATTGGCGGCGAGCTGTTTCTCCCGGTCAGCGACCCTGGCGGCGAGGAAGGTTCCTTTTCCCATGTTAACCTTTTGGAACACCTAGTGAAAGATCACTTCCTTACCTCTGTCGCCAGGACTGTTGATGCCTGCCACGTCGCCATCGGCATCTACAGCGATGGCAGTTTCCGCCAAGGCTGGCTTATCAAGGGATAGAGCTGTCATGGGCTCCTGGAGAGAGCCAACAATGACTTCTGACTCCGAAATCGCCATCTCTAATTTCGTAAAAGAGTGTGGTGATTCTCTCACAGATTAGTTTAATTCTTTGGTCCCTGGTCTCGATATATGCCAGACCCTACGTGGAGGTGGATAGTAGGGTCTCTTATATTCAGTCTGACGTATGCATTTAGACAAAGAGGGTAGTCCCCCGAGAGGGTCGCTCCGTATACGACTCTGACCAAGGTCATTGACGTGGACACTTTGCGTAGGGTGCGTTCTCTGCCCAGTTGGTTCAAAGACTGCTACATGGTTAACTAGCATAGTGGGCATTTCTCCGGTTGCGTCCTTCAGCTGGGTTAGCGCGCTGTAACTTTGTCACCACCTCGCATTTGTCATGTCATAGGCTATTTCTGTCTTCTAACAGAAACAGGGCCTGCTGAGATAAAACTAATCCTGGGTCCCTAGAGGATGCACCATCATTAAAAAGTGAACTGTGGGGATAAGTGAATATGTCCATGGCTCGGCTTTCCACTGCCTCCCATTTTCGTTTGTGAGGTCTTCAATATCTTGCAGCAGGTTAGCCAAACAGTCCCTAGGAATATCTTACCTTGCATTCTCGCATAGTTATTACTGTTCAACTGCTTAATGACGAGGGACGCCTAATTACCGACACATTGGATTTATTATCTGTAATGTTTAAAGAATATTTCTAAAAAAAAGCTGATCCAAAGTCTACCACGCCTGTAGTAAACAGCGCTTATTTTTCGGCGACATTAGGAAATAAGATATCTGGTCCATATCCTCCACGTCCATGCCTTCCATGGTTGGAACACTTGCCTTAGGAAACACGCGGAAGAACTCAGCAGTTGCAAGCCGGAGCTCAGCTTGCGCCAGATGCATACCGATACAGGAGCGAGAGCCGCCACCAAAAGGCATGAATGCATCTTTCATCTCCTTAGTAGGGTTCTCCCAGCGTGATGGATCGAATCTGCCTTCATTAGCCTCTCCGATACTAGGCCAGCACAGTAAATTATATCAACTATGCAATGATATCGCTTACCTCTCTGGATTAGTGAAGATGCGAGGATTCCTGTGAAGACTATACGCCTGTGTGGTGACAGTCACACCAGCTGGAATCCAATATCCACAGAGTGTATGTCCATATTGTGAGACCCGAGGCAGCCCAGACGGAACACCTGTATAAAGACGCAAGGTCTCCGTGATGACCTGGTTCAGATATGGCAACGGCCTGAGATCATCATGATGGTAATGCTCTTGGACACCGGCCAGCTCTGTTAACAAAGCTCTTTTTATATGAGGGTTCCGACAGATCTCCCACACAAGGTAGGTCATGGTAGTTGCCGTGGTATCGCTCCCAGCAATGATAAAGCTAATGGCCTCGTTGACGATCTCGGCTTCTGGAAGGCCTTCATGTCCGCCTCCAAATAATCGCGCGAACAGTATTGGCTTCGGGTTTGGGTCAGTGGCGATTAACTTTTTATAACGCTGGACTGACTGATTCGCATATTGCTCCATGCGATGTCCGGCTTCAGCAGAATTCCGGAAGATGGGCAACGGGAACACCCTGGCTAGGCTGACCATGCGCGGGAAAGCAACCCTAACTGCTTCCATGGCGGACACTGATTCGAGGTCCATAGAATACTGGTTCTTCTGCTATAGGTTAACAACCAGTGCTCTAAGTTACGTCGACTAACCACTGACCTTTCCATGTTCCAACATATGAAAGGAATCTCCAAAGCACAATTGCCCAATAATATCGGTAGCCATAAAGATCCACCACTTATACACGTCAACCGTACCCCTCGCTTCCATTTCTTCCTGAATCCTGCGAATAGCGAGGCGGACACGTGTTTCGATCAAGGGCTCCATCCGTCTCAAGGACGAGGCGGATAGGGGTGACGAGAGCAGTCTTCGTCGCTCACCGTGGAATTTAGGATCACTCGAGTTGAACAAATTCTGGACGTCATATCGAGTTAAGTGGCGATAGAACTCTGATTTCATGAAGTGGCTTCCGACCCTGTGAATCTCCTTCGCGGCGGTATGGTCGCTGATATCAACCTCATTGGGGCCAACGCGAACGACTGGGCCTGGAGATCCGAATAAAACAGTCAGTCGCATTCTCTAGTTGTTCTTTTCTCTAGTTGTTCTTTTCTCAATTCATAGCTTGCTTGGAAGTGCCGACTGCTAGCTAACCGTATTTTTGATGAAGTGAATGTACATATTTGGCCCGGTTCCCGGTAAGCCAGTGATACTTCAGAATAATATCTGTAATTCTGGAGATCCGTGGCCCTGGCAAACAAGATAAAGGACCATTCCATCGCTGAATAATTATCTGCTTAGTGTTAGTGAGGTACAAACAGAGTATTAAGTCACTTTGAGGAAGCACCAAGACAGGTACATGGGCGACTTTCATTTGTAATACTTATTGCAAGAAGTAAGATAGGCAGCATGGCCCAAGACAAGGGCAAGTTCCGTTCATCCATGGTGTCTAATCGTGCCAAAACCGATATACTAAATGGCTCTGATGCAATCCTAAAAGGCTTTACACCTTCACTATTGAGATCTTTGTCGCACACCAGCTGTTGGGTGCCAAGGTCTGATGAGCGGTGGGAAGGAATGCAATGCAGCGCCTTGCATACCTGAGATAGAACCCGCAGGATGAAGTATTATGTAGACAAATACTGAGAACTTCTCATAAATAATACTACCTGGCTGCTACAGATGCAAATCAGTACCGACTTTGGCTAACCACTAAGATCTGGTGCCCCGATATCACATAAACTGCCGCAAACGTACTCGATGGTGCCATGCTAAGGTAGCAGATCATTCATCAGTTTTGCCCGATAGAAGATCAATGAGTTCCTTAAATCCGGGTTGGCTAGTGGGACTCGAACTGCGGATTTCTACGTCAGTTTCTAGGCTCGCGACTACTGGAATCCTTCATCACTTCAATAGTACATCTTTGCATTCGATAACTTGATATTGTTCCGCATTTTTCTTCGCTTTACTCTAACAGATCTACTAGCCTAATCTGTCAATCTGCCATCCAGCAGCTCGGAACCTTCGCATTTGTGCTCCATGCCTTGTTCCTAGTCTTGCGCCTCCCAGGACAAAATGTTGTATACTCACGCAACGATCATCACGGTCGATGTAGCTCGACATATTATTGAAGACGGCGCCATCTATGTCGATAAGGACACCATTGCGGATATTGGTAAAGCCGATTGTCTACTTGCAAGATATCCTCTTGAAAGACAGCCTTAATGGATGCATTGTGATTCCAGGACTGGTTTCTACGCACGTCCATACCGCCCAGGCAATACTACGGGGCACAGCTGATGGTCTACATAACGAGCCATGGCTCTCAGAATGAATCCTACCCCTCCAGAGAAGCATGACCGAGGGAAAGGCTCAGGCATCTATGAAATCGGCCGTCGCAGAGACGTTGAAGTCTGGGACTACTTGTTTCTTGGAATGTATGGTAAGTCATCTCCAAGCTCGAATTCCCAGCCATGGGGACATTTCGGACTGATGCAATCCAAACTACTAGTTCTTCCGCTCCCATGGATTCGATGGACTATGTCAGACTGTGCAGGACAGTGAGATTCGAGCCTGCCTAGGCTGCGTTCCGGTGGAACGTCGCCCGCCTGCCGGACAGATCCCTCCTGGTGGTGGAATGCTTGAAGACAGCTTGAAGTCATGGCAGAAATGGAACGGACTCCAAAATGGCCGCATCCGAGTATGGTTTGCGGCGGGCAATCCAGATTGGTTCGTGGAGATATCACCAGACTGGCCAAAGCTGACCACATAGTAACAGGACACAGCGTCGTTGAAACCCAGATGCGAAAGCTGAGCACTGCTGCATGTTCATACGGCATCCCAGTGACTATGCATCTTGCTGAAAGTAAGAGTGATGCTGATTACTTCTCCTCTATAGGCCATACCGCTGGATCGTACGCTCAGGCAGTCGGCCTGTTGTCCCCGTCGACTGTCTTTGCTCACGCGGTGTATATCAATAAGGCTTCTGACGTTCCTTTGCTTTCGTCGTCTGGGACTCATATCTCTCACTGCCTGACGTCAAACTCCAGACTTGCTTCGGGTATTTGCCCAGTCCCTGCTTTACTGGCGGCAGGGCTCAATGTCGGTTTTGGAACTGATGGGAATGTTTGCAATAATACGTCCGACATGTTCCAGGAAATGAAATGGGCTGCTATGGTGCATAACAACACACCCGGTGACGCTGCTAAAATCCCTGCGGAAACAGTACTGGAGATGGCCACAACCAATGGGGCCAAAGCGTTGGGGTTACATCATCTCATTGGCAGTCTAGAGATCGGAAAAAGAGCAGACTTCGTGGCTCTCCATGTAGAGAAGACCACATTACAGCCATGTGTGAACCCCGTCAGCAAATCAGCAACGTTGTGTATGCGGCGACGGGGCGAGATGTGCATGTTGTAGTAGTTGATGGTCGTATAGTGGTGGAGGGCGGGAAGCTACTGACTATGGACGAAGGGGAAATCATTAAGGCTGCAAACCAAGCAATATGTGGGCTATTGCAGAGGACTGGATTACAGGACAAAGTTAAGAGTCATTTGCACACGAGGTAGACAGATACATTTGTTTATATTAGTACCTCAGATGAAATCTGGGCATCGGCCAACACTTGTGTCTCTATAACATATTCTCTGTAGTGACAGGGAAGGAAATGCAGAACAAAACAGAAAAGTGAGAGCACTCCAGAGCACCATCTGCATTTTTTGTTTGAGTTCCCTCAGGGAATTTCTTTTCCTCCTCTTACTTAAGCTCGAATAAAGATGTCTCCGTCTCTTAACTGTTTAAGTCGTTCTCAAGTTCTGAAGTCAACTAGGGTCGCATCTTGGATTGGCCCCGCAGGCCAAGGATCCTCGGAAACCAGGCTAAAAGAATGGGACGGACATGGTAGCAGCATAAAAAATATTGGAAAGCGTAAAAAGAGGTGTTCATCATTAGAAATACTTATGATTGCCCGCCGGCACGGTTTCATTGGGCCGACAATTTCCTGGGGCCGGCAAGGCTGGTTAGGTCATAGAACCCATGCTACACCGTATGCAGCGGAGATCTGTTCCCAAGACAGGCATGTAAGATGTCCCTTGGTTGCTATTCCAACGATTCTTCTCCCAAGCCACTAATGCTTGGCTGTCCCGTCCACCCACTCCGTCTGTGGATTGGCTTGCGAGACTGTCTTTCGCTTTACTACCACTGAATTATCTCGAATTTAGGAAATCTTTGCCTTGCCGCATATGTACCCTTCACGCCTGCGACAACAGGTCGGAATTGGTAACAACAACATCAGTCCTCTGAACTTGCTCCTCTTGCCGTGTAATTATAGCTTGTATGATAAATTTCGAAGGATTTTCGTGGTAGCTATCTTGAGACTGGCCCTCCATAGCTCTTCTCGATCCTCTTAGCATGTTGGCTTTGATCCGATGCTCGCCGAACATCAGAAGTACGAAGTCTACTTGCAATTCTTCTTGATCAATCAAGGACAGACGTACGATCATCAAAACAATCAGAATCTCGAAGGGAAGAACGATGCATATACTCTGGCGTGAGTCTGCAGATATGGCAGCCTATGAAGCTGCGCGTCTCAGCCGAGTGTTCAACCAGCGCTGCCCACGCCGGTTTCCACTGGCTATAGTCAAGCCAACTACGGAGAATGAAGTTGTTACAGCGGTGAAGCTGGCAATACAACACAAAATGCGCATTGCCACTCGAGCAGGGGGCCATTCCTTTCCAGTTTGGAGTTTGCATGATAATTCCATCCTCATTGACTTCGGCGACTTCAAGGTATTGGAGGTCGATGAGAGGAACTGCATTGCACAGGTGTCTCCTGGTGTCACAAGCAAGGAGCTCAATGACTTCTTGATTGAGAAACACGGGATGATGTTTCCGGGGGGTCATTGCCCCGATGTTGGCCTCGGCGGGTTTCTATTGCAAGGTGGAATGGGTTGGAACTGTCGGGTATGTCGCCTATTTCGTTCTTCAATCCATCCTTATTGTCCCCTTTTCATTTTTTTTTCCTTGGTCTTCCCTTCCATACTGTTTCTGCTCGCTAACCCAGTCTCCTAAGTTCAGAACTGGGGTTGGGCTTGTGAAAGTGTGGATGCTGTGGAAGTAATTACCATGCAAGGAGAGCCTATAATCTGCAGTGCGCAGCAGAATAAAGACCTATACTGGGCGGCCCGTGGTGCAGGTCCAGGTATGTCTTTCCTCTCCATGAACTCCTTACCTTTTCCCAAAGTTTTTTTTAACTAAAGATTTTGGACCATAACAGCATTTCCTGCGGTTGTTTCAAAATTTCACCTAAAATTAAGGCCGTACCCAAAGAACGGATTCCGGTCTTCTGGCTACATTTACCCATGCGGTCTCTACAGGCAAGCATTTTCCTGGGCCCTTCGGATTACCGCGACCCTTGACAGAGACACCGAAATCACGGTATGCACCCGATACGCCGAAGCCCATAAACAAGTTTGCCTATCTATACATTTTGTCTGCATGAAGGCAACGCCCGAGGATGCCGAGGCTGCTTTGTGGCCTGTGCAAGAAACCCGGCCCGCAGGGACACTCTCTGAATGGTATTGTCGAGAAGACAATTTAGGAAATCTCTACGACAAACAAGCAAAAGCAAACCCAAAGGGTCATCGGTACCACACCGATAATGCCTATGTTCAGAATGGTGCCGATGTTGTCGCTGTGCTCGAAGAAGCGTTTCTGTCTCTTCCACCGGGCAAATCGTTTGCGTTCTGGTCCGCAATGAGCCCTTGGAGTAGAGGAGATCTACCTGACATGGCCTTAAGTATGCAGTCTGATCATTATTTCGCGATTTACGCCGTGTGGGACGATGCGAAAGACGATGAGCGGTATCGTTCCTGGGTACAAAAGGTAATGAGAAAGATTGAAAATCATTCGGTAGGCACATACTTGGGCGATTCAGATCTGCAAAAAGCAGACGCGCGTTACTGGGCAAATATCAACACCGCGCGCCTGATAGAAATATGTGAGAAGTGGGATCCAGAGGGTCTTATGTGTCGGTACAAGGCTAGCTGTACTGAGCTGGAACTAAGGAATTAGCAGTAATGAAGTCTATTCCCGAGTCTTACTTCGAATTTTCCAAGATGATCAGACGGAAAATCTTTTCTTTTCCTTCGCCTCTACCTTTTGTTGCCCTTTTCCGTTGTACGCATCTATACATTTTTCTTCCTGTCTTTTTGTTTGGGTGGCCAAACGGAGGAGTACATTTCAGGGGATTCTGTCCATAACATTTCTTATCCCTTACCTAACAGGCATTAGGTTTAGCGTCTTTTTTTATTGGTCAGAATATTCATACAGCTTGTAAAATAGTAAAATAGACCGATTTCTGGCTGAAACAGGTAAGCGCAAGGGGGCAGCTGACCAATCGGCTCCGGTGTCTAGAAGCAGCTTGGCATCTGGTTAAGGAATAGTGCATTGTCATAAGTCTTTTGACGGTAGGAACCAAATGAGCGGGATTACCCGGCAGCCATATTTCAACCTGCAACCTGCTTTGTCTGTTAGATAGTAGCTGTATCTCTCACTTTCAGTTCAGATATGATCGATGGTCACCGGTTTAAAGGCCAGTCAGGAAAAGTCCCCGTTGAAAAGTTTCCAGATTACTTTAGCGGGATACTAACTAATGTTCCCTCCTTCTTGTTGCATATTGAGAATATATTTTAGTATACTTCAGCTGTCGTCCCATGGATGACAAGGCCCTGTCACATGTAATGCATTTAATATATCATTCATTAAGTCAGCTACTGTACACATTGGTATTGCTTTTTATTACTTTGGTGCTTTGAGTGACAGTCATGATTGGTGAATCATGGCAGGGTAATGTTCCACTCGACAAAGTTTCGCCGGTCGATCAATCCTTCAACTGGACTGCCGTAATAATAAGCCAACCGCATACAGCAACAGTAACTGTTCTAATTTACGCGTGAAAAAGAAACAGGACATTACAAACCATGGATTAGCAAGACACAGGCAGCTAACGAGCCTAGCAGCTTAAGTTGGCCATTAGGACGCTGGACCTCCCTTTTTACTTCCGCAAACGTGCATCTTTGCCCGTCCCACACACCACGTCCTTCAGTATGTACTTCTGCATTGCCGATATCCCTTGCTGGTGCAGATTAAGATCGTCTCCACTTGGGTTACACCCTTGGTTTTCAGCACAAAGTATGATCTTACGGGATGCTGGGGTGCAATCTGCAGCCTTTGCTATTACATATCGCCCATCTCATGCCTACTGAATTGTAATAGCATCCGCGGGTTATCTGGAATGGATTAAGAATCTGCAGTGTTACATTGTGGGTGCACGTAGCAAATTTCCTGTTTGCTAGGAATTTCTGGGAAGAAAGACACTTCCCTGGGGTTCCCAACACATTCTGGCTTCTTTGCCTTGCTCTCTGCAGCGTGGTCGCTCCGCCACGCCAGGACCGGCCCGTTCTACATACTGTGTATGTTCAAAGTCATTTATAGGTATATGTAATAGGCATATTGTACGTAGGTCTTATATTTCGTCCTTAATCGCATCATTCCACACCGCCGATCATTGGGGTTCGAACTCAGTATGAAAGTGCTCATGTAGCTGTACGTCTATTTTATCCACTATATATGTGAACTTCTTTTCACGATTCCGCAGTATGGGGAAGGGAACGCCCCCTCAGGATTACATGGCTCTGTAGAATAGCCTCACGCAGCTTTCAGTAGGAACCTAGTAGTGGACTGCTTGATGCTAGTTGCACTGTCTTAAATACCACGAATGATCAGTTATCATCAGATATTATTCACCAGCAACCTACTTCTTACGATAACGCTAGATTCAGAGAGCAGCAACGCCCGTCAGAACCCCCTTCTCTCCGAGAGGGCTTCCGAACGATCCTGTATTTAGACAACTTGTGCATGCTGCCGCGCATGAGAATAAACCCATCATCCGTGATCCTCTCCAGAACATCGAAGCTGACTATGTCCGGTTCCTTCGAGACATTCTCCAATATCGCCTAAAGATATCTAACGCCTTACCAACCGAGATCTTAGACGACAAATGGAATGATCAAGGATATTGACAACTTCATTCTTCTCTCTGCTCCCTCGAGTTACCAGTTCCTAGTTGCTCTTTTCGCCGTATTGGCTGTTGGAGGAGCAGCAGTTCTACTACGTATGTTTCCCATCAATATAAATCTCCACAAGTCCAATATTAGGTTCTGACGGACAAGCTCTCGGTATCGCTCCTGAGGAAATCAATGTCATAGCTCAGAAATGCAACGCCCGGGCATTTGCCATTGCACCCGACTATCAAGCGGCCGCTAAAGCTACCAAAACGAGTGCAAAACTTACGTCGGGTACAGAGATCCTGCCCATCCCAATTACGCTGGGAGATAATGGGAGTAGTGCCGACATCCGCATCATAACTGAGAATAATATCAGATTTTCCGCGGACCGTCCTGCACTCGTCCAATTCACCTCAGGCACAACTGGCTCCCCCAAGGGCGTAGTACATGCCCGGACATTCTTCTACCACCAGGTGGAGGTATACTTTGGATGCCCAATGAGCGAGATTAATGGTCTCCAACCTCTGCTCGGCCCTGATGCGGTGTATCTCTCCTACCGCTCATTCCACTGGGGAGGCGGGATCAGAAATGCAACAGCAGCTATCTTAGCTGGTGTCTGCACTGAGATTTATAACCACGACGCCACTCCAGGTGGTATATGGGAGAGATTAAGGCGAGGGGACGTGAGGCTCTTTATTTGTTGGGCAGCAATGTGGACACAGATGAAAGCGTATTATGAGGAATGTTTGGCCAACCTACCACAGCCCATGTTAGAGGAATATCTTAATGGAGCACGGGGTCTACAATTGGCAAAGTCGGATTCAAATCTGCTTACTCCCTCAGTGAAGCGTGCTGACCATCTGTAGAGAATTATTGGTGTCCCGCTAACGGGGGTATCCGTGAAACTGTCCGAGGGGGACCACGGGGAAATCTGTGTTAAAACACCGCTTCTCTTTTCCCAGTATGACTAGATTCCGACACTGTAACGAGAGATGGCTAAAAGTTCTTTCTAGATACATCGGAGAGCCTGAAGCGACCCGCGCTGCTTTTGATAGGGAATGCTTTTACAAGACCGGCGACCTGGGTCATTTCGATGGTAAGCAGTACATCATCGACGGCCGCGTGACACAGGACTATACGTACTTCACTATAACCCAAGTGCAAATATCGATGAAACTAAAACAATCGACCAGTCATTGTTTTCGACGGACGGAGGGTCCCCATCATAGACGTCGAGGAGAGCCTTATGGCCCTGCCATATGTCATGGAAGCCTACGTACTCGGCATCCCAGATGCAGAGGTCATGAACCGCACTGCGGTATTGCTTCGTGTCAAAGAAGGGAAGTGTCTCACTCTCCAAGCCCTGAGAACGGAAATGGCTGGGAGACTCGCAAAACATAAATTGCCGACTCTTTTACGGAAGTTAGATGCCAGTGAAGGTGTTCCCAAGACACATTCGGGCAAGTTTGATATGCGAAAGGCACGCAGCGTTTTCTTCCCTCAGTCAGTTGAAGGAGATATCAGCGACCTGCCTCCGGAGGTGGAAGTCTGGAAATTGAGGTAGATGCAACTGGAGTTCGCAGGTGTTTCTCGGCCGGACATCAAAGTGTAACTGCTTTTGTTTCAAAAGACGAGGGTAATATCCCCAGAGGATCATATGAGGCTCTGGAATCCATATTGTGTTTTTTTTCTGTTTACTCAAACTGGATGATGCTTCTTTGTCCGCACTACAGATCTCCCCTTTGAATAATAGTAGTCTTTGGCCTTCCAGCCATTACTAGGCTGCTTGAAACATGTGGGAGTGCCGGAAAGACCATTCCTACAGAGAGGGCAGCAGGAAGTCGTCTTACACTAACCGCTATCAAATACAGAAGTAAACTTCCCCAGATATATATACTGTAGTTACCTAAACAGTGAGGGACTTTCTCCTTTATTTGCTAGAGGGCCACCTACGGCTGTGAACTATCAAGCCGTATTTCCCTATCTATGCTGTTGAATCTGTGGTTAAGAGAACAGAGATCGTCGAAAGAGTCAAGAGGCGTTTACGTATAAGAGCAAGGTATAACGCGATGTCGGACAAGCTGGTTAAGTTTTGATACCCAAAGCAACGCATAGGACTTCCTCGAGTCTGAATCTCTTGAACAGTGATAACAACCTTAACAAAGACCTTTCCGAATCTTCGTTCCGGGCTTTAATGAGAAGAATAATATCCCTTGTATCAAGAAGGTATTGTATTTTCACAGTATCAATATCACTTTTACATAACTTGCAGAGGAGTAAGAGTGAGACTAGTAAGAGCAGCATCCCCTCCATGTCGTCGAACCTGGACTACGCCGACCCAATTTGTGGAGAGCTGCAAGAGATGGGAAGTGATATCATTTGTGCATCATTTTCATTGTGGTTGTGGTTGTGGTTGTGTGCCGAGCGGAAGCTAAACACGGCCCGTCCGCAGGGGAACCCAACAACAACCCCAAGTACCTGAAAATCTGCAACCGATGCTCGCATAAACCCAAAAGGACTAATGGAGGAGATCATGAACATAAGCCACGGCAATTACAGGCTAGAATTCTACTAGTTTACATAATAACAATGCTTGGTTCGATAACCACAGGCCGTTAATCAACGTCAAAAAATCACCCACCAGAGTAGCACCACCAGAATATATATATAACCGTCGAGGTGGGTTAGGCAGACAGCCGGGGATTAAAGCTCGGCAACAAATCTTGCAGGATGATTGCAGGATGAAATTATCAAAATACGGCAAAAAGATACAGATCCTCAGATGTCGGATCAAAAGGCAGACCCATCGAGCGGCCGGAATCATGGTCGGAACAAAACCCGGAATGAGAGAGATACCATTTTCCTAACCATACTATGTCTCGAAGCTAATCCAAACGTATCCGCAAACATTATCGAGAATGCCCCTCAATTGTCGTCAGCCTGCAATTGTTGGCATCGGCATCAGGGCAATGTAGGTGGCCACGGGCCCGGTCCTGTCCTGTTTCGGATAGCCTCCTCTTGCTCAGTCAAATTTCGCTTTCCAATTGGTGGCGCTATGGGGTCGGTAAAAAGATGAAGAAACGCCTTGGGCCGATCGCAATTTGGTGGCTGGCTTGGCTGTGCATTATCCTCCCTCTCGTCCGGGGCCCCGCATCCCCAAGCAAATGCGCGAGATTCGCCCCTCTACTGATTAAGCTTCATGCACACTCGTACGCTGTAGTTTCTTCGGCTAATTGTCTCCTGCCGAGGGAAAAATGGGAAAACTCCGGTGGCACAAGCTGCATGGTTCGACCTAGACATACATGGAATTATGCCTGCCTACTAATGCCACCTACCTTTATGCGGGGTACATTCAAACCGGGCCCGATAAACCTGTCGAAATGCCCCGGAATTCCATGAACAGGTCCTTGTGACACGCATTAGACTACTTCTGGCGAGCATCAGAGGTGGAACAAAACACTCCGGCTAGCTGAATCATAACGGGTCGAAAAGTCTTCATTTCAGTTTCCCCACAACTGCGGAGTAGGACCGATCTTCATACAAACTACTCAGCCCCTTTAGCTAGTGCTGGCACTTTCCCCCACCTCCCACGTACACGACCTTTGAAGCTTTGCGAAGCATTAAGGCACCAAGTATGATAATTCCAAGCCGTGTCGAGCTCCACTTGCAGCTCTAGTCGGTCTTCTTTTACAATAGTATCCTTAGCAAGACAAATCGTCAAAAGTCTCGGCAAAACATTTCCGGTAGAAGTCCACCAGGTTTTAGCGTAAAGCTCCATCTCATCACAATTCATAGCCTGAAGTCCGTGCAAGATCGTGGGCAAGGCGACTGCACGGGTTTATGAACATTGACCTGAGTTTTCAGATCGAGTATTGTATTATGGACAGATAATCTTTCCTATCTTCTATGTCTTATTGAACTTTATCGAGAAGATAGGCCCGTTGTAGTCGAACTGGTGTACTTCGCGTGCCGTATTAGTTAGATCGCCTATTTACTTATTGATAACCTTGAATTGGCATATACTTCTAGAAATACTGTCGCTTAATTTGATGTTAAATCTGCTTCCAGTATTAACCGAGCTGCTGAAGACTAAAATTCGCTAGGTTATACTATCATGTACATAAAGTATAGTCTAGCTACAATTATTGGAGGGAATTTCAAGCCACTTTACAACTGCATGTGACTCTTAATCTACAAAATGGACAGCGTGATGAATGGAATGAATATTATAAAAGGGGGACTTGATCGCTTACAACCCTACAACAGACCTGTTCTACTTCAGTGGCCGTCTCAGCATCTCATTGCTGATTTTAAGACACCCAGAGGCGTGCTTATCCAACTGTTCTCCACCAAAAGTGACCGAACATGTTCCCAAAACTAAGCTTTGAACATGCCAGCGTGCTTGCTGTTGGCCTTGTTGCCACAGGCTCCCTTGTCGCTGCTGGCCCTTGTGACATCTACTCCTCTGGTGGCACGCCCTGTGTCGCCGCCCACAGCACCACTCGAGCCCTGTACAGCGCCTACAGTGGCGCACTCTACCAGGTAAAGCGCGGCTCTGATGGGGCCACAATTAACATTGCGCCTCTCTCTGCTGGTGGTGTCGCGAATGCTTCCGCGCAAGACTCCTTCTGCGCCGGCACGACCTGCCTCATCACAATCATCTATGACCAGTCCGGCCGCGGTAATCACCTTACCCAGGCTCCGCCTGGTGGCTGGACCGGCCCAGAATCCAATGGCTACGACAACCTGGCTAGCGCGATTGGTGCACCGGTCACGCTGAACGGTCAGAAGGCGTACGGTGTCTTCATCTCGCCCGGCACCGGCTACCGCAACAACGCCGCCAGCGGCACGGCTACAGGCGACGAACCAGAGGGCATGTACGCAGTCCTTGACGGGACTCACTACAACGGTGGCTGCTGCTTCGACTATGGCAACGCGGAGACCAGCAGTCGCGATACAGGCAATGGCCACATGGAGGCCATCTACTTTGGTGACAACACTGTCTGGGGCTCTGGCTCCGGCAGCGGCCCGTGGATCATGGCCGATCTCGAGAACGGCCTGTTCTCTGGCTCCAGCCCTGCCAACAACGCTGGCGACCCGTCCATCTCCGACCGGTTCCTCACTGCGATTGTCAAGGGGAAGCCAAACCAATGGGCAATCCGCGGCGGCAACGCTGCGTCCGGCTCGCTATCGACCTTCTACAGCGGTGCGCGCCCAAGCGTGTCTGGGTACAATCCAATGAGCAAAGAGGGTTCCATCATTCTTGGCATCGGCGGCGACAACAGCGTCGGCGCCCAGGGCACATTCTATGAGGGCGTGATGACCTCCGGCTATCCGTCCGATGCCACCGAGAACTCGGTGCAGGCCAACATTGTTGCAGCCAAATACGCCGTCGCGTCGCTAACCAGTGGCCCGCAGCTCACTGTCGGTTCCTCAGTCTCGCTGCGGGCCACCACACCCGGCTACACAACGCGCTACATCACACACAACGGCTCGACCGTCAACACCCAGGTCGTCTCATCGTCCAGCTCCACCACCCTGAAACAGCAGGCCAGCTGGACGGTTCGCACTGGCCTTGGCAATAGCGGCTGCTTCTCATTTGAGTCCGTTGACACCCCCGGCAGCTTCCTACGGCACTACAATTTCGTGCTCCAGCTCAACGCCAACGACGGCACGAAGCAGTTCCACGAAGACGCCACGTTCTGTCCGCAATCCGGCATCAACGGCCAGGGCAATTCGATTCGGTCCTGGAGCTATCCCACTCGCTATTTCCGCCACTACAACAACGTGCTCTACGCCGCGAGCAACGGCGGTGTTCACACGTTTGACGCCACTGCCTCCTTCAACAACGATGTGAGCTGGGTGGTCAGCAGTGGCTTCGCTTGAAACCCGGTCCAATCAATAGGCAATGTGTGGATTGGACTCTAACCCTAAACGGTGTTTAGGGGTATAGTTGATGGTTGGCTGGGGTGGTGCAGACCTTCTGCAGTTCTTGTGGTTAAGGATAAACCTTAGTAAACAAGCTTTCATTACTAAGACATACTTCAAAATTTCACTGCCATTTTCTCTCAACCAAGCCTCGATATTATACTACCAGAGGCTAACGTTATTTGTAACATGCGCGGGTCGCTGCATGGAAAGGGAGTGCTACAGTGACCTTGCTTTGATGTACGGTTTGAGAATCTGATGTTCAACCTGATTGTTCAATAAAGTAGAAGACACTTTCAACAATCACAAAGATAATATTACGGACAGCCTGCCAAGCTTCAACGACACTGATTCTGCTCCCACGCTGGATCGTGCCTTGATAAAATGTATCCCTAGAAGCCCCAGTGGAGGGCCGGCTGAACGTGATACCCCAGTAGTTGGCGCGTCGTATCCAAATCTATCTGGAGCCGACACTGATAACGTGKGGGGCTAGGGAGGCGCACCCCGGCAAACCGTCGAAATACATGAGCTGTGCCTACATCTCCTCGACGAGAAGGTAGCAGCCTTGGTGTTGAGCCAGGTCTGCAATCTGCTTCAGCTCCTCTGCGGACATGCAGGTCCTGGTAGGATTTTTCG